ATCTTTTTTAACTATATTATATTAATAGTATAACTTAGCTTATATCTAATAAATATACTAAAAATAAATAAAATAAATAGATAGATAAGATCTTAATTAATTAATTAATTTAATACTATAGAATTATATTATAGTTATAAACTTTTTAAGAAAAAATAAACTCTTTAAAAGAGATTTAAAGATATTATAATAGTTTTTAATAATAAGAATATACTTATTATTATAGATTAATTAAGTATAGTTCTCTAGTTATAAAGATCTTTAAGCTTAATAACTACTATCTTTAATATAGATTTAAGATTATAAATTAATTCTAGACTTTTAAATCTCTTAATTATAATTAAGATTTAAAATTAATTCTAGACTTTTTAATCTCTTAATTATAATTTAACCTAAAACTAACTAATAAGTTAACTTAATTAGATATCTATCTATTTATTTTATTTAATTTTAATATATCTATTAGATATAAGCTAAGTTATATTATTAATATAATATAATTAAAAGAGATATAATAAATATAATATCTATATTCTAGAGATATTATAATAATTTCTAATAATAAGAATATAATTATTATTATAGATTAATTAAATATAATTCTCTAACTCTAAAGATCTTTAAGTCTAATAACTACTAATTATCTTTAATATAGATCTAAGATTTAGAATTAGTTCTAAACTTTTAGATCTCTTAACTATAATTAAGATCTAGAATTAATTCTAGACTTTTTAATCTCTTAATTATAGTTTAGCCTATAATAAGCTAATAAATTAACTTATCTAAATATCTATATATATAAGTTTATAAGACTAGATATATAAGTTAGTTAATAATAATAGATATAATTAAATTATTATAATTAATAATCTCTTAGTAATAAGTAATTTATTCTATAAGCTTTAATATAATAATATACTTTAAGACTATTATTAAGAGATTATTTTAAATATATATAAAATAATTTATTCTTTTATTACTAGCTCTCTTAAGTTTATCTCTTATACTTATCTATATTAAAACTCTTAATTATATTCTCTATTAAGACTTTTAAGCCTCTTCTCTATTAAATAATCTAATCTATATATTTAAAACTATTAATAAGATATTAATCTTTCTTATTCTTATAATATTTAATAAGAAGAATAGATATCTCTTTAATAAGATTAAAGAGTTTACTTTCTTTAAGCTCTATTTAAATAGACTTTATAATATTACTAATAAAATTAATATTATTAATATCTATAGTCTTCTAATCTTTAAATATAAACTTCTATAGACTATTAATATAATAAAGCTATTTAAAAGTCTATATATTCTTAATAAGAAGATATCTAATAATCTAAATCTTAATTAGCTCTTTTATATTAATAAATATTAATTATAGTTAGAGTATTTAAGAAAGATAGTTAAATATCTTTAAAGAAGAAAGAAGAAATAGAAATAATAATAATTTTATTATATTAATAGTTATTTTAATAGAATTATAAATTAAATAGAGTTAATAGAAACTACTTAAATAACTTATATATAAGATCTTAATTAATTAATTAATCTAATATTATAGAATTATATTATAGTTATAAATTCTTTAAAAAAGATTATAAAGTTATATTATTATTATAACTCTTTTAAAAAGTTTATAACTATAATATAAATCTATAATATTAGATTAATTAATTAATTAAGATCTTATATATAAGTTTTTTAAATAGCTTTTATTAACTTTATTTAATTTATAACTCTATTAAAATAACTATTAATATAATAAAACTACTATATAATATAATATTCTCTCTTAAAAGATTTATAACTATAATATAAATCTATAATATTAGATTAATTAATTAATTAGAACCTTATATATAAGTTATTTAAATAGCTTTTATCAACTCTATTTAATTTATAACCCTATTAGAATAACTATTAATATAGTAAAACTATTATTAGTTCTATTCCTCCTTCCTTCTCTAAAGATACTTAACTATCTTTCTTATATATTCTAACTATAACTAGTATTTCTTAATATTAAAGAGTTAGTTAAGATTTAGATTATTAGATTCTATATCTATAAGAATAATTATACTCTTAAGTAGCTCTATAATATTAATAGTCTTTAATAGGCTATAAGCCTAGATATATAAGCCATCTACTTAATAATAAATATAACTAAATTATTATAATAAATAGTCCTTTAATAATAAGCAATCTACTCTATAAGCTATAATAATATACTTTAAGGCTATTGCTAAGAGGTTGTCTTAAATATATATAAAATGATCTATCCTTTTACTCTCTTAAGTCTATCTCTTATACTTATCTATATTAACACTCTTAATTATATTCTCTATTAAATAATCTAATCTATATCTATATATACTTATATAATATTAATATATATATCTAAGGCTATTAAAGAGATACTATTCTTTCTTATTTCTATAATATCTAATAAGAAGAATAGGTAACTCTTTAATAAAGTTAAGAAGTTTACCTTCTCTAAGTTTAATCTAGATAAACTATATAAGACTGTTAAGATAATTAATTATACTAATAACTACAGTCTTTTAGGGTTTAGATATAAACTTATATATATAGATATCTAGATAAGTTAACTTATTAGCTAGCTATAGGGTAAGAAATCTATTAAACTATAGTTAAGAGATTAAAAAGTTTAGAACTGATTCTAGATCTTAATTATAGTTAAGAGATTTAAAAGTCTAGAACTAATTCTAGGTCTTAGACCTATATTAAAGACAGTTAGTAGCTATTAGACTTAAGAGCCTTTATAATTAGAGAACTATACTTAATCAATCTATAATAATAATTATATTCTTATTATTAGATATTATTATAGTATCTCCAGAATATAGATATTATATTTATTATATCTCTTTTAACTATATTATATTAATAGTATAACTTAGCTTATATCTAATAGATATACTAAAAATAAATAAAATAGATAGATAGATAGATATAATATAATATTAATTTTATTTCTTCTTTCTTTTCTAAAGATATTTAACTATCTTTCTTAGATACTCTAACTATAGCTAATATTTATTAATATAGAAGAGTTAATTAAAATTTAGATTATTAGAATTCTTATTAAGAATATATAGACTTTAAAGTAGCTTTATTATATTAATAATTTATAGAAGATTATATTTAAAGACTAGAAGACTATAGATATTAATAATATTAATTTTATTAATAATATTTTAAAGTCTACTTAAATAGAGCTTAAAAAAGATAAACTTCTTAACTTTATTAAAGAGTTACTTATTCTTCTTATTAAATATTATAAAAATAAGAAAGAATAATATCTCTTTAATAGTCTTAAATATATATATTAATCTTATATTAAGTTATTTAATAGAGAATATACTTAAGAGTCTTAATATAAATAAGTATAAGAGATAGACTTAAAAGAGTAGTAAAAGAATAGACTATTTTATATATATTTAAGATAATCTCTTAGTAATAATCTTAAAGTATATTATTATTATATTAAAGCTTATAAAATAAATTACTTATTATTAAGAGACTATTTATTATAATAATTTAATTATATCTATTATTATTAACTAACTTATATATATAGACTTATAAACTTATATATATAGATATTTAAATAAGTTAACTTATTAGTTAATTATAAATTAAATTATAATTAAGAGATTAAAAAGTCTAGAACTAATTCTAGATCTTAATTATAATTAAGAGATCTAAAAGTTTAGAACTAATTCTAAGCCTTAGATCTATATTAAAGATAGCTATTAGACTTAAAAGCCTTTATAATTAGAAGATTATATTTAATTAATCTATAATAATAATTATATTCTTATTATTAAAAACTATTATAATATCTTTAGAATATAGATATTATATTTATTAAATCTCTTTTAACTATATTATATTAATAGTATAACTTAGCTTATATCTAATAGATATATTAAAAGAAAATAAAATAAATAGATATTATTATTATAAACTCTTTAAGAGAGAATCTTAAATCTATATTAAAGATAACTATTAAACTTAAGAACCTTTATAATTAAAGAACTATACTTAATTAATCTATAATAATAATTATATTCTTATTATTAAGTCTTTAAAATATAGGTATTATATTTATTATATCTCTTTAACTATATTATATTAATAGTATAACTTAGCTTATATCTAATAGATAGACTAAGGATCAAAATAGATAGATAGATATTATACTTTATCACCTAATATTAAGCAGGTCCATCATTATAAAGAGAAAGAGGAGAGAGAAAGAGTTTCGCCTATCTATATTTACTGGAGCAGCTCCTAGCAAGTTTGCTTGCTACTGTGGTGCTTCCTTCTTCTCGATGCTCCTCTAAATACGACATGATATTAGGCATGGTATTGGCCACGTCTGCAAAAGATGTATTCCTATTTAATTTTTATCCTAAATCTGTCTGTGATTGCTGCTTTACCCAGAGCCTGCCTGGGTTCCCTTTATGCCTGGCTCTTGCTACATGTGACACTTTGGACCTTGCGAGCTTTTCGATTGCTACTTGAGCCATGGGTCGGCATGCTCGAAGCAGAGTAATTAACGGCAAAGCGACAAAGTTTGTGTGACGTTGAAACGTTGAAATTGATGGTGCTTTGTTGTCAGCGGCGCGCGTGCGGACGAGCCCACCCGCCCCTGTTTGTCGCACCCGGTTCAGCTCCAGCTGCACCGGTCGGTCCACTCAGGAGATAGGAAATACTCGATAGCAAGATTCGTATTTTATATCTGGATGACATTGCATTGTCGAGAGTTGCTTATTGTCTCACTGCCGCACATCATGCACACAACTTCCCTCCCGCCAGGGCCCCTCCCCGGATAATGTACCAAGTCGTTCACATACTGTCTCACAGCTCCAACAGCCACGCCGGAGAATGAGTGCCTAGCAATCTCGGGGTTTTATCACTCCCCCCTTGCTCCTTGCTCCCTCAGCAAGACCACCGCCGGCGTCTCTTCACCCGTGCCCGCCACCACCGTGAGCAGGCCCTTCCAGAATATGGCGTCGAGCCTCATGGCCGCCAGCTTGGCCAGCGGCCACGCCCTCGCCTGTATCCGCAGCGTATCGCGCCACTTGTTCAGCAGCGTCAGGTGCCGCGCCGCCATCTCGCGCGTTGTCGACTGCGCCAGGTTCATGAGGATGAACGTCGACACGTAGCAGAGTTGATACCGGACGTCTGTCCAGCACACGTCAGCCAACAGATATAGATCTCGGACAAAGGAGTCACGTGTGCTCCGGGTAGTCACTTACACGGATGCCAGAACGCGGCAAAATGCTGCGCCTTGAGCGACGACACAATCTCCGTCACCACCCTGGCGCAGGTATAGCAGTTCTCGAAGATGGTCGAGATGGGCTCCCTCGAAGTCTCGGTAGGCGAGAAGGTGCCGTGCATGAGCGGCCGCAGGAGCGCGCGGAAGATGAGGATCTCGAGCGTCAGGTGCGAGATGCGCAGCGATGCGCCGACCTCGAACTCCTCTGCCGTCAGGTCCGAGGCCGGCTTCGCCAGCAGGGGCAGTGTCTGACGCCATCCTTCGATCCGGGTCCGGAGGAGCTGCGCACGCGCGAGCAGGGCGGGCAGGGTGAGGGACATGCGGCTTCCCTTCAGGGTACTATTTCGCCGCGGTTAGTGCCCCCTCAACTTGGGTTTGGGGACTCCCAGCAAAGGAGCGGTCGGATACTCACTAAAACTCCTTCAACACGCCCGCCGCAATGACGGCCAGCCCGCACTGCGCAAGACAGATGGGCACCTGTCCCAAGATCGCGTCCCGCACCCTACCCTCGGGGTACTCCTCTCCTTCAAAGTCGCCGGCTGTCAGCTCCCCGACATCCCAGCTATCCTCATGCAGGTGCGATGGCCGCGAGCAGACGAGCGCCGTCCAGGTGTGCGCCGTGTAGGTGAACCACCACAGCCTGCGGCGCAGCATGACCTCTGTCCGCGGCACCTTCCACGCCGCGGGGTCGATGTTGAGCCCCAGCGTCTCGGCCAGGCCCAGGGCGGTGCATGACAGAGACCACAGAGAGGGCGGGTCGGCGGCGACGTGGCTCTCGGGCGGCATCTGCAGCAGCAACAGGCACAGCTGTAGCAGCGACAGGCGCGACGTGGAGCGCAGGGCGCGGTGGAAGCTGCGGTGGGCGATGGCCCAGAGGTTGTCGGCCGAGACCTGAAGGTAGCCCTTTGACACGCTAAGTTCGTCGTCGAGAAAGGTGAAGGGCGTGGCAAGGGCGTAGACGGTGCTGCGGATGCCGACGGATGTGGCGATTGTCGGCGCGGCGGGCTTGGGCGGGCGTGAGAGGACATTCAGGTCTGCGAGGGAGAGGACCGGGTAGCGCGGATGGACGTGCTCGACGTATCTGAGAGTCGGTTAGTGTGTCAGCTGCCCATGCCCCGTCGGATTCGATGTGTTGGTGTGCGCTTACAGCCTGAGCAGCCGCGCACCGAGGTCGGCCGAGACCAACTTGTCGAGCATCACCCCGTCGCCCTCTTCCGTCATCCCGTCAAAGAATAGCCCCTCCACCGCATCAACATGGTCCTTCCAGATCTCCTCATCCTCGAGGTTGATATGCACCGGCATCGGACCGTGGGGAATCCCCTCCCGTCGGTGCGGCATCCCATCATACTCGACGACCTGCCGGAAGTGTAAGCGGTACATGGGATAGGTGTCGTTGGCATTGTAGACATAGTGTCGCAGGAAGTACGGGTCCGACTCGCTGGATAGACCGAGTAGTTCGTGCGAGTAGCCTCCGTGTCCGTCGAGCGACAGATCGGGCGGCCAAGTGGATGATGGATGGTGCATGCCGGCGCTCGGCATCCCGGGACTGGACAGCTGAGGCGAGGCATGATTGGCGGAGCCTATGACGATGACTTGGTGGGGAGAAGACTGGGAGCCGATCTCGTTGGACGTCGTCGGTGACCGATGTGAAGCAGCTACAGGCGAGACACCAACCCGGGGTTGGAAGTCGTGCGTGCTCGAGAGGGCGAGAGCGTCTGACCGCCCGCCGCTTTCGTGGCTGGTGTGTGACTGAGGCGAGGCATGGCGATACTGAGCGTCGCCGAGAGAGGGATCTACAACAACAAGAGTCAGAGCCGTGTCCACGACGACGAGGGAAGGGCCGCTGACCAACACCAAACTCCATGACTCCCCACCGCCCGTCAAGAGGGCTCAAGCTCGGCAGCCAGAAAGAATCGACATCCATGGGCAAGGGCGGCACCTCCACACCACCAGGACCACCACCGCCCCCGCCACCGACGTCCCTTCCCGAGGCAGCCAGCAGGCTCTCCAAGAGCAGGTCGTCGTCCGGCGGCGGCGGGTAGCTGCTCCTCTCCCGCCTCCTCTGCTGGCGGTGGCGCCCAGCCACGGCGATGCCGGCGCCTGCGTCGCCGACTCCGGAGGGGGCGCGGGTGCGCGTCAGGGGACCCAGGACAAAGGTGCAGGCGCGGTCGAGCTTCCGGCACAGCTCGCAGGCGGCGTCGGGAGAGTGGATCTTGCACTGGATCTTGCGGTAGCGGCAGAGGTCGCAGGGCCGCTGCTTCTTGGAGCGATACCTGCGGCCGGCGGTCGTGGTGCCAGGATCCACGGTCAGCGTATCTGCAGCAGCGGCGTCGACCACGGTGGGCGCCGAGGCTACGTCTGTGGCCATGGCCACGGGTGTCTAGGAGACTATCTGGGGCAACTCGATGCGAAGGCTGATTACCTATGGCGGCGGCAGCGAAGAGGGATCTATCTTGGCTGGGTAGTTTGATAACGGGGGATGTTGACGGGCACGGGGTAGACGGGCAACTCTAAATTGATTCAATGGAGATGAGAAAAGAAAGGTGTGTGCTCTATAGGAGCAACCGGCTTTCTCTCAGACATGGCATGCAGGGACTTTCTGGAGAAACCATCGATATCGATAAGGACTTCTGAAGATTCAACATATTCACTCGACGTTCTTGGCGTCTCGATAACCGGGACACAGACCCAGACCGGGACCTCAACCCAACAACAGTCATGGATTTGACAGGTCGGACCGCACCCCGGAGCGGAGTTGGACAGCCGAGCCATGTCAGTAAGAGAAGAGGACCGCGCCAATGCGATAAGGAAGAGTGCGGGGCGGATCCCGGCCGAGCGAGGGCGAGAGATAGGTAGCTCGAGCTATCAATGTATTACTCACTAAGTCGGTAAATGCTTCGTAAGCAGTTGGTCCCGGCGGATGTCAGAGATAACGGTCGTGGCTTCGGAAAACATGACAGATCGCCAACCCATGTTGCTGGCAGTTCATAACCCCACGCCGCACGCGTCCCAGGGCTGCCTGGCGCGATCGATTCCTCGCTTTCGCGTGGCTTGCCCAAGTACGGACGGAGTACGTCAAAGGCGTCTCTCTCTCTCTCCTCTCTCCTCTCTCCTCTCTCCTCTCTCCTCTCAAGATGCAGGTTAGCTAGCCGGAAACTCGACCCTGCTCGGCGGACGTGTACCATTCCACGGAACCGTCGGTAGGCATCCCTCCCAGTAGGAAACAACATGGAACATCCTGCCCGTCTGTTAAAATGAGTAATTCGCGTGATCTCGTCTCCCCCGGCGGCTCTGCCCTGCCGTCAATCGTCGGCGTCTACACCCCAGTCGCCGAGACACCGAGACGGCAAGCCAATCATCAGCGGGCGATAAAAGCTGCCGCCTCCATGGCCCGGACCAGCTACCTTCCCTGTCGTTAAACTATTCCCTTGGCGCGCGCTCTCTCGGTGTCAACTTGACTGCCTTTCCTTGCCTTTGGCCAGAAGATGCGAGGGAGGCGCGCGCTTCGAATCAACAGCCAGCCACCGCCAATCTGCAGGAGACAGCCACCCCAGCGGGGATCATCAGCTAAATCCACGCTTGACGTACGTGTATTCAGGTACTAGACGAGTAGGCAAACGAATGCATGCCTCCCTGTTTGGCACCAATGGATTGCTCAGCGATGGCCCTCCGTGGGCTGCCCAGGGGAATGCGCTGTGTGTGTGTGTAATAGTGGACGCCTTTCAGGCCGCGTTGTAGGCCAAATGGTTGCTCAAGCACCCACGGGCGGGCGCCGCTGCAGGCAGCTGGAGCCTTTTCAGGCGCCCACCTTACCTCTGAGTTACCCAAGGTAGGTACTTCATTAGGTAGCTAGGTGGCTGTATCATCACCAAATGAATTACCTAAATTGATCACATCCATGGATCGTTCGCCTGCAACGGGAGCAGCCACACAAGTCACACGGGACAACTCATCAACGGAATTATAGCTAAGTATTTTCCATATTTCACCATTCTACCCTGGAAATAAAGTCCTATATGCCACAATTGATGCCTATGATTCCTCCCAAAAGACACCCTTCACGGGAGCTTCTTCGACAGGTGGTACTCTTCCTTCCCACGTCGGCAGAGATAAAAATAAATAAATAAATACAAATTGTAATATAAAAAAGGGTCGAGAAAGGTATGTTCAAAGGAATGGAGAAGAATGTGCAAAAAAAAGGGTCGTGGTGATAGCTTGCGCTATGTTTGCCAATATGTCAAAGGCAAATTTTGTTTCTGTTTGGTCGTGTCTCCTGAGGATGGGGAGAGGTCGCGAATGAATAAGAAATAAATGTGCCCTCCATGTTGTATATCCCAGAATAAATGAGTGAAGAGATGGCAGTAAAGAAAAGGTGCATTACTTTCATCAAACTCGGAGAGGGGAAAAGGAACAAATTAGACCAAAACGATGGTTGGTGTGATTTTGTCTGCCTTCGCGTCTCCCAAGCCGTATTTTCAACGTCGCTTGTCCTTCACACAAGAGAGCTTAGAACAGCGCAAACATGGCCGCAGCAGCGGCAGCCAGGACCTCGAGGCCGACGCGGGCGGTACCGGCGGCGGCAGTGGGGACCTGCGCGGGCGTGCTGACGGTCGGGCTGGGCACGGTGGCGGGCGCCTTGGTCGTCGTGACGAAGGCGGGCGTGCTCTGGGCCGGAGGAGGCGGCTGAGCGGGGTAGCTGCTCTGGGCCGGGGGAGGAGCAGCAGGCTTGGTGCTCTGGGCTGGCGGAGGGGGAGCAGGGTAGGTGCTCTGGGCTGGCGGAGGCGGCGCGGGCTGGGAGCTCTGGGCCGGAGGGGGAGGCGCGGGCTGGGAGCTCTGGGCCGGCGGGGGAGGGGCCGGGTAGCTGGTGTGCACAACGGGTGGTGGGGGAACCTCGGTGGTGACCGGGCAGACCGTCGTGGTGACGGGGATGGTCTCGGTGATGCACACGGTCGACTCGGCGGGGCAGTTGACGACCTCGGGGCCGCACGAGGTGATGGTGCGGGTCTTGGTCGTGTAGATGGTCGAGGTGGTGTACTGCGTAGTCTGCTGCTGCGGCGGCGGCGGAGCCTCGGTGGTGACCGGGCAGACAGTGGTGGTGACCGGGATGGTCTCGGTGATGCAGGTGGTGGACTCGGCCGGGCAGCTGGTGACCTCGGGGCCGCACGAGGTGATGGTGCGCGTCGTGGTGGTGTAGATGGTCGACGTGGTCCAAGACGTCGTCTGCGTGATGGTGGTCAGCGTCGTAGGGTAGGGCGACGTCGGTTGCGGCTTGCTCGAGGTGGGCGACGTGGGCGAGGTCGTGGGGTAGCTGCTGCTGGGCGACGTGGGCACAGTCGTGGGGTAGCTCGAGCTCGGCGACGACGGCGAGGTCGTAGGGGAGCTCGACGTCGGGCTGGTGGTGGGGCTGGTGGTGGGATACGGGCTCGTCTCCGAGGTGCTGGTGCTGGTGGTGCACGGGCTGCTGGTGGAGGGAGTCGTCGTGGGGTAGGGCGTGCTGCTCGTGGACGGCGTTGTAGTGGGGTACGGGCTCGTCTCCGAGGTGCTGGTGCTGGTGCTGGTGGTGCACGGGCTGCTGGTCGACGGCGTCGTGGTAGGATACGGGCTCGTCTCGGACGTGCTCGTGCTAGTGGTGCACGGCGAGGTGGTCGACGACGTCGTAGTGGGGTAAGGCGTGCTGCTGGTCGACGGCGTGGTGGTGGGATAGGAGCTCGTGCTCGTCTCCGAAGTGCTCGTGCTGGTGGTGCACGGCGAGCTCGTCTCCGAGGTGCTGGTGCTGGTGCTCGTGCTGGTGGTGCATGGCGAGCTCGTCGAGGGAGTCGTAGTCGGGTACGGGCTCGTCTCGGACGTGCTGGTGCTCGTCGTGCATGGCGAGCTCGTCTCCGAGGTGCTGGTGCTGGTGCTGGCGGTGCTCGTCGTGCACGGCGAGCTCGTCGACGGGGTGGAAGTAGGGTAAGGGGTGCTGCTGGTCGACGGGGTGGTGGTCGGGTAGGGGGTGGTGCTGCTACTGCTGCTGCTGGTCGACGGGGTGGTGGTCGGGTAGGGCGTGCTCGTGGTCGAGGGCCCAGTCGTGTGGGTAGCCGTGTAGGTGACGCACGAGCAGGCCGACGAGAACTTGTTGACGTCCTTGCAGTTGTGGAAGTCGTGGGGGATCTGGCTCGAGTTGGTGTACGTCCCGGCGAGCCACTTGACGCAGGCCGCCGGCGCCTCCTGCTTGAAGCGCTCGTCGATCAGGTTGCGGTAGCAGTTGTCTTGTTCCTAATGAGGGGAGGGGGTCAAATGTCAGCGACGCTAGTTCTCCCGTCTTGCAATGCTTTGGTGTGTGTGTGTGTGCACGCGCGTGTGGGCGCCGATGCGCCTCTCTGCTCTCTGTTGCCTGTCCGCCCGCCCAGTCTCGGTCTCCATTGAAATGTCTCGGGCAATGGCTTGGGAGGGGTCCCTGGATTTTTGGTGATTGCCCGCTGTCTTCTGATCCAGTTTTTTTTTTTTGACTTTCGCTTGGTTGAATGGTGTCCGGGGGCCCGGTCCTCTCCCCTCTCCCCTCCCTCCCCCTTCTCCCAGCATTCCAGTACCTGTTAACTACCTTAGTGGGAGTCGGAGCCCTTTTTCATTGGGGCCTGTCTCAGCGCGGGCCGTCGCAAGGGCACCATTCCAACCAGAACCAGTGCTCTGGGTTGGGACCAAAAAAAGTCGGAACCTCCCAAAAAGTGACAAACCCCAAGATCCGCTGCCGGGTTGAGGATCGGACGCAAGGGTGCACAGCCGGGACCCCGACCCCCGGTCTCCCGATTCCCGATCAAGCGAAGAGCCCGGACCGGCCGAGAGAGAGACAGACACACAAGACATGGGGGTGGTGCCAAGGCGAGACACAAAAAAAAAAGGCAGGCATGCAGGCCCAAGCGCGCGCATAACGAGGAGCACGGAGAGAGCACAACTTACACAGTCGGGATACTTCCATGCCGTGGCAGCGCCCACTGCCAGGGCCGCGACCAAGAGAGAGCGCATGTTGCTTGCTGGTCCTCTTCGGCGCAGGAGTGTGGTGTCGATTAGGGATTAGGCAGTTTCGTATGTTTGATATGACGGCCAGTCGTTGGGGATCCTTGCCGTCCCAAGAAAGCGAATGACCTTTGTTTCTGGCGACAGCGAGTGTGTCCAGTGTCCAGAAGCAGCGAATGTCGGGGTGAGATCTTTGTTACGAGATCTACACACAAGTGAATGGCTCTCACACGGGTATGTTGGCTGTGATGAGGAATGAAGGGAGTTCCAAGGAGGGTGTGTATCCCGGGATGGGATCAGGACGGGCTTTTATCAAAGAGAACGGGGTGGGTGGTTGGATCGAGCTTGACATGGCATGGGGCATGGGGAGTGAAAGAGACGCAACGGTCAAAGACCAGACGACAACGACGTCAAGGTGGTCTGGAGCCCACAACGCCACGCCAGATCGACAAGTGCGGCGTCAAACGGTCATGCACAGCGACTACTGGCTGGAGGTGAGCATGACGGAAGCAGAAAGTTTGCTGATCTTGGGAAAAAGACAGGCCGGGTGTGAGTGGATGAGAAAGGTAAAAAAAAAGAGGAGGAGGAGGACGACGACGACGACGAGGAGGGAGAAGGGTGGATGGGGGGTGTGGATGGATGGATGGGAACGGCTGATGGAGCTTTGGTCCCCCAGCAAGCGCAAGCAAGCAACGAACGGAGCAGACAAGCGATACGATGACCAAGATCCAAAGCTGGAATACGATGTGGATTCACTGCAAGATGGGGGAGACAACACCACGGTCCACGGCCCAGCCATCATGGCTGGCACTAGCCCGGGCAAGCCAGGTCGTATCTGGGATAAGCAGACGAGAGAACCTGCGAGGTTGGCATCTGGGCCCAACCCCATCATGGACGTCTGGATGCATGGTAGCTACGCTGCCAGACCAGCTTGGCCAGCTTGGCCAGCCATCGTCAACACGAAAGGAGAGAGAGAGAGAGAGAGAGAGAAGCATTGGGTCGCTTCTAGTTCGCCCAGTCCGGGGTTCCAGAATTACTTTTTTCCCAGAGTGGACTCGGCCAAAGCGCCCTAGTTGTCAGTAGTCAGGAGAGAGATTGGCACCAATGACAGCATCACGCGGGTCTCTTTCTTTTTGTGTCTAGAGTGGAAAAGGTTTGTGCAAGAACGCCGTTAGTTGGGCGGAAGACGCCGATGGGTACAAGTCTCGCTTCTGCTTGCGGGCTCCGTGGGCCGCTGCAACTCTGGCGCCAACGGGCGGTGGTGAGGTTGGGAAGAAAGCCTCGTACGTACAAGCAAATCCACACATGCATGCATGCAGTCAGCTACCTAGCCAGCCAGCCAGTCAGTCAGTCAACAGGGAAACAAAAATAAAGTCCAAAAAAAAAACGCGGCTCGAGTGGATGGATGCAGGGGTGTGGAGGGGGGGAAGAGGTTGGTTGGACAGGCGAGCAAGAGAAGGCCAGGACCAGGGCCAGGCGCAGACGCACAAGCCAGCGGCAGCCAGTCGATTTGCAGCCATCCCAGCGCTCAGCTCGTATTGTAAGTACGAGTTACATGCAGGTCGCGCCCGACCTGCATAAAGGGAAGTACATGAGTGGCGGGTGCGTCATGCACCTGTGCTGCAGCCCAGCCAGGTACTTGCATCGACTGTCCACGGTTTCCAGCCATCTGATCTGGCAAATCTGGCCACCAAACAAACGAGAGAGAGAGAAAAAACGAAAAAAAAAGAGAACACCGACAAAGGACAAACGGCTGGACGGCACGGGGACCACCAGCCCAAGGTATTCGATACCGGCGTACCGCCGCCCCCTTTTCCCATGGTTCTCTTGCCCCCGGTTTCGCCAATTCCCACCGTCCGTCAAAGAAGCCTCGAAATAAAGGTCTGACTGGAGAGGCCGGAGGCCCAGCAGCTGAGGAAGCCCCAGACGGCCGCCGGCCTTGGTTTGCGATGGTCACGTAGTCTAATTTCCAATAGTACCGTTTTGCTTTGCTGTTTGGGCGGCTCCCAGGCCCCCGGCTAACCCGGAAACAGCAGGGTGGGCGCCCACTACAACCCCACTATCGTTCGCTAGCCCGGCCAGCCACCCCACACGCCCACCGACCACGTTTGCCGGCTCCTCCCCTGAAACACAGCCCACCAGCACCCGAGCACACCGCGCAGCCCCTGGAAAATCTTGCCTGTACCCCGTAGGCAAACGCTGAACCCGGATTTCGAGCACCGAACCCACTTTGCACACAGCACAAGTGGCCGAGGCTCGCAAGGCTCGCTCAAATCAAAGGCGCTCTTTGCACCCGACGGCTTCCTTTGTCGAGGGTGACTCCACTTGGTAGGTATCTGGATCCATGGATTTCTTGGAATTCCTGATTTTTTTTTTATACCTCTCTGTGTCGAACCCTCAAATGTCATGACGTGTGCAAAGGCAACAGGAAAACCCGCATCCGGCACCCAATAGCCGTAGGCCGTAATCGTCCTTCCTCCATTCATTCATGGACGCGCTGCAGTGATGAAAGGCGCTCTTTGATCAATCGGTGAGTTGGATATTTTTTTATTTTATTTTTAGGTTTGGTGCTATTGGCTCGTGCACTCGTCCGAACTCGTCACCCACCTGCGATCATCATCATCAGATCGCCCAGAGTTTTGAGCCTCCTCTTTGGGCATGGGTCAGGGGGCCTCACTCAGCCTTTGTACAGCTGTAGGTACAGCTAAAGAGGTACCTACAGTGCTTACCTTGACAAGGTATGGGACATCGGTATCTTATTACCCCAGTCGCCCAACTGACCGCCTCATACAGCCTTTGACGCGACCGACATCAGCACAAAGAGCTGTGCTAAAACAGAATCCCACTGAAACAAAGCCACATTTCACAAACTATTTGCTTTTCCTTATCGTCTATCGCCCTTAGTGCCCAAACCGAGAACACCACAAGCCTCGGCGGCGAGAGACAGAGAGCAAACACCTGACCTACCATACTTACATAAGTACAAGTAGGTAACCTTACGGAGTGTAGGTACCTAGCTAGGTACCTAGGTAGGTAAAAGCCCCAATGCTGTATTTTTTTTCGGTCTATTTTTTCCCCCTTTTTTTTTGCACCTTCGCCGTTCTCCTCTTTCCGCTTTGGGGAATTGCCAAACAGGGTAAAGCTGCGTGCGGATCAGGTTTCGTCAGTGCTCCTTGCCAGCGCGCAAATTTCTCTCTCTCTCTCTCTCTCTCTCTCTCTCTAGCCGCTGGGCCATGCAAGTGTCTGATGGTCCTTTTTTTTCCCCTTTTCCTTCTTTCTCTTCTCGATTCGATCGCTTGTGCATGTGTGGTGCGGTCGATCTTCGTATTCACTGCGAGGTGGTGTGCTCCAGCAGCTCCAGCGCAGCAGCTAAGAGCACAAGCTGCAGCTGTTGTACGTACAGTGCTCCAGCTGTCTGCACGCTTGCGTGGTCGTTGCGAACAGGGTTAATAGGGGGGGTTACGTGATCGCTCAGTGGCACGGTGGCCCGTTGGCTGGCAAACTTGGGCGGTGGCTGGCCCCGGCCAAACCAGCCCAGCCTCAAGGGTCCCCCCCGGTCAAGCCTGGTGACTGGTGAGCTTGGCTTGGCTTGCACGGCTGGAAGTGTGCGTGCAGGAAGCCGGACAGTTGGCCCGTCCGGCCAGCCAGCCATCGCCCGATCCAATTCGCCTCAACCAGGTTTACCTACACTCACACCGAAGAGCAATGGAAGCCTCGGATTTGCATTTCGATGGAGCCCCCGAGGTGACATGCCACCTCCACCACAAACCGCGGCTCCGCACATCCTGGTCTCCCAACGACCTACTCCGTCAGCACGGCACGCCTACCGCAAGGAGTAACTTAGCTTGGTTACGGAGTACAACAGTTGAAGTACACTCTTGCGAAAAGCCGTTGTTGCCGGTGGGTAGGTGTACCTACCTACCTGAACTGCTCTCTTGCTGCCGCTAGCTAGAGGCGTGTCTCTCTTGCTGCACCCCCCACCAGCAAAGCCTCCACGCCCCGAGGGTGTTAGACTCACACTTTTCTGGGATTGCCTACCAGGCCGACGGTTGTATCAAGGCTGCTGGTGGTTGCCGTCGTACTTGTACTCGCCAGAGCTACCTACTGAGGTAGGTAGCTCAATCGGCCAGATACTGGGTCCGACCTGACGAGACGACCTGATCTTGGCCTTGGTTCGCACAGTGCAACAGCGCCCACAAGGTGCCACGCCGTGCCACAAGGTGGACGCCGTGCAAGCATACCGAGTGGTGTCTACTGTTTATCACCTTTACAAAAGCTCCTTGCACTTGGGATGCGAACTCTCAGCTCCTCCGTCCTGCTTAGGAACCCCCCCGTCTTGCCCTGACCCGCCTCGTGGATCCCCTGCTCATCAGTTCGGCATTCTGCGGTGTTTCTCCAATGCAACATCATATCATCACAGGCACGGTCTGCCGGGGCCTGGTCCTTTTCCCTTCTTTGCTTTGTCGGATTGAGTTGCCTAGTGCTTTTCTACATATAACTAGAGCAGCCTTGGTAATGTGTACACACCCATCCCCCATCGATCGGCCTCTCGTCGACAGGGGTCGTCAGCGTGAGATCATCGCCCTGTCTCCTCACACAAGCTGTCAAGAACGGTTGGGGCCAAGCGATACTTGCTTCTTTTGGCGTCGACAGAGGCTACTCCGCTTGGCACTGTTTCCTGGGGCCTGGCGTTGTTTGGCGTCGATGGCTTGCACTGGAGCTTTCGTCCGGTCTCGTTGTCGATGCGGCACCAAAGCTTGCTGATGTGACGAGCATGGAAGCACCGCACTAGCCTCCTCGTTTACTCGATCCACACCCCCGGCTCCGAATTGTGGATGGGTGTGCGCCGGCACGCCGCCAATGTTCCGAACGCCGGTGAGTGGCCGATTGCCCGCAGACGTTTCTTGATTTAGAAACAAGAAATGGGGCTCCGGTCGTGTTCGCCTCCCACACGCACACGATGCACAAAGACCCAAGGAAATAATAGCCTCCGCCCGTGCAGTAGCGTTCACGCATTTGTGATGTCACCGTACGGCAGTCTCGGCTCTTCCATCAATGCCTACTCGCACGAGTGGGTAGATGTGTATTCGCTGACTGATTTGCTCTAGCGGGTGGGTGTACACCACGACCTGCCTGCCGTACAGTCATGTTCGTGATCGAGATTTGTCTCGACATGATATGAAAGTGGTGGCTGGAGGTGGAACCCCTGTCGTGTGAGGGAAATCCGACCTGTGCGGCGAGTTTGGCAGACGTCATTCGTGCATGGACAGTAGCTTGCAAGCTCTGGACAGCGGCATGTCTGCCAGCTAGCTGGTCTTCCTGATGCTGTGTACCCGGAACTAAAAAAAAACAATCTTTGCGCTCCGTGTGCCTTCACTTGCCTGCGAACAAGCGGCCTCCATCTACTGAGACCTGCTGCCGGACCCGAAATCTGGGTCTCGTTTGCGAGGTCCGGCCCGAGTACGTCCTTCCACTGGGAGGAACTAGTGATGGTTTTACGAGGCTCATCTCCGTGCACCTGTACCGAGAACGCGAGGCTACTCCGAGGTGCCTCGGTGGTGACTTCCATTGGGTAATTGGTCATTACGGTACGCTGCACGCCGTAATAAGACGTGTGAACACTAGACAGGATCGAAATAGATGGGAAGCAGCCCCACTATCTTTGCCAGTCAGCTCCGGGCGCTCTTATTGAGGATCGGACATGCTCGGATTTGTGTATGCTGGAAGTTTTCAGTGTCCTGTTTATTCCGCTTCGCTGTCTTCATCATCGGCCATCACCCAGTCTGTCCATTGCCAGCTGCGGAGCCGAATCTCAGGCTGGACCAGTGCAGTCAAAAGGTGATTGTGTTGAGATACGTGTCTGTCCCCTCTACCAGTTTAGGCGTCACGAACGATGAGATTTCGAGGTTGGCAGTTGTTGAGACCTAGCGTTGTGAGGATCTCGTGTTGGATCATGAAACACAGTGAGACGTCAGCCTCCTAGATGAAAAAAAGCTAGCAAGAGATGGAGTGGTCATTCCCAACCCATCGACGAGGCTGGGAGTTGGCTGCTTTCTGGGTTCGAGCAAGACGCTCCGCACTGATATGTTGACCATTTCTGTCTGCTGTGATGATCAACCCGACAGTTGGTCTGGAGATGAATTTGCGGTTTGGTGTCGTCGAGGCTGTCTGATAAGACTGATGAGGCTGATAAGGTTGAAAGTTCCTTCCCTAGTAAATTGAGGTGGGAGGTACCACTCTGCCCCTTTGCCCTGACGTCACGACAGCCCGCCATGGAACATTGAATCCCAGGTCGGGTCGCGTGCCACACATCATCACTCAGCCCTTGGATCAAAGCATCTCGTCTCAGACAAAACGACAACATGGCCGAAGCTGTAGCCGGAGCTGTCGTAGCCGAACAGATAGTCTCGACTGGCGTCGAGGTCGGTGCCGCTGCCGCCGTCGCCCGCCCGACGCAACCACTGAAGGCGACGCTGCAGAAGATAGCGACCATCGCGGCGCAGGACACATCGTGAGGCATCCCATTCTGATGTCGTAGCTCGTAATTGTGGAGCGCAACCCGCTGACTGCGATGATCCAGGCTCGCCCTAGCGAGATCCCACCACACTCTCACCGTGATAGGCAAGAGAGCACACCTCCTCGGAGGCAAGAATCCCGACGGCCAGCTCTGCGCTGCTGACGTTCACTCGCTGTCGCTGAGCCCCGAGGATCCCGGTCCGCCCTATGCGTGCTACCCGTCTCTCCCCGCAGAAGACGGATCTGCTGGCGAAACTCTGGCTCCCTCGCCCCGATGGGGCCATGCCGCTGCTCGTCGCGACAGATTTCTCGTCGTGCACGGCGGTGCCAATGCGGGCGGCAGGTCCATCGCCGAGGATGCCTGTTTGTGGCTGTGGGACACCGAGACGTACGGGTGGACCCAAATCAAGCCCTCGTCCAAAGATGGCCCCCAGGCTGTGCATGGGCACTACATCTTTGTCGACGAAAGGGCGGACGTACTGTACCTGCACGGCGGTACGAATGCCTCGGGAGCAACGTGGAAATTCGACTTCAAGGCCAGCAGCTGGTCGATTCTGCCTCCATCGCCCGAGCAGCCAGCTGCGGCTGCATTTGTGGACGGTGTGCTGTACAGCATTGGCATGGAGACGGGCGTCCACGGCTATGTTCACTTCATGCGAATCGAAGAGGCGGACAAGGAGGCCCCCTGGACGAACATTTACTTTCCCATCAACCCGATTGCCCCGGGACCCACAGCTCGCCCTGGAGGCGTCCTGCTCCCTATGGGCACGGGATTCGGGCGCAAATATCTCGTCTATCTGCCTGGCAGACACAAGGACGCCACGACCCAGGTCCCCGCAGCTGAGGCAGCGCGCGAGCCTGCTCATTCGGACATCTGGACGCTGCAGATCTTTCCTGAGCCCTATAGTGCCGCGAATCTGAAGGATGTGGTGCGCGACAACCTGCCGGGCTCGTTCGACTCGGGTTTATTCGACTGGGCCGAGGTGGAGGTGGTGCCGGCGGAGGAGGAGACGGCGTGCCAGGGCAAGGCTCATCCCGGTCCCAGGGGTTTCTTTGGCGCGGATGCATTCCCAGCAGAGACGTCGGCTGTGCTCTGGGGTGGGTTGAATGAGAAGGGTGAGACGGAGTCTGATGGATGGGTGTTGAGATTCAAGTAGTGGACGGATCTGGCTGGGGTCACAAGGAGGTCCAAGAATGAGTATTGAGGGAAAGCCATGAAGTATCGATACTACTTGGCTTGTAAATAGAGGCCGACAAGAAAAGTAGCCAAGTGTATAGGGGATCCTGAAACGCCTGCTCTCGCTCGTCTCTAATTACTCTGTATGTCTAATGCTTGATTTTTGAGGGGGTCATTCGGAATTTCCCCGTAACTTGTTGATCCGCGGCGAGTAGTTCGTCAAATCGGAGAGTTGGCTATTCTGTACACCTCGAGCCTAGGTCGAGATTGACGCTGGTGGACACTGCCGACACCTGCAAATACCAAATCAGTGCTGACACGCAATCTTCCACATCCAATGGTAAGAAATGCCTTTTGGGCATGTCTCCCAAAAAAGCGTAATCCCGCGGCATTCAAAATTCCAAGTCGTATGCCAACGTTTCCGAAGCAAGAGCCTGCCGCAAGAGGTGAACCCTGACCTGGTTTCAGTCTTTGTCGTCCAATCAGACAGGTTGATGAGGAGACATGAGATACTTACTCATGGTGTTCGGGATGCTCTGCATAAGGCTGGATGTCCTCTGGTTTCTCTAGTATGGCAACAGCAGCCATGTCGAAACCTTGTGCTCGGTGCGCGGTTGTGGCGACGGGCGCGCCCACGTCGAATTTGAGGAGCCCTAGTAGTATACCTATGTCAACATTGCCCCTGTGGCTCAATCAATCAAAAAGACTAGCCTGGAACCCGGCCAACCAAGGCGCGCCCTCGAGCACGCCATTCGGCCAATTGCTCTGCGGTTACGCCCGGCTTCAGCTTGAAAAGGACTACACGGCAAACGCCGCCATTAGTCACGAAACTACTACTCGCCTACACATGCAGGTGATGCAATTACTTGCCGATGTGATAGACAGCCATTGCGTTGGATGCTGAGAGATACCTTCCGGCGGACAATGAGTGGCGATTAGAAAGTGATGGACGTAGACCGCAATACATTGACTCTGACAAGATCGCGTCAATCAGGCCGGACCGAGGCCGGCCGAGCTTGTCGGGCGTGCGGGTCTTGACACTAGAGATGCACCCGATTGGCCCGTTAACGACAAGGTCAATTGCTCTACTGTCGTTTACAGCCAAGTTTAATGTACTCCAGCGCGGTATCTTTATGAAGTAAAACTACTCTCATCGCCAATTTATGTCGCAGAGTTTGGGCACAGTATTGTGATGAATGAGAAAGAAACGACAACAGTTGGCGCCGGGGTGGGTGGAGGGTGTGTGTTGAATAGAGTGTGCTTGCGTTTGACGAAGCCGGCGACCTCGGGGTCGAAGTCTCGTTGGAAAACATCGGTCGTGTTGGGAAAAAAGTCCGGGTGAACCATCTCTAGGTGGGCGGTGCTGTCTTCGAGGGTGCCAGTAACGCTGGTGCCCTCGATATCCTAGGTGAAGTCCTCAACGCGGTACCCGGCGATGCGCGCCTCAACTGCCCGGCCCTAGAACGGCGATCCGGTTAGCTCACCCGAAGGCAGGAAGCGCATGCTCAGAGAAAGTTACGCTAAACCAGAAACAGGCGGACAGGGCAACAGCAGCCTTGGCAGTGACCATGTCGTCGATAACTAGTGATGAAGGTCAGACCGGACCGACAGAGGTCGTTGGAGTACGAGGGTGCTTATTTTCACGATTCCAAGTTCGGCAGCGTTTGGGTCTGTTTATAGACCAAGCAAGCACCAAGAAAGAGACCATCTTCCCGAGCAGATAGTGCGAGCAAACACAGTAGGCAACAGCAATATCCACATGGCAAATCGCGTTGTGTTGCACCTAGTCTGACAGCTGGGTTCTGCTCTGGACAATTGCGACCGAGCCCCCAAAACAAAATGACCTTGGCAACGTGATCAGAGAACACCATGCGAAGAAGACCACGCGGAGTTGTAACTGCAAAGACTGGCCCACAGAAATGACCACTGACCCGCCCATTGCCTTCAGGATGCTGATCAGAGGGCACATGCGTCTTGTTGAATATGCTTAGTTTTAAAGTTGCCGGTCCGGAGCGATGACACATCTGTATCAAATGTGGGCAACCTCCTCCATCTTTCTGTGGAAGCTAATGCCCTGAAACGCAAGGCCAGGGTTACATATATGGCAGTCTATAGTCTGACTTGTTATTTAGTTCATACGGAATGGGGATTCTGATTGAGGCAATCTGCGCCCGCAGAACATATCACAGCCACTCTTGAAGCTTGACTCTAGGTCTCTCCATCTCCCCCCTATTCCTGCTCAGGCCCGAGTAACGTGACCTTGCATCGTCAAATAACAGAACCGGTGCTTTCAGAAACTTCATGTCTATGTTCTGTCCCTCAAGCAGACTCTACTTTGATGGGAACGGTAGGGGATAGAACGTTCCCTTCTCCTCGTCGCGTTGTTCTGGCTCGAGGAACCGCCGCATGCGCTCCTGGTTAACCTGATCATAGTCTTCCTTTCGGTGGTCACTGCCAAGAGTCCGTGATCGTAAAATAGGCAGGTGGTCCCTATATATGATCAGTGAAAGATAGAGCTATGATGAGAATGTGTACATATGGCGAGCAGCGTTGAATCACTAGCCGGAATATATTCAGAGATCGACTGTTTCCTCCCGTGGAGCCCTCCCCATTTTCAGGGCTTTGGATCGAAACCGGCCCGGACAAGTGTAGACAATTGGCTCGCCTTTGTGTTGAGCAGATAATATTCCCGCCTTCATGGTATAACCACCAAAACACCTCGGATTCCGGGCGTGAAATGCTGGGTATGGCCAGCGTGAGAGGCTTGGCTAGGTTTCTGATCCGCCTGGAGAGACCCGCTCAGATCCTGGAGCTTGGCAGGATGTTACAGACTTGTAGGGTAAGAAGCGACTGGTTAATGGCCACGTCAACGCTTGCGCCTACAAATTATGAGTGCGCAGAGAGCCCCAAAGTGATCAGGGCTAGCATGCTCAGGACGAAGAGACTTGTTCTGGTCCAGGCTAATCCGATCACAGCGACTCCGTGAAGACTAATTATAACCAGATGATTATCACAGAAGGGAGTGAACTTCTTGGCCATTTAGTTGATGCCGAAGTGTCGGCGGCCAAGGTCACTGGATCAAAAGCAATCTGGCTGAAGACTGATGTCTGACATAGTGATCATGGTATCCTGGCCGCAAGAGATAGATAGCCATCAGTGAACCTCCGTTGGAGCCAGGCATACAAAGCTGAACGTGCTCAAAGAGGAACAAAGAGTCGAGATTGTCAAGTATTCGGCAAGGCGAGAACGTAGAGGCCCAAGAATATTTCGACGGCGGTATTATCTTTGCAGCACGCATGATCCCGTCGTCAAGAGACTACACTCTTTCGAAGGGCTGGGGTTTTGACCGGGGTTTAACTCCGTAGCTTTCGAGACCCGCCGGTGTCGGGGCCAGCCACAGCTACTCCGTAGTTCTCCACAGCCCGCTTATCCCGAAACGGAAGACCGAGGTTGTTCCCCAGTCCCATGCAGTCCAACCCCGCCTCCGTAAAGCTGCCGATTGGCGGAGAACAGCGGACACGTGATGATCAGCATCGAGCACAGACTTGCAAAAAAATACGTACGTCCAACTTTGCACATCCACAATCACAACCCCAGGGACTTGCCAGGAAGACTAAAGCATCCACACCTTCTACTTTGAGAGCCTCTTGTGCAGCCTGCTGCCCTATCCGAGAGTGAGGGTGACCGTCCGGCTTGATCATCATCACGTCTGCTGTGCTTTCACAAGCATCATCTCATCCGGTGCATCCTCGTCATGGCGTCTCTCCGTACCTCTGAACAGACGTACACCGCTGTGCACACGCCCCACTGGAAGATGGATGTTGAGGCTCTACAGACGGTCTACGTCGAGGCGATACGGCAATCCGCAGACAAACAAGTGAGGCGCGACTCGTCCCTGTCCCACTCGTCATCGGGATCACGAGTGCCTGATCGAAACGCCGCGGCTTGGTGCCTAAACTGGGAGAGCCGCCTGTGTGATCATTTACGAATGACCGAAGGCGAACGAACACTGCTACTGCACCAGTCGCCCCGCCAGCACGGCACGCCGGCCGCAGACCGGGATGGCGGCAGCATTCGGCAACAGCCTCCTACCAAGCGACGCAAGCCAGAGCCAGCACAGTCCATTCGAGCTGAAGTGGACCCTCCAAGCGCGGCTTTGGGCTGGTTGATACAGCTCCAGACCATTGAGCAATTAGAATCAGATCTGCGTACATGTACCTGAAGGAGTCGAGCAACAACTACAGCCCCCACAACTGTGGTGACGCTACCCGTGTTGATGTTACTATCGCGGGTCTCCAGTCCATTATCGACATCCCCGACGACCCTTTCAGGTTAGGTGGTTTCTTGATTGAGGATCTCAGCTTGGAGAGGAGCTATGCTGTCACCATCCGCTTCCCTCGGCGGAAGACGCTCGCAATTAGACCACGGCACATGAAGAATTAAGCCGAGAGGAGTAGCTGTTCTCTCAGAGAAGTGGCCTTTGCTATGTATGCGGGGCATATCACTGTCATTCAGGTGGACTGCAGACATGCAGATTGTTTTGTCTCGTCATATCATTTTATACTTCGATGACAGTCTGACGGAATAGAAGTTGCGGGACAGCAACACAAGAAGCTGGCCTCTATAACCAAACTTTCATAGAGCCAACGAAGTCATGTCACTTGGCCCTGCATTAGTTTCGTAAATCGCTGCCGGGGAGCACGTCTAATTCCATAGTCGGCTTCTCGTCCATGGACCAGTGTAGGGTCCTTAGAGGATACCCGCCGGAGGGGGCCGACCCTGGTTCACGCAGGCCAAACAACACGATCGGGCACAGAAATAGACAAGCAGTAGGAAGACTGGGCCGTGGTCTGACTCTCTAAGCCGCCTGGAGCAATCCGTTCCCTGCGTCCTTACTGGGGGTCTTCTCAATGTTCCTGGCCTGATCATCTGAAAGCCCGCCTTGGTCGTCGATAATCTGCTCCGCGATTTTCTGGGGCGCAATGACGTTGTCCTCGTCAAAGTAGTTGGTTTCCTTGATATGGAACCGCAGCACCCACAGCATGCCCACTAGACCAATGATGTACAGCCTATCTCACGCCGGTCAGTGTCACATTCAGAACTTGCGCAATGGACAGGGGCATATTCTTACGCGAACTGCAGACTCAGCTGCCCGACCAGGGGCACCTGCTGCGCCGCCATGACAAACCCGATGCACATACCCAGCGACGCCATGCCGCGCATGTACCCAGCCGACTGGGCCGACTTGGTTGGATCGTTCGATAGCGATGATGAGCACCACTCGACGCTCATCTGGAAGCCTGCGTAGACCCAGCCAAACAAGACGTACACGGCAAACAATCCGCCAAACCCGCTATCCGTCCAGTCCGTCCCCGGCGCAGTCTTGAGCCCGGCGTAGTCGACCTTGTACATCCACCCATAGAGACCGCAGCAGGCGCCGATAGCAACGACTCCCATAAGCACTGCGCCAATAGTCCCGCGACGCCGGCGAGACTTAATGCGCTTCGTGTCGAGGATAGCCACGAGCACCATGGGAGAAATTATTTGGACGAGTTGAAAGGCGAGGTTGGCGAGGGATCGTGTACGGAGGTTGAAGTAGAAGCCTGCGCAGGGACCCAGAGTTAGTACACAGCGGGCTTCGATAATGCAGCGTGTAACGGCTGCTCACCATTGATAGTCGAGGTCATTCCAAGTGCCATCTCGCAGACTATCATGGCAGGAGTCAGCAGCAGCATGCGCTTGTCTCGAAAGCAGCGCCCAAGTGCCTTGATCTCAGACACGACCGTCGGCTGCTTGAAGATGGCGAGATGCGTGCCGTCGTCGCGGGTGACGTCCTTCGGGTCGAGGGCGAAAAGCCCGGCTAAAACAAACGCCAGGCAGTGGATGCAGATGAAAGTGATGTACACTGGGTCGGTCACGCCCACCGCCTTCTTCTGGTTGAAGTTCGCAGCGAACGATATTGCACTGCCGACGGACGCACCGAGCGAGCGCATGGCCCACTGGATAGACAAGTACAGGCCCTTGTGCTGCTCCTGCGGGTACGAGAAGGCGACCATGCTCACACACGTCCACAGGATGCCACAGGTGACGCCGAGGATCGCTCCCGCGAACAAGGGGAACCACGTCGCACCCGTGCGGTCGTAGTACCACAGGCTCCCGACATATAGAGGGTACCCGACTGCACCGATGATGAGCGAGAGCTTGGGCCGGAGCAGGTTGACGATGCTGCCGCCGAGGCAGGCGAACAGCGCATAGAGGCCATAGAGGATTGCATTCGTCTGATTGGCGACAACAAGGGAAGTAGGCTTGCCGCCACCAGCACCCAGGCCTGTGAGCGCCGTGTAGATGCCTGGCAAGCAAAAGAGGATCAGAGCACACAGCAGGTTCTGGTTGAAGGGTCTGCTGATCCGAAAGGTGTGCTTGCTAAGCTTAGCCATTTTGACGAATGATCCCGCTCACACTTCCTGGAGATGTGCAACAGTCCCGTGTGTAACCCTGTGCAGTACTCCAAGGGAGAGGCGTTCACCAAGTCTCTTCGTTGCAAGACTGCGAAAGAGGTCAACAGAACATCGGATTGGGAATGGAGAAGGGAGGGAGGGAGGAGCCACCGGTCAGTCGGGGAGTTCTCCATGCAGATCTCGACCGAGCACAAGTGGCGGCGGCGCGGGGTATGATATCGTGCTCTTCCACAACTGCCCTACAATTCTTTTCGGACGTAGTTTGCTCGCTGAACCCACTTGCTTGGGCAGGACGTCATCAGGGGGCCTTATCTTGGTACCCACTGCCCAGTCTCCAGACTTTATTTCCGGATACCGCTTCTTGCATTTTGCTGAGGGCGGTCGGAAGCTAAGCGTCGAGGCGAGGAGTTTACTATGACAGTAGAGGCAATTCGAACATCAGATCCGTCTTTTGTGTGGGCATTGTGGAGACTTGAAACCCAGCTTAGATTGCAGCTAACCTCACACGCGCCACAAAATCTAAGCCTCGAAACATGCTGTCTTACGGAGTACATATTTCTACAGGCCACTAACTTTGTTAACGGTCTACAACAGCCAACCAGTGAGCAAAGTAGACCTACCAACAGATTATACATCTTCAGCGTAAAGACTAAAGCAAGGTGCGTGTCTTAGACCATACTGAACTTCAGATAATCCAAGGTCCTGGGACTTGAACGTGCCTGCAAAAAATGCAAATTGTTGAACACTGACGAGAAGGATTCATATCACGTTCATCTGTTACAAAAAAGCGGACGTACATCCTCAAGTGTTAGCTTTTTGATATGAGTTAGCTGAAGGATGTTTCAACAACCAGGTACTAATGGCTCCCTCGGATTGGTTGACCAGGTGTGAAACGGGCAACTGTTGCTTATAAGTAACACTGACCATGACCATCTATTCTGAGTGCTCTAGATAAGGAATTGCCCCCTAGACGACTTAGTAGCTCTTCCTGAGCTTGGACTACGCAAGATACGTTCACGTCGATCTCGCGTGCAAACAATATCGTGTTCTCAAGTGTGTGACGAGTACGCAAGCTGAACGTTGCTCAACTGGACTGTGGACTGGTGACTCTAGCTTACAGATGAATATGAGTACGAACTCGAACATATCAGTCTGGGGCAGTGGGGTCCAGGGTAAAACGGAAAGATAAGCTGCGCTCTCATCGATATCTTGATATGGAGGGTAGATTCTGTAGCACCCAAGCTGGCGAGCTCACGAGCCCAGGTTATTTCTCCTCCACGTCAGCCCGAAGCCAAGGCTTCTCAACACGGCAATTGTGCGTTTGGGTCCGCAGCGTTACGCCTTCGACCGACTGCCGGCTAAAATGGCACTTGTTAAATACCCGTCCCTTATCCGCCGCAAGCTCCCTTGATCTCGTGTGGTAAGATACATTGAGCCGTCTCTGATTGGGCGGATGATGCTCTAACGGCCATGTAGCTCTCCGTTCTTCTACCATATGCTGACGACCACGCTAATTTCCTATCCTTGCTTGCGACATAGACGTCTGGCGAGGGCCTCATCTATCGCGGCAGCAATCTAAGTCTTGGCACTGATCGCGGAGATGGAACCCAAACAAGCAATTACGTCTGATCGGTATTTCGAAAAACGTGGGCCGACTCTTGATGAGTGAACAACGACGCGGAGTCCGACAGAGGAATAGGGGAACTTTACATAAATCCTCCATATCCACAAGGATGGGCCAATTTTTGGAACTCAGTATTAGCACAGGCATATATGCTCTCTCGGTAGCCTCTAACCATGCAGTTGAGCAACATTCTCTCAACTCTGATGGCCGTAGGCCTTGCGGTTGCGCACCCAGGCCATGATGTCACCCAGGAGATTACTGAACGTCGTGACTTTCTCGCCAGCAACAAGAACGACCTCAGCCATTGCGCTGATAAGCTCAAGGCTCGTGGCCTGGAGACTCGCAACATTCAACGACGATCTGACCTCGTCAAAGGGTTGCTGAAGAAGCGGGGCATCCGTGGGTGATGTTTTGAAAGTCCTGAAGAGGCTGAGCTGACCGTGAACCCTAGAGGCACCTCCGAGTCTGAACAAGTCACACGAGTCGACGCAGGCCTACACAGCAGCAACAGACATGTCGGTCATCTTTGCCAGCAACAAGTCTTGCATCTTGAGCCCGGAGCAGATAGATGGACCTTATTGTATGCGTCGACACCAGCTCCTGGAACGAGCTTCTCACTAACAAGATATTCAGATGTGGCAGGTGAGGCCATCCGCCAAGACGTGGTCGAGGACCAGAAGGGAGTACCTCTCGCGCTCGACATTCAGATTGTCGACATGGACACTTGCGAGCCAGTCACTGGCGCATATCTAGACATTTGGCGTAAGTGTATTGCCCAATATTATCAATGAGCGACCTGAGAGTGGCTAACAAGACCTACCATGATGACAGACTGCAACTCCACCGGAGTCTATGGAGGTGTCGCTGTTTTTGGCAACGGAGTCGGTAGCTCGGACAAATCGAACCTCAACAACACCTGGCTGCGCGGTGCCCAGAAGACCGACAAAGACGGCGCCGTGCAATTCTCGACTCTCTTCCCGGGCTTCTATCAAGGCCGCGCAACCCATATCCACGTGGCAGTGCACCTCAATGCCACACCGCTAGCAAACGGCACCCTCATTGACACGACCGCCGCGCACGTGGGCCAGATGTACTTTGACCAAGACCTGATCGCAGAGGTCAACAAGCTCGCCCCCTACACCGGCAACAAGCAACGCTTCACCACGAATGCGCAGGACCTGGTTCTCAACGGTGTGCACGGCGACTCGGATCCGATCATGGAGTACACACGCCTAGGCGAAGGTTTGGAGGATGGACTGTTGGCCTGGCTTAGCATTGGGATCAACAGGACCTACGTGCATGAAATCAGACCTGCTGCGACGCATTTTGAGACAGGCGGCGAGCCGAACCAAAATGGTGGCATGTTTCCGGGAGGTCCATTTCCGTCTGGCTTTCCTACCGGAGGCCTTCCGCCTGGCATGTCTTGGTTCCCTCCGATGCCGACTTCCTCATCGACATCAACACCATAAAATGAATGCCTCGCCCGGACCCGGGAGTCTCCTTCTGGGTTCTTAGTGCTAGCTTCCATTGCAGTTCTAGATGGCAACGGTGGATCTCTGGATACGTCGAAGGGACTCGGGCGCCGAACACGACGACTTTATCGCAGTTTCGGTAACGGTCCGGCGCGTCCAGAGATTTATTTCGTGGCAAGAATGCACTGCTGGTAACTAGCTGGTGAGAAACAGAGTACATCAAAGACAAGAACATAGAGAAATGTCTTATGTTGTGTCATGATGATGTGTACCTTGGCGTTCTTTCAACTTGGAAGGTTGAGCCAGAAATTGTTTTGTGATTATTCCCCGGGGGGAATGAATCTAGCTCAATGCGTCACCGTAGCGCTTGGGCTCAATTATGGCTGTTTGAAATGATAGACAATGGGAGACGACTTGGGTCAGAACTTAATCATACAACCCGGGCGGGAAAGGCTTCGGTGTAGGAGCTCCTTCGCGGATCTGGACGTGATACACATCTCCGGCTTTTGTTCTCTGTGTCTGTACTCCGTAGACAAAGCGCGTCTTACCGCCGCAGGCCTTTGCAATCTCCTTCCCACTAGCAGTGGATGCTCTGTCATCGGGATACGTGATCGCTGATTTGAGCAACCGAGCAGTCGCCAGCGGACCGTCGTCCCTCGCGACCACGCGATTAGCTATCATGACGGCAGCCAGTGTGAGGCACAGCTGTACGCAGCCAGTGATCAGAAGGACGAGATGGACATTGTTCCAATTGACATCCAGCTTCGTGCCCACGATAGGCTGTCCCCCCCGCGTGGTGATCTTGGGATTGTACTGTGCTGTGACAGCAACGACACCCATTGCAAACTGTGCCATCAGCCGGCCCATGCCGCCCGTGGAGCCGTTCTGAGGGGCACCGAAGATGGCCTCGGCAGGATAGCTCTGAAACTGCGCAGTCTGGTCGCGCGACAGAGATGACGTCCCAACTCCCTGCAGCGCGATTGCCGCCGACGCGAGAGTTGTCAGGTTCTGGCCAAGTTGGTGCTCAGGAAGGGTAGCGTTGGCGACCTTGGCGATGGTGACACTGCACTCATAATACCAGGGCGCCGTCGCAGATGCCTCAAAGGCCGATATCTGGCTACAGGCCGGGCCACAGGCCTGCGATGTGTTGACCATGAAGGTTGTCTGATCCACTCCGCCCGCAATTGGAATATCCTTCTTCAAAGTGCTACCATTTGGGCCGCCCGATACGGTGATCGAGGTTGAATTGCCGCCGCCGCCCTCGATCACTGGCCAACTCATGCAGGAGCCACTGGATGCGACGCTGCGGGATGTCGTGACCGAGATGTGGCTGCGCGAGTCTTCGCGCGGGGACATTTCGGAGAAGTAGTACTCGCATCGGTCAGTGCCGCAATAGTATAAATAGCTTATTGCATCCGTCAAGGTCCGCGGCGGGGGCACGTCATCCAGAGTTCCAACGCCATACGCGACGGCGATGAATCCATAGCTAAGGTCATGAGGAATTAGTCTGAGGTAGGGCTCCCGCTCTGCTCTAGGATATCCTTTTTACCTGTTTGCGGTGTACTGCAGCTCAGAAGGTGTGCCAACCTGCGTTGAAGTGATGAGACGCTCGCCCTTAATGGTGGTCATGTCGGGGATGCGAACGTCGCCCGGCTTCGTCAGAGCCGTCTCGTCATTCTGTCCTACCGAGTAGGTCAGGCCGAGCATGGCCACAGCCACTTGCGACGCCTATGGTGCCGGCGTCAGAAAGGTCGAGCGAGGAGAATGGGCGACATGCCGGGTCGAAACTTACAATATTCAAGAGAATCCAAAGACTGACGTAGACATGGGTTGACCAGGCGCGCGATACGTGAGAGAGCTTGATGAGATGAGATATGCTCTCTCCGTGGAGGATGAGATCGACCTACAGTCCGGATTAGCTTGTGCGCCTCAAAGACGATTGACCTGGAGGCATGGCCAGCGTACCTCTTGCAGCGTCCACCCTTTGCAGCTCAGCACCCACCACTTGAGCTCAGAGGCCATCCATTTCAGACTGCTGGCGATGCTGAGACCGAGCGCGATCGATAAGCCCGTGATGGCGCCGTTGAACATACGCTTCTTGACTGTGCTCATGACGACCTTGTCAGAGTAGTGGGCGAGTGTCACATAGATGGCGCCGATGCAGGCCGCCGTCACGAGCCATCTCCTCGCTCCGGCCAGGAGGAGTTGCCTCATCTGCTTTCCAAAGTGAATTCGCTTGCAAGTTGTGGCCAGGAGAGGTCTCTGTATGTCGTCGCCCATCGGCTCCAGCCTGTACTCCTCGGTCGCCATCTCAAGAGCGCTTCGACGCAGCTACCAGAGCACACGCAATACTATATGTTGATTCTACCAACAAATTGTGTCGAGAGAAGAAAAGCAGGCCGAAGGGCCGTACTTGTACTCCGTACACACGGAAGTACCGCGGCGAGACCGATAGGGCTACGTGCCATTCGTTTGGATTCCAAACGGCGTGGCCATCGTCTAGGTAGAGCAGTGGGATGCTAAGATCTTTTTACAGGGAGCCTTGATGAGCTAAAGACCCGCAGACAGGGGACCGGCCGATTAGTCAGGCTGATCAGGTGCCTGATCATCCTGCTATTAGTAGGGGGATTCTTTTGCAAGCTGGAAGCGCCTCATCATAGTGGAGATTGTCAGGGTCTTGGCTGACCTCAAAATGGGCAGCCCAATCGGCACTACGGCCTTCATGTTCGATTGTAGCCTACGGTGGATACTGCATCGTTGACTGAGCCCCTTGCCCAGGTGTTCGGTGTCATCTCGAGGCATGTAGTGGGCCAGGTTTAGGGGGCGAGTGTCTGGGCGGTCGCGTCACGGGTACGGAACGAGGGTGCCTGTTGCTAGACTGAAAGGGGTAAATGTTTCTGTTTGTGCTGTTGCATAATTACGGAGTAAGTCTCCTTGTACGGAGTATGTGGCTGTCACAAGCTAGCTTGGTTCCAAAGACTTCACTGGACTGTCCAAGCTAAGGCATTCTTTTGCGAGGCCCCTTGGTGGTACGCCAGGACCAATGAATGCCTTCTTGACGATCCGTCGATCCACCCGCCTCCCCAAGGCTGGGCGCGGATGCCTCCACTCCAAATCAGGATGCTGCGAGGGATATCAATTAGGACCCGACTCGACTGCGATGCTCTTCATAGACTGTAGCATTCGACGTTTTGTTCTCACCAGTAATTCATGCACACGCCATCACTACCAACAGAGTTCAACGTCACCATGGCCGTTTGTTCCATCGTCCTTGTGTTGATCATGGCAGCAGCCATTGTTGGTGCCGCGCCGCTTGCAATACAAGACATCCAGTTGTCTGATGCAGCTTCCCACGTCCCGCACAAAGGGCCACAGTCGTCTCTCCAGATCGCGCTGTTGAGCAATCATGGGCACGAACTCATCCGCGTCACTCTATCCTTGCTGCACGAGACCGCGGCCATAGTCAGTGCCGGCTCGATAGTACTCTGCCTGGTCGCGGCCTCCTCTTTCTTCTTTGCGGTCTTGGCGTCGGTGCGGTCCAAGAGGAAGCAGCACCGAAATGCAAATCTCCTCACCGTGTACAGTCCTCTTCATCTGCCTTTTTGCCTCCGGCTTGCGCTTCCGTTCACTCATCGCTAAATTCCAGGCCAAAGCACAGGATATCTCGGCACGAGAGAATCTCGAAATCCGTCAGAAGAGCCATTGATTGGTGGTCGACTATCTCGTTGAGGATCGACCAGGGGCAGTAGTGGTGGTAAAGGTGGGGGGGAGAGCAGCTCCTCGATAATGTACAACCGGTGTTCTTCCAAATATAACTTAATTTACAACTCGTAAATCATGCGTGCCAGTTCGTTCTGATCTGGTGAGGTGGGGGGCAATAAGTGGGAGAGTAGTACGATGCCGTTGGTCGGGCTGAAAGACACCTGCCCGATCCCTGACAACAGTTGAGCAATGCCGGGTCTCCCTCCGCGAGACATGATGAGTTCGTCGATGGAGTGCTGTGCCTCTGTGCGGGCGACAATGGCCTCGTGCAACTCTGCCAGCTCTTCGCTGTCCCAAACCCCTTCTCTCCTGCGCATCGACCGGAGCATGTTGATGGCACGCCGGGTTGTGGGAGCATCCTCACAAAAGAGAGCAATGTGGGATAGCGAAGAGACAAAATCACCTTCGGATGCAAATGTAGCGCGTCCCGAGGCCCCGAGGGACTGCAGGTAGAGATCTGCACAGCGCAGCGCGTTGTCGTAATGATCCAGGTTGACGTTCTGGTCCCAATCCCTCCCTGCCTCGAGCATGGCAAGCCAAATTGCTTGGCGTATGGTAAGAAGGAGCATCTGCTGCCACTCGTAGGTTGTGACTTTGGAGTTTCGAACCCTCTCCGCATACCCGTTGAAGCTGTGGTTCCATGCTTGGAAGCGCGAGTGCATGACATCCCACACGTCGTATATCTTTTTGGTCAGCTGGCAGTCTTTCCTGTTGAGCCAAAGAGCCTTGAGCGCCTCGGGAGTTGTATTTTCAGCTTCCTTCAGACAATCACCAAAGTGGGTGTCCTCCAGCTCGCAGTACTCGGCAAAGATATAGTCGATCGATCGGAGAACTTGGCGAGCTTCCTGATAGCTCCGAAACGGCTGAGGATCCGACTCATCTTCGCTGTCAGACATGACAAACTTTGGATCAGGCATGTAATACTTGTCGATAAAATCGCCAATCTCCATACCAATGCTGTGAAAGACCTCGGCGATCTCGCGGACCGCATCGCCGCCCGCACCGCTCTCGTTGCGGGGGAAGGGCTCGGCGTTGAGGATGCGTAGCCCGGCCTGAAAGTGCTTGATCGCCTCTCCGTACCGACCCATCATGTTCTCTAGGCAGACGAAGAGTATGCAGCAGATGAGGGATGTCTGTGCATCGTAGGCCGGGGATGAGACTACAGTCCGTATGGCTTGATTGTAGTGTCGAATCGCCAGCGTCTCGAAGTGCGACGGCGCCAGCGACAGCTGCTTTGGGCTCTCGGAGGACTCGTGCTGCGCGATGAAGAACCTGTGCGCCGCACCCAACGCGCGCACTACACATCTGATCGGCTCGACGGTATGGCTCATGGGCAGGACTTGGCGCGACCAGAACTCCCCCGAGTCGGACAGGCAGATGTCCTGGAGGGCGGACTGGAGGAAGTGGTGGAAAAAGTAGTCATGGTCGTGGGGAAGAGGTATGCCTTCACTCGGGCTTGGAGAAGCGGTGCCTACGAGCGACGACGACGCTGAGGAAGACGTCGGCTCCTCTGCGGCCTGCTGCTTGGCCTTGCGCTTGCGCTTCGGCTTCTTCTCCAGCTGGACAGGCTCGTAGCCGTCGCACTTGAAGCCAGCAGTTCTACAGCGGCGGCATTCCGGCTTCTCCTCATCGCACTTGATGTGGCGCGTTCTGGACTGTGGCGTTAATAGATGCGTGCTGCCGAAGGGCAAAGCTTGTTCCGGGCCATGGTCACACTCACTTGCTGGAGGAGGACAGTGTTAGAATGCGAGATGCAGCCAAGACACGGGCAGGTCAGGCGCACGGCAGGGCAAGATGAGTGGTGGGCTCGTACGTACCAGGTTCGACATCCGGTCCTCACCTTGGGCGCAAACGCCCTGGTGAACTTGGGGCGGACCACCAGCTGGGTCTGCGTGGGGTCCATGGCATGTGTCATCGAGGGCAAGGGGCCAATCCAGTCCTCGGGGTGGCGATGCCGCGCGAGGGAAGCAGCCCGGTACTTGAGTCCCGTCGATATATTTGTATTGGTATCGACTCGATCGAGAAATGTAGCTGCCTAAATGTTTTGCTGGTTCTGTTAGGAAAGGCACGGAAGGGTAGGATGGTGGAAGAAGGGCCTGAGAGGACCGGGGGGGAGTCAGACCGGCCGGTCTCGACCAGGAGCCCACAGCTTCAGTCTCAAGCGGAGCCGGAATCGCCCTGTATGATTGGCTGGACCGTACAGACAGGGATCTTTCCGATGGGACCCCGACCCGCGGAGACGGCCAATATCCTGGATTAAGCTTTCCTGTGTGGATCCTCGTTCCGGATCTCGTAACAAAACCTATCACTGCTCCCGTGCGCTCGAGCAACTATCACGTACAGACTCACCGAAACGCCTGTCTTTGGGGTCGAGAAAGAGGATGAAACTCGACGTGCCGACAGCTCAACCTTAAGGCACCGTTGCAGCACTTAATGAAACCCCGTCAGCCCCGTGAGACTCCGCCGCGGCAGTATGCCACGTTGTGCCAACTGCCGTGAGCGAGGCAGGGTCAACATTGAACATTGAATGACGCAATGCCTACGCCGAAACGAATCCTCAGACTGTTTCTCTCCTCCATGTTTGGAGGCTTGCTGATGGCAAGCTCCCAACGTCGTGACGTCCAGTCAAACCCAGCGCCCATTTCGCTTTCCAGACCGACCTCTGTCTCCTTCGGTCATGTATGAGCCACCCCATGGCGACATAATTCACCATATCTAGGATTCATTGGTGGGATTTGCCCTGAGCGACGAGCGAATTAGACGTCTTGCGGAGACGGGTATGAAGTTGCTTGCCGAGGCTCTCGCTGGTGGACTCCTCCTTGGCACGGCCGGCTACTCAGTCACTTCGCAGTCTGGGCAAAACGGGTTCATACGCCCGATGTACTTGAACTGTCCACAGCCCAGCTGCAGATAGCTCGCCTGCCCCGGGAATGAATTCGTGTCGGCGTAGTACTCGAGCTCGACGCCCTCCCCCACGCCGCACGTGTCGTCGCCGTGCCCGTAGTAGTACAGTTTGCACCCGTCGCTCGTTGAGGCACCGCTCCACTCGCTCGCCGCGCATCCGGCGTTATCGAAGCACAGCTGGCAGCAGGCGCTGGCGTCCATGCCCGGGATGCCGAGCAGCGCAGGCGGGAAGAACTCGACCGGTACGCGCCAGTCCCGCGGCAGGAAGCGCACCGCGACGCCATGGCCGTCGCGCTGCGAGATGAGGTTGGAGGGGGCGCACGGCGCCACGCGGGTCACGGTCGGCGCGCTCTCGCTGCAGGAGGCTCCGGGGCTGGCGGCGGGCGCTTTGGTGGTATAGGCCAGGTACCAGTCGCTGCTGGTGACGGTGGCGGTATGGAGGTAGACGACGCTTGTATACTTGAACGGCGCGTAGGTGATGGTCTTGTTTGCGGACAGTGTTCCTGTGGCGAGGTATTTGTACCCTGTCGCGGTGATAGTGGTGGTGACCACGTATCCGACCTGCGTGACGACGCGGTAGGATGCAGTGATGTCGATGTAGGTGGTCACTGCGGTTGCCCAGGCTGTCGGCGTGGTCATGACCTGTCCCGAGGAGGGAGTGTACGTGCCCGTGTACACTGTCACGACACTGGATAGTGAGGCTTTTTTGGCTTCAGATGTGCTCTCGGTTAGGGATTGCTTGCTGCTGGCACAGGAAGTCGGCGAGAGTGTGACAGTTGCCAAGCACGGGCTGACCATTTTCGTGATCGTAGAAGTTCCATTGCTTGTCACTGTGAGCGGGGTTGACAAAATCGTTGTAGGGGTGTAAGTTGAAGTAGGTACGGTCACCTCGCCGATGAACCACGTTGTGACGGTCTTGTCACTAGTCGTGGGCGCCTCGTTGGTGTACAGTGTCGTGATGCTGAGGCTTGTAGACTTTGCGACGGGTGTCACGGCTTCGCTGCCGTATTTGATTGTGCTCCAGCTGCTATACTTCTCCGTGATAAAGCTGGTGCTCACCCACGTGGCAAGATTCTGTGCAAAAGAAGAGACAATCGCAAGAGCTACAAGGGCAAAAATCGATTTGAAAGCCATTCCCGCCATCCAGGCGCTGTGAGCACCACTTCGTTGTTGAGTCCTTTTGGATGACAGTTTTGTCCCCAACCCGGATCTCGGGCAACGCCTTGATTTCAGCAACTCCAATATCCAATTTCGCTCAATCGATGACATGGTCCCAGTCTTTCAAAAGGCGTACAAAAGAGTTACATACGACTCCACACTCAAGGCACGTAGATACAGGGTTTCATTACTTAATATATACCGTATGGTATTACCCGGCTACTCTTTATTAGCCATCATGCCTGCCTCGCGTCAACACAACGCTGTGTCGATCCAATTAACCGCAAAATATTACCTTTTGTCCTTGATTGCCATTCTTGGACAATACCCACACTCTGTAATTATCGTGTCCAGCTCCGAGAATACACCGCACGGAACATTGGGCCAGGGCTTGGCTTGCGCGCCATGCAAGTGCTTGTCTATCTAGCAATACTACGTTACAAAGAGAATCTGATCCTTTTACCGCAATAATGAAATACTAATGCTCAACACTGAACTATGAACCCCTCGCCACGGGTCTTCAATACCAACTCAGTTATCTTTCAGCTTTCTCCTTCCTATCTTACATACAGTATAGGTAGCGCACCATTTCTTCATGTACATCCGCACCCATGAGAATGAATGGGTGAGAACCGGCATCGCGTCCAGGTGTGGGCGGCACTGGCTCCTGGTAGCTTCAAGCGGTGTCGGGAGAGGCGTCGTCAGCGCGCGTCATCTCGGCGGGGACAGTCTTGGCTTCGACTTGCCGACCATGCCCAAACCCACGATACTCGCTGAAGGCCAGCTCAAGCCTGTCCCAGTCCCAATGTCTTCCGAGCAGGACATATCCGAAGCCGAGAACAGGCACCATCAGGATATCTAGCACGCCAAAGAAGATGGCGCCACTAGTGACTCCAAGGACATGGCCGCCATCAGTCAAGCCAAATCCGACAGGGTACAGAAGCCAGAGCAGATTTGCCCACGCAGCCAGTAGAATGTAGTCGCGGCCAATACCCCGGCGGGCAGCTTCCTCTCGGCTTTCGTTGAGGGTACTCATGGCGAGGACGACATAGGAGAAGGTGCCAAAAGTGAAGAACCCCCACTTGTAGCTGGTAGGAGTGTAGGCGGCGGCGAGGTAGGTGAAGGTCCAGATAAAAGCGATGAAAATATTGCACACGATCGTGGTCCAGGAGACACCCGAAAGTAAACCGAGAGAGAGCACCACAGACGGGAAGGTAATGCTCCAGTTCACGTATTTGGCCCAAAACATCTGTCCGCTGGCTTGGGCGCTCCATCCCAGATTGGAGGCCTGGGCAAAGTAGGTCACGGATCCAACGAGCAGGGCGATGGTGAAGGTGTAGTGGAACACTCTCTGGCTTTCGGGGGAAGCGAAACAGAAGCAAAGCAAACCGATCTGCGTATCAAAACTTGTTGGTGAGGATTCAAAGGACTCGTCAGTAGGGGAATGCGCTCACAAAGGCCATGAGATAGACGGCTGTAACGGCCCAAAGCCAGTCAGAGCCCCCCAGGGAGAGTGTGTTATCCACGCCCACTGCAGGGTTGACGATCAGGGCATCGTTGCCACGGGCGAGGAGATCCATTATCGCAAAGAAATGAGAACAAAGGTAGGTAATCAAGGTAGTGTCGTTGATGGCTCAGTAAATGTCCGCATCGTAAAGACGGAATGGTTCCTGGCTTGTGAAGACCGCCATCTTTATATAGAGACAAATATACAAGGCAGGGCAAGAATGATCTTCTCGTTGAATAATACTGGAGGCCATTTGCATCCGGAAGCCCCACAGCTTTGAGCCTGCGTAGGATTGATGACTCGAGGCAATACCGTGACTGTTGACAAATGGCCAAAGGATCGACCCACTCGTGGATGCAAATTTGCTTCCAGTGCTGACAGCTCATCAAACTCGCCAGAGCCATAACCCTTTGCGACAAGGAGATACTGGGTATATCTTCTAAGGCCCATTGCCCTAGTGTCAGCAGATGTAGTCCGGATGCAAACAGCTTTGCACGTTGCGCCATTGAATCCTTCTTCCGATGGATCGTCTGGAAGCAGCGGCACGCCATGCACCGAACGCAAAATCGTCCAGAATCTTGATTGTGAGCTGCGAGAAAAAAGAAAGGAAACACGTTGCGGGTTATCGATTTGACAATTTTGCAGGCCTGTGAGCGTTGCAAGACAACCAAGAGCAGATGCGATGGCCTCAAGCCCAGGTGTTCGAGCTGCACCTCCCGCGAGGTCGAGTGCAGCTATGCAGCGACCCGGAGGATGAGAGGTCCGAACAAGAGGTGAGAATGTCTCCTGTTACAAGTTCTAGAGGACTTACTCACGCATAGAGAATTAGGAAAAAGCTGGACCGAAGCAATCGGAAGTCTGCGGCGGATAGTGTCCTTTCAGGAGGCTGCTCCTTTGCACCCATTCCTCCTCGCGACATCATCAGGCCCCTGGTCCAGCAACAATTCGAAAACGTCATGGGAGATTATCCAATAGTTGACAAGTCTACAATTCTCGCGCTTCTAGATGCTCAGTACGGCGTGGCAGCTTCTGGCCTGATGAGAGAAGTGTCCAGCTTCGCGGCGGTCAATGCTGTCATCGCCCTGGCCATCCATGCGGGCGAGCTAGCGGTCGATGCCGTCGCAGCCACATCGCAAGATTTTTACAGGAATGCTGCTTTGACGATTCCGGACATGATATCAAGTGAGCCGACACTCCTTTCGGTGCGCGCGCTGCTTGCAATGGCTATGCTTGCACGAAATCTGTCGAAGGCGCCGGCCTTCTATATGCTAGCTGCCACTGCATCACGGCAGCTAGGGTTGCTGCAACTGAGATACCCGGAGCAGTTTCGAGAATCAGGCTCTCCTCAGCGGCTGGAGTACTGGAAGCTGTACAGAATCGCCTGCACCTTTGAAGAGTTGTCATCCTCGGCGGCGCGGTCCTGACTGCGGGCTGTTGAGCCTAAGGCCTGATTTGGTGCTGAGATTGTTTGAATGGTAATCCATGCCTAAAACCGTCTGATTCACACCCCGAACGCTGGCGATACAACAGGTGCTTGTTAGACAGGCCAAGGCTCTACCCGACCGCAGTTCACTATCATGGTTCATCACCATCACTCGGTAAGAGCTCAACAGCGTTCAGTTTAATGCAGCTACTCAAGGAGCATCATTCTCTATTCAGCCTGTGAGGAAGAGCGTCTTACTCGACCGAGCTTAGCTAATACCTACTTCCCCAAGACGCGCCCCGAAAGCTAATGCAAGGCCGGGAATGCTAGACCTACAAGCGCTGAGTGGCTTGATGCGGGGGCTCCAGAGGAGCCTATCATGGCCTTGTGCGACCCATCCTTGTTTGAGCTTGAACTGTCGTGATTCCCGATGGCTGCCCACTTTGGTCTTTGCGTGACCGAAACCTTCCATTTCCCTTCATCTCGGGCCTCCGAAAAGCAGGACCGCGAGACTCAGAACGTAGCGAGACACGCCCATCGCGATGCCATCCACGACGACGACAGTCCTGCTCGCAGCCCTCGCGGTGTACGTGGGGATCTGCTCGGCGCTGCGCTTCCACTTTGAAAGGGCGATGCGCAAGAAGTTCAACTACCCGGACCGAGAATCGCTGTCACGCATGACGAACGACGATGCGCAAAGCATCCTCGAGTACATTGTGACTAGAGAGTTTCCATACCTATACAAGCTGGCGCTGCAGTTTGCCATCTTCAAGGTACGCTGCCAGGCCGAGGGAGAGAACTGGCGAGAGGACTGGCAGTACGTTGCTGATGGTTGCGCCTTGGGATGCCGCAGACCTACGCGTTCGAGACCATGTCGCAGCTGATGGTCTCGACAAAGAACTTTACCAACCCCGTCACAGCGCCGAAGCGGTGAGTAATCACACATACATGAAAGACGGCTGGCGGCGATATGGCCACTGACGCCAGTGCAATCTCAGTTATGAAGACACCGTCGTGATCTTTGGCGAGTAAGCAGGCCTTGTCCAGATCCCATGCCTCGAGGCACTAATCCCCACTGGACTGGACCATACCGACTAAACCCCTTGCCCTACAGGTTCTCCCTCAACCCGCCGACCTCCCCGCGCTGCCTCAAGGCTATCGCCCGCATGAATTACCTCCATAGCACCTACAAGGCCGCTGGCCGCATCTCCAACGCCGACTTCCTCTACACTCTAGCCGTCTGCATCATGGAGCCCATCCGCTTCATGCGTCTGTACGAGTGGCGCCCGCTCAACGACATGGAGGCCTGCGCCATCGGCACCTTTTGGAAGTCGATCGGCGACGCCATGCAGATCGAGTACAAGGGGTATCTGTCGCGCGCGGAGACCGGATGGAGGGACGGATTGGACTTTGCAGAGGATATCACGGCGTGGGCGAAGGGGTACGAGGTCGAGTGCATGAAGCCGGCCGTGTCCAACACCAAGCCGGCGGAGCAGCTGGTCGAGCTGCTGCTGTTCCACTACCCGGCCGTCATGAAGCCATTCTTGCTCGAGGTCCTGACGGTGCTGATGGGCGACCGCGTTCGAGAGGCGTTTCTGTGGGTTTGGTTCATCATGTGGACCTGGCGTTGGGAGTTGGCTGACGCAGTGAACAGGTACCCGGAGCCCGGAATCGTGGCCGCGCTGGTTGCCTTCCTGGGACTCAACGCACGCCGTTTGGTCCTGCGTTTCCTTCTGCCACCTCGCTTCAAGAACTTCGAGTACTTCTCCGAGCCTGATCCGACGACCGGCAGGATCTACCACTGGGACTATCTCGTGCACCCCTGGTACTACAAGCCGACGCTGTGGAGCCAATGGGGTCCGATGGGACTGATGACGAGGCTGGTGGGAGGGACCCTGCCCGGCGCCCATGGCGACATGGCGAAGGGCTTCTTGACGGAAGATATCGGGCCTTGGAACAGGATGGGTAGAGGGGCTCTGGAGATGGGTGCGGATGAAGAGAGGTTGAGAAAGGAAAGGGTTTCGGCCTGTCCATTTGCAACACGTGTGTAAGGCGTTTCAGAACATGAGGTGGCCATCCAAGTATGTATGTTTCATTACTACATTACAGGCTACCTGCCTCCCAATGCACGGGGGTTCCATTATCTCAAAAACCAGATCAAATCATATCAAATGGGTATATAGCCGGGGGTCCTCGTACGGCGCCTGGGCCAGGTCGCCAATCACCACCCGATCCGCCTTGGGGTTGATCCAAATGCCCCGGTCCGTCGCCTCGACGATGCCCCGCGAGTGCCCGACCTCCTGCCTGCTCACCCTCGCCGGGTCGCGGGGCACCCAGATCTTGGGCGCTGGCAGCCACATCTCGGGCGGGTAGTACCCCCTCCGCCGAAAGTGCTGCTCCTCCATAGCCTTCCTGAGGCCCTCGTCCACAACGTTCGCCTTGTCGTTGGACTCATTGTTGTCCTCCTCCCCATCGCCGCCAGCTTGGCCGCCAGCGTCCTTCTCGTCCTCCTCCTTGGGGACGGCAAAATATTTCTCCCGTAGGAACAGGAAGTCCTCGTAGATCTCTGGGTGCAGCCAGCGTGTCATAAAGTTGGGCTTTTTGTTCCGGTCCGGCGTCATCCACTTGCTGAGCTTGGCCGAAATCCTCGACAGCCCGGACTCGTCGGCCTCCTCCTGGAACTTCTTGCTCGCCGCCCCCTTGACCCAGTCCGTCACGGAGCCCATTAAGCCCTTTGCGCCCTCGGGCATCCCGCCGCGCGACGTGCTGGGGCCGTGCACGACGCCGTCGCCATCTTCGTCGTCCTCCATGCCGAAGCCTTCCTCCATGTTGTAGTAGTCCGCCGCGCCGCCACCACCTGTGACCCCGTCGTCGTCGGTAGCGGCAGGCGCAGTCGCGTTCTCGTCCTCGCGCCATTCTCCGATGAGGTCCTCGTCCTCGAGGGCCAGCGAGCGCGGCAGGTTGTACATGAGCGGGCCGAGCGCCTCGTTGAGGGAGATGTGCACCAGTGCCGTGAAGACGGTGAACATAGCCATGAGGACGAGTGGTACAAAGGACGAGTTGAGGGCGAAGAGGCCGATCATGCAGATCTCGGCGAGGTAGAGTCCGACGAGCAGGTGCATGAGGGCGCGCGGGTAGACGAGCCCCTTGGTGTCGAGGTCCGAGTCGAGGTTGTAAATGAGGTTGTAGCGGTAGACGATGTAGGTGACGCACATGCCCAGGCCGGCGAAGCCCAGGATGAGGGGGGCGATGCACGAGTACGAGATTGCTGGCGACATAGTCAGCACTGTTCCTTTTGTCTTGCCATACTGTCTTCTATTCGGTAAAGAGGCTCTTACCAATGACGCCCAGGTTGGTAAAGACGGGGAAGATGCTCCCCCAGTGGACGGGCTTGAGGCGGATCCACGTGTTCCACCGCTTGCGCGGGTTGTCGACGAACCGGCCGATGACCTGGTGCCGGATCAGCTCAAAGGTATGAACCAGGTTTTGCGCGCCGCCGGCGAGGCACTGCACGAGGATGTAGGACAGGTAGAAGTTGGAGGCCTTGGGCAGGTTCTGCGACAGCATGTCCTTGATGGACAGCGGGTTGGCGAGGATGTCGGTCAGGGCGGCCGAGGCGGCCGAGGTCAGCGTCGTGACGAGGAAGACCTGGACGACCTGGAAGACAAAGTAGGCCGACTGCGTGAAGAGCTCGACCATGGGCCTCGACGGTACGCCCGAGCTGCGGGCGCAGAAGCGCAGCATGAAGGGCACGGCCGCCATCCACAGCGACAGGGCGACGGCGGGCAGCAGGCCCTCGATGACGCCGACGATGACCTTGGGCAGCTGGTCGATCCACTTCAGGAAGGGGACGTGCGACGTCAGGAAGCTGACCTTGGACACGATGCCCACAAAGGCCGAGGGGATGGACCAGAAGATGACGGCGGCGGCGATCAGACCCATGATGCCGAAGCGCCTCATGATGCGCTCCCACCAGCGCATGCGCAACACGGGCCAGACCACGTCGCGGGGCCGGATGCCGATGAACCGCGGCGACATGTGCAAGGGCTGGTGGTGCGAGAGGAGCTGGTAGGCCGCCTGCGCCGCGGCCTGGTCGTCGAACTCGATGAAGACGGCGTTGACCGGGTTGCCCTTGCCGTTGCGGTGCTTGTGCCGCAGCTTGCCGATCTGCACGTTGAGCTCGCGGATGCGACGGCGGCACCAGCGTATCGTGTCGACGCGGCGCCCAAAGTTGGCAATGGGCCGGTGGTGGGGGCGGTCCTCGGCCTTGATGTACTGCGCCGCTACGGAGCCGCGCAGGTCGGCAAGGTCTGCGGACAAGCCGTAGGGGTGCTTGTACTCGTCTTCGTCGTACTTTTCGTACGCGCCCGAGTCCTCGACGGGCGCGCTGCTCGAGGCCCTCTTGATGCGGGACGTCCAGAACGAGGGGGATAGCGGTGACGCGAACGGGTTCTTGGACTGCTGCTGGTTGTCGCCCTGGGAGTCGGCGGACGAGGTCGACCCGGTCAAGGAGCGGGGTAGGATGCGGATCTTTGTCCCCGGCAGGAAGCCCTTCTTCTTGGGCGGCGCCGATCGCTCGCTGTTGTCCTCGTCGTCATTGCCGATGCCCGAGTCGGCCGGGGATCCGGTCGAAGACTGGGAGCTGATGGGCTCGGTCTGCTCGCGTGCTGCGTCTGCAGCGGCTTGCTCCGCGGCTGCAATCGCGGCAGCTTCCTCCGGGTGGGCAGCGAGATACTTGTTGCGGGCCCAGTTGGCCTTCTTGATAAGTTCGATCTCGGCGTTTTCGAGCCGGATGGCGGTTTGCTCCCTCTCCTCCACCAGATTACTCAGGATCTTTGTATTTCTCGGGATGAAGACGTCCTTGACGGTGTCTCCAAAGAGCTTGCGGATCCGCCGCTCGTCTAGAAACCGGTGCGGCACGCACGTGAAGAGCACGGTGCGCGACGACAGCCTGTGCGCCTGGCGAGGGGAGAGGAAGTAGGCCTGGCGGAGGTTAATGTAGAAGATGGTCTCACGGGAGACGGTGTAGAGGATGAAGCCTGGAGAGACGCGTCAGGAACCCATGTACGCCTCGTAGACGTGGCAGATCGTAGGACTTACCAAAGAAGATCCAGGACACGACAACATGGGCATAGCTCTTGTTCTTGCTCTCGACGTTCCCGATGGTGAGCATGTCGAGGCCGGTCAGGTCGCGTCCGCCGGTAGCGTGGATGGGCAGCAGGATGGGCCATGTCATCAAGCAGCCAACGAAGGAAATGGTGATAAGGACACGGATGAAGCGTAGGAAGAAGAAGCCGTCGAGGGAGCAGTTCTTGAGGATGAAATCGTCTGGTATCCTGTAAAAGACTGGTATCCAATTGAACCAGCCGTTGGGGAGCGGCGGGCTCAGTCCTCTGGAGGGCACTCGATGTCAGACAGGTATTCCGCAACCATACGAGTCAAGGGCATGCATGAGCCGAGGGCAAGGTCTGGTACGCCAGGATGCCATCAAAGATGCAAGGCCTTTCTCTCTCTCTCTCTCTCTCTCTCTCTCTCTCTCAGGCTGACTGCAGTGGGCATGATAAGACTTACTCTGGCGTTTCGGCACCGAGGAACGTCCTTACAGTGTAGACGCGGGGGCATTTCCGGCGCAGCGTGAAGAAGATGAGCAGGCAGACGCCGGCGAAGACGAGGACGGGCACAAAAGTGCTGCCCAGCGACTCGACCGATGACGAGTTCCCGTCCCCGGCGTTGTTTGAGGCGTGGCTCAGGGTGCCGCCGGTGGCATTTTCACGGCCCGACCCAATCCTCGGGTCTTGCGATTGATTCTAGACAGCGGACAGGCGGTGCGTGAGTAATTGAACCTTGTTTTCATGGCCAATACATGCTTTGATGGGCAGGCCTAAAAGCTTTGCGGAGAACACAGACGAAACGGGACGGGACGGGCTGAAATGAGGGGAATGAACTGGATGAATGCCACGCTGCAGGTCATTCTAGTTCACATAGAAAAGTCTGTCCATAGATAGGTACTTACCGGCAGCTCTAGCAGCTCGACTGGAGTCCAGTCCATGGTGCTGGCCGCTTCAGGGTAGCTGGGGATGCATACGTCGCCAACGAAGCTTGTCGTGTCGATAGTCTACGTGAGAGCTGCTAATACAGCGTCGCCCCCAAGCGCCCACGGGCGGTGAGTACGTGCCTTGCGTGCGCTGGCAATCAGATCATGCGGTCGACCAAGCAAGCTGAAAATGGGCTGGGCTGTCTCGAAAAAAAAAGAGGGGGAAACAAGCGACAGCAGCACAGCAGACTGGACGAGAATCTGTGTCGAGGTGAGGGAGAATGGACGGCGTGGGGAGAGAGAAAAGAATCGGTCAAGAGGGACGGACAGTATGGGATGAGACCAGCTGAATGAGATTGAAAGCGTCGTCCTCAAGAGCAGAGTTGTTGGTGGAATCGACGATTTGATGCACGTCGGATGCGGCCGTCGGGATCCCCTCCGTCCACTCCAGTCCAGTCACTGCAATCCAGGGGCAGCGAGGCACGACGTGGCGGGTATCGAGTGTTACCTACGGAGACAAGAGATGAATGGGAGGTAGACTGGCTTGACTGGGTAGGTCTAGGTATTCAATGATCTGCGCCAGACCAGGGGCGTTAGGTCAAATCAAATCCTGGGCGAAGAGGGTGACAGGCACGACAGGCCAAGGGGCGGCCACTCTGCGTAGATCGCTAGCCGGATTGCCTCTAAGACCCTGGATTCAGCTGGCCCCGTGCGACTCCACCGGCCACCCGATCCAACATCTACTCCGTCCTCCGTGCTACTCCTTACTGCGGATGGGCTGCCTCGCACGCCACCTGCCTCGGTGTGGTGTGTGCGTTCCTGAAGGCGACTGCACTCTCACAGCAGTGGGGGCCATTGCTCTATGGGTGCCGCCAGAGAGGGAGATACCGACGGCAGGCCTGTTTGTTCCCTTCTCGAGAAGATTCGTCTGTCCTTCGGGACGAGGCGAGATGTCTGGTGGCGGACCGACCACCAACTTTCCTCCCACACACACCGGGCGCGGTCAGCCAACCGTTGGCACGTCTGACAACCACTTGTCCCTGTACTGAATCTCCCTCGAGCCTGTCATTTCCCCCACCCGGCCACTGAAGCTGTCAAAAATCACTTTTGCAGCGTTGCATGCCGAGAGAGTCTGGGCCCCGGTTGTGGGAGCGGACTTGTCCTCGAAAGGGTTAAGCAGAATCTGCCACACAAATGTTCCCCAGCAAGAGCTCTCGCTAGATTGAATACTGGTGCAGATCGGCATGTCAGCACTGGCTTGCTCCTTTGCAAAGCACCGCCGCCCAGTGCCTCCCTAGTCGCGGCGGATCCACACCACTATTGCTGCAAATCACGGCTTCCCCGGTGCGGATCATCGCGTCCTTTGGGAACCCAATCAAGAGCTGTCTTTCACCCTGGGCTAACTACGGCTACGGGTCCCGGCACGCGTCAATGAAAAAAAAAAGTACAGTAGCCAGAAAGAAATAGAGGGGGAAAAAAGAGGCTAGGGAATCGCTTGGGCAAAGGCCGAAAGCGAAATCCCTACGGATACAGATGGATCAGCCCCGTGGCGGCTTCAGCCTTCATGTTTAGTACGCATTGTCGACAGTGTCTCCCGGCCCAAGGTGAATGAACAACAGCCACCGTGTGGCGTGCGGGGAATTGCCAGTGGCCTACCTACAATGATTAGTTACCAGTGGTTGCCACTCGCTGGCTTGCAGGGTGGAACGAGATAAGCGCATACACAGCAACCTCGTGCCACTGTGGGCTGCTCAGTAGGTCGACTTCGCCCGAGCCCTCAAGCTGGGCCCGTATCTGTATAGATATAGGGGGATGGGAACAGCCAGTGCGAAGCCTGCAAATGCCATGACGCTGTTGCCCCAGCCGTATCCCAGTGTGTCGTAGAGACTCGGGGCGAATAAGGGAAAGCAAAACGCCATGAGACTTCTGACAAATTGCTGGGAGGCCATGGCACTGCTTGTGTGCTCCCCGTATGCATCAATCACATATGCAGTCGCTTCGTGTGCGTCAGCTTCCGTACCGAGCCAAAAGAGAAAAAAAAAAAGGTTCAGAGGCGTCACTTACTGGGCATGCCGCCCAGCTGCATCCCAAACATCATGATAAAGACACCAAGATCAACGACCAGCCAGGACAACCTATACTGCGCAGTCCATCCGTACATCAGCACACCGGCCCACGCCACCGTAAAGGCAGGGATGACGACTGGCAAGCGCGACTCGGGTTGCGGATCAAGGGCCTTGCGCTTGTACAAGCAATCCATCACTCGTCCCCCAACCAGCGACGCCACGACCTCGCCCAGCGAGACTCCGATGTAGTGCAGTCCACTGATCTCGACCGACTGCCCGTACTGTCGCGTCCAGATCTCCGAAAAAGTTGACAGAGTGACATACATGATACCATAGTCAAAGCCTGACAGCAATGCCGAGACCTGTATGATTGGGTGCCGAAGCAGTAGGCGCACCGGCCGCGACAACGCAAGTGCTAGCACTGCCCCGGGCCTCGAGTGGCCCCTGTCGCGCCGCTCGGCCAGCGTGTGGTACCGTGGCTCGCTGTGCTGTTCGCGCAGGCGCTCGGCGCGCCGGCGCAGGATGAGCGGAGCGTAGGTCTCGCGGAAGCTGAGGAAGGATACAGCGATCATGGCGCCCTGGAAGATGGAGGTGGCCCAGAACATCCACCGCCAGGTGGTGCGGCCGGCCATGAAGCCGCCGATGATGGGCCCTGCGCGGATGCAGCGCGTGTGAGACGGGGGCAGAGGCTGGTAGGTAGGATGGGCTTACCGACTGCGGCACCAAGCAGAGGAATAAGGAGGTACATTCCCAAGGATCGGCCGCGCTGCTCAGGTCTCCAAACATCGCCTAGCACGCCACCGGCCAGCGCATAAATGGCGCTGGCGCCGAAGCCAGCGAGGAAGCGAGATGCGATGAGCGTCTCTTTGGTCTTGGCAAATCCGCAGACAATATTCCAGACAAGAAACCAGACGTTGGAGCCGTGGAGGATGACAGTCCGGCCGTAAATTTCCGAGAGAGGCCCGATGAATAGAGGACCAAAGGCAGTCGCCAGGAGATAGATAGACAGGGACATGGCCGCCTCGGTGGGGCTCATGCTGAGCTCGTCGGCGATGGTCGACAGGGCGGGCGCCATGATTGTCGAAACCATGATGCGGTTGAAGCCGGTGGCAGAGAGGACATCGGTCACCATCCACTTGCGCCCTTTGGGCCAGTCGAGTGGGTTCTCGGCGTCGTAGGTCGGATCAAACTCCACGAGAAAAGGATCCGTGTCGGGATCTTTCCTGGCGGCCGATGGCCTTGGCATTGCGCCTAGTTCAACCTCTGCCGGCTCCGGCACTGTGGTGATGGCATCGGGGTGGTCCTCCGGGCTCATGGTTGCATGCAGTGCGTCCGGCAGATTCTTATGGATATACGGGAAAGTTCGATAGCTGGAGGAGGCAGTAGAGAGAAGAAGTCTGAAGCGAGATGCAAACCTTTGTAAGATGCATCCGGGGTTGCAGTGAGCTTATCAATCTTATCAGATCCGGGTTCTTGCTCGGTGCTCGGCGCTCGGTTGAACCCCCGAACTCGGACGACACACGCTTTTCCCGCCAATCATCTGTTTCCTGGAGAACAGGCTGCTCTATTCCTTGAATTGTCTACTGCCCCTGGACATAACACGCTATTCCTAGCTCTTCTTTCCCTTGGCCCTGCCAGCTTGCCTCTCCCTTTCAGCCATCAACAACTCGACGGCATCCCAATGACCCTTGGGAGAGGCAAGGTCTATTGGCGTCTGGTTCCTCTTATCCAGCGCAGTTATGCGCGCCCCGTGCTTCAGCAGTGCCCTGACGACCTCCGTCTGCCCCGTCATCGCCGCGACATGCAATGGCGTCTCGCCCTCAAAATTGTAATGCGTAGAGTCCGCTCCTCTGCTCATCAACAGGTCCACGACCTCAGCATGCCCTTTCCTCGCTGCCAGATGCAAAGGCGTCCATCCTCCCCTCATCTGAGGGTTGGGGTCTGCGCCCCTGTCCAGGAGCAACCGTACGATCTCGAGGCGCCCGTTGCTCGCCGCTGCGCCAATGGGCGTCCACCCACTCCTGTCCTTAGTAGCGATGTCGGCGCCGTGGTCAAGTAATAGCTTGACCACCGGAGCGTTATCACCAGAGCATGCTCCTATGAGTGGTGTAGCACCAGCCTTGGTGCGCCCCTCCAGATCTACGCCTCCTTCTCCAAGGAGTAGTTTGACTGTCCCTAGGTGTCCGTGAACCGCCGCTGCGTAGAGCACTGAGAATCCCGTGGGTCCCGAAGACCTAGCTTGAGCGGGCCGTGTTGGGGGGGACGCTTCCTGGGTTTTCTGATCATGTAACGGGCCTTTCTCCGCTTGTGCCAGAACCGATGTCTCGGTCTTGATTGCGTCAGGTAGAGATGGGTCAATGGTGTGGTATGATGGCGCTGGTGACGGCGGACAGGCGGCATCGGGGATGGCGCTGCTCCATGTCTGTCCACCAATGCTGCTGCTCCTACTCGAGTGCCTTGTTGAGGATGGCCCTGAGCCTGTGGCACGCGAGAAGAACTTGCGCATTTCGACAGAGTGATGATGAGGGAACAAGAGTCCGGGAGAGGGGTTTGATGGCCATGCGCATCTTCAGTCAGAGATAAGGCGAAGTCAAGTTATGTCATGGCCGTGGGGCCGAAGACCCACACATCTCAGCCCCGCGAGTCACGCTTCGAGGTTCCGTTGGATAATTACTGCGCAGACTTCTATTCTATTTGAATTTATCCATGCAGGCAGGTACCTCGACCTCCCGGACCCTCCAGCATGGAGATGGTAGGATGTTTGGGCTCTGGGCTGGCCTGGCAACGTTGATCTGTTCTCATAGAGCGGTTGTCTGAAGCGAAAGCCAAGTTGTGATCGATCTAAACTAATACGACGACCTTTCCCGTGTACATCTTTCGTCTTCAGAATTAATGTAACCTCAAAAGGTCTAACGGATGTCACATTGCGCCGGGAAAGCGGAAGGAAAGACCGGCGGCTTCGTCACAAAGCTCGTGGGGAGGAGGCGGGTCCGGATCTTGCACTCGATGCACTCTTCTGGCTCCGCGCCAGCGAGGTACCGTAGCACGTACATGGAGCATGTTCCCAAACCAAGCATCTTACCGCCGCCAAGCTCGTCGTCGAAACGGATTCTCTCCCGAGGTATCATATAATATATAATGGCAATGTTGTCGTGCAAGTGATGCTCTGCAAGTTTGCGCGATCAACCAATGAGGCAAAGTAACACCACGTCGGCTGGAACCGAAAGTGGATAGCTTCCAAAACCACCGGAGCTTTGGGCCCTTGCAACAGTGGCGATCTAAATAGGGCCTCGGCTTCAGTAGTGTTGACGACAGCGGGCTTCTCCAACAAGACGTGCTTACCTTCATCGATAGCCTTCAGAACCCATTCGTAGTGTAAGGCGGGAGGCAGTGCGATGTAGACGGCGTCGATGGAGTGGTTGTCGAGCATTACTGAAAAGGTAAGTGTTGGCAATGTCAGTGTCCTCGCCGGGGCATTCCTCGCTGTAGAAAGCAGAGCTTACCTTTCGTGCTGTGACATTAAGGCGACAATTTGACCATTCTCGTCTAGCCTGGAGGAGTAGTGGATCATTGGAGTGACAGTTTGGCCATCTTAGGTCTAATGTGGGTATTTGGTACGCATGCCAACTCCAAGCCGTCCGTGTTGTCAGAAATGGTGGTATGGTTGCTTGATTGGAATAGAGTAGGAGAGAGTTGGGAAGGCGTAGGCCTTCCTGAACTACATGTAATTACAGCGGTCCCAGCCACTCGTTCGGCTTGAGGTCGAATTCCAACACGTGTTATGGTCGCATATCTAACATCTTCTCCTCACCTTCAGACAGACCACCCATTGTCTGCTGTCATGTTTGTCCTCCGCGGACCCTTGATCCTTCAAGTCGAGCATACGCATGTCGCAGCCTCTGTCCATGAGTTTGGTGTCGGAGCCCGATACGGCGCCGGAGGTGGACGACGAGTGGAGGCACCAAAAGAGGATCCAGAATCGGCTCAACCAAAGAGCTCGAAGTAAGTCTCCCTGATCAACCCGTCTGGGGAGACCGGACTGGTCTGTGTTGGCTAGGGCGTCGTATTCGGGAGAAAGGGGGCAGCTCTGTACCCAAGTCATGAGCCAAGATGCGACAGTCCCAGGTCGACTGCTGGCGAGAGGATGGGGCTGGCCATCCAATTTCCATTGTGACATCGTAATTACACAAACCCAAGAGCATAGATTGGGTTGGCTACCATACCAGAACTCGGAGATCCAGCAGACAGACTGCGCATCCGACAGATAGTTCCCTCTGCCCGCAGATCACCTACTACACCTCATCACATTCAATGTCTTTCGGGGATTGTACAGGATAAACGCCAGGCTCGACCGCCTTGTAGTGCAGTCACACGCCGCTCACCTTGGATCCGCATATTACTGCGACCATGCCGTATTCCCTAGTCACTCAATCACCTTGCCCACGATGCCATATTTGCTCGACTGCCTCGCCCCAACCTGGTCTCAAATGAACATCATCTATTCCACTTGGATCGACACCCTGCCCTTTCCGGCAATGCGCGACATGTTGATCGCAAGTGAATTTATCCGTGACTCGGTTAGAGATTTGATCGACTTGCACATATTCCTGTCGACGCCATCTACAGCTAAAACAGCAAGGACGGACATTCGAAGCGCAGGCACGAGTGAAGAGGGCCTCATCGTATGGGGAGAACCTCATCTTGCCGAGAATTGGGAGGCCACTCCCACTTTCTTTCAGGTGTGTCCATGGGTAGTGGCGAACTGCAGCGAGCTCATTGTCTCAAGCAACCACTGCAGGCCGGTGAGGGATGAAGGGCCAGTATGTATCGGCACATACGCACATGCGAAATACAGCTGATGCTTCTGAAGAACAATAGGTTCTCCTAGAGTCGCAACTCTGGACGAAGACGACAACTGCTGGAGCCGCCAAGCCCGTATGAGGTCTGACCTGGGACGAGTCCGGATTCGGGGACGGTCAGCGCTGAAACTGAGCCAGCGCCTCTGGGAAAGTTGGGTCATCGCGCCTCTTCAGCCCATTCTCTATTTTTGCAACCCCAAAATCCCATGTCTGGTTGACAGCTGAAAACCCCCCTGCAGGTGAAGAACAGGGTCTGGGCACATCGGATTGGTGGAGCGCGAAGCTAGTCTCGGTGGCTGAACAACATATCCAATGCGCAGCTCTCGCTTGATAACGCCCTTGCCGCCCAGGTTGCTGTTCTTCCTGTGCACCCACAAGAGAAACACCAAGTCGCGCTCATCTCCCCGCGGCTGGAAATCCCCATCTTGTTCTCTTCCACGGCCGACTCCCAAGAGCGACGCTTGATATCATGCTACTCCACCTCTGGGCCGTCACGATCCTTATGTGGTCCATTGGCGTCCACAGCAAGAGTGATCTCCAAGTCATCTTCCAGAATGCGGACAGTTTCAAGGGGCTCAACTTAAATCAGCAAAAGTGCGCTGTCACGACCGTCTACTCAGCCGCCTGGGCTTCCGACTGCAAGGACAAGGCGTGTTTCTGCAACGGTCCACAGTTCATCGCCGACAACACCGACAAATGCCTCATCCAGCAGGGGAAATACTACGACGGCATGTACAGCACCGACACATACAACGGCATCATGGCCTTTTACGGGACTGAGTGTGGCTTCCAGGCCCAGTTCAAGGCGGTTATGACCCAAAGCGTCACGTACACAAAGGCGTACGCGGCGGCAACCTCGACGCCCGGGGCTGCCAAGACTAATGTGTCGTCGCCATTGGTGACTGGAGGTGGGTTCCCTGGTGTGTGGCCTCGCAGAGCGAGTAGTGATGCCCTTTTCCGTTACTGACACTGCTATTCTTTGATCATAGGGCCGACTCCTGGAAACAACGACGACACACCACCTTCGAGCAGCGGGAATAGCGGGGGAAGTGGCAGGTCGGGGCTGAGCGTCGAGGCGATAGTTGGTATTGTTGCCGGTGTTGCGACGGTGATTGGCACAATTGTTGCCATTTACATGTGTTGTTGTCGGTAATGGCACCTTGTGAGGAAATATCACAAGGACTAGAATATTGGAGTCTCTATTGAAGCATTGGCTACCGGGGCTCGTTTATAGGCGCATTATGACTTTATTGGCTTTCAGCTTGGTGTTGGGAGGGATCTTGATATGATGAGGAGTCGGCGAAGGATGGGTTGCGCCAAGTGTGACATTTGGTAGTGCTAAAATGAGTCAAAAAAGCGACAAGATGTCGGCTTTTTGAACGAACGGTAGCCGCGTGGAACCGAGAGACAAACATCAACAGGGAGTGTACACATTGCCCTGTGAAGATCGGCAGACCCTCACTTCGATTGTTCCATGCTTTGGGCTTGAGGCCAGCTTGGAAAACGCTCAAGCCGAGTGACGAGCGCTTGAAACATGGCATGGAGCGTCAGATTCTTGGTATTATCGCTACCTGCTAAGCGGCCTATTCGATGGTCTTGGAGATGGCCGATGCCTCAGCTTGGAGAAGTAATGGCCGAGGTCTTGAAGCACGGAAAATGACTGGGTCTACTCCCAATCGGCACGCGCTAGAACAATGCCACTCAACATGTTGCCATGGCTGCGCCGCCATTGGCTGACTGCAAGGCACATTCAACGGTAAATTCGAGCCGAAATCGCCTCAGCTGACTCCTCGAGACAAGTCGAAATTGTCGCATGAATGACGGTTTCTCACGATCACGAGTCAGACGCAAAAGTTTTAGGCCAAGTGAAGATTCCCCTTCAACTACATGACTCTGTACGAGTACAGCCCTCTGCGCTTTGGATACATTCGAGTCTTCCGCTTGCTTCCAGCTGTCGACCATGGCTCCGTGCTGTGGGGTGATTTCACGCTGCTCAATCTGCACTATGTGACGAGAGTCAAGGCCAATGAGGTGGACGATCGCCCTCCTAGTCGCTCACCAGCGAACTACGAGGCCCTGTCGTACGCCTGGGGCAAGGAAGACAAGCCGAGAGTCCTGAGCACCTCATCAGGCACCATCGCCATCACTGAATCGCTCTTCTCTGGCCTCACGCGCTTAAGAAAGACGGACGTGGAGCGATTCATATGGGCTGATGCGATCTGTATTAACCAGGTGGACTTGGAAGAGAAAGAGAGTCAGATCGGGATGATGGCGGACATCTATTCTCTTGCTGCCCGGGTAATCTGTGACCTCGGAGAAGCTACTGATGACGGTGATTTTGAGGCGATGAAAGTGATGAAGAGCGCCAGGACCGACTGGGCCTGGACCATCGAGGCTCGTGCCGAGTGTCGCGTGGCCCTTCTCCAGCTCCTGACGCGGCCCTGGTTCGGCCGCCTCTGGGTTGTGCAGGAGTTCTTCCTGGCTAGCCGGGTTGCCCTGCTCCTGGGCCGAGAGTGTTTTGACTGGAAGTCACTCATGACTGCGCTCCTTCGTACCACGGACAGGACCAATGCCGGCACCGTGATGCAGAACTGGCCGTATCTAAGCCTCTGCACGCAGCGCTACAAGCACGACCAGGAGTTCACGAGGGAACCTCTGATCACCAATATCCAGAGATACTCCTACCGCAAGGTGGGCAATCCGAGAGATCGGTACTTTGCCCTCCTAGCCATGTCTTCAGATGCATTTCTTGGGGAACTGGCGCCAGACTACAGAAGTCCAATATCCGTCATCATTCGGCGCTTCGGACGGCACTTTCTTACCGCTTCGGAAGGCATCAAGGCGTTATGTGTCGCTGGGATACATGGAGTGACTTGCGACAACTGCTCGCAGGGCAAATGCGATAACTGTCTCCCGAGCTGGATGCCGAATTTTACAAGGGTAGGTTTCAGGAGACATCCGTTGTTGATGGATGACAGGTTCCTTGCCTGTGGTCCAGTTTCAGCCCGGCTTCAAATCGATCATCGAGGAGATCATCTCCGCCTCATTGGGGCGTATGTGGACAGGGTCACCAACGTCCTCGTTAGCGATGATGATGACCTGCCAAACCCAGTGACCATGTGCAGAGAGGCAATCGAGTTCTTTCTCTGTACTGATGATCCGGACTCGCGAAATATGAGGTATCCGTATACGAGACAGCCCAAGATCGATGCAGCATGGCAGACCATCTGCCACCATGGTAGCCCGGGAACAGCCAGTGCTGATCTGACTTCAAGCTTGGATCGAGGATTTCGGTATTTTCATCGCTCGCTGCTAGCAAGCACAGGAAAGAAAAGCAAAAGCGTCCCAGAAGCACAAAATCCGGACGACCTACAGGCTCAATCGGTATTCTTTAAGGCGTTCAGCGGCAAGTCAAGATAGGAATGGGAGGCGGCTCCTCCAGTCACTGATGTCGGTTCGACCAAATGGGGCCCGTTGGATATTCTGCGTGTGAGATACGCCAAGACCACAACAGAGGGCTTGTTTTGTGCCGCGCCAATCTACACGCAGCCCGGCGATGAGGTGTGGATTCTGGGCGGATGCCACATCCCGGCCATTCTGAGGCCCGGATCGGGACGGGGCCGGGCAGGCATGTACCAGCTCGTCGGCATGGCGTATGTGCACGGAATCATGCATCAAGGTTTCCTTCAGCACCCGGAGTTCAGGCTTAGGGGTCTCACCTTGTATTGAGCTGTTCACCATGAGCTTTGAGTCGTATGCGGACATAACCTGCCATATGGGCATGCCGCCAGCAAGCAATAATTAAGTCCGTGCAGGCAATGTCCGCAATCTCCGGCTAGGCCAGGGCGTAACAGTGCAAAGTGCGTCGTTAGATAAGCTTGATCGACGGGAGGAAATATGGAGATCAGCCTCGACAGCCAATCAGGCATTGTTTTCACGGGGACCAGCCTTCATCACTGATCACTGTCTACCATCAGCCTGATCCGTACACATCTGGGACGCAGACAGACTAGTTGTGTTTTGGTAGATAAAAAAGTTGGGACTCGACAATGCAACAAGATGTGCAAAGAATATATGGAATACACTCAGCCGCGCTGTGGAAATCTATGGAAGAGACCAGTATTATCGACGTGGAGGTGTTCAAGCATTCCTGCTTTGGGATCAGGGCGGCCGGGTCCAATGTAAATCATAGCTGGCTTCTGCCGGCCGAGGTTGTACCACTGGACTTAGGAGCACTTAAGTCCTGAATAACATCGTTTTGCCTAAGATGGCCAAACTCCCAGGCAGGGAGGCGTTTCCTATAAAATCAGCATTGTATATTGCAGATAGATGCAGGACATGAACAATCATCGCGAGGACATGACCAAATCGTCAAGCAACCAAATTCGGAAGCCTCATCCCAAGACTCGTTTCCATCTCATCCGACTCCACCGTCGTCATGGCTGATTATGCAAGAGTTCCCACCGCTGCAACTCTCAGCATTCGGCCTTTCAAAGCCTACATCTCAGACGAGAAGCTCGAGGAATTCAAGAAACTACTGGAGCTCTCGCCCATCGGACCCGCCGTCTACGAGAACACCAGCGTTGGTCGCACTTATGGCATTACCAGGGATTGGCTGGTCCATGCCAAGGATGTCTGGCTAAACGATTTCGACTGGCGCAAGCATGAAGACCGCATAAATTCATACCCCAACTTCAAGGCCGAAGTCAAGGACTCCCAGGGCAACACTATCGATGTCCAATTCCTGGCGCTCTTCTCTGAGAGGGCCGACGCCGTCCCGCTTGCCTTCTTCCACGGATGGCCGAGCTCCATTTGCGAGTTTATGGATATCCTGGATCTGCTAAAGCAGCGATATTCCCCGGCCGAGTTGCCGTACCATGTCATTGTGCCCTCGCTTCCAGGCTATGCCTACTCGTCAGGCCTCCCGCTCGACAAGGACTACGGCATAGATGTGGCTGCTAGTGCCATGCACAGTCTCATGATGGGCTTGGGATTTGGCTCCGGCTATCTCGTCCAGGGTGGAGATCTGGGCAGCTTCATCAGCAGGATTCTCGTCATGACCCACGACGAGTGCAAAGGCATGCATTTGAATACGATGGTGCCTCCTTCGCCGGACGATTTAGAGGGGCATTCGACAGACAAACAGGAGGAGCGGGCATTACAGAAGGCGAATGAATTCACCGATACATCGTTTGGCTTCTTCTTGGAGCAGGGCACGAGGCCATCCACACTCGGTCTGGTCCTGAGCTCTAGCCCCTTGGCACTGCTTAGCTGGTAAGTGGTGTTCACGTATATCGTTTTCACAAAGTGATCTGAGTGCTGATTTGTGTGTAGGGTTGGAGAGAAGAAACTCGAATGGACCGATGAGGATCCGCCCTTGGAAAAGATCCTCGAAGGGGTGACGTTGTACTATCTCACCGATACGATCTCGCGGTCATTCTACCACAATCGTGCGGTAGGCCTCCCCCGCCACTTCGCCTTCATCTTGAGTAGACCAAAAGCTTACTTGGACAAAAATAGCTAGGGGGCCGTGCGACCGATGACCCCAGAATTGCAAGGCTCAGTGTGGTGAGTTGACGTTCATGCCCCAATGCAGGGATCATTGAAGCTAAATTTGAAATACAGATCACTGGGTTTCAGCCTATGAAGCTCCCTTTTATCGAGAAACCGTGCGGGTATTCCTTGTTTCTGAACGAGATTGTGCCCGGCCCGAAGAGTTGGGCCATGAAGATCTGCAACTTGATTTCGTTCAATCAGCATGATGGAGGTGGTCATTTTGCGGTACGTAAAAAGCTCCCGATTCTGTGGCTAGCGATCTGTACTAATAGCCTCCAGCCGATGGAAAAGCCAAAGGAACTGCTTGACGACGTAGAGGCGTTCATTGAAACCTGGAAAAGAGTGTCATTCACGATGTAAACAAACTTTTAGACATGATTCTTACAGAACGGGATAGGGACAAAGAAATTACCAAGGAGTTTATGATGTCTTGTATATCTCAGTAGAGAACACTGCTCCTCAAGAGTCGATCTCCGTCAAGATTGTGACTACCTCGCTCGGTTCCCATTTCTGGGTCCCGCCAGGGCTTTGGGGCTCGTGGATTTGGCGTTATCTCGTCGTCGGGCTTGTTCAGTGGGGACGAAGATATCAGTTTCCCGATGGGCGCAGAGTTTCCCGAGACTTTGTTTCCACGCCACATCTCTATCATGATTGACGACGTTCATTCAAATATCTGCAAAAGAAACGACCCACTAGTGCATCAGACAGAGAGAACATTGTGCTGGCTAAGACTGTGATTGAGTGTTATCCAATGACACACTATCCACAATGGCCAAGATCAATTCGCCTCCAGCTCTTTTTGTAGGGGACCTTCTGTTGCCCCCCAGCGTAACAAAATTGTTTAAAAGCATGCTTTATAAAGATCTTAAACTTTTGCTAAGCCAAATCCTCCCTTGAAGACTCGACATGCAATCAGGAAGAGCGTCCCAAGGCACATACATGTGCCGCCGAATGCAAAGGCATACTTATACTCGCCATTCCCTTGCTTTATGAGCATGCCTGCGATGGGAGGGCCAGTTAGATTTGCAAAACTGATGATTGAGTACACCATGCCCATTCTCGTCCCAGCCTTTCGGAGATCCGTTGTCAGCGAAGATAGCGCGGCGGGAAAAAGGCCCTGAACGGTTGCGCCAAATATGCCTGTTTGTAAAGTATAGAACGTTAGCATCTGGTGATCAAGCTTTCGTTGTATGTCACATTATACGCACCGTAGAGTACAGCCCAGCAGTACAATGCGGCTCGACTGTTGATGGCATTCCAGCAGTACAGGAGAACCATGCAAATGAGCGCTGCTGGTGTGACGACGTTGAGAGGGCCTAGATAGATATCGGCAAGAAACCCTGGAACAACGCGTCCGATCGCTCCTACACCATTCATGATCATAAGAAGATCAACCGAAGTGTTGTACTGGAAAGACAAGACGTCTCGGCTGAAAGTGCCAATGCTACCGTCTGTAAGCCGCGCAGTCATGAAAGGAGAATATCGGCTGCTTACTAATAAAAGGCGAAGTAAACGCCCCAAAAGTTCTAGACAGCGTGAGAAATGAAATAGCCCGGCACTGGATAGAGACACTATGACTTACAAAGAACATGCCGATGGTAAACAAAGTATATGGCGTTTCCTTGAACGCTGACAATTCGACCAATGGTCCGGAACGCCGTGGGCGAATCCTGGAACGCATCAAAATGTTCGCGACAAGCAGCGTAGTCAGTTGTACCACAGCCATCGACCTCATAGTCCACGCAAATCCAATCTTAGAGAGGAGCTGGCGTGCCATAACTGGGTAGATCATGCCTCCGGTGGCCGAGCCGCTGATGGCGATGCCAATAGCCAGATTTCTTTTGCGACTAAAGTAAGTCGACAAAACAGCCATCACAGGACAAAAGAGGCCACCCATGCCAAGGCCAATGCAGATGCCCTGGGAGAGGAACAGCTGCCAGTACGCGGTGGAGAAGGATGCCATCAGGCTCCCAAGCACTACAAACGCCGAGCCTACAGCCAGGACAGTGCGGAAGTATCCCGCGTCCGTCAAGCGGCCGGTAAAGATGCCGACCACAAACAAGATGAAGACTTGCATCGAGCCAATCCAACTAATGTCAGAAGCAGAGTTGGGCAGAGACTCTATGTAGTATGATTGGAAGATGCCAAAGGAGTTGATTGTCCCCCATGTATTGATGATGACTAGATGGGCAGACAAGGCCTGCAGCCAAGCTGCCCTGCCACCGTCCGGCGGGGGCGAGTCGATTTCAACGGCCGAGCCTCTTTTTGTTCCGGCTTCTATCGGGGCCTCGTTCTTTTCAGTGTCGATGGGCCGGGATTGTTCGAATATGGACGAGTCGGAAGGTGTTTCTGTTATGTATTCCTTGTTCCTGAAGCCATCGGGCAGCCAGGGAGGAGGTGAGGACGAACGAGAGGACGCCATAATGCTCGGCAAGAGGCCACTTTGAGTGTACGATGGCTTTGAACGCTATCATCTTGAACACCTCTCTTGAAACAGCCACAGGCGTCACTTATAAAGCCATTCTCTTGTATATCATTATGGACCCACCAGAGTTGAAAATATCTGAAAGGCTCCATTATTGACACCGAGAACGAGATCGCTCGCCGGGAATAGCCGTTGGTACCCAGTGAGAGAGGATGCGCATCGCCTGAGGGCAGTCCGTATTTTACCCTAAAACGACCGCATTTCCAATAGCACTAGAACGCCTTATCTCAATATCACGATATGAAGGCATGAAGTTTCCCGACTAGGGAAGATAGGTGGAGACCAAAGTCTGCCGAAACTACCCAAAGGGTTTCCCGATAGCGCATTAGCCGTGATATCACTACATCTAGGAGGATAGCGCCTAGTCCCTTAATCTTCGGAAAACGTGTCTGGCCGAGCAATGCAGTCTCTTCAACACTTCAGCTCCATTGTGATAGTTGCATATTGCAATATTGATGAGATAGAGATGATCATACATACAGTGGGAACAAATCAGCTTGGTAGACGTGGTGCACCCCGGCAATCAATGGTGAACACTGAAAACTCCCTATGCTCCAAGTTGAGCGGTGTTCAACCTCCTTCCTGACTTCCTTTGGGGTATCGATGTCCCAAATCAGTCCAAAACTCCGGAATCCATGTGGCAAAACAAAACAAAATGGCAAAACAAGTCATGATATTGTTTAGAGAACTCCCTCCTTGGCAAATGGCATGTTTTTCTGACAGCCTCACGTGGTTTGTTAGACTTAGGCCCACCCTCATCATCCGCTACTCCCCCGTGTAACTTCATACGTCGGCTTGGGCCTCTGTTCCGAAGATGCTTCGTAGCAGAATATATCAGGTACATCCAATGTTGGAGGTACTGGTCGTTCGAAAGAAGACGAATCTCGCCGGGCGTCTGCAGATATGGCCACTAGCTTCCCGTGCAATAATTCCGCCGACACGCGCTCCTCAGGCTTGACCTTAAGCAACTTGCGTTCCACAATTCTGATGATAGTCTGTAGAGGGGAATGAGGGAATCTGGGGTGGTGTGATAGAGCCTGAATTGTATGCAACACCACGGGATGGACCTGAACGCGATCTTCGATGTCATTCCTGGTTCGATTGGCGTCGTCAAGCTCTTGGTAGTAGGTTTGGTAACCCCCTCGTGCTATCTGGCAGCTAGCCACGGCTTTGAAGTCGTAGAGAAGCCATATGACGCATTCCAGCATGACGCAGCCCATTGACCAGCAGTCATATTTCCGCGACCGAGGTGCTAGGCTGCGAATACGCTCGATCGCCTCCGGAGCTTCGTAAATTTTGGTCGAAGCCTTGGTATCAGTTGCTTCGTGCCTCAAGCCGGTTGCATTCTTGTGAATCCTGGAGACGCCGAAATCGGCGATCTTCAAGGTACCGAGGGAAGGCCCCTCCATAAAATGGAGGATATTGGACGGCTTTAGATCTCCATGTCGACAGTTCTGAGTGTGAATTGCTTCTAATGCGTGCGACAGACCTGTCAGCTGTTCCAGCGCCCACAAGAAAACATCCGTTGACCGTGGCAGGTTTAATGGACCATGTTTCTCCCAAAAGTCGTGGAGGTTTCCGCCCTGAGCCCATGGGAAGAATATGCAGTACGCTTTCTCAACCGTAGCCGATACTTTGATCAGGTGATCATTGTTGGAGTTCGTGAACTTAATCAGGTTGCGCAGTTCGTCCTCAAACGGTTTCTTCTGTCCTGTCTTCCCATCCTTGAATTGTTTGATGGCAAAGCAGGCAGGGCGTACCTTCATTGCAGGGGACTTGACCTCCTGTCTCCATGTGAGTAGGTGTGACCAAATCAAGTCAATATGAACTCACCCTGTCGTCATTGTGTTCCACCTGATGTGACGGCCAGAGTTCTGCCTTGTAAACGATGCTGTACTTCGTCGCATCCGCCTCGGTGCAGTCAAAGGGCAGGCCATGTGGCCCAGAAATGGGGAGCTTAATAGTCTGATCGGGGTTGACGCCCACCTGCGGCACCCAGACCATCCACTGATTCCGTAGAAACCTATTTGGAAAGTTGATTCCCTGACATCTCTTGAATGCCCAAATTGGCCCTTTGTCGTTGCATGCGGAGTAAATGACATCACCTTTCTTTGATAAAGGAAGATCGTTGTCACATAGCCCGTCGGCCAGCAGCGTGTCAATACAATCCAGCCTGTCAAGAAGAACCAGGATTGCGATGACCTTGCTCGCTTGCTGGACTGTGTCCTCAAGGTTCCAATCCCAGCACGGCAGCAGCCATCGACCCCAGGTGTTTGGCAGCTCCTTCTTAACCCTTTCAGGCGTGATGTAGACACGTATCGCATCTGGGGGGATGTACTCGTGCTCGGTGATCAAACATCTCTTTTTGGCCTTGATGAGGTCATCCAAGAGACTATGCTCAGGAATGGAAGCTGTGCTCTCGTGAAGGCCCATGATGGAATGAGGTAGAAGGTTCTGTTGGGACATCCCGTGGATCTGGCAAGGGCCGCAATGCGAGTCCAGACTGAGATATATGTTGGGACTGCGCAGGTAGCAGCTGATGCTCATACCCCGCACAGCCTCTCTCTGACCATCCATTCCTCTCTGAATCCGGGCATGTATGGCAGTTCGCGTACCAATCAGCCTCTTGGCGATGTGATAAGCTGCTCCCCATGCAGGCGCCACTTAGGCAGAACCGTACTGCCGGCTGCATTCCATTCCTGCTGGTTGGCTAACGGTCTTGTGTGATTCTTTCACACCCAGAAAGAGAAGGCTGCGACAAAAGCCGGTATATCTTACAACGAGACCATGCCTTGAACTGCCGTCTGATGCTGTAGATGATACACAGCGGCATTGTCATCTGGGAAAGGTCGGCAATTCCGAATCTTGTTCTTTCTGACGCCATGCCCATCTGCCATCTATTGAGTGGGGACCAGTTTCTCGAGAGAGAAGCACCTAAACAAGCATTCAATCGCATTCCGGCTTTCAGGTCACCATCTCACAGGTCAGTTTCCGTTGTAGATTGATCCAATCAAGGATTCCCAGAGGGGCATACGGCAGATGTCATCTATCTCAGGTCACCTTGGAACAAAATATCCGTGGTCAGTCGTCACTCCGGCCCCCATTACTCCACCATTCCGTCTTACCGATTGACGCATCGGGGGTGCCTCTGAGCCCCTTCGTCGTGACAGAACTAGTAGCATGCCTTGAATCCTTCCAAGGGTCTTTGCAACATAGCAATAAATTGGAGGCTGTGCTCGACGCACGCATTAGAAAAAGTCGCCGTACAGGATAGAATTATTCAGAAGTCCAGTCTCCCACATGATGACGGTTAGCTGTGGTATCGACTTTCCTCATTGCAGGGGTGAGGTGAGTGAATGATAAAGCTGATAAGGACGCCGCGAACCATTGGGTCACGACGCAATCAAGTGGGTAGGGTTGTTGGCTTCACAAACCCCCATTTCCAAGGTATCTTCCGGTCAGAAAGAAGTCTTCGGTACCCGGACATGGGAAGCTCAAGCTCCTGTTCCACTCAAGTTTTCTTCAATGTTCGCTCGGACACGCGTATCATCCGTCTAGCCCATGCTCGGAGAGCGACAGTGCATGAGCTGTGCCCGCAGCTGCACGTCATCATCAAATCAGGGACTGGGCCAGTGTGCTCAACCGACCATTGGTGAAACAAATCGACCGCGATTGTACGTACTTCGATGTTCTGACGGCCACCGAGCTTAGCTGTGGAGCCCGTTCAAACTGATTTGATGGCAGCCCACGCCTGATGGACACCACTCTGAGCGAAAATGCATGTTTGGGCAGACATGCATACATGTATGTGTAGGGTTCCTCCGCTCATGCGTGACCATGTACCCGCTTCTCCACCGTCTGGCCGTGCTTTTGCAGGTACAACGACGGACAAAGAGGAATGTGTTGAGCATGCAGCGAGAGAAACCTCTGTCAAGAAATCAGTGGATGAGTTTTCCTTCGACCGGTCGATGAGACAAATGAATCAGAGCCCGATAGTCGACGGTATCGGACGAGCATGACAGAGAATTTGCTACAATCGGAAGGGAGGAGACTAATTTCGGTGTGCACATGGTGGTTTGATGCTACACCAGAAGGATTTTGTGCTGCACATCTTTTTGCCACTCGCGAACTGCTGTGTCATGGGTGCTGGCTTGTCGCTTGTGGCGTCACACTGCTGAGACTGCGTTGGGTCCCCACCACGGAGACGCTCCATGAGTCTTAGTGACTTGCTTCTTGTGGTTCTGCATATCTCCATGCTTCGGAGCTTACAGCTGCCATCCGGTCCAGTCATACTTTCCCCTAGATGAGGGGCTTCATGGCGGCACGATCCTGCATTCCGAGGCGGGTTTATGCTCTGCTTTGCCAAATAAGAAGGCCTGTTTCGGCCAACGCCCCCCACATGAGTCCACGTCAGAACATACAATTCTGCCTTGCGCCTTTTTATGATACGGCCGGTTAGATACAGGCATATTCGTTCCCGATGAGAAGAAAGCGAAGCATTTGTTATTGGTCCGGCTTTGTGTTCAAGGTGTGTGTTGTTTCTTCTGCAGGAAATGCGGTATGCGGAGTCCTGATCCTTGTTCAAATCGCCGCAGACTTTGAGGCAGTTCTTGGAGAGACAATTGCATATCATTCAAAGGGTATTCCGCCCCTTGTGTCTCAAGTCGGGCAACAACGAGCAGCTTGATCTTGCAGGCCACATCTTTCAGAGCACTTGCGAACAGCCCGAAGGATGTCATGAAGAGTACCATCCCTTCCAGACTTTTGAATCCAATACTGAACCGCCATCGTTTCTCGAAAAGAAGGCACGTACCAAGCAGAAGAAGACTGGGAAGGGCCCTACCATGGCTGGCGAACTCAATAAACTTCGCACAATATTCACTGGAGTTCGGGAAAGAGAACCAGAGAAGCCCCAAGAACGTTTCATAGCACACTCTGAACTGAAGGCCCACCTGAATGTCGGCGTTGTGCGTGCAATCATTGAGGGTGCAGAATGTTGTCGCGGGCTTGAAGGGAAAATCGCCAATTACGTCACAGAGCATGCGCTCGCGATCTTCGCCACACTTATCATGCTGGAAGAGCCTGACTTGATCGAGTTATTCTATGAGGAGAAGATCGACGACGGCTATCTTCCCGTTAAGATCAATGGGCTGGGAAGAGATTTTGTTGTCAAACCATATCGTCCTGTGGCTGGCAACTCCAACGCCCTGGAAAAAAAGTTCTGTGACAAAGTCTGGAGGCGACGCCGCGACGCCGAGATGTTCTGTGATTACCAGTGGCTATTCTTACCGCAAATATTCGTCGAGAATCAATTTCGATACCAAATACTAGGGAAAACACCTCTGCCATTCACCGAGGTCCGCCGGAAACTAAAGGACGGCGATACAAATTACAGCTGTGTAGAGGAGAGAACCATCCATCGGGACTGTTTCCCAGCGACTATTGTGAGAATATCCCTACATATGAATGCAACGGCAGCTGAAACGTTTCAACAAAACTGACGTGGTTCTAGCAAACTGCGAGAGACCAGAAGGGCAACCCCCGAGTTGCTTTCAAGAAGTTGATGTCCGAGAAGGCTGACGACGCCGGCAAGGAGGCCTCAGCACTCGAGGAAATCAAGCGCCTTTCAAGTGTGCACTTGGTCAAAGCCATCGCTTACATCTTCGACGAGAGCGGGACTAACCACTCGTTCTTGTTTCCCTGGGCTGAACATGGGAATCTGTGGGACTTTTGGACCCGCCAAGAGACAGTGCCAAGGACTCGAGGCTACTTTGTGAGTGTCTTTAGACAACTGGTCTGTTTGGCCGACGCCATCAACGAGCTTTCGGATGTCAACCTGCGACATGGTGACCTGAAGCCTGAAAACATTGTGTGTTTCAGTGCAGACGATGGCCTCCCTGCTGGAGACAAGACGGAACCCGACGCAGTTATCAGACTCGTCATCATCGACGTCGGCTTAGCCAAGTCCCATGCTGAACTCACTCAGCAGCGCGGCACGACCGACACAATGGTTTCAACTCGAAGATACGCAGCGCCCGAGATTGATACGAATAAAGCTAGATCGTGGCGTTTTGACGTCTGGTCCTTGGGATGCATCTATCTGGAATTCGTCATCTGGCTTCTCTATGGGGTGTCAGGTCTGACGGAGTTCACCACAAGCCCTCAAGAGCAGTCGGAGAAGGATAAGTTCTACACTACTAGAACAGATCCGAAGCTTCAACCGTCAAGACAGCCCTCACAGATCATCGAACGTCATCCGAGAGTGGACAAGATTATCGCCAAAATTAGAGGAGATGCTCGTTGCTCGAATAACACAGCTATTCGTAGGTTTGTCGATTTGATTTCTAACGACATGTTAGTTATCGACCTAAGCAGCGAAAATTATGAGAGACCTGCAGCCAAGGAAGCCTCGAATTGTCGATGTATGCGTCACCAGGCAGAGAGTGGCAGCAGCCCTTCGGGACCGTTTGGTTCAGTACAGCAAGCGCCCAACCCAGCAGCTCAGTTGGGAGCTGCAGGGGACGAGGGTCAGAGTACGGCAGTGCCCAAAGTGCTCATCCGTCCAGCGACTATTCATCGGGCACCGACAACAACTGATCAAGATCTCCAGATGAATCCCACCAGGCCCGGTCGCCGCTATGCACGACCCATAAGGCGTGCCTTGGACAGTATTTTTGCCGACCTTGAGCACGAACTCATCGATCCTATTGCACGAGAATACTTGGACCAGTCGCGCACTGCACTCCATCCATCCTCTCCTAAGGGCACAGGCATGAATCTTGCTGTTCGCACTTTGAAAGTATGGGTATTCTTTTTATTTTCAATTCTATGCACTTCCAACTATCATGAACGTTGCTGACATTGTGTGCCATAGCGCAATGTGGGTTCTCCGGGCTGAAGATGAAATCCATTCACAGGCTTACAATGTCTGTTTCTCAAGGATGTAAGTCCCCACTGTTAAACACTCGAGGACGATAAATCTGATGGCACTGTATGGCAAGTATACCGTGAGTGGATGCATATAAATCCGGTGAGATGCGACCGCGCCTCAACTAACCATGCTCTGGATACCAATTTCAAGAAGGTGAAATTCCAGATCTTTACTGCTTTGGGGCTGCTGGAGACTGATAAAAAATTGGAATAGTTTGTTCGTCCCCCAAGCCTCTGTTCCAACATGTGTGAGTAATTTTGTTTGGCGTTGATTGTGGCTGACAGAAACTCACAGTCAGTGAGTTTCACCTCCCATGTCATGGTAATGGATGACCCCCTGACATGGGCTTTTGCTCAGCCAGTAAGCATAGAAAGACTCGATTGCTCCAGGTCCCGGTGCTTTGCGTTAATATCGATTCAGCTGAACGATCTGTGGGATTACACACCCGATGAGAAACTTGCAAAATTAGTCTTTATAGGCTTGGATGTCCGTCCCCATTCCGGATCCTGGGCCAATCCCTCCAGGCTCTGTGGGCGATGCCACAATCTACCACTTTGGTCACCTGTTTGCGGTTTTCAATACTCACGGGCTGAATTAGCAGAGAGCGTTGGTCAAGGCTGTGGTCTCTGTACCCTACTTCTCGGAGGACTCGAGGGGCGAGTTGGTGATCAAGACAAACGCCATATTCGATTCATACGATCAGGCTCTTACCTCACTCTTGAGAGTGACCGGAAGAAGCCTGTCATCAATCTTTACAGATTGCCTGGTAAGTTCTTCAAGCGCTGAGTGCCTTGCTATCTGCGGTATACCCCGTTGACACGCTTAGGAGACCATGATATTTCGCTGCAGCATGTTCAGATAGGGCTTCCAGAGTTATCCAATGCTGGGAGCGAGGTGCACTTGAGTATTATGCGGGCATGGATGCAAGACTGCGACAAGCACCACCAATGTTATCGTGACACAGGAAATTTTGTGCCAACACGCCTGTTGGATCTTCGAGACGAAACCAATGACAGTGTGAGACTCGTGACGCACCAGGAGGGTCCGGTCCAGCCACTCGAGTATATTGCGCTATCACACAGATGGAACCCATCACCAACAGTGACTGAGTTCCGCACTCTGAATTCCAATATCGAGCAATTGAGAGAAGGATTCCCAGTAACGGATCTCCCGACAACATTCCAGAACGCCGTACGCATCGCCCGTGGCCTAGGCCTCTATTTCCTGTGGATTGACTCTGTTTGTATCGTTCAAGACGATGCCGACGACTGGAACCGAGAGTCCAGGCTCATGGAACAAGTTTTCAGCTCCGCGTACTGCACGATCGCAGCGAGCTGCTCGACTGGCAGCGCCGACGGCTTTCTCAAAAAGCGGCCCGCAAGACGAATTGCGACACTGCCTGGACCCAACAGTGGCGGCCCGAATTACTTTGCGTGCGAGGCCATCGACGACTTCTTTCGGGATGTGGACCAGAGCGAGCTCAACCAGCGGGGTTGGGTTCTGCAGGAGCGCGCTTTATCGCGGCGGACCATCTACTTTGCCGAAAGGCAGTCATACTGGGAGTGCGGAGGTGGCGTCCGATGCGAGACCATGACCAGAATGAAAAAGTAAGTACAGACATCTCCCAGCATCGAGTACATGGGGCCCAAATTTAACGAGGTTGGCGACATTTACAGTCGCAAGGCATCCTTTCTCGGCGACCCCAACTTCCCACAGTCTGTCGACAAATATGTCAAGGGGCAGAAGATCGAGATTTTTCAGGACTTGTACCAGCGATACTCTCGACTGGGCTTGTCATTTCCGTCTGACCGGCCCATTGCCATTCGAGGCCTCGAGAGCAGACTCATCACTGCATTTGACACCACGGGCGGCGTGGGTATATTCGACGAGTACCTGCATAGGTCTTTGCTATGGAGACGGGCTGGCGATAGACTTAAACCTATCACCGATTTCCGTGGCATGCCCGTACCTTCTTGGTCATGGATGGCGTACGAGGGTGCCATTGACTACCTGGACATCCCTTTTGGCAAGGTTGATTGGTTCAAGGATGTCAAATCTCCGTTTGTCAAGAATGCTGACCGGGACGACACGGAGAAGCAGAGATCAGATAGTCAAATTGGTTCCGACGTTTCGCTAGAGTTAGAAGCGCCAGTTTGGAATCTCGCGGGCGCTAGGGATTGGGAGCTGGCTATAGATGAGCCTAGCAAAGAGTTCGAGGAGCCCCTCAGATGTGTGGTGCTCGGGAACAGCGAGGCACCTCTGACCCTGGAACAGCCCCAGATATACTGGGTGTTACTCGTCTGTCGCTGCATGCCTGTCTCTGGGGATGTTGCTTATGCCAGAGTCGGTGTCGGGTTCATTCAGAAGCGCCACATAGACTTGGAGACCGAGCTGGGTATATTTCGGATACGTTAGGTTGTGCTGTTACGAGTATTCACACTTGTTGGAGTTTATTTCTCTTGCTTTTTTATTTATGTGGTTTGTTCCTAGTCCTGCACTCTCTGGTGGGTAGGTCGGCGTGTTTGCCGATAGAATACACAAAGATCAGACTGTTGTATAAAGCCAGTCACTGCGCCCATGGTGAATTCTTTTCCGCCCATGGTCCCTTTATCCGCAGGTTTTGACATCCACGAGTGGAGCTTTTCCGCTCTCGGCGTTGTGGCCCGCAAAGGCGACGCCCATGCCGGGTCCGCAAATCGGGGTGAGAGTGAGGAGCGACTTCCAGTCCGTCGATCTTTCGAACCCCGCGTTTCTGCCTCAGTACCTATTCTTAATTCATCACCGCTAGCCTTTATTTGCTTCGTCGAGCTCGAACTCGAAGTTTCTTTCTGTTTCCCTCCCTTTCATTTGCTTCCTGTTGTTGCTCCGGCTGTCGACAATGGCCAAGGCGGTGACCACTCTTCGCTCCGGCTGGGAGTTCTCCCCAGTCAACTCCGACCATATTCCCGAGACGCGCGATCTCGGTGTCCTACCGGCGCGTCAACTCCCTTCCGAGGTTTATCTGGACCTCTTGGAAAACGGAAAGATTGCTGATCCGTACCTGGACCTCAACGAGCTGGACGCCCGGTGGATCGGCGAGTGTGGCTGGATCTACCACACCACCTTCGCCGCTCCAGCTGGCTATGGCGACGAGGGTAGGACCACTGATCTCATATTCGAGGGTCTCGACACATTTGCTACTGTTCTTATCAACGGCAAAGAGGTCCTGAAATCGGACAATATGTTTGTGTCCCACCGCATCAACGTGGACGGCCACCTTGTCGGCGACAAGAACACCCTGGAGGTCCGGTTCGAGTCGGCACGCCAGAAAGGCTTGCAACTACTCAAGGATCACCCGGAGCACAGATGGATTGTGCATCAGACCGAGCTTAGCAGAGGCCCCGTGCGCAAAGCGCAGTACCACTGGGGCTGGGATTGGGGCCCGATCACACTGGGTTGCGGTATCTGGAAGCCCGTGTCACTAGAGGTCTACTCCACTCGTATCGAGGACGTTGCAATTGATTATACTCTCGGCAAGGATCTCAAGACCGCCGATATCAAGATAGCCATCGCAACAGCTGGGAAACAAGCTGGGGCCGCAGAAATTGAGCTCGCGCTTGATGGCAAGGTTGTCTACAGCAAGAAGCTGGAGTCTGCTACTCCTGGACCAGACCCGGACGAATCAATTTACGACGTGTCGTTCAGTCTCGATCATTTTAAGCTCTGGTGGCCGCGAAATTACGGCGAGCAGCCGCTGTACACCTTGAAAGTAACGCTCCAATCTCAAGAGGGCACACAGACCCTTGACGCAGTAGAGAAGCGCATCGGCTTCCGTAAGGCGGAGTTGATCCAGGAGGAAGACAAGTGCGGGACCTCATTCTACTTCCGAGTCAACAAAGTCGATATTTTCGCTGGTGGCTCTTGCTGGATCCCTGGCGACAGCTTCCCTACTCGCATTACCGACGACAAGTACCGCGAGTGGGTTAAACTGGCGGCCGAAGGCAATCAGACACTAATCCGGGTCTGGGGTGGTGGTATCTACGAGTCCAACGCGTTCTTTGCTGCCTGCGACGAATTTGGAGTACTGTCTATGCAAGACTTCGGCTTTGCCTGTGCCAGCTACCCGACCTACCCTGAGTTCCTGAAGAGTATCGAACTTGAGGCCCGGCAGAATGTACGTCGCCTCAGACACCACCCGTCGCTGATCATCTGGGCCGGCAACAACGAAGACTACCAGCTCATCGAGAGATACAATCTCGAGTACACGTTCAATGACAAGGACCCGGAGTCATGGCTCAAGACAAACTTTCCTGCACGCTACATCTACGAACATCTGCTCCCTAAAGTCATTGATGAAGAGACCAAGGGCACAATATACCGCCCCAGCTGCCCCTGGGGCAACGGCCTTTCTACTACCCAGGTTGTCGATCCGACGGTAGGCGACGTGCATCAGTGGAATATCTGGCACGGGGTGATAGCCCCTTACCAGCACCTGCCGCAATTAGGGGGCCGCTTTGTGTCCGAGTTCGGGCTCGAGGCCTACCCGCACATGCACACGCTCGAAAAGTTCATCACGGACCCGACGCAGCGCCATGTTGGATCGCGCACGATGGACTTTCACAACAAGGACATTGGTCACGAACGCCATCTCCTAGGCTATACAGGCGTGAATTTCCGCCTCAAGTTTGACTTGGCCGCCTTGGCGCACCTGACGCAGGTAATGCAGTCGGATGGTGTGACCTGGGCGTACAAGATGTGGCGCAAGATGTGGGGGGTCCCAGGCCAGAGACAATGCGGAGGCGTGCTTGTGTGGATGCTGAATGATAGCTGGCCTGGGATCAGTTGGTCACTGGCTGATTACAACCTCGTGCCGAAGCCGTCACATTACGCTGTGAAGCGACTCATGGCCCCGATTGCGGTTGGCGTGAGCCGCAAGTTCTTTGACTGCACGACGCGGCCAATGGACGAGACGTGGAAGAGAAACACCGCCCATGTCAATCCTCGGCTCGCCAACGAGGACGTGGTGTATGATGTCTGGACTGCCAACTCGAGGCCTCAAGGCAGAAAGGGTACCATCGTGGTCAGGTTCATCAGCGTTGACACCGGGAGGGACTTGCTGGAGCCGTTGACCAAGGAGATTAACATCCTGGCCAATGCTACGACGGACGTCGTGGCCAAGCAGAAGCTCGACGTACCTGCTGAAAACGGCAAGAGTGAGTCGTCCGCCATAGTCATCCATGCTACGCTTCTGGGCGAGGATGGGAAGACTGTCCTGCACGAGGATATGTCCTGGCCGGACCCGATCAAGTACCTCGACTTGTCCGATAGAGGACTGGAGGTGTCGGAAGTTAAGAGCGGCAAGGTGGAGATTTCGGCCAAGAAGCCCGTCAAAGGCTTTGTGTTCGACGAGGTTCCTGGCCTTAAGTTGAGTGACAATGGGTTTGATATCGTGCCGGGTGTGCAAAAAGTTGTCGAAGTTAGTGGTAACGATGGTAAGTTGACATGGAAGGTCGTTGAGGGATAGGAAGCTAGTATAAATAAAACGAGTATTGTTTCCTATGATATCCTATAGATTGAATTCCATGGGCCTCAGTCGTGAGCTTCATCACAAAATGTAATGAATGTTGTTCATGGCATGCTTGATCAAGTAAAGTCCATTATCGGCCAGTAAAGATCTTCCAGCTGCGATGAATCCAAGTACTTGCCTTCGTCTGACCCAGGTCCACGTTGCGATAAGAAAGCCTCCAGATTAGGTTCATTTAGAACTGCATCCGAGATTTGGGCAGTGAAAGAGTCAACGTCTGTGCGTATGGAATTTGCGGGAAGCCTGGACGCATGCTGAACGTCGGTCGGTCTAGAGTCTGCGTTGGAAGCCTGTGACAGGACACCCTGCATGTCTCCCTTGATCGCTTCAAGATGTTGTGAGAACTCTGCCGCCACTACGCTTCCAGATCTGACCAGTTCCTGCATCAACTGCTGAGCGAACTCGAAAGCATCTTGGTCTTTTGAACCACCGGGGCCATGCAGAAAGTTAGATACGGCGTGTATCGTGGCTACGGAAAACAGATACTGGGTCTGAGTATAGTCGAATGTCTTGAATGACCCGTCAATCCACGACTGCGTTAGGATTGAGTAAGTGTGTCTTGCTGAGCTTACGCACGCTTGTGACAGTGCACCTAAAGCATCTGAAGTACCCGTGCTCATCTTTACTTGTCCAACAGGACTTCCTCTTTGGCGCAGTCGGACCATGTCCAGGAGAACTGGACGAGTGGTGATGATCACGCACTACCAGTGTTAGAACATCCTCAGCCCGCCTGAATCTAATCGGGGAATTGCTTACTTGGTTAAAAAGTAAATGTAAAGACTTGACATCCTCGCGCCGACAATGGCTCGATGTAGTGTCCACTAGCAGGTTCTCTGGTAGACTTTGATGCCAGTGCTTGAGGTCTCGCAGCGCAGCCTGGACCCGCCGTAAAAAGGGCTCGTCGTGTCTTCCCCGACCATAAAGAGAGCTTCTGATTCCCCTTAATAGTTTTACTAATCGGATCGTCGCACACATACAACCGGGATCTGCAAAGTCGGCTTGATCCGCCTCGGCAAGACCAGCGTTGGTTGGAGGATCTACCAAAACCTCGTCATCTTCTATCCGAAGCATCTGCCCCGCGTTGACGGCGCAGATGATTTCCAGTATGTATGAGGTCCACCATACCCGACGCAGGTGTTCCCTAGTCGCAGCGTCCGGAATGCTTGCCTCTGGGATGTTGAAATGCAGGCCCATTACAGCACAATGACGAAGTGCGGAGCTCGCTAGAAAATATGCCGAATGCCACCTATTGATGCAGAGAGAATACAAGGACTACAGGATTTGATCAGTCGAAGCTTCTAGAAGGCGCGAACAAAAGCTTACCAGAAGCAGCGTAACCTCAATACTGTCCACGGACGGACGTTCGAGGAGACATCCATATGACTTGAAGGCGAGACTAAAGTACTGAAGGCCGGGCGGATGGGCGTCCGATGCTCGGCAGTGACTTGAGTATAGCTCACCCATAGCAAATAGTGCAAAGATCTTGCTCTGCGAAAGGGAATCTAAAGTTTTATTTCCTTCGAGGAACCGGTCCAGGAGAGCCCAGACAGAGCGGCTGCGCACAATGTGGTAGCCGTTGTCAATGTTGGCCAACGCCGCTTGCACAAGGAAATGTGCTCTTGTCGCACTTGGGGTTGAGACCCCAGTCTCAGATAGGATTGCGATTTGCGTCTCAGTAGGGTATTGAATGCGAGGAGGATGTCTGGTAGGAACGTTCAAGACCGATTGACGAAATCGGGTAGCGAATGCTGTGTCTGCTCCTTCGCCGACTCGAAGAGGAACACTGAATGAAACCTGCTGAACGAACCACGGATTATCGCCGAGGACCGGGTTTTGGCTTGAGTCTTCATCTGGGGTGGTTGCATGCTCCTCGGGTTTTGAGACGGTATGAAATAATAGGGGGGCAGTCTCCCTGGCCTGTAACGAGCGAATGGTCGTTCGCAGAGCGTGATTCTGTTGCACGATAGAGTTGAGATAGCTATGGGCTGTCAACATGAGACTCTACAACTACACCGTTTAGGGAGAGAAGCCAAGCAAACCTTTCACTGACTCTGATCTGTCTATCACGTTTGGGGTAGACACACTCGTCTTGACAGGCCATTTGTACACAGGTCATGCAGGGCTGGCCTCCTGGGCATTTGACTTTTCGAGAATGGCATTTGCGACAACTTGACTGAGTGTTAGATCAGTACCGGCCATGCTAATGAAGCACTGCACTTACGCTACAGATTTTGCCTTTCCCACTGAGGGCGGAAGTTCGACGTCAGAGGTGGTGAGAACCGACATGGTGTCAGGGAGGTCTGGAGGTACCGGGCAGCGGAGCAAGCCAAAGCCGGTACTGGAATTCGGATGAATGCCTGGCCCCGTTGCCATTGGCCTCGTCAGCAATCACAACAACGGCCGAGACCTGTTCGCAGGATAGAGCTTGAAGGAGCAGTGGTCATCCGGCCCCTGATCGGCCTTTTGATTCTGCCCCGAGTGACCGCCCGGAATTCTAGTAATTCTAGAAGTCCATTGCTGAGTCATCTTCGGCCGTTTCCAGCTCACGCCGACAACGGCCCTCAGCTTCTCAGTCATATTCAGACTGTGTACAGTGAACTCTCACAGTTTCATTTTAAGAGAGTGCCATGTTAGCTGAGACACCCTTGATAACGCTGTAGCGTCACCACAGAAGACCATGCCGAACCCTCCCCCCCAAGACTTGGTGATTCGACAGGCCATCTCAGTATCGGACATTGATGCGGCCACGAGTTGCTTCCGCGCATACACGGAGTGGCTGAACATGGACCTGGCCTTCCAAGATTTTGGGACCGAGATCAGCACCTTGCCCGGCAAATATGCCGCTCCCAAAGGCGCCCTCTTGCTCGCGTGCGATCCTTGCTCACAGGAAGTGCTTGGCTGCATTGCTATGAGACCGCTCGATTTGCAGCCGGAGTTCCGAACCAAAAGACGGGCCGATGCTAAATACTGCGAGTTGAAGCGGCTCTACGTCTATCCCTCTGCCAGAGGACGGAATATTGCGAGGCGGTTGGTGGTTGAAGCTCTCCGAGCCGCGAAGGACCAAGGTTACAACGAGGCACTCCTCGACACGCTCGAGTCAATGACCGCAGCCATCTCACTTTACAGGTCACTCGGTTTTGAGGAGACAGAGCGGTACTACCCAAACCATGGTCAAGGCTTTATCAACATGTCTAAGAAAATTCACCAATGATTTCAGACTTATTTGATGGGTCTATCACATAGATGGTTGCATTTCTGACAGGCGCTATAGAATAGATAATGGCGCATCCGTGTTAATCAAAGTTCTAGGCGCTTGTTATCAACATGAAATTTCCTTTTTGTACTAGGGGGAACCAACTCAGCCCCGGGCTTAAACCTGATTTATCGCTAATTGCTTGAAGATGAACATCTCGCTGAGAACAATGACAATAGCCTCTTAGCTTACGGCAGCTCCGCCCTATGCCATTCGCCGAGCATCTCGTGACTATTGCTCTTGCTAGGTAGTTCATGTCTACACTCGGCGTGTAGTTCTTGCCGGGTGGCACTGGACAGCTCTGCGAAGGGAGACTTGTTTCCATCATCCAGGTAATGGACCTCATCTTTGGTTTCCAGCTCGTTGGGGAGGCTAACGCATTGTTCTTCAAGAGCCAGAGCGGCTCGTGCTTGGCGCTGCCGTCTCAAATACCACCATAGCAGAACTCCAACCAAAGCCAGGGTGGCGACACCTCCGATTATGCCGCCTACTATTGTAGCGACAGGCCTTTTTTCTTGTGACTTGAGGGGGTTGTTTGTTGATGCCGAACTGTTTGATGGGTGGGAACTTCTGTCTGGCGCCAAGTTGGTAAGAAATAGATCTCGGACTTCTTTCGAGTCCCAAGACACTGTGTCAAGCCCGCTGCAATTATTTAGTCTCAGAAATTCTGTCAATTGGGTCAATACTCTTGGAAGGCCGGCTCACCCGCTCGAATACCACTGGTTTACGTCAATCGGACTCTCATAAGCCGCAGCTTGAGGATCATACCCATCGCTCCAGGCTAGAGTCGATAGATCGAGCACGCCGATGCCCTGAGACCATGGGTCCGGACCAGCACCGGTCCAGAAGGGACCGGGTGTCTCCAGCCCGCCGACAGAAATCATCTGACGATTCCCAGCCACCGCGCAACCGTGGAGCCATCGCCCGGGACTGTCAACATTGGCCTTGAACCATCGAAATCCCGGGATGGTTAGCACGTAGATGTCTCCATATGCGCCTTCCTTCCGGGCAGACTCATTGATGCCCCCATACATGAAGCTAGGAGCCAGGTTAATTCGGTACATCGTCTGATGCCATGTACGAGTACTTGACTTACATCTCATAAGTTCCGTTCCGACTAGCCACACCGACAGAACAAAACATGGACCGGGGTGGTGGAATCGACCCCGAGGCCATCTGCCAGCGCCACTTGTCCGCTTGCGGGTCGTAGAAGGTGACGTTGCTGAACGACGCAAAGTTTGCAGTATCCAGCTGCCTCTGCCCGCCCATGAAGAAGGCGAGGTGTTTCGAAGCAACCCCAGGGGGCATGCACACAGCTGAACCCCAGAACTGGCCCACCTGAGGAGGGATAGGGTCCGTTCTATTCGACCAAGTCTTCGAAGCCATGTCGAATAGAGCTAGTCCGGAGACCGGATAGCGACTCGTGCCTTGGAAATAGCTGTCGGTCGTATAGGTACCAAATCCTCCCTGGTGGAGGGCGACATTCGCGCAGGTCGTCGAGGAGCCATACACAACGCGGCGTATCGAGGCAAAGTCGCTCGGGTTGGCGGGGTCCTGCTCCTTCCATGCCCCCTCGCCGTTGGCGTCTGGATTCAGCGCCCAGAGCTTCTTTGCCTTTGCTCCAGCTACGTCACCTTCTGGACCCTCTCCTCCCCAACTGAGCAGTGTGTTCGATTCTGAGTGAACCCATAATTGAGGGCTGTTGACCGCCGGGACTGACCTTTTGGCAATGTGTCTCAAAATAAGAGTCGAGGGCTTCCAGGGGGTGGCTAGAGATATAGAGAGGGTTGCGTTTACTACATCAAAGAGTAACCTTTAGTAAAGACAGCATGAGAAAAAGCTAGCGATCTGTTTACCTGGTCTCGGATTCTCTTCCCCCGCTACGACGATCTCTCCACCCTCGATGTATAATCGGTCGTTCACAACGGCAACTAGGATAGATGCGTCTTCAGAAAGACGTGGCGACATGCGGGAAGTCATGATCTCTCTCTTACCAGCTGCCTTTGCACGCCTGTAAAACTGGTCTGGCGGGGGCGCATCCATCAGTATCAAGCTCCTCTCCAAGCGGCCTGCTCCAGGTGTGAGAAGTGGAAGGCGGAAAATGCGTCTACAGATGCAGCTAATAGACTGGGCAGGTTCAACGCTTCTATAGCGGCTGCTGCCATCGCCCCCACGACAAGCAGGGCAGTATCCTCGGCCCTTGGCCCCTGGCGACCATTCTCCCGGCCCAATGCCGCGAGCCTGCACCGTCTTCTGGTTGGGGCGACTGGGCTGGTCTACAGTCGGGGCAGGCGTCCTTAGGGGAGGGCAGTATTAATAACGGACTTGGGGATGAGCCCAATTCCACATCCGGTCAAGGGTGCTGCTATCATGCTGTCCCTGCAACCCATCTGACCAACCACGGCCAGACTGCTGCGCCTCTTGTTTGAAATGAGCGGTTACACGGAGAGATTAGGGCCCTTTGCCAGGGCAAAAGCGCCTCGAGCGCTTTGATACGGCGGCTATTTTCAGCCCTGCCAGCAACTGGAAGACGCGAATCGGTGGCAGGTTTGGTCTTTCATGATACAGCAAGCCACATTAGCAGGAACCTCTCGGATGACGAACGCTATAAGATAGTGAAGTATTCCATCTGAATGCTATGGATGGGAAGCATTCTGCCATGCGTTCGAGATGAAGCAATCGCGCTTGATGCCGAGTCTGTGGGTGGGCGACGTGGACTTGGGGATCTAAAGCTGACGCTGGATGGTGGCTGGTGGCTGGTGTACGCAGAGTCCGAGTTGATCTCACCAGAAAAGCGAGGGAAGGGGCAGCACCCACCGCTGACCTAGGTGCAGCAGGTAGGTACTCTGTAGGTACTCCGTAGGTAGTTTATGAGAGACACCTACGGAGTACAGTGCATATCCAGCTCTCCAGGCAATCCAAACCAGTTGTCCGTGTGTCCATGCATGGGGTTTGGGAGGTGGCTTGGTTGGACCGCTGTTCGCTTGGACAGCCTGGGAGGGAAGAATCCGCCTTGTCCAGGTCTGGACCAAGATGAGTATCTTCAGCTGAACGGGTCGGAGCCGAAGGCTTCGCTTCGAGCGGGGTGGAAAGGTCGTCGTCAATGAACATCGAATGTCATGTCATGTCATGTACCTATGTCATGGATGAAGTGTCAAACCAGACAGAGAGAGGGTGACTGTCGCGCGTCAGCTTTGCGGGGATAGCGGCCGCTGAGGGTCGGGCTAGAGGCTCGGGGCAGGTACCTAGAGGTAGTGGGTTGGGGGCGGTGCAACAGCGGATGGCCTCTCCGTTTTTAGGGCCTGGACTGGCCCCCTCTAGGGCTGCCCAGGTGCTCCTCCAGCTCCGTGCAGTCCGAGCTGACGGGGAAGTTCAGGACCTTCCGGGGCTGGCTGTCCCAGGAATAGAAAGAACATCATGTAGCTACCTGTTATTGATCCATGGATCCAGCCCTGAGAATCCAACCCAGAGAATCCAACCTAAACGGCTAGGTAGCGGTCTGACAGTGACAGCTGGGGCGAACCGGCAGGGGGGCGCCCATCATCATCTCAACCATGGATCCATGGATCATTAACTAACTACCTATACGGGTTGCTTGTCGCCAGCGCAAACGCCAAACGTACCCGTGGACCTCATCTCCAGAGCGTTCTCGTTTCCGCGCCATCGAGCTCTCCTCTCTCGGTCTTGGGCAGCCTCTGTCTGGCAGTTGATCTGTCAGATTTATTGACTACGGAGCAGCTGCTTTCGGCACGGCCATATCGCCATGAGCCAACACTGCCGTCCGCCAAACGCCGCCGTCCCGTCTGCTGTTGCTTGTGCTTGTGCTTGCGCATGCATGTGTGTATGCATGTGTGTATGCATTATCGGTCTTGGCAGAGAGCAAACGGCAAATCAAGGGGTCCGCCGCGGCGAGCCTGTCAGACGGATCTGCATCCAGAGACCCGTTTTCGGGGCGCCCTCCAGCATCCACAGGCCAGCTTGCCAGCCAGCCCAGCCCAGTGATAAAGAATAGCGACGAGGTGGAAGGGAAGCCAAGAAGCAAGAAGAACGGTTACGGTAAGCGGGGTGTAGCGTGGTGTGGTCGGATTGCAGGGGGCCGATTGCAGGGTATTTCAAATTGATGTGCATGCATGCCATTTTGTCATGATGGAGGAATTGGATCTGACAAGGATTGTCCAGCTTGGTTTCTTCTTTTCTTTCTTCTGGTCTTCTCCCCCCTCCCCGTCACGACGATTTCCCTTCGCTCCAGATATTCACCACCTCCAGTCCTGGACGGACGGCGTCGACTGTGCGGCAACAAGAACAACGAACAACAACAATATGCCCCCTCAGTGTAACCACCCCACATCAACGAGGTGACATCAATCTCCAAAGGCGACAGGGGAAAACAGGGAAAAAAGTAGAGCTGGAGGATTGAGTGCTGTTTGCATTTCGGCTGCCGAGCGAGCGCACGCGCCGCCAACCCGCACTGTTCGTGGCCGCATCTCCATCTGGCTCCAACGACAGACAGTTCGGGCTCGTCTCGAGGTCTCAGTCCAACAGACCAGAGCCGGCTCAAGTAGGGGAGGTGCAGGCCAGTTCTGAAAAGAGAGACCGGGCGACGTTTCGACTTGTCCATCATGGCTCCAGCTGCTTCTTATCTGCAGCACAACCAGGGCCACGATGGCCTCCATCGGCAAAGCCAGGATCCTGGAGTCGACGCGAGTCCTCGCGGCCCATCGCCCGACTCTTGCACGGAACCGTCACGCAATCCCTCCAGCGTCTCAGGCATGTCCAAATCCCAGAGCTGGTACTACGAGCCGGCCCCAGACCCTGCCGGTATGGTCGATTCCAAGAATCAGTACTCGTACTCGCAATACGCTTACGACGTCGCCTACCCTACTCCTGCTGCCAAGTCGGCCGCGGAGGACACCGACGGCGTGCATCTGGCCTCTTACCCTGTCGGCCCTGGTGCAGCACAGCAGCAGCAGCAGCAGCAGCAGCACTACGTCGAGCCCATGACCAATCCGCATCACCACGCCGGTTACCAGTACATTGACGCATCAGCGGCGTATGACCAGGACCCGTCGGGCCGGGTCGCGCATTTCCGTCGCCAGGACTCCCACGCCGGCCTGCTAGAGTACGCCCAGGACTCGCCGGGTTTCATGTACACGCCCGGCTCGGCGCCCTCGCCCTACTACTACAACGAAAACAACCACACCTTTGAGCAGCAACAGCAGCAGTACCAACAGGCACAGCATCAGCAGCGAGGACCAAAGCGTCCTCGTCGCGCATTCCATGGCTGCCTCTCCTGTTGCGCCCCGGGTTGGCGCTGGCGCTGGCACGACTCGTGGAACATGTACCTCTTCTTCCTCTTCGGCCTGCTCTGCGCCATCGGCCACCACATCTTCTACACCGTCCTCGACGGCCGGCCCTCGGGCACCGACAACCAGATCACCATGCTGCGCTACGGCACCGTCCTGGCCTACGCCTCCAAGGCCGGCCTCGCCGCCGCCGCCATCTCGGCCCTCAAGCAGCGCGTCTGGACCACAGTGCGCACGCGCCTCATGAGTGTCGCCGCCGTCGATGCGCTCTTCTCCGCCACCGAGGACATCCTGAGCATGTTCAACTGGGAGTTTCTCGGCGAAGCCAAGACGGCTGCCGCGCTTGCCTTTTTCGTCTGGTGAGTTCATGTTCCTTTCAGTCATATTCATATATATATATGTACCTAGTCTCAAATAGCAACTGCTTGGCCAGGACTGATACCAAACAAAAAAAGGCTCGCCCCCCTCGTCGTCATCTTGACGGCCAACACCCTCCTCGTCGAGTCCCGCACCATCAACGAGGTTGGCAAGTGCCCCGGCGTGCGCACCCTCAACTTTGACTTTGAGGCCACCACCGACTGGCGCAACGGTTTCCGCATCGACCGCCTCTACGAGATCTCCGTCTCCATCTGGAACACCACCCGGCCCGCCGATGCCGACCCCCCGCCCAAAGGGTGGTTCGACTACTACACGGGGCCCTCGCCCGCCTGGACCCAGCAGGCCACCATCGGCGCCTACCTCGAGCAGGTCGTCACCCGCAAGAACGCCTCCCTCGACACCTGCGGCTCCGGATGGAACTGCACCTTTGACGTCAGCTTCACGGCCCCGGGTTACAAGTGCACCGAGCTGGCGTCGGGCGTCGGCGCCAAGCCTGCCAAGCTGCAGCAGGAGTCCGGGAGCATCGCGTCGCCCATCGACATGGACATCCTGCTGCCCAAGGGAAAATACGCCTACTACGTCCACGCCTCCGGCGGCGACTACTCGCCCATGCAGATGAAGGACACGGGAACCGGCGGCGTGCCCACCACCGACCCGCCCTGGCCGCGCAGCTTCGGCGCCCTGCGCACCGAGCCCGTCATCTGGGTCGCGCACGCCACCTACGCCCACGGCACCGACTCGCCCGACACGCCGCAGGACAAGACCCAGCCCGGGTGGGGCGAGGCCTTCGTCCCCAAGATGTTCGCCTGCGAGCACTACGAGACGGCCTACACGGCGCGCTTCAACTACACCGACGGCATCCAGACCGCCCTCATCACGAACCGCGCCTTCCTGGCGCCCGTCATCAACACCACCTACGTGCCCGGCAAGGACGCCCGCGACGGCACCGGCGATAACACCACCGCCGTGCCCGAGAGCAACTACGTCCTGCCGCTGCCCGACGTGCTCCGCTACCGGCGCGTCGCCGCCTACCACTCGATGGGCTACCTGCTGCGCGACCTGATCAACGGCACCGTCGAGATCGATGGCGACCTCAACAAGATCATCCAGAACACCCACGCCATCCAGACCAAGCTGCTCGACAAGCGCAACAGCTACTTCCCCTACCCCAACGTCATGGATCTCGTCCAGGGCCTCTACGAGGACCTGATTTTGTCCATGTTTGGCAACCCCCAGTTCGCCGCCGTGGTCTGGGCCGCCGACCCCAAGACGCAGAGCGGCACGCTCCGGGGGGACCAGCCCGAGCTCGGCTACGAGTGCGAGCGGAGCAGGACGGTCAACGTGTACAGCTACCACCGCCGGGACCTGTGGATCGTGTACGGCATCGCCGTCTCGGTGGCCCTCGGGTGCGTCCTTGCCGGCTGGTACGCGCTGCGGGAGAACGGGGGCGTCGTGCGGGACACCAAGTTCAGCAGCATCGTCGCCGCTACGAGGGGCCCCGCGCTCGACAAGCTGGCCTGGCCGGACGGGCGGAGGGAGGAGGTCGAGGTCTCGCGCGGGGACCGCGCCGCGAGGATCGGTTACGGCTACCTGGACGGGCTGGATGAGAACCTCGACCGCGGCGGAGATCGGGCGGAGGAGGTGTACTGGAAGGGCGGGGAGAGGAGCGGACGGAGCAGCGTTGTGCCTGATGGGAACAAGGGGCCTGATGCGGTCGACGGCGGTGACCTCTCGTACACGAGATTCGGTTTTGGGTTAGAGGGCGATGTGAGGATTGTTCCTCCCAGTGGCCTTTTTCATCGATAGACAGAGATGGGATGTCTTTTTTTAGTGACAGCCTTTGCATTAATCAGCGTATTGAATACTGATACCTCTTCGCATTTGAGATGATCGAGTGTGTATTGCAGTGGAAGAGTTGCGATTCGTCGTTACAGTCGCAGTCTTTTTCAAGCTTATCATGATGAACCTTCAAACTTGGGTCCTAGGAAGTCATTACAAAAAGAAGAAAGAGAAGAAAGAAAATGAAAGTTTATTACTTATGGAATGACTCGAGGAAAATGAAGCCAAGAAAAGAATGATATTCAAGGAGAGAAGAAACTCAAAGGAATCTATCCTGTTGAAGATTAGGCATATGCTGACCAACATGCGGTCCAAACCACACTCACTTGCCTTTGACAAGAGTCCCGTATGTATCCAGCCTCTCCATCCTCCGTTCCGCCCGCTTGCTTTCATCACCCTTCTTCAGCTCGTGCAGGTAGTTTTTGAAGTCGCGGGAGAGCTCTGTCACGGCTTTAAAGTGGCTATCCGTAATTAAGACCCGACCCTCCTCGTCCTTCTCGTTGTCGTACTCGGCTAGGGCGACGGCAGTCTGGAAGGCTGCAAAGGTAACAATGGTCAGCGATTCCGACATGAGCGCAAACAATATATGACATACCGTTTCGGATCTCTCGCCCGTTCCACTTTAGCTCGGCCACTGGCTTACTAGCAATGTACTCTTTCGCGTCAATGTTCAGCCTCATCGTGCTTCCGCGCTCCTTGGACAACTTGTCCATGAACGTTTTCCAGACTTGTTTTCTCTGGTCATCATCGAAATCCGGATAATAGATCTGGATGTGGACACGCGAGATGAACGCGTCATCGAATGAACCAACCCGGTTGGTCGTGAGGAACAAAATGCCATCATAGCTTTCCAACGCTCGGAGAAATCCTATCCACATGCAGAACACTATCAGCCGCACTGCTATATGGGCGTCGGATGAGTTAAGACTTGCCAGCTACCAGGCCATTTCTCGCCAAATCTGTCGTGGTACGTTGCTCCATGAACACGTCGGCCTCGTCAATAAGCAAAACTGCGCCCCAGCTCTTGGCGGTACGAAAATGCCGAGCCAAAATCCACTCGACGAATCCAAGCTCCGTGCCGATATCACTCGGGGTGATGACCATAAGCGGGCTCTTGGTGAACTGTGCAATGCATTCTTTGTTTTTCCCGTCAGCGTGTCTTCCCTCAACGTGATATTTGCGAAGAATACACACCTGCCGTGCAAGTTTTCCCGACGCCGGGTCGTCCGTGAAGCAGGAACACGAGACCAGCTCCTTTCCCTTTGACGAAATCAGCTGACCAGAGATCTTGCTCGAGTCGTTCGTCTCGCTTGTTCAAGCGAGCATAGCTTTTTGAGAGTGCCTTGAGAGTCGTCTTCTTGCCCTCATCCATCACTAGGCTGTTCATCAGGTCCTGATTCCATTGAGGCTTCCGAAAGTGGCGTATATGGAGCGGTTCTAAAGACAGTAAGCAGACTCTTCGATAAACTATTGTACGGCTGCAATCATACCCCATCTCCGGGTACGGAAGACGTAAGCCTTAATGACTCGTGGACACACCAGGTATTGGTGCGGAGTCAACCTGGAATTCACCTCGATCGTCAACTTTTGGTACTCATCGAACATAACACCATCCTTTACCCGGAGATCGCTATGTTGGTTTCTGCAAGCCAGACAATCACAGTTTGACGTCCAGTTACGCAGGTCATCGTGACCGAGGAGGTCAGGTGCTTTGTCGGGCTCTTGCTCGTAGTAGGTTTTCAAATCAGACATTACGAGTCCATCCATCTGCAATCATCAGCTAATCTCTGCGTAAGCAATGACAAGAGCGGTGAAGGCCTTACTTCGTTAAAGGGAAATTGTGCGCTCTCTCCTTTATAGTACTGGCACTGCTTGTGCATAAGATTCCAGAACTTTTTACCCTCTTCCAGGTGATGTTGTAGTTCCTCATCAAGGCTCTTGATCTCGTCTTCCTCAGCATTCTCATCAATGAAGAAGATTTTCCCCATACCCCCCTCGCCACCAAACCTTGGCACAGTGCTCACAGTCTCGGTACGGCCGAGGTGTATGCCATCATAGTCCAGTGACCACGATCGTAGAGTCCAAGCATGTGGCCCCCGCTCTATGGACCTCACCACTCTGATGGCGAAGTCAGTCTCCTCCCTCGATTTGACCAACATTGTGGCTCCTGGCCTATGCATAACCCATGCATGCTCCCAAGTGTAAGCACCTCTCCGATTTCGTTCCTGTTCGGCCCTCACCTCCTTCATGATATTCTCGTCCAAAAACTCGAGCAGCAGTGCGAGGTCTTCCACAGTATTTCGCTTTCGCCTACATACGGTCTCTGGGCTTTTGTCTTTATGGCCGTCGCGATACGCAGATAACTCGTCGTAATGATGGGCCAAAATCGAATAAGGCCATTGTATCTCGAGTACCTCGGCTGTTAGATCCTGAGCAGGATAGTATTCGACGATACTTCGCAGGGCGTGGATGATTGCTGGGGAATAGATGTTCAATTGGTAGGTTGGAGATTCCAGAAGAACATTAGCTTGAAGTCCCAGATCAGGTTGAGGGGCCTGGACCGCTGTATAGTAGGTCGTCACTAGGTCGAATGTTGGCTCATCACCTTGGTCTTCACCTTGTAGACTCCCAGGAGAGTCCGAGAACATCCGAGTAAGCAGTTTCTTGGAGTCTCGGTGGCGCAGGTCAGTTCGGTACCTGACTCGAGGGGGCTTCTTTGAAGGTACATCGCCGCAGCTTTCTGGGCTCAAACTGTGGATAGCTTTCGGCAGCGGAGTGGCTCCCTCGGGTTTCATCATTGCAGCTTGTTTCTCAAGGTTGGTCTTTGGCGTCATATTGAATCTTCGCCACTCTGGAAAGGGTATCCATATGAATAAACTCATGAAGACAAGCGAGAGAAGCCAGTGTTGGGAGGTGCGGCTTGGACAGACCTTGTGCCTCAGGCACAACTACTTAAGTGTTTGTGGCCCTGTCGAACAAGAAATGCACATTTGAAATTGAAGTTCACATCCAACTGGTGTACTAGCCAATGATTTCGACTTGTTAAGCGAGTATTCATTAACTTTAGCCAATGAATATCCCAGGTGTAACGCCTGGTCGGAACGGGAGCATTGCCACCTCAACCACCCCCTCCTTGTCAAACACAGATATGAAGTAGGCCATTCTTTTCTGGCACATCGAGAGTCATGTCTCTCATCCAAATACAACGCAACAGAAACGGCAGTAAACAACTTCATGATGACGGACCAAACAAAAACACGAGAAACCAAGAGTTTGGTACGGGCTTACAGTATGGAGGCCCCAGCAAGGTCGTCCCTTGATAGTCATGGCATTGTCCTTGGTGAAGTCTTGAACAGCCGTGTTGATGGTACTGCCAGAGAGGATATTGCACAGCCGTGGAGGAGGTTCTTTGAGCCACAACAAGCAGCCATAGCCAGGTAATCCCAACGGCCTGCAAAAATTGTGCTTCAAGCTGATCTGTGAAGTGAACCCACTATTACTATCCTCTCTGTGGAGGCCACAAAGTTACGAAACAAGTGGCTCGAGCACTATCATCAATCAACAAAAGAAGAGAAGGCAGATCTGGGAAAGTACGAGCCGTCCATCGAGAGCGTCTCGCAAATGATAAAAGACATGCTCTCAAGCTGGCAAGGCAAACGCACACGCGGCATTGGCGGGAGCCTAGCTACCAAATTCCACAGATTCTGCAACACGCTGAACGGCCACCGCTCGTTGTTGAAACTCCTCCCAGAAGGAAATGAGTACGTTTCATTGTTCACTGGTGCTCTCACATCCCTGGTGCAGGTAAGCTAGGCTGCTCTACTGAAAGCTGTGACTCAGCTGACCAACCAATCCTTTGCAACTGCTAGGCGAGTGTCAATCATGAAAGGATAGCTGATAGCCTGGTCGATTCTCTTTGCTTGATTAGTGAGAATATTGAGGAGGCTAGCACTGAGCTCCAGCTGTTTCCGATCGACAGCATTCAGGCGCAAGTAGCCGACTTATACAGCCACATCTTCTTATTCTTCTCTACTGTCCTGGATTGGCTCATGAAGAAACGCATAGTAAGGATACTTAATTCATTCAATGAAAATGTGGCAAAGCGATTTGAAGAAGACATCGTTTTGATCAAATCAAAGTCTGCTGCACTACGAAACTCTGCAGCTCAAAGCTCCCGAGCTGAACTCAGAGCGACCAGGCTGTCAGTCGAGGAAATGGGAAGGGATCTGAGAATGGGGTTTGAGGGTGAGGCTCGACATCTACGAGAAAAAGAATATTATGACAGGAAGCTAGAACACGAGCTCAGGGAGGCTAGAAAGGACTTGAGGGAACAAGGGAAACGTTTCGAAAGATTGCTTGACTATACTCAGTTCATGCTCCAGCATGTGGGAACAGGGTCTGTTCATGACAGAATATCCATGAATGGTGAAGCTGAACTGCCACAGACCTATCACAAAGTATGCTAATTTCTGGCAGATTCGCATTCGAAGCACCGCTGCCCGGAAAATTTCTATCCAACGAGGCTCGTCGGCCCCACGAATCGTTCATTGTGCACCTCGATGACGGTGGACGGCCTTGCATTGAACTCGGCATACTTGGAGAGTCTCTTTGACCGTGAGAGGCTGCGTCTTTCATTCGATATAAATAGCCAGCTGTATCTTGCCACTGAGCATGTCTCAGCCATAATGGAGTGGTCGCGAGGCGATTCAAAGGCGCAATTTCTCTGGATAGAGGGGCCCGGAACCGATGTCACGGACTCTGAGAGGTCTATATCAATGGTAGCAGCAAGGTTAGTTGCTTCAGCTTCGCTCGCCGAGGTCCCGGTCATATCGTATTTCTGCGAACTCCTCAGAAGCGTGCAACTCCAGTACTACCCAGCGAGTTTCCCAGAGGAGCAAGCCGCTGTGGCTTTAGCATCTGCCCTGATACGACAAACAGTCGAGGTACTCCTCCCCAAGTTTGATACCAATTTCGATCTGAGTAGACCGCGATTCGAACAGCTCAATGGAACATTCCAGTCCTGGGATGTCTCCATGGAAGTATTGGCAGACTTGCTGAGCTTGGTTCCGGGGACAGCATTTTGTGTGATTGATGGGATTCATTGGCTGGACAGTCAGAGAGCGGACAAATATCTGCGGGCTTTCGTCGAAGTACTCAGGAACTCAACGATGAAGATCATGTTCACAACTTCGGGCCGTTCTGGATGTCTTCTGGAGGAGATTCCCGTATCGGAGACAATCCAAGTCATGAGAATGCCTGCCATTGGGACTCAAAGTCTCACAGAACACTTGATTCTCGAGCAATTTAGAAAGAGAAGGGATCTATAGCTATTAATGGCAAAGAACAGATAGTTTTTTGAAACCAACACAGCATCCTACTTGGACGTCGGGAGATGATAATCCCTCTTCAAAAGGATCACCACGTTGTCTTATTGAGATCTCAGATGAAATTATCAAGCTGGTAGCTTTCTTCACTGCATATGTGTTGCGCTAAGCTCAATTGCACAAAGCTAACATCTCTGCCTTTTCGTCATGCCACCCTTGAACCTGTTGTTACCAAAAGCCACTGATAACTGAAGCTGAAATGTCTGTTACGATAACACAGCATATAAAATATCAACACAACACAATCGACACCTATGATAAAACTACTCTTATGTAACCAGTGAGAAGCAGCGGTCTTTTAGGGCCGGGGAGAGTTGATTTGGGGCTCAACATAGCTGTCAAGCAAGACCCAAGGCCATATCGCCGTCAAGTCCTTGACCTTCACCCTCCTAGCCCATCCCTCTGTCCTTGTTAGAAGACCTCCTCTTGACAAAAAGCAACGCCGTTAATACATGCCTGGGTATCCAGATTGCTCAACAGGGTCTTGATAGAAGGCTGGCTGGATCACGGTAAAGGCGCGGTGGTCGGATCGGGGAAAGGAGGCTCAGACAGGCCCTCATGGACACTTCACGATTCAGATTCAGAAAGCGTCTCTGGATTGGAATTCATTTTGATTCAACATCTCTAGAGGTATTTTAAGAAACCTAGGAAGACCCTCATCTCCAGCCTCATAATGTTGGTAGTGGTGATTTGAATTAGTCATTTTTTGTATTGCTCCTGACGTACGTGGAATTTTACCGTGCCAAATGCGGTGTGGCGGTGTGGCGGTGTGGAAAAGGACAATGCGTGTCTGTGCCCACCAACTGAACTGAGGACACACCAAGCAAGCACAATTACTTCCAACAAAAGTAGTCCGATTTTGCAGTATCTCAACACTCCAGATGCAGGAGTGGCCCAGGTTGAGTTTAGCAATAGAAATTCCGCAAAATATTCGTAAGGCCTTCATGTACGTGGGGACTTTTGGAAAACTAGACTTCATTCAGAAAGCGTTGGCTGTTGGACCTCCGACCTTGGGATCGGGTTATTCAGTGCTTTGCGACTCACCCTTCGTTCTAATGAACCTTCTTTCGTGATTTAGATGTACCAAACTCTCACCGAAGATCGCCTTTCGTGAAATCATCGAGACGCACAATTTACCAATCTGAAGATCATTCAATTTTTTTTAGATCCAGAAAATCAATAGTTCGGATTCAAGTCTGTCACGCCTCTGAAGAGCAACGCTCAATCCAGATGTCCTCTGCCAGCGCCTGATTAGGCTTGCTGATTCAATCTACTTATTACCTTTGACCGCTGCGCCACCAAGAAGGCAAGGTTTGGACTCGTTCGGTTAGCATATCAATGAGAAAGAAAAGCAAGATGGGCAGGGCTGTGCTGTCACCGACAGGGTTGGGAGAGCTGAAAACCGCGTTCAAGAAGCGATTGAAAAGATTACCGCCGCCACCAACCCTAGTGCATGCCGTTTACCGGGAACGTCACACAAGCAAATCTTACTACATTGCTTACCGAACATGGCTTTGGAACCGCTCATCATCCATGGATCAGTCAGAAATCCCATGCTGATAATTTCTGCTACTGTTACGAGACTTTTGCTGGGGCAGGAGAACAGCACTGGCGATAAAGAGGTGCAGAAGGCCTTGTATAGCCAAAGTTCGAAACCCCTGATCGTGACTGCAATTTCACGTCAAGATCCGGGACCGGGCTCAGTCCAGGATGTTGTCTCTCTAGCGCTGCCAGTTGCCGGCCGCCTCACCGCACTAAAACCCAATTTGGATTTCCCCCCCTGGCTACGATCGCCGTGATGACCAGACAAAATACCTCCAGAGCCGCTCTGGGCTCAGGCCTACCTGGACGTGGCACGCTCATTTTCGATAGTGCTCGAAAGAGTCGACCCTGATTGGCACCAGGCCCCACGGTAGACTCTATTCAGCTCAGCCCGTGGCCGGTCCCAGAAACCCGGTTCCCTTCTTCATTGCCCAAAACAGGCCTTTGCGCTCAGCTTTCGTCCTCGGCGATGATATCACTAGTCGGCGACCACGTATGGCTTCTCTGAATTGCGGTCACGGCATCTCCCAACTCCATGGGCCAGTCTCCCAAGAATGGTCTCCAGAAGACATATAAAAGGACGAGCAGTCCGCGAGTTTCTGACACAGACGAGAATATCCAGTCTTCATCATCGCTATAAGCTTCGCCCTTTAGTTCATCTTCAATTCTTTCTCAACTTCCACTCTCAGCGACTGCCCAATAACGAGAGGTGATATTCTTGTGCCTGACAACATGAGGATCTCCAACCCCCTTGCTGTAGCTCTTGGCCTGGTTCTCGGCCGTGCTGCGGCCAGTCCTGCTGCGGTTGTTGACCCTAAGTGTACGATAAATAACTGCCTGCGCGCTGTAAGCACAACTCTCTTCCGATTATCTCCGAAAGTATCAGTACTGACACTAGCTAGATCGTCGCGGGTTCGTTCCCTAATCGCCCTACTGTCTCGGATTGCTTGTCCTTCCAGCTCAAGACTGTCACTCCAGCTGTCTAGTATGAAGATCTATGCTCTGTCGTTTTACACGACCTTTGCTGACCAAGATGGATACCTCTAGCACTTCGACTGTCTGGGAAACTATCACCCCCGTCACCCTGACGTCGACTAGCCTAAGCACCCAGGTAGATACCTTGCTCACCACTGCCACGGCGTCTACGACTCTCTTCGTTCAGACCAAGACCGTTACCGCCACTGTCACCGCTGCGCCGATCCTCCAAAAGCGCGGTACCGAGGCCACTCTCGACATTACCGATCTTGTCATCCGCACTGCTCCCCAGGAGAAGCGTCAGGTCACCGTCGCGGCCTTGGTACAGCCCACATATGCCACCGCCTGTAGCACCCTGGGTGCCTACGCCTCAGCCTGCTCTTGCATTGGCGTCACAGCGACCACCATCACTGCCGAGACTCCCACTATCGTCGTGACTTCCACCTCGACTGCCACCGGTCAGGCCACCATCGGTTCGGTTCAGACTGTTACGACTACGATCTCCCAGACTATCACGGAGACCGCGTCTCAGACCTCCATCATTGCCGCCGCGGCGACTGTCTACCCTATTCCCTCCCTCTTCGTAAGTACCCCATGCACGTCCATATCTTATCGCAATGCTGACAAAGGGCATTTAACAGAAGCTCAAGATGGTCGGTGCCGGCCAAGATGGCAAGTACCTCGCCTCCGGCAACCCTGGTAAGCCTTTCTATTTCCCCGCCGCTTCTCTCCGATCCAAAATGCTTACAAAATCTCAATAGTCACCGTGCAGAGCGCCAGTACCGCCTACGTCTTCAAGCTTGATGGCACAAAGTGGATCCGCAGTACCGACAGCCTCGTTGCCAACACCGGCCGCAACCCTACGTCTAGCGTGTATTTCGACACCGTTCCCGCGACCCTAACCTCGGCCTGGAACCCGCTCTCTTGTGGTATCTCGGCTACCACCCTCGAGTTCACCTGCACTACCCCCCAGCAGACCTCCTTCCAGTACTGTTCTCTCAACAAGCAGTTCATCATCGCGAGCTCTGCCATCTTGGGATGTGAGTCGGTCAAGCTTATTGCCATCAAGGCCTAAGGACGGATATAGGAAGCTCGAGGCCTGGATATGAGCAAAAGCTACAACGGAGTGCTTCCGGAGGAGTAGGAATATCAAATGGGGAGCTAAAACACGGTCCTAATACCTTTCTATTCTGTATATACTGGCAACATATTCTTCTATATCTTGGCTGCCATAGGCATTATCTAGGATCTAATAGATTTGCTTTGGTGGACATTACTTTGTATGATGTCGATTATTTCCCTCCTTTCATGAATCACATGCGCTTCACGGCATCGATAATAGTGCCTTTCGCGTCCGGCAGCGGCTTCAATTGATTGATGGAGGACGTCCTGCTTCAGAGTGCCTGCAATTCGACATAGCTTTATGCCTTAGAGAAGAATGGGCTTTGGTCTGCCTGGGATGCCTTGTGAAAAGCCAATTTCATAATATGGTTTCGCTTAACAGCTCTCGGCTTTGACTAGGCTGAGAATCATACTGCGGTCTTAAAATAAATGAATAGCACTTTGACGACTTGCTGTCCTAAAGAGAATAAGAAGCATAATCAATTTGAGTAGAGATATCTTGAGAGTTTACTTCCCTGCTGTGTCTATACGCCTCCCTACCAGAACCTACAGACCACGTGTGGACCCATATCTTCCTCCAGCCGTACAGCCTTCTGAGCCGCTTCAATGTCATGGGCACTCTTTCCAAATAACAACCCAGTCAGCTTAGACTGGAGCATGCTTGTCTAAGTTCTTGGGGTTCTGATCGGTTCCAAGCTGCGAGTCACCATCGGCGGCCTAGTGTTCCACCTTGCCCACCAATCAGCGAGATGTCACCGGGGTATGTTCGTCCTTGGGTACATCTCCTGTTGTCCATGCCACTCCAATGCTTTGAGTGTGTTATCTGAAAGCGATCGATGTGACTAAATGCAGCCGACACTGTCTAACCACATCGTTGAAGAAAAGAATCTTCTGAATAGTACTAGATGGCGAGTAGGTTTTAGGGAGTGATGGGGCCGAGAATAGTCTCACGGGCTCGAAACAGAGATTCATTTTTGCTTGGTCTCCTCCGCCTTCGAGCACAGAAATCCTAGAACTGTAGCTCAGATGAGTAGATGATCAGATGATGCTATTTCAACAAAGGAGTGTCAAGTCTCTGAGACAAACACAAAGAAACGCCATACCTTATCATTGAGGACATGAACTTGCATGGAGTATCAGGGTTCACATCACCTGTCACTAACTACCTCGTCATGGCCGCCAATTTGGCATAAATAAAGCGGCCTTGCGGCCAAGACCAAAAATTGTGATACCTTACATCTTTCATGTCGCTTTATCCCGGAGCATTGTGAAGCACAAGCGGTCGCCCTTAGACAGTTATCTCACTTCACACTTAATACAATGACTGATAAGAGCGAGCAGCCTCAAAAGGGCCAACATTCTGCCCAGAGGGAGAACAAGTCTTCAGAGAACGACAGTCAGTCTCCGGATTCGATATGCAAGTTTGGAACTGAACAAACAAGGTGTTCCTCGCATGCAATAGTTCCACTGTGGGAAGGAAGTGAACAGAGAAAATACGAAGGTTATCACTTCCTCTCACCCCCACCCAATTCTCCCTCCCATCCGCTTCTTCTTCGGTAACCTCTCGGCACTAACAAATTTTTCACTAGAGTCACTAGGACAGGGTGGGCTACTGCTACAATATCTTAGGGAAACCGGAGGTCCTTTTGCGCGACCCGTGCAACCCGTCCCCGCGCCTCAACATCGACCTCAGCTGCAACAAGGAAGTTTTCCAACTCGCCCAAGCTGAATATGAGGAAGCGAACGTGGGATGGGCTAAAGTGTTTAAGAAACGCCAGGACCCGAAGTAGCGCAAGCAGGACCAATCTGACGGCAAGGGGGGTTGCGGAGGTAATTCCTGAGATCATTTGAGCTTGTTCTGAAGCAAGATGAGCACTATGAGGTCCAGCAGTAATAGGTAGACCTTAATTCCGTGCTCTATTTCATCAATCTGATCTCCAAACGACGGCAAGAAGACTTCCATGAGCGTGAAGCTGATACCAGGCCTAGTTTTGGTCCAGCGATGGATCGGATTGGTCGTCAAACTCTCGATGTGGCATACGAAGGCACGGGGTGGCGTGGAGGAGGATCGCAACAACCTCGAGCAAGATACCGCGAAGAGCCTAGATGTATCTCCCTCAGAGTTACCCAACCAGTCACCTCCCACACACAAAGAAACGTCATTGAGTAAAATGGCCCATAGTCCGTCCCCAGTGGAGCGTCCGGCACAATACACGACGGACGAACCACCTTGCAGCAAGGCAGGTTCAGAAAACACAAAGCTACTGAAGGTCAACGGATCCTTGGCATTGCTTGCATTTCAAGCGAAAAAGTTGTTGTCAACATTCGATGGAGGCTTGGTGAGCCCGAAGCATTCACTGTGAGATGTGAATAACCTACGAGGCGTGACACACGTGGATATGGTGATACAGTGCCCCCATCCTTTGTTCACCAACGGGTGAGAATATGACCTGCCACTATTCACGCGTGGAACGAGTAGCAGTACAAAGCAATTGACCCCTACACGGCTCATCCTCCTTCACTGAAAAAAACCCGCTGGAGGAGTTACCGATGCTGGAAATAGCACCCTTGTTCGCCACTGCAAAACATGAACTGGCCGAATGCTCTCCCGGGCAATAAAAGGGCGCCTTCTCACAGTTTTGCAGACAGGTTTCAGAATCCAGACCTTTTCAATTCCGCATGTGCCAGCCCGGCAGTCCCGATTCCCTTCTCGCTACACCCCCGAGACCCGAGATGGCTGCGAACATCACCACCCCACTCCTCAACCCCGGCGCTAGAGCGCCGCTCAACCCGACCTACAAGCCGACCTTCAAGCCACTAAATCCTGGTCAGCCCATCTCATCGAGCCGCTGCCCCTGTCCCGTGTCTGTGCATCCGAGCAACGCGCCTCCCGCAGTCCTCAAGCGTGATGGAACCAAGTGGTCGGCGGAGCCCGGCGACCTCCCGGAAGCCTCCTGGACGGGACCCGGTATAAAGCCTCGAGCAATCCGCGCCGTCCTTGCGCCGTACTTGGGCCTGCTCGGCCTCAGCGCTCCCAGCTTCCGCATCAAGGAGTTCCAGCATGGTAACTGGAACAAGCTGTACTCCATCGGCGACGCAAGGCATCCGGATAAGTACCTCTTTCGAGTGACGATGCCAGTCATGCCCTGGTACAAGACAGAAGCCGAAGTTGCCACCATGCACTTTGTCCGTCTGCACACGAGGATCCCAGTACCGCGCGTCGTGATCTTCGACTCTTCTCCCGACAATGCCGTCGGATTCGAGTGGCTCGTGATGGAGAAGATGCCCGGAACGCCGTACGAGAAGATCGAACAGAGGATGGATGCTGTCCAGAAATGTCGGCTCGCTGAGCAGCTGGCCGACTGGCTCGACGAGCTGGGCCAGCTCGAGTTCAAGGGCATCGGCAGCATCTACTTTGACTATTATGGCATCGAGGCCGGACTTTGCCAGGTTCCGCAGTCTTTCCGCTTCGGCCCGCCCGTCTTGCAGTGCCTCCTCGGAGACTGGCGCCTCGAGTACGAGTACCCTCGTCAAGCATACTCCACAATTCGCGACTTCACCAACGCCCTCATCCGCGTGTGGGACGCCGAGCTCAAGGATACGAGACATTCCGTGCGAGCTGACCTCGATGAGGCCAAGACCCAGCTTGACGATCTACTTGAGTCCCGGGAGGAGTCACACTTCTCCCTCATCTCAGGCCTGCGTCTGCTGTTCGGTAGGCGACACGGGAGGGTCTCCTCGGCCTTGCAGGAGGCAATTGACGACGCGCAGTCCAGAGTCGACTATTACCGCGCCGAGCTAAGCAGCTATCGCGAGAGAGTGGTGGACATGGAGGCCACCCGCTTCAGCGTCGTCGACAAGGATGACATCGCTTCCGCACGGTCTTCACTGCGGAAGGTCATTCAGGCCTGGAAGAACCACATAGAGAACGATAGGGAGCCAGTGACATCTATCATTGAGCACTGGGACATTGACACGCAGAACATCTTGGTCGACGAGCACGGGGTGGCAGTCGCCCTGCTCGACTGGGAGCAAATCCACACAGCCCCTCATCTACACGCGTGTTTCTTTCCACGCCTCATGAGCGAAGACTGCGGCTGCTGTTCTACTTCTGCAAGCGAGTACTCGCACTCGTCGTGGCAGGCCAGCCCTGACTGCCGGACCGATGACGAAGACGGCATTCCTCGGCGTCGAGCCAAGCTCCCGCTTCGCCTTCGAGCCGTAGCTAGGGACTACCTTTCGAAGGCTTTGCCTATGTGTGCCCTGGGCTGTCTCGGCGGTGGACGGTCCGTGGAGTCTTATTCGGAGAGCCGCAGCTCACGCTCCGCCAGTGCCGAGGAGGGCCCATCGCATAGGGCCTTAATGAGGGATGCCTTCAGGCGCCGCCTCGAGAGTCTCGACTCTCCATGGCTGGATATTCAGCGCGTGCAAGGCGACGAGTCTCTCGCTCACGTTGCGAACATTGTCGACATTCTGCAAGGACCGGATATTACTGAGATTAACGGCGTGGATATGAGGGGAGTTGCTACTTGCGATGGCTCGTGCCGGAATCGAGAGAGATGGGTAGAAGGCAATTAGACAAGAGATTTCTCTATTAGCGAACTCTAGTTCTGGGACTTGAAGGCCATGTAATGAAGACAACGCATGCAATTCGTGTAGCTAACGCCAGAGTGTTGTTTGGCAGCTATAGAAGTCGCGGGCTGCACCCTTTCTTGTCGAAGTGTGTGACTGTCCGTTAACCTGAGTGCTATAGCCACGACTAACAATCTATCGTGTGGGATTAGTGTAGACCGTCACATATCATCTTGAACAGCTCGATCTCCTCTAGATCACTGAAGTCCAGCTCGACAACTTCTGGTCCTTCGTCAAGGCTTGTGCATACCTTCCAGAACACGCCACATAGATGGATGTAGCAAAGTTGCGGCACGTTGCTAGCTAGTAGCTCCGCTGTGCGAGTCAGATCATGGCGTGAGAGACTCGGTGTCTCACTTCCAAACGATAATTCAATAAGGACTTGGTTCAGTTTTGGAAATTGTTGTGCAACCTCTGAAAACTTGTTGATAAATCCTGTGACCGATTCGAGTGCTGGTGCTGGGTCTCGGTCTAGTATGGCAAGCAGGCAAAGGCCCTCAGGGACCTGCCCATCCAGGTCTGCAGCAATGCCATCCAAGCCATCAGGCAGGCCATCGACTTCTACCTTTACCATTCTTGAGCGAAGTACACTGCCGTCTTGTCGTCCAGGAAATTCAATAATATCTCGGGTTAGGCCAGTGTAGAGGTAGAGCGCGAGCTGAGGTAATAGTCCTCCAGCTTCTAGAAGCCTCAGAATCTCCTTCTTGGCTTTGTGTTCGCAAGAGTTGACAATGAGAAGGCGTCGCAAACGTGGAGTCATCTCTCGCAAGATAACATTTTGCAAGAGAGCCGAGACATCAAGCCTCCCCTGATCAACTATTATCTCTTCCAGAAACGTAGGATCAGTCAGGTTACCTAAAGACATGGCATCTCGGATCGGTATTCCACTGCCGAAATGAAATGTCTTCAGGTGCAGCCGTCTGGTGCCGGAGGCGTGATAGTCACCACAAAGATCGTCAAAGAATCCGGTCTCAATACGCGCCTCAGATGATGGCGATGTATTGTCTCCCAGGTGGACCGTTGTGGCATAGCCAATTGACAGACCGAGTTTTGTAAGGTTGGGGGAGTGGAGTATAATCTTCAAGATTTTCTGCCGCCATAGACGCAAGTCGCCAGAGAGCCTCAGTAGGCTGAGCTCAGTCAGGTTCACAAAGAGCTCGAAGTCAAGGGTTCGACACGTTGGGTGAGCATTGTGAAGCTTGTTGGCATGTTCATTTCCGGTCGGATGCCTTCTTGTCGGAGGGTATTCGACGTAGAGAGCCCTCAAGTCGGGGCAATGATGATGCAGCATTTTCACCGTGTCACTGCTAATTTTCAATCCGCTCGATCTGGAATTGATGATGTGTTGTGTTAGGTCTGGGCTCTGTCCCACGCACGGCCATCGCCCAGGATAACAAGGGGGCAAAACAAACCTCAACTTTCGTAGGCGTGGCATGAGATGCAGAATGCGTTGGACGGCATGATTGTTTTTATCATGAGGATCGTCATCTGCAACACACTCCCCATCATCTATGACCAGGCTTCTTGCATGTTTTAGACACCGTGTGGTCGGGATGTCGATTTGCTCTCTGCTATCGAGTATGATGACCACCTGGCGGTAGAGAAAAGGTGTGAAAATCTGACAGAAAAGTTCGTAGTTCGTTTACTGTTGAGAGTTCGAGGATAGTCGCTCGGTTGCACGCCTGGCGGGGTGTGAGTTTCAAACTAGGCCGAGTAAAAAAGGAAGGCTACTCACCTCACCCAAAGGCATCAACAGCTCTGGAAGAGCGGCGAATTTTGCCGCACTGGAAGGCATCTTGGCTAGCCTGGGCATTGACCAGCTTGATATCTTGTCAACATTAAAATTGTAATCCAACCTACCAGATGGTTGCCTGCCGTGCTGGCGCTGGCTTTCTGGGGGACGATGCTCGACAGCCGCGCTGGGCGCGCTTGTGCCTGGTACGTCGGGCTGGGAATCTGGCGTGGGAGGGTTGCCAGAAATTAGCTTCTTGGAAGGGATCTGTGATTATGAGTAAGTGGGCGGGTCATTTGACCGAGATTTCGCCTGGGAGGCAAGTTGGGTATGAGGAGAAGGCGAGAGGAGAGGCACAGTGGGACCTCATTGATCGTGATATGGTCGATGTTACTAGCAGATGGCAGGACGAAGGAGAAACGTGTGCAGTGTACTATATAGCTTGTGCTGGACACACATATGCTTGAATTGTGATCCATGTAGAGAAGACTCACTCACCTTGCAGGGTGGAGAAGTTATCATGAGCCCCCAGAGATGCATGCTCAAGACAACTCGAACACTTGATTCAGGTCTCTGGGCGAAACGCGTTATTGTGTAACCTGGCAGTAGCAAGCAGATTGTTCAACGTGATCTTCCCCCAATCATTTCAGAAGGTCGTCATCCTGGGACCAAATTCATTTGTGATATCATTTGCCACACTCTCCTCCGATCGGAAGGTACACATCAAACAGGAAATTGTCTTTCTCGTGCTCCTTCTCGGTCAGCATTCCATGTGTTCACCTTTCATTGCCTTGGAAACAGATTGAAGCTCTCATCTATCAAATCCAACAAAATCAAGTATCGACCACTCCCGCCTCAGTGGCGGTCAAAAGAAGACTCATCCACCCCTCCAACCGCCCTTGGGCCGACAAAAATGGGGATCAGGTCTGTCATTTTCCTCAACCTCAACTAAAATACATGCATGCCAATTAAAGGATCCGCGTCATGGCGGTAGCAGTTCCTTAAGCCCCTAGTATTTCTGGATATCACGATCATCCCATACCAGTCCCTCACCCTCTGTCGCCATCTTGAACAGCTCGACATGCCTCCAATCTTGCCTCTCGAGCTCGATCAGCTTCACCGTACCGTCGACACTCTTTTGCGCCTCCCAGAAGACCCCTCGGATACAGAGGTAGCGAAGGCGCGGCGCCGCCCTGACTAACCGACACGCCAGGTCCGCGCAGTACGCAGAGTCAAATTCGAGATACGTGTCGCTGGGGCTGTATTTCTGGTCTCTTCCATCTGGGAAGCAGATGTAGATCTGGGTCAGCTTGACCAGCCTGGTCGCGACCTCCACGAGGTTATCCAGGACGAGCTTGGTCACGCGTGCTGGGCATGGACTATTGCCTACATAGAAGGCTATCCCCTCGAGTACGTCTCCACACCTGTCGGCAAGCTCACCCAGCCGCGAGGCCATGTCATCGGGGACAGCAGGACTGGGAAGGAGCATGACAGAGGTCATTCTGAGCTTGGCGGGGTTGACCCCTCCCAGCGCCCCCTGAGGGAAATCCAAAGCGAGGAGGGCCAGTTGCTGTGAGAAGTCCTCCGCCCTGTCAGACTTGAGGTGGGTAATCAGCTCAAGGGGCATCCACTTCATGATGAGGCGACGAAGCCGTGGCAGCTTCGTCTTGGTGAAAGCCTCAACGGTTTGATCGTTGCACCAAGCCTCGGAGTCGTCGTAGGCTCCTAGCTCCTCGAGGAAGGCAACGTCTGTCAGCTTGTTCATAATTTCGATGCCTCCTCTGAGCAAACCTCCGTCGCCAATGTGAAGTGTCTTGAGGCGTAGTGGTGCCGCTCCTGTCTCTCCGTATTGGCTACATATGTCGTCGAAGAAACCGACCGGCTCCATCGTGTCATAATAGCCCGTGAGTTTCTGGGTGTCGCAGCTGTGCGACAGCCCCAGCGTCTCGAGCTGGGGGCAGCTGACAGCAATCGCCACGATCTTGTGACACCAGGATTCCAGATCCCCAAAGAGCCCGTAAAGGCATAGTTCTTTCAGCCCTGTAAAAGACTCAAAGCCTGGATTATGAAACACCGGATGGTGTTCTTGAATATGGTTGCTGGACGAGTCCGACCACGCCCAATGGTTAAAACCATTGAATGGCCTTGAGGGCATCTTGAACCGGCCGATCTCTTTTCCGGTATATTTGACATGAAGAGATTCCAGCTGGGGACAATGACGGTGTATCATGCGTACAGTATCTGCCGTCAGGTTCAGACCCTCCCACCTAGAAAAAGAAGTCCAGTCAGACTAAAGTGAGGAGCAGATAAGGTGGACACAGCCTGGAAACATACCTTAGAGTAGTAAGTTGTGGGAGATGAGGGAGAAGCAGTTGCAGGAGACTGTTGCGCTTTCCAGATTCCACCCCGCCGCTGTACAGCTCGACGGGGTGTGTAATCAGGCTCCGCACATGCTCGAGGTTGGATGGCGTGAGGAGGGTGTAGAATTTCCCGGTGTTGGGGACCTTGAGAGTGAGCTCCTTGTACAAGAAGACCGCGAATACGGTGTTGAAGAGTCTGCTTGTTTGTGAGAGACTGAGGAGGGTCTTTCGGTTGTGGATCTGCTTCCACTGTTAGTTTTCAGCCAGAGATCGAGTTCGTTCTTGGGGGAGGACAGAACCTGGTCTGCCAGACACATCAACAGCTCCGGGGTTGCTGCAAACCTGGCAATACTGGACGCCATGTTGAGACTGGTATATTGCTATGTTGTCAGCTTGCAATAATATGCGCCGAACTGCATCTTATTGAAACCAGGTCTTTGTAAGCTGTGTGGTTGGTGATGGTGGATTGGCAGCGGCGATGGGACTTGGGGTTCGAGGATGAATGCTGCCTGGCGACGTGCATTTGTGCGAATTGAAAGTGCCTGGAAGAGGACTATCGCGTGAGAGATTGTTTATCAAGTAGGTAGCGAAGACGCGTCGCTGAATTCAATGTTGCCTGACGTGGGCAGTGATTCAAGCTTTGGTGGCCCGTGTGCTCCAAGGAGCTGGGCAATTGGCTATTCACAGTTGCGATAAGAAACCATCAAAGCAAGCAAAGCGCACAGCAGCTTTGACAGGAAAGTGAGTGAAGCTTGCCCGGAACATTGAAGAGTAGCACTCTAGGTGTTCCCCTTGATTATCAAAGCAGTAAGTTCAGACTGCATATAAAGAAAACAAGTTCTCATACGAGCGAAGCAACTATCAACCAAATGTAGTATTTTATATGGGAAGTTCAAGTACTACATTGAGCCCTGTATGTTATAGCTGTTCTTCTCACAAAGGACTTGACAATAGCGGCAGTCAATCTGAAGCACAAACTTCATTGACATAAGCCCACACGCGCAGTAAATAATGTGGCTGTGCAAGACCGACACTCGCTGTGATTGCATAAGTGTATTCGCTCTTTGGCCATAGCGTATTGATTGCATCTGTCTCCGCGGCCAGTTGAACAGGAGAGCATAGGTTTTACAGAGTGAAGCATTCAATATTGGAATCTCAGAGCCTAACATTCCACTCTTGGTTCTGCCCAGCAGCTGTGTCGCCTGTGCAGTGACTGAACCTTTCGAGCACGTTTGACATGATTCAAAACAGATGATTCTATGCTGAGAGGTGACAATCACGCCAACTAATGACAACAACAGCAAAAGTAGCTGGTGACAAAGAACAGTTGCGTGACCTTATTTCCCGTCTGGACGTCCAGCTCGGGCCCGATCGCTCGCCGGGTCGAGTCTTGGCATCTGGAAGCAGAGCAAATACACCGAGCGGACCTAACCCCGTGCCCACGTGTCGGCGTTGAGGTCTTTCTTTTCCTTGTCTCCTTCTCTGAGCCGCGCGTTGGTTCATTTGCCAAGAGACTGCAACGCATTGATGTGTACGCGGCCCGTCGCAGCGATGGGAACCGGAACGGTCGACGCTGCAAGGGACACATCATCGGTGGAAAAAACAGCCAGATCGGGGATGAGGCTGAGCCAGCGCCCCTCCTCGACGTTGGCTTTAGCATATTTGTCTCCCCACCAATAGGAAGATGCGGGCCTGGTTGTCTGGGCTCTGGGTGGAGAACGGCGAGATGCGGTTAGTCTATTACGGTGACGCCAATGAGAAGCGTCCCAACGGTGGAGGTGTGGATTACGTCGCCGTCCGACGGTGCGAACCCCCCGTCGTGTCAACTGGTGTGTTTCGAGCTTCACTCTCACCCTTGTTATAAGCTTTCTCCCTCGCTTTCCACATGCAGACGGCCATCCAGCTTGCTACCCGCTGCCAGCCGCCACTCACTTAGGCCAGCAAGCAAGCCAGCAAGCAAGGAAACAAGCAAATAAGCATATCGCTCTCCGCTTTGACCGTTTCCGTACCTTCAAGTCCAGCCCGCCTGGCCAAGACCCGTAATCGTCCAAACCCCCAACACACCCTGAAGAGCTGGCGAGCCCGACCCGCCATGGACAGAAGTGATGGCGGCGAGCCACGCCCGCAGAAGCGGACCCGTGCTAGCGCCTCCAGGGTAAGGACTGGCTGTCTGACTTGGTAAGCTACATTGCCCAAGCTTCCCATCGCACGCAGTCGTGCCGACCTGCGATACGTCGTGTCGTATTCGAGCCTTCGGTTCCAGTCCATTGCCAGAACGAGAGACATTGTGTGCTGATTTGTTTTCTTTTTTCGCACAGCAAGTAGGTGGTTAGCTCCTTGCGCAGGGGCTTTGTTCCAGGCAAGAAATGCTGACCAGATCAGAAAACGCCATCTCAAGTGTGACGAGGCCAAGCCGGTATGCCTGCGGTGTCAGAAGGACCAGTGGAAGTGTGATGGCTACTTGGACCCGGTGCCGCCCAGGAGGCAAATCTCCGCCGTGAGCGCCAGCGCGAGTGCGAGCTCGAGTGCGTCTACCGCTGCATCAAGCGCCACGCCCTCATGCAGCGTGCTGTCCCCGGCGCTCGAGTACGGCGGCAGCCAAGCCCTCCTGTCCCCAGCAGATAAGCGGTCCCTCCACCACGCGCTGCAGTGCACGCTGTGGCAGATGGCGGGCGGCTCCAAGGCCCTGCGCGCCTTCTGGCTGCACGACGTCCCCCTCCTCGGCCACCACCTTGGCGCCGTGCACCACACGCTCATCGCCCTCGGCGCGGCGCACGAGTCCTTCCTAGTCGACAGCATGCTGCCGAAGTCGTCATCATCATCGTTGCCGCCGCCGCCGCCGTCAGGTTCCTGCGCAGGCGGAAAGTCGCTTGTACTGCAGCACTACAACCTCGCCATCCAGGAGATCCGGCCGCTCATGACGGACCCCAAGCCCAAGGACCTCCAGACGGTTCTGGTGTGCTGCCTCGTCTTTGTCTGCATCGACTTCACGCGGGGCCAGTACGATTCGGCGGTGCGCCACCTGCGCGCCGGGTCCCAGGTGCTCGTGTCGTTTCTGGACGCCATCAAGCTCTCCAGCAGTAAGGTCCCGGTTGACAGGCGGAAATGGCACGAGCTTGTGCGCGACCACGGTATCCAACCGGACCAGATGCTGGCAGTGATCGAGCTCTTCTCACGGCTTGGGACGAACCTATCGGGAGCGCTTGACGAGAATGTTGTGTCGCACCTGGCGCTCTTTGGGACGACACCTCTGCTGGGGAGCCATGTGGAAAGTGACTCTTTTGCATCACTTAGCGACGCTGAGGACGAGCTGCGGGCGATCGAGACCGCATATGAGACGTGGTACGACCAGATCGCCATCGAGAATACCTCGGAGTCGGGACTGCCAAGGAATCGCTCGGCGGGGTTGCAGTTCAGGAGATCCATCGCCCTGCAGATCGAGGATCACCACACAGCCAACTGGAAACGCCTGTGCCAGAGGTTCTGGGACTGGAGCACCAAGCTGGACGCGTTCGCCAGCAGCCATATGCTGAATGCGACGGGCAACGCAGTAGAGAACACGGAGTACCTGAGGATGCTGGTCCTGCAGAAGGTGTGGACCTCTACTTTCAAGGGCGACAGCTGGGTGTTTGGGTTGGCCGACGGGATTGCACCGGAGGACCTCGAGGCGATATTTGATTGCGTGCAGTTGCTGATGCAGTCCATTCCGCCCTCGGAGCATCCCGTATTCACACTAGACGGGTTGATCATACCACCCCTGGCGTATGTGGGCTGGCTTACGGAGGACACGAACCTCTTGCAGAAAGTGGTGGACGTCCTGAGGACGATGGACAGGCGAGAGGGCGGATGGGACAGCAAGGACCTGTCGGAAATTTTTGAGGCCCTCCTGGTGGCGAGGAGGCAGGAGTCCAAGCTGGAACACGTCCCCGGCGGCACGCTGCTTGTGATGAGGGACCTGCTCGCCCTGGGCCTGCCTTGCATCGCGCCGACGAACCGGAGCGTGCAGTTCATCAAGGCCTTCCTGGAGTACCAACGAAGGAGGACGGATAATTTCGATAGAAGGATAGCGCTGTAATAAGAGGAGCCAATCGACAGCCAACCAAAGCCCGCGCTTCCCCCCAGGATGTTCCTTCAAGGCGTTGCTTGAGGCATAGGTAGGAGGACGTCTTGAGGGCTCCGTATCCATCTCGAAGCGAGTGCAGTGTTCGCCTAACCCAACTCGCCTCTACTAGCCTCGCGCCCGGAGTGCCATGCATGATTAGCCCGAGTCTATTACATTCGTCCCCACGCGCTAAATACCTAGCAGATGTCTCCGACAGGGAGTGTCGGGGCCAGGGCAACGATGCCAGTGGGTGCTGCATGCGTAAGACGGAAGTAAAATTGCCCATGTGCCAAGACCTTTCACCATGTACACTTTCACTGGGCCCCCTTCTCAAGGGGTCTGCTGGTGCGGCTGCTTTATCTTCAGCTATGACACCAGTTGACGAAAGATGATACCTACCTAGAACCAAGCCCGCGGCACGGACTGTGGACACAGCCTCAACCCAGCTCACTGGTCGCTCCGTATTAACTTTCCCCACTCGGCGACTCAAACACGTAAGCTTTTTTCGTCCTGTCGGTCACTGCCGGCGCTCCCGCACCGACTTTCCCGGCACAGGGCTGGGCAGGGGACGAGATAAATAATTGGTAGGCCTTCCCTTCTCCGTAGTTATATCGTGCGAGTTGAGTCTTTAGATATTATATATCCATATAACTTTGTACAACTTATCACCAGTCTCATCTCTTTCGGTTTCGCCCTCACTCGAATCCGTAGCAAGTTGCTCGCTACCCCAGTGACTGACTCAGCTCCCTGCTCCCTTGCCGCACGCACACGATAATCCCTCATTCCTGTTCACTCTTCAGCTAGGCGTGCCATCAGAGAGAGAGGACCAAGTAAATCACAAAGGAAAGCACAATAAACAATGGCGGAAATGACGGCGCCGCCCGGCTACGACCCGAGCCTGTACCCCGACGGGATCGTCGTCTTCGGCTCGGACCAGAACTGCACACTCGCCACGTGCCCGGTCGAATGGAGTATCCTGCGCGCGCAGCCGTCGATTGCGGCCAATGCCGTCTTCATCGCCGCCTTTGGCTCGAGCCTGCTCATCCACGTGGTGCAGGGAGTATGGACCAAGACGTGGGGTTTCCTGGCGGCCATGGCGGCCGGGAGCATCCTCGAGATCGTCGGGTACGGGGGGCGCATCATGCTGCACGACAACCCGTTTAGCTTCGATGGCTTCATGATGCAAGTCAGTAAGTTTTTCCCTGGCGGGCGAATGTGGTGATAATTGCGTGGGCGGTGCTGACCGTGGTGTTCCCCTTTTCTTAGTCTGCATCACCATTGCGCCCGTCTTCTACTGCGCGGCCATCTATGTCATCTTTGCGCAAATGTAGGCCCTGCACTGCTTCTTCTTCTTCTTCTTCTCCCCCCTCGCGATATACACTGACACCTCCCCCTCGCAGCATCAACCACCTCGACGCCTCCCTCTCGCGCATCAAGCCCAAGCTGCTGTACATCATCTTCATCCCCTGCGACATCATCTCACTCATCCTGCAGGCCGTCGGCGGCGCGCTGTCCGTCGTCGCCTCCACGCGGTCTGGTGTCGAGTCCGGCGAGCACATCTCGTTGGCGGGCCTCATCTTCCAGGTCATCGCCCTGGGCACTTTTACCATCATCTTCATCGACTACCTGTTCAGGTACAGGCGCGCGCAGAGGCGCAGCGGCGGGCGCGTCTCGCGCAGGACGTCGGTCTTTTTGCGCTTCTTGTTCCTGTCGGTCGTGCTGATCCTGATCCGCTGCGTCTACCGGATCATCGAGCTCCAAGGCGGGTACTTTAGCGCGACGTTCCGGAATGAGGGTTTGTTTATTGGGCTCGAGTCTAGGTAAGGACGAATCATAATCCTGTCTCGCTTGATGCATACTGTGGTCAACGCTAACAAGTGTGCTTTCGCAGCGTCATGGCAGTGGCGGTGTTCTGCTTCAACGTCAGCCATCCCGGGTTCTTCTTCAAGGACCAGGATGCCAGGGAGAAGATGACTTCCGAGTCCTCGACTGACTGAGCGAGATCGAGGGTGCTGGTTAGTAGTAAGGATACAGGTGGTTGCACTTGAGTATTCCTTTGTGATTTGCTTGCATGTCAACAGACTGGAGCTTGTGGGAGCATTTCTTTGAGTCTATTGAAACGGAGGATCTGCATACTATTTTTTTTTCTTTTGTCTGGATAGATACCATGTTGAATCCTTGTACACATAGCGGCATCATAGACGAGACCTATATAGATCTGAAAGCGACTTCTGCAATACTGTCACTGAAAACCGCGGCTCTCGTCTCTAGTAGTGTCTGGTGGTTAGCTTGTTTGTGTACGTATCGTATGTCGGAGTAAGCCCATCAACTTCTCTTGGGATCTTTGAGTGATTGGATTGGCTTCCAGCTATCTCGAACCAACAAACGCCTGCTTCTCTCCCGAGGGCCTCTAGCCGCATCCCTGTGGATCTGATCTCGCGCCTGAGAAGGCTTTGTGCTGGTATCGGCGAGCTTAGCATCTCTTTCTCCCCACTGATCAGTGGGGAATTTCCTCCAAAACCCCGTGTACGCGTGTGTAGTAATAGACCGGAGAGGGCCCTCATGAGGCGATTCCATCTGTAGGGCTGCGAGCGACTCAGCCTGCGGAGTTACCTACGTAATTTGGCAGGGGCAGCTTGACTCAAACTGCCGGTGAGGTGGTCTGACTAATTGTGGCGCCCCGCCCCCACGCATACCGCCGTGCAAAATGTCGACTGGCGCGACCCTGCTCAGCCACTGCAATCGCGGATTCTGCAACGTCCAGCACACGGAACGCCGAAATGAGCGAGCGCCGGTGGACTCGACACGGAGACACCCGGCGCGCCTAATTGCACCGCTTCATGTTCGCATCAATTGATCGGGGACCAACTTCTTGCTGAAGATCTGCAGATTATTGCGTGCGCGCGACAGAACCGGGCGCCCACGTCACCCAAGGCCACCCAACACGCGCGAGCGCGCGTGCAGGACCACGATGCCCGGAAGCATTGCTGCTCGCCAGCGGCACCCCCCAACCCGGACCAAGGTGAAGACTGGTTGTGCGACGTGCCGGTGAGCGCCCTAGACCGTTTTGGCTCAAGTTGAGAATGAATGAGACCACGTACTTACTCGCTATGCCCTCCGAGCAGGATAAGGAAAGTCAAGTGCGACGAGGCCAAGCCCTCCTGCCAGAAATGCGTCTCCACTGGCCGTACTTGCGATGGCTATGACTCTCCCTTCAGACTGGTCTCTGCCCGCCCATCTAGGGGCAGTGTTTCTGCCGCTGCCGGTGGTGCCGGCATCAGGTCAGACATCGCCGGCTCACGACCCGGTCCAAGCGGGCCAGAGTTCGTCACGCCACCTAGTGCCACAGAGATCACCCCCCAGGATATCGACCTGCTCAACCGGTACTTCTCCACCAAGACCATATTCGACGTCAACATAGGCTGCGAAGACGCCGCCAAGCAGATCCTACGAGCTAGCTTGACCGATGAGCCTATACGGCTTGCGGTTTCATCTCTGAGGGCCTTGCGGGAACACCTCGAGATCACGGGGGACATCGTGGTTTCCGAAGATTCCGTTTCAAGCCTGCAACAGCAGCCCCCCGACTCCGGCTACGACTATGGCCTCCAGCAGTACTGTGCTGCTCTCAAGGGTCTCGCATCCAACCTGGCATCGCCCCTAGGCTCAAAGGGGCTCAAGTCAGCGCTGCTTTGCTGCCAGATTTTCATCAGCATCGAACAAGTCCGGTGGAACTTCACCACCATGGCCCAGCACATCATTCAAGGCCTCGCCATCCAGCACGAGTACCGCGCGAGGCCCTCCATCGTTACCGCAGACCCAAACAAGTTTGTCCCAGCAAATCATGACCAGCTACCGCTGCTCGACGCCTTCGTCATCAAATTCTTTGCTGCGCCATGCAAATTCGCAGATGCTCCTGTGCAGTCGGCCTTACCCAGCAACTTCCGGACCATCGTCCCCGACATGCGCACGGAGCTGGCCAGGATCTCCTCCTTGACGCTCGAGTTCCTCGACAACCTGTCGCAAATCAAGTCAGGCCGAGCTGCCGTACAACTACTTCCCGAGAAGGCGTCTTTGCTCGACTCCCTAGAATCCTGGCTCAGTGAGGTGGATGCACAACATGCTGATACCGATCTTCTTTCAGTCGCTTTCCTGCGCTTATTTCATCGAGTACTAAGAGTTGTGCTCTTGGGTGCATTGGATTCTGCGTCTGATTCCGAGCTGGAGATCGAAAATGGTCGACTGCAGGCGGTGGCTGATGACATCCACGAGAGAGTCAAGTCTTACAGAACGGCATGGAGTGGTGCCAAGAGCAGTCCAGGATCGTCAACTGGATGATTCTGCATCTGAATACGTCTGTTATACGTCTGTACCTCACTGATCTTGCAACCCAGCCGATAGTGCTTGGTAATATATGTACCTCTGGCTGCGGCGACCCTGAAATGCAGTACACAGTGCACATCGCTATCCCCATTTGTTCGCGTCGCCTTGTTATTACACGAGGTGAGTAATGGCTCATCTCATTTCCTTATTCAATTCGTCGCCATCTTATTCTGACTTCCCTATTTTTTCGCGCCCGCAGCCTGAGCCGCAGCCATGGCCTCCCTATCGGCAGCCAACAGCTTCGCAATAGCAGGCCGACCGGTGATGCGCGCCCACCACGCGCTCACTGCCTTGCGACCCGTCACCATTTCTCCATAGCCGCACGCAAACAGCCTCTGGATCAGCGGGATGTAATAGATATCCACCAGGGTGAACTCCTTCCCAGCCATGTAGTCCCTGCCCTGCAGCATGCGCTCGGCCACGTCGAAGAAGCCCTCGAGCGCCTTGACCGCGCCCGCCACGACGCCCTCGTCAGTGGGCAGGCCGATAAACTTCTTGGCGAACTTCTCGAAGCTGATCTTGCCCGCCGGGTCGGCAAAGTAGAGCATCTCCTCGGACTGGGCCTGCTCGAAGAGCGCCGTGGCCTCGAGGTCCGCGACCGGCGGCAGCAGCGGGAAGGAGTACTTCCTGGCGAGGTACGTGCAGATGGCGCGGCTCTCGTAGAGAGTGAAGCCGTCTGGGAAGATGAGAGAGGGGATCTTGCCCCAGGGGTGGCGCTTCATGTTCTCTGGAGACTGATGGTGCATTAGCTGCATGTTGTTGCCATCTCTGACTGAGCTGAGAGATAGAAGAGAGCATGCGGATCACGCACCTTTTGCTCGCCATTGCGCATGTCGAGGATCTCGAGGTCAAAGTCGGTGAAGCCGCCCTCGGCGAGGGTCAGGCGCACACGGTCCGTGTTGGACGAGCCGCGACCACCGTAGAGAGTGAAGGCCGGCATTTTGGAGCGCTGCGCGACTGTGGACAGGAATCTGGGTTTGCTGGTGAGGGTGATGATGAGCTTCGACATATGCAACCAATGCTGGGAACAGGACTTGACTTCTCAAGCTTGGTGCGAGGGTGTGAAGAGTTGACGAGGAGAGTCTGGCGTTGCAAGATATTCGAGTGACCGAGATCACCCCAAGCTCAACTTTATAGAAGGACTTGTCTCGACGGACGACGCAGTCGTGACAAAGCTCACATCAACGAAGCTTTGACGGATCGCGCTTCCATCAAACTAACACAGGGTCTGATTGGTCGGTTCGCTCACAGTACCCGACCAGGCTTAGTGCCGGCACCTGCTGCCTGGTCTTTTGGCGCTAATCGACAGGGCCATCCCTGCAAAGCGTATCATCATCATTCGGATAGCTTATGCGAGCAGGATCCTAGCCTGATGAGTCCTCCCCGTGTCAGTCTCCCCCGCATTGGGCCATCGGTCGAGGTTTCACATCTCGCCTACTCTTCATCGTCAGGAAAAAAGCATTCTAGACTTTGTAACAGTGGCTTTTTGGATAATACAGTGACTGAAATGGGCCACGACTTTAAGGATTAACCCCTCTTGTCTGTGTGCCTGGAAGGCATAAGTTACCCAGGACTGAGACCCTAGGGAACATGGACGTTCTCTTGATTCCATAGTTATATATGCCAGTTCGCATTTTTACATTGTGCGATTTGTTCGGGTACTTCGTATCGGAGAATTGTCTTGATCTTCAAAAGGATCAGGCTGAAACGACTTGCTCTCTTTCGGTCCCTTACTCAATAGATAAACACCGGTAGCTAAATAAAAAATTTGCTGTTTTCAATGCAAGTTCGAGCTGAATTAGAGAATTCAGGCACCAGCTAGTCTCATTGGAGAGCAAGCGATGATTGTTGACTGATTAGACGCCGAGCACACCATCAGGCGTGGATAATAACCCGAGAATAGGCCAATCCAACGATCCATCTCACGTCATGGTCATATAAAGTCGCCGAGTCGCCATTATAAAAGACACATTAATCACAAGTCGGTTCCAGACGCAATATTGAGTGTAACCACTAGCGGCAGAATGGATATCATCATAGTCGGCGCCGGCATCGCCGGCCTCAGTGCTGGCATCGCCCTGCGTAGAGCAGGACACAAAGTCACAGTCTGTTCCGCCCCATAACCAACGAGCCCGTGCGATGATGACCTGCTAACACTACTTTCGTCTCAAGATTCTGGAGCAATCCGCCCTACTGCAAGAAACCGGGGCCGCCATCTCCATAGCACCAAATGCATCGCCGGTCCTCCAGAGCTGGGGTTTCGATATTGCGCACTCGCGCATGGTCGGCATCAAGACTGGAAGTATCCTGAATGGAACTTCAATGCAGATGGTGGTGCCCAACTACTATGTCCACATTGAAGAGAATTACGGCGCCCCCATCTATTCCGTGCACCGCGTCGATCTCCACGACCAGCTTAAGGCGCTGGCAACTGGCGAGAGTGGCTCGGGTCAACCTTGCAAGCTGCATGTTCGGGCCCCGGTGGTTGATTATGTGCGTCTTAGTCTTGCCGGCCTTTTTCATGTTTCAATTCTGATGAGCCACGAGTAGGATGCAGAGCACGCCAAAGTTACAACTGCAGATGGCACCGTCCGGCAGGCAGACCTGATCATTGCTGCGAATGGCGTACACTCGACGGCCAGAGAGCACGTTGTAATCACAGACAAGTCCGATGTCAATGACACCGGTTGGGCATCAATGAGGTGGCTAGTGCCGACAGAGGAGCTGCTTGCAGACCCGGAGACCGCACCCCTGGTGGAAGACTCTACCCAGAGATACTTCATTGGAGCTCGAGGGGGAGGCTTGGTGTGGTACCCCTGCAGGAAGTATGCGCAACGTTTACTCTCTCATATTACCTATCACAAATACCCGCTGACATCGATTCAGTAACGAGGTGCAGAACTTTCTGTATCTGTCGCAGTCCTTTGCGAGCGAGAATATTACCGAAGGTCTGTAGCTCCGAACTGTGGCGCTGGGGAAAGAATCGGAATGCTGATATCACCACAATACAGACTACCAGGCCGGTATTGAGCCGACGATGGTGATGGACTATGCGAAGAATGAGTACAGCCCAGCTTTACAAGCAGTTCTTGCGTGAGCACCATCATCATATATTGCCCGCTGGCTGTGGAATATCTGCTGACAACCTCAGACAGGAAGGCAAGAGACGTCCGATTCTGGAAGCTGGTTGCTAGAGGCCCACTGCCTTCATGGCGCAAGGATTCCCTGGTTCTCATTGGCGATGCCGCTCATCCCATGCTTACCTGTGAGTATGGCTCACAACGCATCTGAAAGCACTATGCTGACAATGCTTCTCAACAGTCCAAGCACAAGGTGGTGGCCAAGCTATCGAAGATGCCGCAGTGCTCGGCATTCTATTGGATCAGGTCCATGACAAAGCTACTCTGGATGCACGCCTCGACCTCTATGAGATGATCAGAAAAGGTCGTGGTTCGGCAATTCAGACATTGTCCAACTCTGCACCCCCAATGCCCCAGAGTGTCCGCGATACTGCTCTCAAGTATTTGCCCGAAGGCACCAAATTGGAGAACCAGGATGACATTATCAAAGTCATGTTCTCGTATGATGTGATCAGCGAAGCGAAGACTGTCCTCGCTGCTCATCTGAATGGACAGACAACGGAGGCCAGGCTTTGTTCTCAGTAGTAAACTCAATGGTTAGGATACTACATCACCTGCTTGTTAAGTTTCAACGAGTCGGAAACATTTTGTATGGTTGATTACGAACACAACCGACGTTCTCTACCAGTGCTGCTGATCATAGTGGCAATAAGTGACTCCTATAATAGAATGAATGGTAGCTAGATGCCCTTGGTCAGCTTCTCACTTTTTGGCTTGCGCATCTTGAAAAATAATCCCAGTTCGAGCATTGAATAAAATGGTGCGCGGCCTGTGGGGTTCATACTCTCTCACAAGTGCCGAACCAAATCTGAATGCGGGGAAGCAATGAAGTTGACTATTGCGTAGGCTATGGGGAACTTTAGGGGAATATGCTACCGATGTTGGTGGACATGACAAACCAAGACTGCTTGGCCGCCTATATGTTGTCATCCCACTACACTGGCCTCGTCCAAAGCTCAATCTTGGCATTTCTGGTTTATAACTAGCGGGTATCACCAGCATCATGTCCGAGACACGGCTGCGCCATACCTTGACTTCGCCGTTGAGCCACCCGTCTTCGCGCGGCGCAGTGCCTCAGGAGTACTTGAGACGGTCTGTGGATGGAATGATCATTGAGACACATGTGGCCGTGCCTCTCCGAACAGGTTATCACGCATTTGCTGACGTCTATCGACCGGAGAACGAGTCTGAGGCAGTGCCAGTGATTATTTCATGGACGGTAAGTATGGCTAACTCCATGTCCTTTATCACCAGGTGTTGACACTCCGGTTATGGCAGCCATACGGAAAGCACAACCCAGCACCGTTATGGAAGATATACCCACAGTCAGGGGCAAACCGCGAGTGGTACTCGGACTACACATGCTTCGAGGCGCCGGACCCCATCTACTGGACTCAAAGGGGCTATGCTGTGGTCATCGCCGACGTAGCCGGGACTTGGCACGGGGAAGGTGTAGCCACATTCTCCTCGGGTCTAGAGGAAGCCGAAAGCTTCTATGACACCATCGAGTGGATCGCTGCGAGACCCTGGAGCAATGGAAACGTCGGGCTGAGCGGCGTGTCGTACCTCGCGGTCAGCCAGTGGCACGTAGCAGCTCTGAACCCGCCGAGCCTGAAGTGCATCGTGCCCGTCGAAGGCTGGTCCGACTTTTACCGAGAAGTTCTTCGCCACGGGGGGATCCCCGACACGAGCTTCTTCCCCTACATCGCTGAGCGCTGGGGCGCCGCTGTCAGCTCTGTGGAGGATCTCATGGAGGAGTCTCTCGACCATCCGCTGTGGGACGAGCTATGGGAGTCGAAGAGGGCCAAGCTGGAGAAGATCCAGGTTCCTGCCCTGGTCATCGCCAGCTTTTCGGACCAGGGCCTGCACACGCGCGGGACTCTGGAAGGATACAAGAAGATCGCCAGCCGCGAGAAGTGGTTGATCGTGCACCGACGCAGGAAGTGGGAGTTCTACTACCGCCCTGATATTGTAGAGAAGCAACGCCAGTTCTACGACAAGTTCCTAAAGGGCCGGGCCGACAACGAGGTAGAGTCTTGGCCTCCCGTCAGGCTCGAGATCAGTGATCGCTGGTACGAAGGACAGTGGAGAGACGAGATGGAGTGGCCGCTGAGAAGGCAAATACACACGCCTTGGTACCTCGATGGCAGGTCGTCGGCCATATCAGACGCAACTGCCACGGAGGCGTCTTGCGTTGAGTATCACTCCTTGTCGGGCGGTCCGACGGCGACTCGCGCTGTGTTCGACAGAGAGTTCTCCAGCGATACAGAGATCACCGGACACATTTCTGCTACTCTGTTTATGGAAACCAGCGAGGGCGATGACATGGACGTCTTTGTGGCTATTTACAAGCTGGACAGCCAAGACCGCCTTGTGGGCCAAGCCTTTTACGCACAGTTTGTCCTTCCATTTAAAGTTCTGTCTCATGGGATTGAAAATACTGACCTTAAACAAGGTACTCGGACGGGCCGGTGTCTCTCGGGTGGCTTCGAGCTTCGCGCCGCAAGATCGATCCCGCTCAATCTTCACCTGGTCAGCCTGTCGCGGCGCATACGCACGAAGAAAAGCTATCACCGCGGAAGGTGTACCAGCTGGACATTGAGCTTTGGGCTAGCTCGATGTGTTATCGATCTGGCGAGAAGCTCCGATTCGTCGTTCAAGGAACCGATATTGCCGTATGTCTTGATGGTATGCACTAAAGCGCGCGCGTTGCAACTCGGCTAACTCTTCCTCCCAGAGACAAACAAGCCAGACAAAGGGGCGCAAGATCTTCACTCGCCATGAAAGCCTACAAGTGAATGAAGGTTATCATCGGCTCTGGACAGGCGGCGAGCATGCATCTCATATCTTGGTTCCAATTATACCGAGCAACAAGCGGTAGTGGCGTGGGCTTGAGAAATATTGTCGAGCAGGATCCTGTTGAAATGACCCTTGAGGACTTGAAAGTCGCATGCAGATTAGTTCTGAACTTGGCCTTCGATCCAAAAGTTCGATTGCTCTCCTCTCCCAGACCCGAGCGCAGTTCTTGTAAAAGAACGAGAGGCTGCATGCAGGATTGAAGGTGCAATTCAGTGCGTGCATACATCTGAGCCCTGCTTATGCAGACGTGACGTGGTGTGCTTACATCACTTTCATTATCTAAAGAAAGAGCTCCAGGCGAGGAGAGTCATGCTTTCCGGATGGGTCCAATCGCCGTAGCCACTTCCCTGCAAAGGTTCCGACTGGGAGTGGGTGGGGCTTCCCTTTTAGGAAAGAGGAGCGAACGGCCCAATCAGCATCTCGAGATGGGAGTCAGGGACTCGTCTCAGCCTGAAGAAAACCGCAAGAATGCCGACGACGACATACACGAGCCCTCCGTCGATAAGATTGTTTGTAATCTGTTTTTTTTCTCGAAGGAAAGACGGATAGATATGTCAGCAGTTCTCGCGCTTTTCGCTCTTTAGGGTGCCCGAAGAGCCACCGGCATCTGATAAATACCTTCTTCATGGACCTCGTTGCGGTCGTGGATCATACTTGGCTCTACCTTCCCATTATTCTCGCAAGCTTCTCACTCTCTCACTTAGTCCCTACAACATTGCAAGAAGACGACATCTATTCCTCCGCTTAACCTCGCCAAACCCAATTTGCCATGCATTTCCTCCTCCTGGGCGCCACTGGCCGCACCGGCAAGCATGTCGTATCAGAACTTCTCTCCCAAGGCCACACGGCAGTCGCGCTCGTCCGCACTCCCGGTACTCTCTCTCCTCATCCCGGTCTCACGCTCGTTACCGGCTCGCCGCTGTCAAAAGCGGACATCAGGAAAACCCTCACCGCCGCACCGTCCCTGACACCCTCAGCTGCCATCTTCACACTCAACTGTGCGCGCAAGACGGACAGCCCCTTCGCACAGCCCGTCTCGCCTCCCCGCCTGCTGGCTGACTCGTGCGCCAACGTCTGCGAGGTGCTGGAGCAGGCCGGCATCCACCGCATCGTCGTCCTGTCCACGGCCGGCGTCGGCGACTCGTGGGCGCCCATGCCGTGGGTCTCCAAGGCCTTCATGGGGTGGACCAACATCAAGTACGCGCTCGAGGACCACAGCCTGCTGGACCAGGAGATCCGCTCTACCAACCTCGACTGGACGCTCGTGCGCGGCTCCAGGCTGGAATTCGACGACCCCAAGAAGGCGACCGAGGCAAAGGATGTTGAAACGCTGGGCAGCTCCGGCGCGGGGCTGCGCATGACGGATAGCGTGAGCGTTGCCAGCGCCGCGCGGTTCCTGGTCAAGTGCGCGGTTGAGGGACTGTTTGTTAAACAGGCTGTTGTTATCAGGGATTAGTTGAGGGTTAGAGGCTGGCAGAGAAGTCGTGTATTTCACCAAGGTGGTTCATGGAGATTGTTATGACGAAGGAACGTCACTTAATAGCACGATTAGATGAAATGATTTTTAGCTTTACCCTCTCAGACTGAAGATATTGTGGCTTTCTCTGCTTGCTTTCTCTACTTGTTAGTGTGACCGGAGAGGCAAAGGATGAACACGAGAGTGTCAGCATTGTCGTTTGTTCATGTATGACTGCTTCAAAGCGTACACTCTTGCGGAAGCGAGACGACGAGAATGATGAAGCTGGGTAGCAGGTCGACGCCTCTTTGCGATGCAACCACTGCTGAACCCGCTTGCGAGCCTCAATTCTACCCAAACTCGAATAACGTGGGATGATTACGGCTTCCGGCCCTTCTACACTTGTGTCCTCACCAATCCCGACGCGCCTACCTCGACCTCGCCCGCCGCATGCTCGACGTGCTCTCACCTGCGGGCAACTCAATGGAGTGTGAGTAGTGAGAGTAGTGATAACCAAGGTTTTGTTTGCTGTCCATCACTGCATTCAAGGATCAAGGGAATCCATCCATTGTTGTCCAGGTAGCGTGTGCATTGCTCAAGGTCGATATAGCGCAAACTCTGTGTTACGACTAGCAGGCAAATAATCTTAGGGCGCGCTTCTTGGACAAGGCAGAAAATGCTGATGTATTGCCGTTGAAAGGTAAATCAAAGCCCCAAGTAAATACATGAAGTTCTAAGCGATACACTGGTGGCACCATGGAGAGGTGGCCCACCGCAATAAAAAAAAACAATGAACCCAGTAAGCGTTGCCAAAATGCAGTAAACCCTTCCGTTCCGTCCCGTTCCATTCCGGTCCATTTCCTGAATCGACAGCTTATTCACAACCGACCACCACCTCACGCGTCGGGCTGCAGCGGACGACCGCCAACCTTGCTCCAGTAGAGCTGCACGAGCTTGGGCTGGTCCTTGCGGAACCGCTCCTCGGCCTCGAGCGTCGCCTCGGACTCGGGGAAACCGAGCCACTGCACCCGCAGGCACAGCTCCTTGGCCGCTCGCTTGCCTCTGCCCTTGGCCGTCGCGACGCCGCGCTTGCGCTTGGTGCCCTGGCGCTTCACCCACTCGTGGCCGATGATGGCAAAGACGACATCGGTGGGGTCCGGACCGGCGTAGGGGGGATACGCGCCGCGGCCACCTTCCATGCTCGCCCAGTACTCCAGGAGCGCGTCGGGCGCGTCCTGCTGGATGACAGCCTCGGGCTCCCAGCTGGGGCTGCCGGCGTCGGGCCCCTCCCAGATGACGTGGACTTCGGGCTCGAGGCCGGCCTCGGTGCGGTGATTCTGAATGCGCGCAATGGAAAAGACCTGCTCGGCGGACAGGCTCTTGCGGGCAGGCGGCTGCTTGCCCGGCGAGACCGACGACGACGACGCGCCGTCCTCGACCTCGGACATGTAGGCGATGGGGTGCGTGCCGCCGCCGGCGGACTTGGCGGGCGAAGTCTTGGCCTGAGCGGTGGGCGTCTTGCCGCCCTTGCGCGCGCTGCTCTTGGGCGGCTGCTGGCTGACGGGGCTGGCGATGGCGACCTGCTTGGGCGTGCGCGCCCTGGGGCTGGGCTTAGCAGCGGCCGACGAGGACGCGGCACCGGCGGCCGCGGGCGAGAAGGAAGGGACGGCGGCCGCGAAGAGCTTCTTGACGGGCGAAGGCTCGGGCTGCTGCGCCGCGTCCTGGGCCGCCGTCGCGCCGTCTTCTTGCTTAGAGGCGACCTGCCGCGATGGTGACATGCTGGATGCGCGCGCCGCAATGTCGTTGAGGGCCCTCTGCGGGGTGGACAGGAGATGGCCCACGCCTTTCATTTTCGTGTGCACGTCAGCAAAGGGCGGTTTCTGATGGATATGGTGATGTAATGAAGAAATCGCGCACGGATCGAGATGGGGTGTGTTATGTGGTGTGAGTTCATTGGGGGGGTAATGCATGCGCAACACAACAGGTGCGGCTGAGAGGACAGCGCAGTCACTAACTGTGCTTACGCGCCTACCCTGGAGATAGGATCCAACGGATGAATGCGCAATTGAGGCGACTCATCGCACAAAGGGCAATTGAGTGAATCGCAAACAGAGTCGTGCTGCCTTACCTCTCAGAGCGGTGCCGAAGAAGCCGGAAGTGCGCGGCACCTTGGCGGGACGCGGTGAGCCATCGTCGGCCTCGTAGTCGTCATAGACGCTGCGCTTCTGCTCCGGGGCGTCCATGACTGCTTGTGCGCTGGTGTAGCTGCGGCGATGGCAACTCACACTGCTGCAGGGGGCGACACTGGCGAGGCAGCTGGCGATCTTGTTTGGTATCGCGACCGACGGGCAAGGTGTGTGTGTATTCTGCAACTGGCCTGGTCGGTCCACACACCCTGCTCACTGCACACAAATGGACGTGCTTGGCTTGGCAGCGGGTGCAAGGTTCTTGCGGGGAATGTGCCAGACGCGTCTCGGAACTGGGCGCGCGCGTCTCTGGCCAAAAGCCGCAATCTGATCAATCCCGACTAAGACTGGACTTTCTTAGTTCCGGACCCGTACGTGCACTGCACTGGAGCCGAGACTATCGGCAGTTTCTCGGGTGAGGGACTGTTTGCCTTCCTCACAACTCTGTCTGGCTGGGCGATCTGGGTTGCACACGTGGAAAGGCGACAAGGACAGGTAATCGGATGACGACTGGGGATGTGTGTTTGCCCGTGTCCAATGCCAATGCGGCCACCCGATGGCAGGCAGACAAGACGTATGCGATGCGAACGAGAGGCGAGTCCCTGGATGGTGGCAATGATGGAGAGCCGGCGCTGTTGATGAACCCGACGGATCGTTGTGATGATAATGATGAAGAGGACCACGGAGGATGAAGGATGGAAGGATGCAGATGACACGAGACGACTTGTTCTCGCCCACTCAAAGGTGACGTCGTCCCATTCACCCAGAAAAGTGGGACTTTGTCGTCTTGTTTTTCCTTGGGGAGGACAGCACGAACCTTGGATGAGGCGAGACCAGCACAAGGCGGCGCTAATGGTTAATTACCTGACCCGCGCTCCCTTCTCCTTTACTGTGAAAGTCCAACTCACCGAGTTCGCAACTCCGACGCCACACTCAGAAGTGCTTGGATGCAGAAACTTGTTGTGCACTACTGTCATTCGACATTAGCTGCCGATCGTCTTGGGCAACCCCGACAGCCCATCAGACTGGTCTCGGCTGTCATTGTAGATTGGGGCGCGACAGGCCTTATGTCTGGGCAGCGAATCATGGACGTGTCCATCTTGGTTAGATACAGGTCGAAATTCCAATACAGACTCGGAGATGACTCGGTTGGCTGTCGAGAAGGGGATGCTCAGAGCTGGGGAGGGTGGCTGAAACCATCACGCTTGTGATAAGGGCGACGTGCTTGGAAAGTTGTATGGTCTCATGATTTGTACGCGCCCACAGCCTTTGTGGGAGTCTATCGGAGCGTCCGAAGGTGCCCTGGAGCATCGCATGCATTAATAAAAAACAGACTGACGATAAAATCCTAGCGTTTTGCAAACAATTAGGCACATTGATACTAGCTGACTTCAACAACGACAAAAGACCGGACCGGGCGTCTCCCGTTTACTCCCACCCATTCCATTGCTATATCATTCAGTCTGAAGATCCACCATAGTCGTCGACATCACTAGAGAACTCATGGTCGTCCCTGAAAAAATCCTCGTCCTCACTGAAGGAATCTTCATCCTCACTGGATGAATCGTCATCCCTACCAGAGAAATATTTGTCCCAATTATGACGGTCAATTCCAGACCACCAACTCTGCGGTCTTCTTCCGCTGAGGATTCCGGTCCTGTGGGGTTTGAACCGAAGTTCCCCTACGGCAGATGGCCAGGCTTGTTCAAAAGCCTCTCTTTCCAGGTCGATGAAAGCCAGCCACTGGGCGCCAACACGTTCACTGTCGAGAGCCTCAATGGGTATGCCTGATAACTCCGATACGAGATCCCTGCAAGCCATGTGGCCGCTTTGATGGGCGAAAGCCATGGCCTTTAGACATTGCCGCCGTTGAAATCCTTCCACCTCTCCAATAGTCTGTTCCTTTGCATCCCATAGAAGTTGTATCATCTCCAGACGGCCGTGCTCAGCCGCTGCTTCCAGCGGCCACCGTCCATGGATTTGCGAGGGTCGCGCCCCCAAGTCCGCCCCGTCTTCCAATAGCATGGCAGCTATGTTGCAATTTCCTGCGACACAGGCGAACTGCAGTGCCGTACCACCTCCCCTCGCCGCAGGGCGTCCATTAGCATCTGCGCCCCTTCGAAGTAAAAGGCGAACCATCTCAATGTCTCCCAACTCAGCTGCATATTGTAGCGGCGCTTTTGAGATGCTAAGGTGTGGCTCTTGGTTGACATTCGCCCCCCGGTCGAGCAACGCTTGGACAAGGGCCTTCTCGCCAGCCTGAATGCCTAGCAAAAGCCCGGTGAATTGCTTAGGTGGCTGAAAAGGCGAAGACTCTTGATATGCAAAAGAATTCGGGTCAGCTCCCGCGCTGAGAAGTGCTTCCACCATCCACAGGCTGCCATCGACCTTTTGTGATAGTCGAACAATCGCTAATCCGAGTGGTGTGAGACACATGAAATTCGACCCTACCGGTATCGTCTCAGGAACTACCAAGTTCACAACCCCAGTCCCTAGTAGGGTATTGAGTGCGCGGCTCTGTGCGCTAGGGTCATTTCCTGTCGCGGCCATGACATCTTGGATGACTCGAGCTCCAATACACTGTCTAAGGTATTGTCGTTTCCTCTGCTTGTCAGCGACCAACTCCAGCATACTCGGATGATATTGAATGATGGCTGCCAGAATATCGCTTTCATAGGGACTTTCACCAATATCAAGCAGATAGTTGACCATATCGTAATGACCCGCCTGGACTGCTTTAATAAAACAACCGACCAGAGATGGAGGCCGTTCCAGTGAAGAGTTGACAATCTTGTGGAAGGTCGCTATGTCTTGATCCTCCATGCAACTGATGGAAAGAGATTCCCAAGCTTGCTCCGATCCGCATGTGAAGCTTCTGTAGTACTGGTCACCATAAGCAAGGCGAAAGAGGCTCGAGATCACTGAGTAATCGCCCCATTCAAAGGCTGCGTTGAGGTGATGTTTTCCAACCAGCTCAATCGTGTCATGCACCATAAATTCGACCAGTTCGATATCCTGGTGCTGCAGTGCAAAATAGAGCATGGAAACGTTCTCAACACTGCGGTCGCCATCACTCCTGTAAGACCTTCTGGACGGCGAGTATTGCAAAAGAAGTCGTGCAATAGACTTGTGACCACTTCTCGCAGCAGCAAGTGCCACTTCAATAGGAACTCCATCAAGGTTGAACCAGTCGTCAAGTCGGTCCAGAAGCATGCTCAGATATCCGTAGTCTCCCCATTTCGCAGCCGCCCTGATCAAGGCTCCGAACCGAAGACCTTCCTCAAGCCGTCCCAGAGCGCCAGCCTTGTGCAACAAATCGATCAGGTCAATATTGCCGGCTCTCACAGCACATGAGAGTGGAGTGATAGGATACTGCTCTGTGTACCGAGCTCTTGAATCGAGCGTCGGATTCTGTGAGAGCACCAGATCTATGGTGCGTCTCGAGCCAGATTTGATAGCCGCGCACAGAGTATCTGCTGACAGAGCGATAAAGCCAGACAGAAATTGCAGCAAGTCTGCGTAACCCCGGCGGGCCGCAAACCTTGCCAGTCGTTGAAATGTCCATTTGCCGCGTGCGAAGCGACAGGTATTGCAATTGCTTCTTTCGCAAGTTGTTATGAGATGTTGAATGGCAAGTAACCCGTGGTGCTCTCCCAGAACCTCAACAAGAGTCTCTAGGTGCTTCATATGGCGGTCACCGAAGAACAATCCATGCTCGGCAGCTGTGACATTCAGTGCGATGTAATTGGCAACTGCATTGTCACAAAGTTGCGAGGCAACTTTCACGTGCACTGGCCATATCTTAGCACCAGCCACTCGTAGGATTTCCACAACCTTGAAGAGCGTATGCATAGGCACTGACCCTGCATGGTGCGCACCAGCTTGGTCTTTTTGTTGAGCTTTTAGCAACCTCATTAATGCGCCGCCTCCATGGTTGTAGTTGCGGTGGGTTGCATTCACATCCGCCCCAGCCTCCACCAAGAGCCGGATGATATCGAGATCTGCATACACCGCAGCTCGCTCGATTGGTGTCAACGATTCCCCTTCCAAATCAATAACAATACCATTGACGTTTACCCTTGGGCTTTCAAGCAATTGCTCCAAAAGATGCCGGTTCTTGGTGTTGATTGCTGCGATCAACATGCTGTCGAGAAATATCTTCGTGGTATGTGGTGGCCCCTCTTTGAGGACCTTCAACAATGATGGAGTCAATGCCCCCAGCTGTCCCAGCAGCTCGATGATATTTTCGCCGCGTAATTCTCCAAGACCGGCAAACCCATTCAAGAACGAGAAAAGCAGGGCCCGGATGAGCTGAGTTCGGGAATATTGATGGACTAGACCAGGCGCCGTGCCCTGGCCTGGCAAGAGACTTATGACTCTCAAGAATGACTGTTGGGTATCTGAAAGCTTCGAAGCTTGCAGAGTCCCCCTTTCGAGCCGTGAGGTAACGAAGTTCGTGAAAAGGTCCACTGTAGCGCCACTACGGGTGGACTCTGTAGCCCTAGTCAAAATAGCATTCGCAGAGGGGCCGAAGTTGACTCCTTTTGATAGCAAAAACTTCTCGAACTCTAGAAAGTGCGAGCCCCAGTTCACTTGCATTCCATGGTAGTACTTCGGGCTCCTGGCAAATGGTGCGTTTTCGGGCGTCAGGATTTGTCTTTGCATGAAGGCGGAATCCATTGCAAGGGAGGGTCCGTATATCGGCGACGGGGCCAATCTAGGCGTAGACATGTTGAGGCTGAATTGGCCGACCCAGTCCATGTCAGGTCCCAGGTGATCATTCTGACTAGGCTCCCATGTGTCGATTATGTAAGGCGATACACTCATTGAATCAGGCTCGCGAGAAACGTCCACACTGCTGGCAGATATGATAGTACTTAGTTCTGCCAGTCCCGTTTCAAGATTGGTGTTTGTTCCGTCATCGCACTTTTGCTGGATGGTGTTGGTGTTGCTATGCAGCGTTGGTCGTTGACTTGAACCCACATGCAGTTTATCCTGCTTTCGAAGTTGTCGAAGGTATCGTTGAGACCGTTGAATCGAGGCCATGGATTTGCTATGACCTGCAGGCGTCACTGATGGCTGAACAATGCTGTTCTGAGGAGTTTGAGATGGATCAAAGAAGTTTTCCCATTCCTTTCGGGTCGTGTTCTTGCGGATATTCCATAGTTTGAGCTGTTTTTCGAATTGCCATGGGCTACATTAATTAGTTCATTCGGCCCCTCACACACGGAATGGAGGTGAACTTACGTGGCCTGGAAGCCATGTTCCCTTTGCATTTCTGAAATTACACTTCTGAGTGTGCTTGTGCGATAGAGCCTGGCGATGGTTTGTTTGTGGCGTTCCCACTCCTCCTGGGGAATGGATGCGGGTTTTGGAGCCATGGCACTTGTAAGGGGAAGCAAGCGAGGTGACAATTTGATTTGGCGTGGTCGAAGAATTAGGTCTGAACAAACCGCAATGTAGAGTTGGGAAGGAAGAAGTTGAGCGTGGATTCTCTAGCATGCATATGTAGGCCATTTTATATCCTGACTTGGAACTGGCACCGGATACGTTTCTTGCAGGCTGACAGACTTCCAGTCTGACTTCGGCCACCAATATCCAATAGAAGCAGGGCGGAGGTACTGTGCAGCTTCATTGTTGAGGTGGTGGGGCGGCAGGATTTGACGACAAATTCTGGCAGGAAAGGCGAGCAAATCTGGCGACAAGATCCGGCAGCAAAATCCAAAATCTGGCACCACTTTCTGGCAGCACTCCTTGTAGTTGCTCCCGCTACACCACATGTACCGGTACCAGCACCATATGCATGTAGAGGGTACCTAGGATGTAGCCGTTGGACAACGACTTCTTGGCATAGCGTGTAGCGAAAGAGTGGGCACATCCTGCCAATATGTATCATGAAAACTGCACTTCCCTCTGCTAGGCGACTGCCACGTCACATCAGGCTGAACCATATCAGAGGGCCTTTGCCGTGCTTGTCGAGTAGCCTGAGGATCATGGTACACAAAAATGTGCAGAATGTTCCAGGATGTGTGTGATTGCATGCCAGCCATGTCATGTATTTGAATGTATATGTCTCTCATTCAAATGTATATATCATGTATTCAAATGAATAATTCCACCAGAGGCTACGAGAAGAGACCCATGTGCACTCCATCGGTGCGAAAACTTGAGATAAACCAGATGCTAAGTCTGCCTTGTCGGACATCCCTGTCCTGAACTCGGCGCTTTGGTTGGGCTGTTATTGGACCGAGCCGGTCGAGGTGATCGGCCCTGTCAGACAGCATAGCTATGATGACCTCTCTTTCATGATGGATGTTTGCGCGCGTCGCGTCACCGACGGCTGCAGTCGAGGGCCATCAGTAAACGGCGAAACAGTATTGCGGTTGGGAGAGACGCAGCCTCTACATGATTCCGGCCGCAGGCAGTCTGGTGCCTAGGCTTCCTCTGTCATCATGACAACGCTCTTGACTGCTGTCGCCCAGCACTCGCGATAACTTGTTGCTGGAGCCATTACCGGCAAATATTTGGACATCATGGTTAGTCGAAGAATGCATATGACATGATTCTGAAGCTGACAACAGGGATTCAGCCACTGCGACAGCTATTCCCAGACCCTCATAAACCCGGCGGATCGTGCAGGGTCGAGTACGTGCACAATCCATAGTCCATTGCACTCACTGACAGTGGGTGCAGCATTATCGCCGTGCCTGGTCTGAACACCCAAGGCAAAGCACTTCTAGAGCACGCTTGGGATACCTGGCGCCCGACAGATCGTCCCAATGACCGATTCTGGCTCCGTGATGATCTTCCAGTGTGCACTCCCGATGCGCGAATACTCCTTTACGAGTATGATGCCAGGGTTGGGCCTGGAAAAGGCCGCATGAAATTCGCGCAGGATGCGATCACATTGCTAGAAGAGATCATCCTTGCAAGAGCCGACTTCGACACACGTCCCCTGCTATTCTTGGGACACCATATAGGTGGCTTGCTGGTCAAAAAAGCTCTGATTAGAGCCAGCAGAGAACCGAAGTTTTCATCTATCAAAGAAGCGACGACAGGTTTAGTCTTTTTTGCCACACCCCACTCTAGGACGGAAACACTGTTCGATAAGAGATTGGCGCTCGAAACACTATTTTCGGGATATGTGGAAGAGCATTGGGACAATCAAATTTTGACACCTAGATGTGAGGTTGTGTCGTTCTTGGGGTCCCAAGATGGTGTAAGCGACCTCCGAAGCGAATTCTTTTCAAGCGCTCGACTTGGGCTGCCTGATGGTCGTGAGCGTGTGGTAGAGCTCGATGGGAATCACAACACGATCTGCAAATTTGGCTTTAGCCCAATCGATATTCACAATCTCGACATTGTACGAAAGAACATCCAAGCCTTGTACGAGAAGGTGGTGTGGTCCTCTCCGTTGGGAACTCGAGCAAACAGTCTAAGGTCTCTCGGAGCAGTGTTGATGGAAGGTAAGTGAGGAGTCTCATTATATTTTACAACAAAAGACTGGCCTCAGCGAGGTCAAAGTGGTGAACATAGTTGCTAGGTCGGCTCCCCACGACTGCTTTGACATTAGCACTAATGCTATTCTCCCCTTCAGTAAAATCATCGTCACATCCCCAGGCTGGTCACCTTACCGCTACTCAACCAGTCGCTCGGCACCCAGTTTACCATCTCCCGTTTCCAAGAAATAAGCGATTTGTCGGAAGAGAAGACATCCTCATGAGACTGAGAGACTTGCTTTTTTTCCAAGGCATCCAAACAGTTGCCCTTGTGGGACTTGGTGGCATAGGCAAGAGCCAAGCCGCTCTCGAGCTTGCATACTGGGTGAAAGGGAACTTGCCCGACTTCTCTATTTTCTGGGTGTCTGCACTGAGCGAAGCTGCTTTCGGAATTGCGTTTGGCGAGATTGCTAACAAATTCGGACTCCGGACGGGCGAGGGACAGGATATCAGGGACTCGGTTAAAGACCATCTAAGCTCCGAGGCGGCGGGCCGATGGCTTCTGATTGTCGACAACGCGGACGACATGCGGATCGTCTCTAGTACATACGGGATGCCTGATCATCTTGACAGCTTCTTGCCAACGAGCGACCAGGGCCGGACTCTTTTCACCTCGCGTTCATATGACGTGGCGCACACAGTGGCCGAGGAGGTTGTCAGTCTAACCGAAATGGCCTTGGAAGAGGCGAAATGGCTGCTAGAAACATCTTTGACTCGACAACATCCAATGAGTGACGAAAGAATAGCGGAAGAGCTGTTGCGCCGTCTTGTCTTTCATCCTCTGGCAATCACACAGGCAATATCTTACATGGCGAGGAATCGTATCACAACCAGAGAGTACTTGAGGCTATTTCACAACACCGAAGATGATCGGATTGACTTACTCAGTCTTGGGTTGCCTGACAAGACACGGTACCAGGGCTCACACAACGCAGTAGCCTCCACAATGCATATGAGCTTCGAACAAATACAAGAGACCGATAGCCATGCGGCTGAGCTGCTAAGATTCATATCGCAAATCGAGGCAGGTTCGATTCCTCAGTCGCTTCTCCCCCGGCCAAGCTCCGAACTGCAGATGATCAACGCGATCGGGACATTACGTGCATACTCTTTTCTCTCAAAAGACGAGATGGACATGCTGCATATGCATCCACTTGTCCACATTGCAACAAAGGCGTGGGTGAAACGAGAGGAAGAACACGAGAATGGTGCGGGTGGAGTCACAGAGCGAGCGATTCGGCACCTTGCCAAGGTGTTCCCGACAGCTGATTATGCTGACTATGAGAGGCGGAAAGCATATATACCCCATGCATTGCGCTTGCTGAGGGCAGGTGGAGGGCCAGAGCTGAAGGAGAGGTCTGAACTAGCTTACTGGGTCGGCCTCGGCCTGGCCTTTGATGGGTGGGAGAGAGAGTCGGTGCGCTGGCTGGAAGAATGTTTTGAATGGAGCAAAACTCAATACGGTGAAGACCATCCTGATCGACAAGAACCTCAGCGTGAACTGGCGAGGGCGTACATTTGCGATGATCAAGTCAAGAAGGCAATCAGACTATTGGATGATCTTATACAACTCGAAGAAAAGTCTCTGCCAGAACACCACCCCACCCGGTTAAAGTCAACACGATTGCGTGCAGTAGCATACAGGGCGAATGGACAGATCAGAAAGTCAATAGAAACACTGGAGAGTGTAGTGGCGCTCGAAGCGAGAATCCCGGCCACGAGCGACAGTCCCCGACTGAGGTCGCTTTACGAGCTGGCGGTAGGATACCGGTCCAATGGTCAAATCGCCCGAGCAGTCGAGCTCCTGGAGTATGTTACGGCTATTCAAGAACGAACCCTGGCTTCGGATCATCCTTTTTTTCTGTCAGCCCAGTGCGAGCTCGCAACTGCCTACAGGGCTCGTGGACAGGTCGGCCGTTCCATCCACCTGTTGAAGCAGCAGGTAGATAGACTCGACCCCTCATTGAAAGAGCAGCACCCCTATCAACTGAGGGCTATGCATGAGCTTGCATTGTCATATGAAGGTACAGGACAGCACCTGCAGGCGATGAACATACTAGAACACGCGTGGCTCACCGCGAGGTGGATTAGGAAGCATACTGCCTTAGACGGCACCACAATCTGGTTGCCGATAGCGCAAGCTCTCGCAACGTCGTGTAGGTCAGCTGGAGACCCTAACAGAGCGGCTGAGATTGAGATGAAGATCACCCGGCACTCAGAACCTTTTGCGGAGCAAGACTCAGACCTGCCAGCCCTCCAATGCGAGACGGGTGCCAAAAAGAAACTTGGTTCTGAACTCGACGATTTTGACGCCGAGCCATCCGTGGATCAGACACATTCCGGCTCAATCTTTGCTACCGGGGTTCTGCCAAAGGTGCCGGCGTTGACCACATTGTCTATCACAATCAGAAACAGAGCCCGTGAGGAAATGGTGGGGATATTTCTTGACGATCAAGAACTTCGACCTCTCTTTCAAGCCGCAATAGAAAGCCAGGAGATTGGAGGTTCAAAGTTTGAAACGGTCTTCAGGAGACTACTTCAAGAATTCTCGAAGGACCTGCGCGCAGCCACGGACGTTCCGATGTATCACGACACGGCAGATTTTCTCCAACAGAATGCGCATTCCATCTCACAAGAAATCCGGTACAAGTTCGAACCCAAGCCAGAAACATTGGGACCTTCCTCATCAGAGACGACACGCTCAAGCAAAGTAGACACTGATGAAGCGAAGCAGGATTTCAACGAAAGGCTTGAGATCAGCCGTCCAAGACCATCAAGTATTCCACTCACTGGAGGAACAGAACCTGTGCAAGATGTCGGCGACGTATCCCAGGAGGATTTGGAGCCGGCAGATGATGAGATGATCCAACCACCACCGGCAGACAAGATAAAAGAGTTCTTGATCTCCGGGTATCCCATTCAGAATCTGCGAAAGAAACTAAGGACATTTGTCATGCCTCATCAGCTAATCAAGTCTGAGGACGACCTTACGGGCCGGCCGTCTCTGCCCGATACATACTTTGCGAGTGTCTTTCCAGGTTCTCTGCCAGAGCTGGTTGACCGGGTATTTGATCTCTGCCACTTGACCTCTATGGAACCGCCAATTCCACCCGGGAAAAGCCGGGTACGATGGACATGTGTATGTTTCCTCCGTTCTCCTTGTGGTTTCACGGTTGACCGTACAGCAGAGATGTGGCGCAAGACTGTACGATGACTACACTGAGCTTGATCCCGGCTCCTTGAAAGACTTGCAAACCGAGCTATACGGAATGAACAGCAGTGATCCACAAGCCTCTCAGCACAACCAGCCACAGTCGTTTATGAAACGAGTCACGAACGTCTTTAATCAGTCTCTGACTATGCTGAAATCGACCCGGAAGGCCAGTGCAACCGAGGACCTATCCCTCCCGCTTCATCTTGACCCTCACCATGCAAATGGCCCGCGACAAGTCTCGAAACTACTCTTGAGTCGAGTATGTACCTCCCTTTCCAAATAACACATTCCCCTTGTTTGACGTCAGGCATTGACGGTGTGACAACAGTTTGAACTCGACTTTAGCTCGAACGTCGAAGTCCATCCGCACAACCGGACTTGTCAACCCGGGCCATGCGTCTGCCTCCCCGACCTCAACCGCATCCACATTGAATACCGCTGCGGACCATCGCCGGAAAAAGCGCCGACCAAAGTACCCATCTGGGGAGAGAACTATTTGACGCACTATTTCAAAAAACCGGGTTGCCTCAGAGAAGGGCAAATGTCGATATTCCGACAACTCCCAAAGCGCACTTGTGGCAGTCTCGCAGCGTCTGATGACGAGCCGACTTTAGGCTGGGGTATTTATTTCGAGGAGGACTGGCACTGGAGATCTATCTACTTCATAATTGTTTTCGTCATCGGTATAGGGAGCATGGTGTTTGGAGTATGTTGGTCGGTGTTTGAGAAGGACATCCAGAGTGCATTCACTATTACCGGCGCTTGGGTGACGCTGGGGTCTCTTATGCTAGGTTATATGGCCGTGAGAACTTCTTGAAATGCCTTAGACAATGGAGAAACACTTGAAATAATTGTTCAATCGAGGATCAAATAGCCCCGAACTCCCTCCCAACTCCCTCGGCGCCTCCTCCAGCACCAAACATCTCTCGCAAGTCGCCCACCAACTCCTCCGGCCTCTCCCATGCCGCGAAGTGCCCACCGGCAGCATGCCTCCTCTCGAACACGACCGGGCCCAGCGTCCTGCCCCAGCTGCTCGGCGGCACGATCAGGTCCCGGGGGAAGTAGCTCAGCCCCAGCGGCACATCCCCAATCCACTCCTTGGTCCTGGCCGTCAGCTCCTGGGCAGTGTGCTTGTTCTCCCAGTAGATCTGCGACGCGGCGTCGGGCCCGGCCGTGCTGAAGGCGTAGATGCCCACCCAGGTCAGCACCTCGTCGTCGGTCCAGGGATACCGGTCCGTCCAGTCCCTCAGCTTCTCGTACACCCACGCCAGCAGCGCGACGGGCGAGTCGCGAAGCGCGTACCCGATGGTCAGGGGCCGCGTGCTCTGCAGCAGGTTGTACCCGAAGCCTTCCTCGGCGAACCAGCGCGTGCGCTCGAGCCCTTCCTCCTCCTGCGCCGTGTGCGGCACCAGCTTGTCGGCGATGCTGGACCCGGGCGCCTTGGTGAACTTGGGCGGCGACTCGACGCGCACAAAGTTCAGGTGCGAGGCCGCCACGCTCTTGGGGTACAGCAGGCCCAGCATGCGCGTCACGGGGGTGCCCCAGTCGCCGCCCTGCGTCACGTACCGCTCGTACCCGAGCTTGCGCATGAGGTTGTGGCAGACCTCTGCGTACTGCGGGATGCCGAAGCCCCTGCGCGCCGCGCGCTGCGAGAACCCAAAGTTGGGCAACGAGGGGGCCACGACGTGGAAGGACGGCTGGCCGGGTGCGGACGGGTTCGTCAGGAGGGGCAGGATCTTCGTGGCCTCGTGGTAGCTCCCCGGCCAGCCGTGGCAGAAGAGCAGGGGGATGCTGCCCTCCTCGCGGGAGCCCCGCTGGTGGACGAAGTGGATCTGCAGGTCGCCGTGGCCGGAGACGGGGATGGACGTGATGAAGTGCGGGAGCTGGTTGAGCTCGGCCTCGGCCTTGCGCCAGTCGAAGCCGTCGCGCCATCGCGCGGCGAGGCGTTTGATGTCGGCGAGGGGGACGCCGTAGTGCCAGTCGTCGGAGAAGTCGGCTTCATCGGGGAACTCGGCGAGGCTGAGCTTTTGCTTCAAGCGGTCGAGCTGCGCGTCTGGAACGGCGATCTTGAAGGGCTTGATATCCGCCATGCTGGGGAGGAAAGTGTGATGTGTGATCCGGATCAGTGTGCTGACTTGTCTTGAGTGTAAGCTGGTAGCGCTTCAAGGGATGATGGCAATCAAATTGATTAAAGTTAGTGTGTATAGGCCTTGATTTGAGCCGATAAGATGCGTGGATGAAGATGAAGATCAAATTTATAGCATCATTTGGTACTGTCTGATGGGATTGAAACACCACCACCCGGCAATCTTGAGCAGTGACGCGATGGATTACCAATCTCACGACTTGGCAGACACGAAAAGGGCGCGCTCTAACGTGACTCGTAGAGCAAGTGTGATAAAGAGGATCAGCTCGAGTCAACAGATATGGCCTTTTAGTGACCAAGTTGGACATATGTCAATGAAGATCTGGCGTGGGTCTTGCGCCCTTCCGGCCTTCCGTGATCATGGCCTGCAATTCCTCGAGGGCATTGCGGGGTCGGCCGGCAGTTAGGGCAGCATGACGGCATCCGTCAATGCATGTGTGTCTTCGCCAAGGCGTAGCTTCGCTGCGGGAACAGCTCCCCCACCATCCCCGCAGTTTCTGACGACGAAAGGAGGGTGTGGTATCCTGCAGCTTGCCAGAAGGTTGGCACATGCTGATTACCTTCACTCTCCAGGCAGACATATCACGACATCTGGAAACACAACAGCGGGAGTCAATGGGAAAACAGGGTTGCAAGGGAGAGAGATGCTCTTGTAACCAAAGAAAAGCTTTCAAATTTCATCTGGTCTCAGTCTTGCACTTTGTCCTGTCCAGCGAGAGATGCCCATCTTGCCCAACCCCCCTCGAGTATTACAGCATCACCGCGGACCAGTCATCAAATCCTCGTCAGAAGTCATGCGCTCCGTCCACCTGCCTGTCCCGTGGTATCAAAACAAGTGGGGTATTGAATCATTGGAAGCCGTTTGCCATTGCCATAACATTAGTTGTCGTACTGGTGTACCCTCTCAGTCGTGAAAATCACGCTGCTGCCCGAGTGGAAAGGCTTAGACACGCGAGGTCGTGGTGGTGCGGGTGCCAGCGGCGCCGCCGTGGTAGCCCATGTACCAGTCATAAGCGACGTTGAAGAAGAGCAGGAAGCTGAATCATCGTGTCAGTGCGCACCGGGGCCAAAGATGCCAGTGTCAAATCATCACTCACAAGGCAATGAAGCTAAAGGCCTCCACCGTCAGTGCCAGGTTGCTCTTCGAGTTGGAAAAGTCGCTAGCAGTGAACGCGACGGCCACGAGCCATAGGTACGAGAAGATGAGGTTGAACATGAGGATGTAGCCGGGGTAGGTGCCCAGGATGAACGAGACGAGGAAGAAGGCAACCGTCAGGACAGACTGCAGCAGTGCGGGAATGGTCAGTATTCGAGAGGAACCATAGGGACACCGATCACATGGGCCAGAGAGGGTAGACAGCAAGCACGTACAATGACTTCCTCGTAGATGATGTGGTCACCTCCAGCGCCCTGGGAGATCCAATACGAGACGATGCCCATAACGATGACGGCCGAGATCCAGATGAGCAGGTTGGTGACGAGGAAGAAGGGCGAGAGCCCGGTGCGGCGGTGGGCGGTCAGAGGCATGTTGACTGACTGCACTGTAGAGAACAAGAGGAGCGAATAAAGATGGAGGCGTCTAGGTCTTTGCAAGGGTTGGTGATGTCTTGAGAGCTGTGTAAAGATGCTTTCGCAGGGCGACGAGGTGTGTGTGTGTGTGTGGTATTGGTGTCTTGGATGGACGACGGAGAGGAAACACGATGGTCAGGATGGGTGCGGGAGACAAGCTCTGGGTGGGAGGGAGGGGTTTAAATGGTTTGATCTTGCCTTTGTCTGCTTGACGAGAGACATGCAGGTAGGCAAGGTAGGTAGGGCAGCTGGACAGAAGCAATGACTGGACCGGGGGCAGGCCGTCTGCCTCGGAAGGGGAAAAGAAAGAAAAGTGCAGGAAACTGTGTCTGATGCTGGGAGGTTGGAAGTACGGCCCAGCATCACCATTGCATGGCATCCACGTCAAACCGCCCGGCGATGCTCTCATAGGTGAGGTCAGCGGCATCATGCACGGCACGCACGCGCACCCATGTGCCGGTTCTTGCAGCGTCGGGCATGTATTTGGGGCGAGAGAGGGGACCCCCTTGCTGGAGATCGCGATCCCCTGCCTCTCTTCTCTTCTCCAAGGCCTTGTTCCCTTTTCTCGCTCCGAAGCACACTCAGGCAGGACCAGGGTATGTGCATTCCTGCAATGTCCCAGCCAATGAGGAGGCGGCGAGAATGGAGCATCAAACGCGGTGGCATCAAAAAGAAAGCAAGAGGGAAACGAGAGATGAACCTGCACGGGAGCAACACCACATGACAGCCCTGCGGTGTTTCGCAATGGCCAAGGGAGATGGAGCCACTAACGTCATGTCAACTCTTTGCGACCAGGCGTCTCGATCTCCACACAGCAGCGACAAGAGAATCCTCTCGATCCTGGCCACGGGGAATGCGTACTTGTAGAAAGAGCCACACCGCGGCCCAATGGCCTTGCTCGCCGGGTGCCCTGTGCCCTTCCTTCGTCGCCCCTGTGGCTGGAGAGAACACCACCTGCCCCAAGGTCGGTGGGGTGAGGTCGGATTCTGCGATGCAGCCCATGCATTCGAGTGCCGATCCGACGTGGTAGTCGCTGGTAGTGTAGCGACAGAGTGCCGAACCCGAGAGAATGTAGCCTCCAAGGAGATCCAAAGCACAGGAGGGTGAGGAGGCAAGGAGCGTGAGCTCCGGACACAAAGCAGACCAATGGGTCCAATGGGGGGGGCCAAGACCTGCCAATCCAAGTTTTGGGACAGACGTAAATGACGGTCATGGGACCAGCGTGGGCAGACACGGTTGGTTGGTGGATGGATGTGCTGCGAAACAGCGAAACGGCGAAGCAGCGAAATGGGCGAGGCGTTTCATGATGTCATCCCACGGCAGCACACACATCATCAGCCCTCAGCTGCGGCCGCTATCCGTCTGGGCCTCTCCCTGTGGCGTTCCACTGCAATTTGATTTCCACAGACGGGCTGCAGGCCATCGGGATTTCGATCCAACCACATGCAAGGTGACACCTTTTTGTCGTGTCGGGTCAAGGTTCGTGTTTTTGCTCAGAGAGCCCTAATCTTGGTTCCCGCGTGGATCTCCGTCTAGTGGCCCCATCTACGGAGTACCTAGTGGCCCCGGGGGTCGCTACAGGGTTCCCACAGCACGGAGCTGCCCGTTAGGACGCTAAAGCCAGCCACCGAGCCCCTCTAATTTGAGCTCGCTGCCACACCTGAACCAGCCAGCACTGGAGTGAACGTCGGGAACCTCAGAGCTGGCTCCACGATGGTCGACTTGGGAAATGAAGCTATTCGCAGATCGAGGCACCCAAACTCACACGATCCTCGCCTCTGCATCTGGCATCATGACGAGTAAACCCTGCTGCACGAATCAGTCCCTGTCGCTCGAGCTCAATGCAGAAGCTCATAAGTCCTGTAGCCAGCCAGGTTTGATCCTGCCTGCTCAGCCAAGTGTGCTCGGACGGTTGACAGGTCCTGCAAGGCCTCAGGGCTGAGCTCTTGGACAGTTCCTTCTTGATCCAAGGCTGGCTGGCCGCTTGCCCTCTATTCTTGCACAGCGCAGATGGTGCCTGCAGAGAAAAGCACAACAGTCCCGAAACCATGGAGCCGTCGGCGTTGAAGAAGTCGCACTCTTGCCAAATCGGACTCCAGGGAGTGTCATGGACATGACGCTACCACTGAACCTCTTCCAGCATCGAACCTCTTCCAGCATCTGGCCCATAGCAGGTGATGTGATTCACGGCTCAAAGAGCCGTCTATTTTCTACTTTGGAGTTTGAACTCTGGACATTCGTATCATCCCGCGTGGTCCTTTTCACTCTTCTTACCACAAGACTGAGCAGGCCTTAGACCCTCTTATCAGAACTCTACCACGACATTCGCAGAAACAAACAGCATCTTCTCAGCGAAACTATTCGCAACACATAGCCAGCGCCGCAGTGCCGAACTGGTCGCCACCTACACCGTGGCGGACCGGACATACCTTACCTTGCAACATTGACACGATGGTGAAGTATTTGCCGGTCAATTACCGCTGCGACGCAACAGTGGTCGAGTGTACGCCAATAATTCCTACGGTTCTGCCTGGCAACACTTCGGAGACCCTGGAAGAGAGCAAGTATCTGCCAAGACCCAACGTAGGCAAGTTCTGGGCTGCACCGTACCACTCGCAGGCTCCTCCCGGGGACGAATTCCCCCCCACCATGCTGGAGTTCCCATTCAGCTGCGGCCGCGACATCCGCTTCGTCCCTCGCGAGGGTACCACGGACACATGCCTGGTCTACACCTCCGGGTTCTTCTCACCGAGCACTGTGGACAAACCTAGACCTGCAGCCTGGGCCTTCATCTACGGTCCCGCCGCCCTCACTGGTCTTTCGACCCAACAGTTTATCCCCGAAGCTCTGCGCACCATCAGCGGCCCCGTCGAAGAGAAGGGCCCGTTCGGTCAGCTGGCGCCGCCAACAGTTGTTCGAGCCCATCTGCGCGCCATCCTCGCCGCTCTCCGCTATCGTTCCTGGCAAGGGGATGGCTTCAAGACCCTTGTCATCGCGACACACTCCCACACCGTCGTCGAGGGGCTTACATGGCATGCCGAGAAAATGACGAGAGACGGCTTCCAAATCGGTCCGGGGACTTTGATGGAGGACGCTGACATGTGGATGGCTACTCTGGGTGAAATTGAATATAGCATTTCGCAAGGCTTGGGAGTTAAGCTTTGGTGTGTGCGCAACAGTTTGAATCGCGCTGCAGTGACGGCGGCCGAGAGGAGGAGCGCATCTTCTGTTGGCATTGAGAACTATAGAGACTACGTCGGAGTCAACGCGATCGCCATCCAGTGCGCCTATAGATAGAAGACAATCGGCAAGTTCCTGGTTCTTCATCTGCCCTCATGATCCCTGCAAGTATTCTAGGGGGTTAACCCATAGCATCGAATAATCACCATAGCAGCGGCTAGGAGGAACATGACTTTGCACCACAGTTATTTGCCCATGAAGAATGACGGCTCTTTACTCAGATTGTCGTGTACTGGCAAGGTGATTACAAGATTTTACAATGCGCAGGGCTGTTCTTCTGTTTCCAAACAGGCGAGAAGCGGTTCCTGAGCTACCAAGTGGCAGTAGCTTCGGAGCGGTTGATGGTAACAAACCAGTCTAGCCAATGAGCACGAGCCGTGGCGCCACGATGCTCTTGCGATCAAGCTGAGTCGGTACCTGCTTTGAGCTGGCCCAAGATCGTCCTTTGCCATCATTGAAATACATAAAATCACACTCATGGGTTCGTTCCCCCTCGCTTGCTATCGGATATGCGTTCACCAAGGAGGATCTCTGTGTAGTCTTCTCCACGATACAAAAGTCAGTGCCCCGGGCCTAAGATCAAGGATTCCATGCACCCATGCAGGCACCGGAAGATCGCGATGCCGAAGAGGGCGCGGTGCGGAATGCCAAGACGGGCTTCCGCTGGTTTCTCCACAAGATGAACCCGGTGTCGGCTCGTGCCAAGGGCGACTTGCGCATCATCAAAGAGTACTTCAAGACGGACGACCGTGCCAGAGCAGAAATGAAAGATACGAGCAAGCATCCCGAGATTGACCGAGTCGCCGAGGTGCGAACAGGTCTGGGACTGTGCGTGGAAGAGGTCGAGTTCGTTGCAAAGCGAAAAGCCCGGATGAGAGACCACTTTGCCAAGTATCTCGGGCTGGATCCAGCTACGGTGCACCTGGACGACGTGCCCTGTATTGGCCTCGGTGGCAGCGGAGGAGGCTATAGAGCCATGCTGGGACTTCTTGCTTACTCAGCCGCGATGAAGGAGAGTGGCCTATGGGACCTACTGATGTACATCGCCGGCGTGTCCGGCTCCTGCTGGTCAATCGCATCGTACTACACGTTTGGCAACCTCAATTTCGACGAAGTGATAGAGCACTGCAAACGCAGATTCTCGCCTCATCACCCTCTCTCGGACGATGCCATCAGAGCAATGCTGTCAGCCTCGGGAGGCATGGACCTCCTCCTCGGGCCGCTCGAGATCAAATCAGAGTCTGGCCTCAGCGTAGTGCCCATGGACTACTACTCCGTCCTGACCACGGGACACATCTTTCTGCATGACAAAGAGCAGCGCCCCACGGCCAGCACCGAGCCTAGCGTCGTCGGCTTCAAGCCGGAGTGGTTCAAATTCACCAACGCCAAGCAGCACATCGCCAACGGCGCGGAGCCGCTGCCCATTCTCACGGCGATCCGGCACGAGCGGCCGTGGAAGGAGTGGACCGACAAGGAACACCCCTTCAAGAGCGACGTGATCGACGAGAAAGAGCATGCTGAGTCGCATGCATGGTGGCAATGGTTTGAGATGACGCCGTTTGAAATCGGATCCGACGAGCTCGAGGCGTGGGTGCCGACGTGGGGATTTGGAAGGCCATTTGCGGCGGGCAAGTCGACCACGGGACTGCCCGAGCAGTCCTTGGCCTTGCTACTGGGTCTCACTGTGAGTGCTCCGGCCGGACACATGAGCTCGTACATCGCGACGATCAAGAGGAACCTGCCGGGAAACTTTCTCGGCGCCCAGGTACACGATCTTGCCAAGGGAATATCCCGTCTGTGGGGAGCACACGGCACAGCCGTGTTCGAGGGTCATCATCCCTTGCACGCCTGCAATGAGCACAACTATCTCTTCCACCTGACGGAGGACAGGGCTCCCGGGATTCAGAACTCGCCCAGGATCCACCTGGTCGATAGCGGCATGGACAACAACTGCCCGACGTACACGCTCCTCCACCCGAGCAGGAACGTGGACGTCCTGATCACCATGGACGCGTCCAGCGACGTGGAGAAGGACCAACAGGGGAGGATCGACCAGATAGGCAGTCGCAAAGGCATCAAGTTCACGAGGAGGCAGCCGGATGAAACCCCATACGCACAGGTCTTTGACGGCAAGCTTTGCGACAGGCCAGAGACGGTTATCGACTCGTATGGCAAGACTACTACGACCCCTCCGGCGCCTGTCGTTCATCAAGAGTCTACGGTTGTGTACATGCCGCTGCTGAAGAATGAGGATGCGGTTCCGGGGTTCAATCCAGCCAACTCGACGTTTTCGAGCTCGTACAACCTCATCTGGACTCCGGACCAGGTCGAAACGTTGATCAAAGTGTGCATCGCGAATTTCAAAGCCGCAGAACCTGTGATAAAGAAGGTCATTCTAGAGGCTTACCAGAAGAACAAGGCAAGGCGAGAAAAGGGCCAAAGATAGATGGTATGTATCCGAGCATGTGACGTCACCCCTAGCTTTGGCGTCACCAGAGAGGCTACAAGTTTTGGCATGATATCAGATACCTCATCGCGCAAGGCTGGGAGAGGAACTAGACTAGGATATCAACGGACAAGATGATATCAGATCCATGCTCACACACTGCAACACGATTGCAGTCCGCACCTCTGAATCATGAATAAGAGAGGGTTGTATCGGGCCAATGCGAGACACTTGCTCGGCCCGAACGTATCTCTGACTGTATGTACGTCAACCCCTACAAGCAAGTCTTGTCAGTTCCTTCCGAGCACACAGACCTGGGTAGAGATTGCTCGGCCGTACGGATAGTTTACTCTTATTACTGATGAGTTGCCCCGAACCGGGACCCCCACTGCTACTCACCCCACAAATCTCCCCCAGACAGGAAATAAGGCAAACTCCGAATGCCGGCTTCGTAATCAATGGACTCAAAATGCAATAAGAAACGCTGATGCAGTCCTATGGAGAGAAGGTGGGTAGTGTGAGAAGGGTCTCCAACGTATTCTGCGACCATGGCGACTAAACAAGAATCTGGTATCCTTTTGCGCGGCGGCACTGTCTTAGCCCACGATGAAGACATGCATGTCAGACCGCTGAGAGCCGATGTTCTTATCAAAGGAAACACCATCGTCAAGATCAGCGAGGACCTGTCTGTGCCCGTCGGCACGGAGGTAATTGACTGCATTGGCAAGCTACTATGCCCAGGTTTCGTCAACGGCCATCAGCACATCTGGCAGACGGCGCTCAAGGGCCAACACGCCAATGACACCCTCGTTCCGTACATGCCAACGGGCAACTTGACGTCAGCGCTCTACACTCTCGAAGATGCGTTCTGGGGCGAGTTAAGTGGTGCCATGGAGTCCATCGACTGCGGGACCACAACCGTGGTGGACCATTCCAGTCTGAACCAAGGGCCGGATTACCGTGAGTCAAATACCCTCTCAATATGTTACTCGCCGTCACTTAGCAAGGTATACAGCGAAAACAATTCTCCGGGCCCTGGCAACGTCAGGCCTACGCGCCACCTACGCATACTGCCACCCTCGCATCGTCACCTCGTGGAACCCGCTCAAGTACGCCGACGACTCGACTTCACCCTGGGTTATGGACACATATGAGCAACTATTTGCACCGTGCTCAGATCTTGGCGACAACGGCCGCGTCCGCCCTGGCTTTGCCGTCGACGCCATCTTCGGCCCCTCCGAGCCGCTCCAGAAGCTGTACAAGCGAATCCGCAGCGCAGGCACGGCAGTGATCACGACGCACTCTTGCGGCGGGGTCATGCTACACAACGGACCCTCCGCTGCACAGATCTTGTACCAGCATGGCCTGCTTGGCCCTGATATCCTGCTCAGTCATGCGACTTTCCCGCACGATGGCGACGTGGAGCTGCTGAGGAAGGCGGGAGCGGCAGTGTGCACCACGCCGTTGACCGAGCTGCAGATGGGACAGCCGCCTGTCGCGCTGGAGGACGATTATTACGAGCTAGCGAGCCTCGGCGTGGACTGTCATTCTTGGGGCAGCAGCTTCATGCCAGGACAGATGAGGTTGCTGTTGCAGTGGGCCCGGTGCGACAGGGCAGGACGCCTGCTCAAAGAAAAGGGGCAATGGAGTCTTGGCACTGGAGTTGATGTCGAAAAGGTTTTCAACCTGGGGACGGCGCTGGGTGCTAGGGCCATTGGGATGGGTGATCAAGTCGGGCAAATCAAGGAAGGGTACAAGGCGGACATGGTCATCTTCGACACGGACACGCCGAGCATGTGTGCTGCCGCACTGGACGATCCTGTCGCAGCAATAGTGCTACACTCGAGTGAGCGAGACGTTGGAACGGTGATTGTCGACGGCGTGGTGAGAAAGCAGGGCGGCAAGCTGTTGGACATCACGGCGACGCCGGCGGTGGGGCGCCAGACGACGCAGGTGAGCGGCGTTGAAGAAGGTCGGAAGTTTTCCTGGAATGATGTCGTCGCCAGGTTATTAGAGAGCCGAGCAAGAATCAAGAAGGAGATGGAAGGGATCGACTGGGAAAGTGCGGTGGATAGCATGATTGATCTGATGCACTGCGATCGAAGCTCTCTGAAACAAGACCATTGATCTTGCAGAAAGCACAACAATTTGCTGTAAAAATAGAATTATGCCAAGACTCACCACTGGTGAACCTGATTACACACCAACTGCGGCGAGCATGTTGTTGCACCTTCAATGTTGTTGACAACCTTTCCACAAAGACAAACTGAGGGCCTCTAATTTACCAAGACTGAGTAAGCTGAGACAGGGCCGACACAATATTTATTAGACTTGGTTTCCAGGATATTACGGCTGTGATACTAGTGACAGAGAAGCGAGTGGGCAGCTCTGGATCAAGAAGCATGGTGTTCTCGGAGATGGCAGTGGCACTTGTCACAGAGGGTAAGCTCGTGCCGACACATGGAGCACACCTAGAATATTCCGTGTAGATTAACCTGACCCAGCAAATCTTGATGAGATCATAGTCACATCAGCGATGGTTTGGCTTTGGGATGAAGCTATCTGCGGCACAGAACAGCTTGGGACTTGGAAGTCCCTGGACTGATCGTCTAAATATAGCTCAAGGGCCCACCCCCAACATATATGTCAACCTTTGTGGGGACGAGGGCAAGAGGATTGAAGACTTCCAAGGTTGATCGACCCGGTAGAACGCTGCCTCCGATTCGCGATGCAGTCCTGACAGCTGTGATGAGCGGGGGCAAGTGTTTCGAATGCTTGATTAACTCTCTTCTTTCGCTCGTCAGGTGCTCTCTCGCAGGCAATATCTCCCTGCATCATGTGAAATGACGAACATGTGGAGTCTTTTCTATCTTTAAGCGCGCTTTAAGCATACCTAAAGCCGCCCGGATACTACGCTGATCCTGGTGCACTGTGGATCGCTGCCCAGATGCGCACGCGATCACATTCACCCTCATCTGCGTTCAGCGCATCTTGACAACCCACTCCCTACGGCGCAGTTCTCCTCTGTAGTTTGTGGGACTAGTTGGCGCGAGTCGCGTGCTCCCGACCCGACTACAGCGTCATGTTCCAATGGGTATTTCAAGGAGGCACGGCTGGCGGGCCAATGAGCTTCAACATCGCGTACAGGACAACCTAATTGTATTGACTGATGTTTCACTGATCATACAAACTGATCGCCGGACCGTCACCAACCATCAATCAGCTCCCCAGCTATTACGGTGCACACACTTTTGTGATTAGGGACGTTGAAATGATATCAGAACTCAAAATAAATGTCTAAGATTAGATCCAATACGCTGTTGATCGCATGTTCCAACTGCACCAGATGGGTCAAGTCCATGCCCTGGCTAGGTGAGCAGCCTATCATCAACATGTGGAAGCCAGGAGTGCCTCTCGATGATCACCAAAGTCATTCATAAACCCTAAATCCGAATCTTGACCTCCAACACGACCGTCCTGCAGTCTCTCCACACTGGCGATCGCGAGCATGGTCATCGGAAGTTGGAGACATTTCTGTAATCAACACCTAAAAAGGGAGTCTGAGTACTGAAGAGATGTGTATATAAGGGATGTAGATTCCCTTGGTCAAACAATCTGAAAATGTCTTCAGAGCATCAACCCTCGACCACTCCAAGAACCAGCAACACCTTCATCACTACAGCAGTCAGCTCAGCAGCCGCGATTCAGGCCACAGCTTCCACCCCAAGATCTTTGCATCCCCTAAAACTTTGAAAATGCCTTCCACTATCAAATGCCTCATCTTCAGTCTCCTCGCCGGTTCCACCGTCGCTGCCCCTGCAGTAAGCCCCTCCGAGAGCGAAATGGCCAAGAGGCAAATGACCATCCCTTCCTGCTACAAGTGGGAAGAATACAAAGACCTCAAACAAAGCAAGCCCTACTACGACAAGTGGCAGCGCGTCGGCGGATATGAGTGCACCTCCCTCAAGAAGTCGGGATGCTCCATCAGCAAGAGTGCTTCGCACACCGTGTAAGTCTGAGAACAGGGACGCGCCTATCGGGAAAGTACGAGGTGAAGAAAATTAATAGCTAACCCGCACCGGCACTAAACAGTGGTGTCACCAAGACAGTAAGCGGCGGTGGCAGCGCTGGAATCGACCTTGGCAAGATCAACAGCCTCGGCATTGACGCCGGCTTCTCTTACAGCTGGTCGACCTCGGACTCGACCACCTTTACCGACACCAACCAGTGCCCGCCCGGCGGCCTCACTTGCGGCCTGCAGGTATCGCCCCAGCTGGTCAAGATCACGGGCACGTACATATTCGAGATGCGCGGCGGCTGCGACCGCAAAGAGAAGCACCCCTTCAAGATCTATGCACCCGTCGAGAAGGGCGGCGGCAAGAACAAGGACCAGTCTGCCGTGCAGAACTTCAAGATTTGCCTGGCAAAGCCTTGCAAAGACGAGACCTGCAAGAAGGCCGCCAAGGCCGAGGGTATCGAGAAATGCCCTTGAAATCCTTGTGGAGCGGAACTTACTCGCTGCTGCTGCTGCTGCTGCTGCCTCTTGATATCGAGACGAGGTTTTGAGAGCCGATGGTTAACATTGTCTATGTATTTGTATTTGCATTTAACGAATGACTTGAGACGAATCTTGGCTGCCTTTGGAGGAGGACACTACTGGGTGGAGCAAGTTTTGTTTTTTTTGTCTGAGGATCAGAGAGCACAAGAGGATGCTGATGAGTCAAGGGTCACTCGCTCGCTTAGTTTGTTATAGTGGAATTTCTTTCCATTCAATACTGTTGCAATTCAAGCTACCATACCCTCAAAGAAGGGTATAAGATAAGCGATAACAAGTGTAGGAGCCAGCCACTCTAAGCCGCTGGTAGATACTACAATACCAACACAGAAAAAAGACATCTTTACACAAGGCCACTTACACAGGATATCGCACCGCGGGAAAGCTTATGTCCTGTCCCGCGACTAAATAAAGAGTGGCAGAAGTCGTAAGTTGGTTGAGGCCTACTTTCTCAAAACCGACAACACCAACAGACCTCGTCTAGCCTATTGAGTGAGGACTTTTAATGTACAAATGTGTGTAAAGGAGTAGTGATTTCTTCAATCATACAGGTACAAGAATCCATGGACGATGAAACCTTAAATTTGCTGTGACATGAATGTCTTCATCGCATCACGTCTTGAGCCGAGCTTCAATGCAAGCCCCGGGCACCCCAAACACCCTCCAGATATGAACCAGCTCGAGTCCCGAAGCATCAAGAATGTTAGCAAAGTCTGACTCCTTCCTCTCCTTCCCGCCCATGGTCATCACGATCTGATCCAGCACAGCATATGGAAACGTGCCTTGGTCCACCCGCGGAGGAAGTACCATCTCGCAGATAAGCACGCGCGACTCGGCCGACATTGACTCTACCAAGCGCGACAAGATCTGCGTAGCAACCTTGTCACCGTAGTCGTGAAGGATCATACGCATGAAGTATGCCTTGGCTCCTGTTCAACGAAGTGATCAGTTCGTGCCAGGTGTATTGGTGGGCAAGAAATGTCATACCTTTGACCGGCTGGGTGGTCATAAAGTCATGAGCCATCATCGTCGTCTCCTTTGGCAATATTCCACTTGATTTGGCTAGCTCAATCACCTCTGGACGATCCTGCAGGATGCAATGCTTTGGTGAAAGCTCAGGATGCGCGTCCAGGATCTTCTTCAGGACCACACCGTGGCCTCCTCCGACGTCAACAAGCTCGACGATCCCATTCTCAGACTCCTCAGAGTTGTTTCGAAGCGTCGAGAAATTAAAATGTCCCGTCACTGGTATCTCCGGGTCGAGCCCTGCCATGCTGATCTGGAAAGCCCGCATGTTTTCCGGGTTCTGCTCCATTATGGACCAGACAGGGGTACCTTCCTGCTTGTGGTATGATGTGTAAGGATTAGAGAGCGGGTCATGGGGCTCTCGCGGGCCATGAGTAACGACATATTCATCGAAGTTGTGCATGTTTTTGAACCACTCGTCGTACCTGTTTGAAGTGAGTATGCATGTCCACAAGAGCCGTTTGGTAACTTACATGACCTGGAAAAGATGACCGGGACTGGGAGAGGTGGTGATGTAACCTCGAGAGAACTTTGTGTGTGCAAAGTCACGACCGTCAGATCGAGTCTGGCCGAGGAAACCAGCAACAACTAGTCGAAAGGTCTCCTGTGAGTAAACAGTCATATTGCTAGTTCTACATGAGCTTACCTAACAACCGTCCCATCCGCTCTAGATCGTAAAGTTAGAGCTGCATTGCCCAAGCAAGCAAAAAGGATCAGGCATCATACCAAGTAGAGATTCTTGTACTCCTGTCGCTTCTGAGAGCTCGTCCAGAAGTATAGATCCCTCATGAGGGATAGCCTGGAGCACGCCAAGCTTCATGAAGGTCCGGATAGCCACAAGCTCTGCGATCTGCATTTGCTGTCAGTATTAGACTTTGACAGCATCAGGAGGTTCTGGGGCGAATGCCTACATTCAATCCATGATAGGTAGGGGCCTGGAATGGACCGATCAAAGCTCTTTTCAGGTTCTCAGCTCTAGATATGATTTCGGCTCTGGCCATGTGCCCTTCGTATCCAGGTGCGGAGGAGTAATTTTGAGCGGCGGCTGTCAGCTCCGCCACGAGGCTCTGCACCTCCTCGGGGGTCGCGAGGTCCTGATCCATAGTCCTGAGCCCTTTTTTTTATGATTTAGACTGACTTTCAGTAAGAAGGTATTGTCCACAGCAGCTACATAAGTATGAAAAAGGCGAGCTCTTCCGAAATATTCATGTAGACAGACACCTGTGCGGCGCGGAGATGCGGGGTATTTGTATTGTCCGTTGTCAGCAATTCGACCGGGAAAACGCGGGATCCTACTGACAACTGATGCCTGCCTAGAACACAACCCTGCTCGTCTCATCAAGCATTCTCCTTTCTATCACGGTTCAGACTCCGTCGCATGACTTAATGACTCAACAGGATCTTGATCTCAGTGCTACCAAGCAAGTTGGGCTTTCTAAGAAACACAGATCTACAGCAGCCATCAAAGTACATACAATACAGTGACTTCCTCGGTCTTCATCTCGAGCAGCTTGTTAATCCACACCCTGCTTCAACCAGTGGTAGTTCTTGACAGGCCAGTCCGCCAGCTCAGCCCACTCGGGGCCAACTCTGATGGCGATCTCCGAGACCAGTGCATGGCCCCACCCGGTAGCCCACCAGCGCTCATCAAGGACAGACATACACACCGCCCAGTAGCTCAACATGATCATAGCCATGTTCTCCCCAGTCTCGAGCTGGGCGACGAACTCCGGAGGCAAACAAGTAATCCAGCCCATGAGGCCTTCTGCCCACTCGGCGCGCATAGAGATCCTGTATATGAGCTTCAGAGAGAGGAGGGGCCGCCCGTTCTTCTCCAGGGGTAAGAGCACGCAACTCTCCTGCTCCGCGCGTAGCAGTAACTTGTCTAGTGCTTGGTCCACAAACGGCGGAAGGACCGGGAGCTCGTGGCTTTTGGGAATCTTCATCATCTCCGCAAGCTTGCCACCCAGGAGCCATGGCCTGCCATGGAAGACGAGCTGCCGAACGGGCTGGGTCTTGCGGATGATGTCGACAAAGTCTTGCACCTCGGAGACCTTGTCATGCCTGGCCTCGTGGAACGTCCACGCTGAGTAGTCGTGCGTGGTAGAGAAGATGCCCAGCTCGGCCGGGAGACTCCTCGAGGCGAAGGCCCAGTGGGTGACGAGGACCGACAGGAGGAAGGCGGCGTCGGCCGTCTCCTCTGTGATTCTAGGCAGGAGTTTGACGAATCCCTCCAGCGCGACGGCCTGGTTGCGAAGCGCCATGACCTGGTACCGCTTCTCGGGCCGGTCGCTGGTGGCGATGACGTGCATGGCCGAGATGGCGAGGATACCGCCGAGGAGTGCGGGCTCCTTCAGAGCCTCCTCGAAGGCGACGCCCTTCCATAATGACGGCACTGGTTCGCGGTACCAGAGGGTCTTGTAGGTCTTGGTAAGGAAGATGTGCGTGAGCTCGATGTCGTCCAGGCGATCCGACGAAGGTGGCGAAGGTGCCGGGGGCTCCGGGGATGGCCCGGTCTGTGGCGCGGAGGCGGCCGGAGATTGCGGAACGGGCGTAGGGAGGCCGTACTCATCTATGTATGAACATCTGTCGCCGCGACGCATGCAGCGAAGGCAAGATGGAAGTGTCTCGTCGCACTAAATGCCGTTCAGCTGGCGATCAATGCATGCGGCATTGGAGGTGACCCGCGTCAAAGTCCAGCGCAGACCGGCAGCGCTAGAGATAGACATACCTTGACCCGTCGCGTCTTGCACTGTGCGCATCCGCGCCGCGATTTCCGGTGCGATCTTATCATCTAGGATTATCTGGTCCATACGCCATACGAGATCGACGAGCTCACTTCATGTCGGCAGCCAGGATGAGAAGCTCCGCGTGCAGGGAACGGGCCTTGGGAGCGAATTGATCACCGCCCCCGCTTTCAGTGCGCCATGCTGCGCCGTTGCTACGCTAAAAAGCGCTAGAGCGGGACACAGTTCACTGATGCTTTCCAGGTTGCGCGCGTTGATTGCCTGGGATTTGTCGGCCTCAGATAACACATAAGGATACCTACGAGCAAGCAAAGACAGTATTTGGAGAGGAGCTATATATCAAAGCCTCGAACTCAGGTATCAGGAGCCTACAGATGCTTCACGGCCAGCATCCTAGTCCAATGACGATAGCACTTAGAACCAAGGCACAGTTCGATAATGAGTCAGTAGCGAGCGGCTGGGGACCTAAGTCCGAGGTTCGGTCTCATGCATCAACTAGTAGAGGATTCAGCTAGAGCTTACTGTCAGCTTCAACAGCAACCAATAAGTTGACTAGAACAGAGTGGCTTAGTGGCTTCACAAGGTCTGGACATACAATTCAGAGCTCATTAGCCAAGACCACAGGAGAAGGATGGAACTGGCTGCTACATGAGCTGGTCTTCATGATGTATAATAGCCGCATTCATTCCCCGCGGCCCTCAACCACTGTTCGCTCGTCGCTGCAGAAATCGTCAACATCAACATCACTCTGATCAAGAATGGTGAAACCGGTCATAGTCTTCGCCCATGGCGCATGGCACCAACCTCTCCACTATCTGAGCCTCTTGCGCTCGATCCAAGCGAAGGGCCATACCGTCGTCAGCCCGGTGAACGCGACACTGGACTTGAAAGGCTCATCGGCAGGAAAGACTTGCCAGGACGATACGAAAGTCATTCGTGATGCCATGAGACCGTTTCTTGAATCTGGCGAAGATATCGTGCTCGTCTGCCACAGCTACGGCGGCATTCCAGGCACTGATGCCGTAGAGGGAAACACTGTCCAGGAGCGGGCTGCCAAAGGACTGAAGGGCGGAGTCAAGAGCGTCGTGCACATTGCTTCATCCGCCTTGCCACAACGAGGCATGTGCATATTCGACATGGTGGGGGGAGGCCCAGAGCCCTGGTGGGATTCTGACGTGAGTCTAAATCTAAGAGCACCCGGCGATATAGTCCTCTTCTAAATAGAAAACAATCCGTACTGACGACCACCTGGTAGGGGACATTTGGCTTCCCAAATCAGGACGGCTTCGACAAGCTCTATTCTGACGTCGACAGCGTAACAAAAGCGGCGTGCACGTCTGCACTTGTTAGACAAAGCATTGAGAGTTTCCGAACGCCAAATATGTACTCAGCTCCCGAAGTCAAGGCTCCGCTGTTCTATGTAGTGTGCGACGAAGATCAGCTAGTCCCTCCGGCTGGACAGAAAGCACTTGCCGAGGCATGCAAGGCCAAGACTATTCATCTCTCCTTGAGCCATAGCCCATTTCTGACGGACGCTGGGGTTCGACAGCTCATGGAGTTCATTGATGAGGCAGCCAGCGTGACCTCCTGAGGCAACTCAATAATAGTCACAATCCGCGCTGGGTGAAGAAATCCAAATGAGTCTGGGTGACGAGATACTTTGTGCTTCTAGACCAGAACCAAATTTCTTGAGGACGTGGCACCATGAACAAACATGCAGATAAATAGAGACTTGAATCCGGGACGAATTGAACTTTGGTAGAAAGTCACTGATGGCCCTCTCGGCTGCTCCTTGGTGTCAAAGGTGACGAGTTTCGGTGGGTAGTGTAACATTCCCGCTTCGCGCATAGCACATGAACAAATGAACGCGGGTGTGACATGGCCACTCAAGGTGATAGGCGTTGAGTCATATTGTTCATGCATATATCGGGTTTCTCGTGATAGTAGATCAGTTGCTCGTCGTGCTGAAACCCGTTGTCAGAGGAGGGCTTGTTATTGGACTTGTTGCCTTGTATTTCGACTTCACCTGCATATTAGCTCTCCGTAGGTTTCTAGACCTAAGACTGGTCAACTTGAATGCTGAATGAGTTGTATTTATAGTCCATAGATGCTAGCTGAGAAAGAGTTCTATTTATCGTAAGTGAAGTTATAGAAACTGTACTCTTTATGTGAAAGGTATGCTCCAGGAGCTAAACGCCTTCTTTGAGTTCGATTTTTTAATTCAAGCCTTGTACTTAGATGCTAATTACCGCGTCTCCAGACTGAGAGAAACGTTAAGCGAACAATACTTTCTATTGGGATAAGATCTTCCTCATTAGCCACCATCTGCGCCTTCAAGTGGCGAGTCTAGCCTGTTGATTTAACGCAAATGCTCAGATATATCTACTCCAGCTTTGCCTGATGCATCACCCCGCTCTGTTCTCCGATACTAACGGGCAAATGCTGATAAGAACACGGCCAACACGCAGACGCTAGGATCGATCCCGCAATTCGCCATTCAATAGCCAGGAACAGTGACAAGGGTGGGTTGGGCTGCCTTCCCTGACCAGTCTAGCCTACCCACAGTTCCTTATCTTCACCAGGGGCTCTAATCTGGAGATGTCAGCAGCTTATCAATCCCGCACTCTCGATGCGGTTCCCCTCAAACCTGAACCAATAAGAGAGGTGGTGAGGTCGGACCAACATCCAGCCATGACGATTTTGAGCGGGACCAGTGTAATGTCGGACGTGATACGCAGTTACAACGGGGAAGCTTGGTGCGATGTAGGAGATAAGCCTTGGCTCTATTGCGCACGTAAATAGTCTTGGCGAAGCTATCAAGAGATACTGGACCGGACGTCCCGGTTCCTTGGTACCGGGTTGAGTTTACAGCTGGCCTTGTTTAAAGCTTGCATAGAGCCGGCTTGGTAGCAGCATACAGATTAATCTACTCTATTTCCACCCTACTTGCGTTGATTGGTACAGTCTTTCCAAAGTTGCCGCCGGACATGTTCTTCAGCAGCACTCGGTCCAGCCGCAAGCTGGGCGTGTTCTTCAGTCTCATCCATGCGTCAACGGCAAGTCTCGTGTCAACCGGCCTGTCAGTCACGCTGAACAGCATCGACTACTATATCTCACCATTCTCGTCTGGTAACATCACCGTCGCACCCTCGGCGCTTTCTACGGTGCCCAAGATCTACGGCTTTGTTCCAGTCACGGTTGTGCAGGATGCAGTGGCCAGATCGGCTCTGCCTAGCCTCTTCGCCAACTGGACAGGAGTCGATGATGTCTTCCAGTCCGGATTTCTCGGTGCTGTCTTCTTATCCGGCGCTGGCGGATCCTGCATCAGCAAGAGGAACATCACTGAAGGAGGATCAACACTGATTCTACCCCTCGAGGCCAAGACCATCCCCTCGGGTCCGTACTTCCTTGACTCGGCCTCCGGGCTCGTCTACCCCGTCTACAGACTCTACGATGACTTTTCCGGCTCCTTCACCGAGTCCCTGATCCAGACCCCTAAAGGCACGTTCCACCCGCTATCCGCTAAAATCTCCGGCTCGGCCTCCGTCACGATCGGTGTGCCTTCAAGGATTTACTATACTCCTACAGCTGAGAAGCCCCTTGCTGGCGTGCGCATCGCTGTCAAGGATATCTTCCGGCTGGCCGGTACCAAGGGTTCCAATGGCAACCGCGCTTGGTACAATCTCTACCCTCCCAGTAACGAGACCGGCACAGCCATGCAGCGGCTGATCGATGCCGGTGCTCAGATAGTAGGACTCCAGAAGCCTTCGCAGTTTGCGAACGGCGAGACTGCGACCGCGGACTGGGTCGACTACCACTCGCCGTTCAACCCCAGAGGTGATGGGTACCAAGACCCGTCCTCGTCGTCCTCGGGGGCCGGCGCTAGCATTGCATCGTACGACTGGCTGGACATCGCGGTGGGCAGCGACACGGGTGGCAGTATCCGCGGACCGGCAGGTGTGCAAGGCCTGTTCGGTAACCGGCCGTCCCATGGTCTGGTGTCGCTCGATCACGCCATGCCGCTGTCCCCGACACTTGACACAGTTGGATACCTGATACGCGACCCCATGCTGTGGGATACTGCCCAGGCAGTTCTTTATGGAAGCAACTACAAGTCACTTGTGAGGAAAACTCCCAGCTACCCCAAGAAGATCATCACCGCTGGTTTCCCCTCCAGCAATAGCTCAGCCGCATCCGCCAAGATTCTCAACGGCTTTGCCAATGCCCTGGCCACATTCGTGGGCGGCTCGATCCAGACAATCTCTTTGGCGGACGAGTGGATGTCTAGCAAGCCCGCTGAGGCCGGATCCGCGACCCTCATGCAGCTTCAGAACACCACGTATGCGGTGTTGATCGCCAAGGAGCAGATTGATCTCGTGCGCGAACCCTTCTACAAGGACTATGCTGGTGAGTTCGCAGTAAAACCCCCTTTAGACGCGCCCCAATTACTAAGCCCAACCCTAATCACAGCCGCCCACGATGGACGTCTTCCCTTCGTAGACCCGGCGCCTCTTGCTCGCTGGGCCTACGGCGACAGCCTGCCCGCTTCGGCACACGACGACGCCATTCGCAACAAGACAATCTTCATGAATTGGTTCAACGACAAGGTCCTCCCGCCCGTGGACGACCCGGCGCAGTGCTCATCTGGCATCATGCTCTATCCAGCCTCTAACGGAGGTCAGAACCCGCGTAACCAGTACATCAACGCGCCGAGGCCGCCTTTTGGCTGGTCATCGGGCCGCATCAGCGTCATGTCCGAGTGCCCGGATTTTGTCTTCCCTCTGGGCCAGGTGGCGAGCCGCAGCGCGATCACGGCACACAACGAGTACTTCCCCGTCGGCGTGGATATCTTGGCGGCGAAGGGCTGCGATGGCATGCTGGTTAAGTTGGCGCAAGACCTGGTGGCGGCGGAGATCATTGCCGTGCCCAAGGTCGGGGGTACGATTTTGGGTGGTGATATCTTGATGAAGAGGAGGGCGGATGCCGAGGGGATTGAACACTTGCGGTACATTGACTAGATAGGCTCATGTACTACATTCTAATGGGATGACCGATCAACAACCTTGATGGACCCTGGGTACGAGAGACTCAGATTTGTGTGACTTCGACTTCTCTAAGGTACTGACTTGTCCAAGAATACGTGCGTGATAGAGGCGCATCTTCACAGAGACTGGGGTAACATGTTAGTGCCAGGTTGTATTGGTGCCGCCTCCTACAGTCAGGTTTGACAGGCCGGGGTTGTCCGCAGGTCAGCCCACTGCAGATCCCCGTACCTTAACGCCGATATTACGTTGATCACTCAGATCAACTTTCGCCTTCCCTTCGGTGTTTAGCGCCGTGTGGCAGTCCATTTACATCGCCTGGAAAACGACATCTTTCGGGCATAGAGCTGATTAAACGAAAAGCGAGATAATGCCATCGGCATTAACTCGTCCAATATTGAGACCTTCTCTGACCTTATTATGTCTAAAATGGCTATAAATATGCGATCAGCTTTCGTCGCACGTTCAATAGCCTTTGCAATATCACAGATGCTAATTCAGTAAACACTGGAATCTAAAATCCAATAACTTACAAGACGACAGAACCGCATCAGAGTCCACATCCTTCATAGTCAACAAGAATGTCTCAACCTGTCTGGCTTATCACCGGCTGCACCTCCGGCTTTGGCGAAGCTATCGCCAAGGAAGTACTAGGGCGTGGCTACAAGGTCATTGCCACGGCCCGACGCGCCTCGCGCCTGTCATCCCTCCAGGCCGCCGGTGCCACCATCTTGGACCTCGACGTCTCGGCCGGCGACGACGCGGTCGAAAAGGCCTTCGCCGCTTCCCACGCAGTCTACGGCCGCATCACCCACCTCGTGAACTGCGCCGGCTACGTCCTCAATGGGGCTGTCGAGGAGTCCAGCACCGCCGACATCGCCGCGCAGTTTACTACCAACATGATTGGCGCTGCGAGCGTGTCTCGCACCGCCATCCCGTACTTGCGGGATGCTGCGGCCAAAGCTCAAGGTCGCCACCCAGTGGTCCTAGCCAACTTTGGCAGCCTTGCTGGGTACTCGTCTCTCCCCGGCGTCGCAGCCTACTGCGCGACCAAAGCGGCGGTATCAGTCTTCAGCGACGGAATGGCCGCGGAATTGGCACCGTTTGGTATCACGGTCTGCTCCATCGAGCCTGGGTACTTTCGCACGGGGTTGCTTAATACTAGTGCTGAATCGGTACACCGAATTCAGGCGAGCAAGACTCTAGAGGTGTATGACGGAACTCCTGCCCATGAAAGTAACAAGGCTTTGGATATGGTGGACAACCAGCAGCTAGGAGACGTAGTCAAGGGGGCCAAAGTCATCGTCGACGTGTTCACCAAGAGCGGTGTTGCTGAGGAAAAGGATATTCCTCTTCGCTTGGTCCTGGGAAGCGACATTGTGAAAGCAATTCGTGAGAAAATGGCGGAAGCGAAGAAATTATTGGATGATTGGGAGGTTATTGCTTCTTCTACCGATCACCAGTAGAAGGGTCTTTGCTGTATGGAACGGTCTCGAGTATGGAGTGATCAGTCTACATACAATGGTTGATATACAACAATCAGAGGATGCATCATGTACACTCCATTCGACCAGCCTAGAACATACCCGACTATGTACCAAAGAGAATGGCATACAAGTGGAGAGACTGGAACTATTCTTTATCGCCTACAGCCGTTCCGGAGAAGGGAAGATAGAATCATTGCAAAAGGCCAGGTTTCTGACGCATATTATTGCCATCAAATGTCGACGACATGCTGGCCATGGAACCCTAGTCCCACCGCAAACTCACATTCCGCTCTGCCCATTTCTGTCATAGTCTTCGGATCTAGGCACAGAAGGTAGCTCTTCCTGTTCTCGCCGTCCAAGACTACGGTGAGCAACACACCGTCGAGCTCATCAGCAGGCGCCACAGCACCGCCTTTCTCCTTTCGCGACACGAAGAGCGCCTCGCTCGGGGTATGGCCTATCGGACCCTTCCACATGAGCACCTCGCGCGTCTGGGTGTCGACCCTGGCGATACTGTCGAATATGGTACTGAGGCCTCGACTTGTCAGGCAGTACACATAGCGATGCTGACGACATGCGAAAGCCGGGTTGATGGTCGGCATGTCGCCCGCGTGGGGCGCCGGGATCTGCAGTTCCAGTGCTGGTGACGGCAGCTCACCTTTTCCACTGTGCTTCCCGAAGTCTCGGCCGGAGAAACGGTACCTGACCAAGCTTGGGTGGCACGGAGCTTGTTTTTGGCCTTCGGTCCAAAACGCCTTGGCGGCCTCGTTACGATTGAGCAGCACGTCGTAGTACATCCCAGATACGATGTTGCTATTGGGATACGCGATCAGGTCGCAGAGGATGTCCCCATCTGTGTCCTCAAAGGCATTGGCCGAATGAAAGAAGAAGCCGGCCGGCGAGGTGAATTCTGCTACGACCCCTTCTCCGTTCACTCGGTCGACGACAAACCACCTGCACGGCTCGCTCGGATCGAACGGTTTCCACGCTTCCAAGGCGCTGCCCTCCCAGAGGATCTGGATTCCGCCGAGTTTGTAATGCGCCACTGGTACACATACGATGACATAGCTCCTACTCAGAAAAAAGCTGTGAATGTAGCCAGCCTTTGAAGCGAATGTGGCCAGGATCTTGACCTCTCCTCTTGCTGTGATCTGGAATACGCGATAAGTCGCTTGCATGCCATAGTCGGCATTGAAGCTGAAGAAGTCGCCAGTCTCTGGGTCCTGCAGCACATGGGCCGGACCAACTGGTCCTCTGAGGTCGGGATGCAGCTGCTTCTGACTGACCGCCGCCATGGGCTCCATAGTCTTGGGGTCTATCTCGGAGAACCAGGACGTGTCCGTGGCCAAGAAGACATTCTTTGGCCCAGCTCGGTGGCCCTCGGAACTGGCATCAGCGGCCACCACACTTGGGAAGCCAGGCATGTTGGCATTGACTGTGACGCAGATGTTGTCCAGGTGCTCCGGCCGGCGAAACATGGACATGAACTTGGAGTAGATGCCCACGCATGGGTCGCTTCGCTGGCCAAAGGTCAAGGCACGTATCACACCCATGGCTCTGATTTCCTTCTCGAATGCTTCAGACTGCCGGCGGGACGAATACATCACGCGCACCCCATTTCCATCCGCAGCGGGCATAATGTCGAAGCGGTGAGTGTGAGCAAGCCCGTCGAACCAGTGCGAGACGTGAATGGTTCCGGATTTGGTGTCTTCAATCTTGCACGCCCCGGGTCCCGTCCGGTAAAGGGAGCCCGTCGCCCAGGCCGGAATGTTGCCTTCCACCTGTAGCTCAATGGGGCCGCGATGCTCTGTCAACCCGTCGAACTATGTATGCATGACCTTATTTCAGTATGAAGAGTGAGAAGAGGGGGCTAGATCCAACCCAAACAGATGCTTTACTTACACCAGCGTCGTTCGGCCATTCTCGAAATGCCTCTCTGGCTAGGTTCTCTCGCAGAATTCTAGCATCCTCCTCTTCGTCGGTTTGGGTAAATGTGGTCGTGGAGTGATGCGCGTTCATGGCGAGCCTGTATCAGTGACACTGGGCCAATCGAATGCTGCAATTAGTAGTTCATGAGCTGTAGAGAAGAAGGCGAGGACGCTGGTGACAGTCGTTGAATGTCTCCCGCCTCCAGCTTTACATAAGCTGACCGACTCACTACATCACTCTGGTGCCTGCGGGTAGGGTGTGTATGGGCGACCTGCCGTCACCCATTGGTCCATGCACATGCAGGCGGCGACTTTCTGCACGTTCGGCGTGATTATTCAGATGAAACCTGATCGCGTCGTTCGATTAAGACAGCCCAGAATTAGGAACAACATAAGTTCAACTGATTGTCAATACTTCTGAAGCAGCCCTTTATGACGTCCTGCTTCGTGCCGAAAGCGGCCTGCGCTGCTCAGAGGTAACAAGCATACATTACGACCACACTATCACATCGTGTCTATTGACTTTCAAAGAATGAGCGACTATAGAATCAAGCAACGAGGGCCTTGACAAGAATATCGATCCGGGCACTCGTCTGGGCCTGCATGGGACTCATAACCCGAAGGTTCACCATTTTCTTCAGCTCGGCTTGTGTGTCGACCTCATGCTAGGGCCTATGATATGACAGCGGCAATAAGCGGTATCATAGGAACAGTCGATGCCATGGCCAAAGTCAAGCAGCTAAATAAAGACAATCTTATTAATCATAACAAGAAATCTGTCTAAAGCATAAATATCAGCCCCGGGCTGGTGTTTTGTGCGTGCCCCATATGATGCGGTGGCGCAATACTAACTCAAATATCTTCGTATTGCATCTGGGACTTCACTCAAAACTTTGACTCTCCCACATGTGATGAAACAGAGACTCATTCATCTTTCTAAGTAATACATAAGACCCGACAGTATTTCCAGAAAGCGTATAGATTGACATTAATGGATCACTCCAGATTGAGGGTGCAATTTCGTTCCCCATCGGTTCTGAGAGACCTCAAATATTCCAAATAATGCTCCTTTTTTCCCTTCTAAACAATGAAGGCAGCAAGGAAGAGCAGTGAAGCCAGACCCAGGGAGGCGCTCTTGGCCACTGCACCATTGCCACTGACGACCGCCGCGCTCGTCGTTGGGCCAGGCGTTCCACTGACAGTAGGAGTCTTGCTACCCTTTCCGTCGCCAGTAATAGATGCAGGCGGCGCGGTGGCAGAGCCTCCGGCAGTAGACTTGGTAGCGGTGGCATTGGCCCTCGAGATGGCAGCCGAGGCGCTCGCCGCGGCGCGGGCCACGGCACACACGGCTTTGGTAGCAGGAACAACAACATCTGTGCATTCATGTTCAGCTACGTGACACATAATTCACAAAGGGAGTTGGGTAGTGTCATCGTGACTTACTCAGAGCTTCTTCGCTGCCACAGGTTTCCTTGAGGCAGTCGATCGACGCGGCCTGGATCTTGGGGTAGTTCTCATCAGTGCAGTGGCATGCGTAGTCGAGAACTTCACAATTGGTGGCCTTAAGAATGCCATCGTGCAAACATAGAAGAGAGCAAGATGGGAGGTCGGTGAGGTAGTTCTGCGCACTCGCAGTGAGGACGAGCGCGGCAGCAGCAATGGCGTGTTTGAGATACATGTTGTCTTGCGTATGGTTTGGTGTGGACGCGCTTCACTTGGGTAGATCCTACGCCGACGTTTTTTGATGGATGCCTCTCTTTGGTTGATAGGGGGCAGTTCGATCAATTGGCTGCATACAGCTGCTACTTGTAAGTACGTCGGTCAGAGGCATCAACTCACATACTGCATGATGTAACCGAAGTCTCAACGAGGCGATCGGGTCCGGCCGCAATACCCCAGCTCCAGACCGCGTGTTCCGTCCCTCCCGTTGACTTGGCATGGACGCCAAAAGAAACCGAATGTAACGGCGACCGGATCGTTCGAGATACCCTTGTTGTCCTGGTATGATCGCGGCTACGGCGCCTTTTCGTCATGCAGACGCGACCTTAAGCCCAACCCTTGCAACTCCCCGCAGTTCGGCGGTTTTACCAAGGAGTCAAGGGCTGAGGAGAAAATGGGCCGGAGGGGTTGGTCATTTCTACTGACTCTGATGGACTCGATTAATCGGCTCGAAGAACATGGAATAGACAGGCCATTCAATCGCTGGATTGTCTCCTTTCGGTCCAGCAGAACTATTGTTACAGTATGATGACAGACTTCTGGGCCTAACGGCCTTCATTAGTGAAACACCACTTGGTCTACAAATCAACCACGTGAAATTTGGCATCATTCTGATTGTGCCTCGGCGGGAATTGTCACGGAGCTTCACATGTAATGCAGACCAGAGAGATGCCGAGCTAAAGAACTTTCATCTGTGTACTTAGACTTAATAAGATTGCCAAAAGAGACTCAATTTTCTCCTATAAGAAAGGCCAAATGCAGGAGAGTTTGTAATTGTTGCAAAACCGAGTAGCGACAGTTAGCTCTTATCTCGAAGTCATCAAAAGAATCATCTCCAATCCCCGCGCAACTTCTCGATCAAAGTCCAGACTCTTTCGCGCACCTGCCCAACCCGGAGCATGGTCGACCCGTGGCACTGACAAGAGACCTGAACGCCATCCAAACCGTGAACACTACCGCCTGAACAGGGCTTTGACTTGTGGCAGGCGTCTTGTCCTGAAATAAACAGACGCAGTTGAGACAGTGAGTAATCTAAACGGAAAAGCGCCACGCAGCCATCGAGCTGCGTGTTGCGCTGCCCCGGAGTGACCCGCGGGCTCGCAATGCCCGTATTCCTTGCGAGAGCAGGGTTCTGATTGGCAGAGTCGGGCTCGGTCGCACCGAAATAGTCCTGAGGGGTCAGGACGGCGCTGGCACAGTGGCGCTGCAGAGTGCACTCAACTAGGCTTGATGCGATCTCAATGGCCTCGGCCACGACAATGTGCAGGATCTGCGACTTGTAGTGAGACTGCCGTCCATGGGCCGTGGCGCTGATGGGCGAAGACAGATCACTCTGACGCTGCTGTTCGGCCACTAACTCGCGTCCGAGCTCCTCAATCGTGCCCAGGGTGTAGTCAACCTGATCCTTGTCGCTCTCGGCCAGTAAATCGAGGGGTCTGCTCTGGCATCGCTCGTAGATCTCACTGCATAGCCGCAGTGCGTCTGAGAAGTCTGTGCCGCCTGCTTGAGCCATCAACTGTGGGTCAATGTCCTGATTCATCCCCCTCATACTGTCGCCAAGTTCCAAATTCCCGGGCTGCGGTGACGCGTACGATGCAATCTGGGCCTGCAGCATGCTGCTGCTGTTGCTGCTGCTGGCGGCAGTCGTGGTGGGCTCGGTAGTGTAGCCGGGCTCGCAGGATGACTCGTGCAGGGTTGAGAGGGTGTAGGCCGAGTTGAGCATGTCAGTGAAAAGATCGTCATCCTGCATGTCGAAGTCTTGGAACACCGGCTCGTCGCTGGTCGCTGGAGGGCTATGCAGGGACAGTGCCAATGCAGTTTGCGGTCGGGGCACCCATGGTGGTGGCTGCCCCTCCTCATTAGTTACCGGAGGCTGATCCCCATCATTAAGGCAACCAATCAATAGCTCTGGCCGAGCGGTCGTAGTTGTTTTCGGAGTTGGTGGCAGCGGCTGAAAGGCGTCTGGTGGTTCGGCATTCTTGACAACGGCGCTGGTGCCCGCGCTGGGACCACTTAATGGCCTCTGCCGTTGTCGACTACTGCCGCCAGCTTCGGGGCCGGCCTTTCTCGGTCGTCCGGTTTTGCTCCTTAGCGAAAAGAGGCACAACCGCTGGTTGGTCTGGCATGCCTCGCACGACACCCTATTGCCGTCGGAGGCGGGTTCGCATCTGATCTTGCGTTTGTGGCATTCTTCGCATGCGAGGCGGAACTCCGAAGTCTGTGGTGGCCAGTGTCTGAAGAGAGTGTTGGCCATTCTCTGGCCATGCTTCGTCCTATCCGCGCGTTAAGCTGAGTGTATTGAACCGTCCAGCTGGGACCTAAGAAGCGCGGGGCCTCGCAAGACCTGCGGAGGCAATAGCCTCTCTTAAAGATATACGACGCACAGAGGTAACATAACCTGATCCACGTGGTACAGTAGACGCATCGGTATGATTGGAAGGGGCATGTTCTCCGGCCTCTCGCTCTGTTTGCTATCTCCAATACCCGGGGAACGCCTATGCAGACAACAGTCTGTGCAGTCGATTAGGGTGTGGTTCACAGCACTTAGGTACCCATTCCTGGGGTCACAGCTGTGCAACTGGACCAGGACCAGCCAGGCAGTTGGCGAAATCAAGATTCCGGGCTCCATTTTCTCTTGGAGAAAAGTGGGAGCATCGACTGGAAACGGGACAAACAGAGCACTCTTGCTTCGCTCAGAGCCAATGTACCTTGAATCGAGTCGGCCCACAGGCAAGACAATAAGCTTATTGCGTCCAATAATACGTATAATGAGCCATTCACAGCAGGAGTGAGGCACAGCCACTGCGGCAATTGGCCCACTGGTCTTTGCCCGGGGCCCCGGACATGGCGAACCATGAGTAACACGGTCCCCCCCTCTTACCAAACACGAGCAACGTGTGCATCGGTGTGCATGCCATTTCGAGAAGGAAGATATCCGCGCGGTCTAGCTAGATGAGCAGATGGCATTTTGGGTCGTGCAAGATGGCAAAAAGCCTCTGATGCTGATGCGGGTCGCTCAGATCCGGAACCAAACCTTGCCATCAACAGCACACCCAGGCGCGCTCAAAGAACTGCTAGTGGCCGAGGAGAAAGGAAGGATTCGACCCCTGGTTCAATCCCCTGCTGTCCCGCAGCTATCGGACAAGAGATATGGCTGGTGTTACTTGGCACGAGTGCAGGATAGCATCGTGCTTTCGGTAATATTATGCGATGTGACAGTGCGAAAGTCGAGAGTAAGCAGCGCGTTGCTACACACCAGCTCGCCCGCCTAGCATCCTAAGATTAGCACACTTGCGTACGTTGCTCGAAAGTCATTTGGAGCCCTGGTCGAGATATTCCCTGAAGCCAGTTTGGCCTGCAATGGCCCATGATTTCAAAACCGTGAGAAAGCCAATATGTCTCCCACAGTACGGCATGTTGGCCTCCGCTTGCTTCCCCGACAATGCCTACGAGCTGTGCCGCATTTTCCATCTGATCAATCAAGGTATCCGCGCGGTTGCAGCTTACAGGGTTGCATCGACTGCCGACCCCTGGCCCGAGCACATCGCACATGGCCCTTGCTCGCAATCCTCAGTCGTCACTATCCATCCGCGATGCCCGCGGGACCTAATGCAAGAATGAATGGATATGTAAGGGGCCAAGATAGTCTCCTCCAGCTCTTATCACTTTCTCTCTATCTTCATCACAGTAAACTACCAAATAGATGTTATCGGTCACCAAAAGCACATGGTTATTGTAAAGTCCACCGCATCGATGAGAGCAAGAGCCCTGGCCCTTCTTCAGCTGACATCCAATACCCAGCCCCCCACGAACGATGTCACCTCGGGGTAGCAAGGCTAGCTAAGAATTGTACCGGTGTTCGAGCTCAGCGGCAAGGTGACAAACGGGGAATAATCAGCCCATAAAAGGCTAGGCCATCATGAGATCCTGGTCCCTGGACCAGAGTACTGTCTTTATTCTGCTTGAGTGTGTCTGCGCGGATAAGATTGACCCGGGATAGGTAGGTGAGGGCCGCATGGGAGGTACTTTTGGTGGCTGGCCGTTTGGTCTCAACGGCCGCCGGGGTGGTCTAGACTAGACTAGAGACTATGGAACGATGATACTGCGCAGGCATCTCGGCCGATATTACGGGTATGTTGCCGTAGTTCACGGAAGTCTCCTCGCGTTACCTATCCCTGGTGCCTGTCACAGCCCTTGGCGCCTAGACGGCATGTTTTGTTTTGGCGTGGAAACTTGAATTGGAAAATGTCCCGAGTCGGAGACGGCAACGTAGGTCGCTGATTCATTAATCGTATACCAAACCGGTATGCGCATCAAACTTCTGACCATACGAAGAGTCTCGTCACGTCTGTCAAATTCTGCTTCTGCTCAGCATCTCAACCTCACCTTGGGCATGAAGCTGGGATAGTGTCCTTCACGCATGCACTTCCGTATCACTGGCCGAGACGATGAAGATTCTGGCACTTCACCCATGGTACGTAAGCCAAGACCGATACTTTCAGGATCGCTACTCATGCGGGCTTCGTTAATCCATTTAGGGGCACTTCGGGGGCCATCTTTGAGAGACAAATGGCGGGCTTGGCAGCTCTGCTGGGCAGTAATCACGAATTCGTGTACATCAATGGCCCTGTCCCTTGTGTGGGTGCTCGGGGTAAGCAATTGTCGATCCACTCCACTCTGTTCCAGCTGAACTCGCTAGTGGCAACAGCGTACGGGGTTGACGTGCTGACCGGGTCGTTGCTAGATCTCCCCGACTTTGTGAAGGGGCCATTCTTCTGCTGGTATGAGGGTCTGTCCTCGCCCCAGTGCCAGGAGGCCCACGATCTGATTCTCGAGACAATCGAGGACGAGGGCCCCTTCGATGGCGTTGTGGGTTTCAGCCAGGGTGCATCCCTGGCTCTTTCGATCTTGTTGCACGACGAGATCAACCGCCCTGGACAACCGCCTCGCTTCAAATTCGGGGTCTTTCTCTGTTCTAACCTCGTCATCTCACCCGATGCCCAGTTCAATGCCGATGCGGTTCACAAATACAGCCGTTACTACAAGAAGCCGGAAAGCGAGCCAAACCAAGTGACCAACGGTGCCAATGGTGTCGGTGATGACGAGGTTGCCGAAGTCCCGGAAATGAATGGCAAGAGCAATGGCAAACCACAAAAGTCCAAGAAGCCGAAGTCGGCTCCAAAGCATCGTGCGTTGCTCGTGCTCCCTAGCCAGAGAGTAGCATTGGTCGATGAGCTTGTCAATCTTGTGCAGGATATCTCACGTCACACGCCGGGCCAGACAGACGGCGTGAGCCACGCATGGAAGGACAATGGGACGGAAGATGATTTCCCGCGATTATTCCATCCCTTGACGGTCAAGGAACGAGTATCGATCCCGACGGTTCATGTCATTGCCCGGGCCGATCCTCTTTGTCGCCAGGGCGAGATAGCTGTGAAACTCTGCGAGAAGAAGAGGACAAAGGTCGTGCAGCTCAATGGTGGACATCGCATGCCCACCACGCCCGTTGACTTGAAGGCCGTCGCATCGGCAATAGAATGGGCTATACAGCATTCGTGAAACCAATGAGCCCTGCATCTGGGAGCCTTTAATTAATTACCTTGAGTCTATTGACAAAACACACTCATGTGCACATGATTTTTCAGCATTATTGTTTGGATCTTACCAAGCTGGCTTGTTTCATATGTAATGCACAACTTGAATCAATATCTTGGTGCAGTAAGCTCATCAATACAGTCAGAATAATAATAAGGATCCCACTACTAGAAGATGTTCTTGTGCCATTTGATTAGTGATCATTGAGCCAGAGTTAGTCCTTAGCAGAGGTTTGACATTGAGGCCGCCATGAACCCTTGGCACTTGGGACTTTTCGCAGAACACAGCAACTGCGGAAGTAGAGCCAATCAACAATAGACGCGATACCTCACGCTGCAGGGATATCAACACACCAATTGGGGGGTTTTGGTCCAACACTCCAGCCAGCCAAACAAAAGCAGATAAACTCGCCGACGAGATCCACAAAGGATACAACCAATTCCCGTGGCGGGCAACGCACACTGGTGTTCGGCACAGCACACTCCTGCACAGTTATCGGCTGATGTCTCCTGATGACGCGTTGGGCGTCGTGTATCGGGCTCGCGAATTCGAGGTAAAGTAGTCGTATACATCACTTTTACCGTCAACCAAGAATGCGGCTAGTGACCATGGAGCTGTTGCAGATGTCGTGTAATACTTGTTAATGACTAAGAAATCCGAAGGAGAGCAGATCTTCAACACCATTGACATTGTTCGTTTTCCCCAGTTACTTCACAAAACCTACATGTACGACAATGGGCGACGAAAGCACCATACCCATGACAACCGTGTCCATAGCCGCCTCACCTGAGAGCGATGCGCGGTCTGCATCGGATCACGGAAATGATTTGGTCCTGAAGAAAGTTCACATCGCCAGGTGGCGACTTGTGACAATTCTTGCCTGGTACAGCCTCCTTGGATCCGAGTCAAACCATCCGTGCAACATCGTGTTAATGCAGAAGCTATACAGCATCGGGATGGGCTTGTTTCTCTCGCTCATGGACACAACGATCGTTGCCACCATGCTACTGAGCATCTCTGAAGAGTTTGGCGGTTTCAGGCTATCTTCGTGGGTGGTCTTATCCTATACCTTAGCATATGTCGGTAAGTCAATCAACACTGCCACATGCTCTCATGGAACTGAGTCTCACGGCATATTAGCATGCGCTGTTCTCATTGCGAGGTTGTCGGACGCCATGGGTAGGAAGAGCGTGTTGTGCATATCATTCACCATCTTTCTGGCCGCGTCAATGGCCTGCGGAGCATCTCAGAATCTTGACCAATTGATCGGGTTCCGGGCTGCTCAAGGTGTCGGTGGCGCAGGCCTTTACTCCATGACAATGATTATCTACCCCGAGATATGCCCTCCAGCTATGGTTCCGTTGATATCTTCGATCTTGGGCATCATTGTTGCTCTGGCTGGCGTGAGTGGGCCTGTGATCGGTGGTCTCCTGACAACTTATCGGGACTGGCGATATGTCTTCTGGATCAAGTGAGTTGTCCCGGCATTTCCCAAACGACTTGCGATATGTAATTAATTCCCAACTACAGTGGACCTTGCGCATTCGTGCCAGGTATCGTCCTGTTCTTTGTCTGGCCCAGTAACTTCCAGTCATACACGAAAGTGCGATTCCGGCATCTGGACTACCTAGGAACACTTTTCATTCTCGTCGGGACAGTTCTTCTCGTGTTCATCATCAACCAAGGTGCCGTCCGGGAATATGCTTGGTCCAGTGCGCCGACGATCGCTGTGTTTGTCCTATCTGGCCTATCCTGGATTGGACTGGTATTTTGGCAGTGGGAGATGTCGCGACGCACGAAGCTACGACATATCCGACCGCAATTTCCGTTCCGAATCTTGTCTAACAGGGTGATGATGGCAACGATTATGTATGTTTCCACATACAATTATCCACTCTGCCGAGACTAACAAGAACATAGTTGCACGATTCTGAACGGCTTCGTCATGTTCCTGGTCATCATCAACATTCCAATGCGAGCACAAATTGTGCATATCTACGATGCAATAAAGTCCGGAGTTTTGCTTCTCCCGCTGATGGGAAGTACAGCCGTGGGATCAATGTTAGGTGGCGCTCTGTCCTCGAAGAAGAACCGTACCTTCTGGACCCTCAATGCCGCTAGCAGTTTCATGCTGATCGGAACTGGGCTTTTGTCCACGTTACCCACGTCGGTTTTACCAACCAAGAGCCAATACGGATATCAAGTTCTGCTAGGCCTTGGCCTGGGCTTGAATCTATCTACCAGTACATTCATGACGTCGCTCAACGTTGAGTTCGAGGATCATGGTGAGTCTTGCCCCCCAGAGTGACGCAGAGCATGACTTTTCTCACCGCGTCTCGCCACAGCCGTTGCCCAGGGGATCGTAGCTCAAATGCGAGTTTTCGGCGGCAGTATCGGTGTTGCCGCTGGATTCATCGTTCTGAATTCCCTGATCCAACAAAAGCTCACAGGTGTGCTCTCGCCGCAGCAGCTTGATGACTTTTACAGGACACCGATAGTAATCACGTCTTTCAATATTCTCCAGCAGCTGGAGGTGAGGCGGACGTACATCCAAGCATTCACGGTCAACATGCGTATGTGCATGGGAATTTCGGCGGGATGCCTTCTTGCGTCTCTGTTTACTTACCAGAGAAACCCACCCTCAATCAAAAAGCGCCTGGACGATCTGGAGGCGGTGTATGCGAGGAGCGCTGCGATTTCCGCGCCAGCTAGCTAAACAGCAACTAGTAGTTGATATTTAGATTGTAACTCTACGAGCACGGCTCTTTACCAGATAGCATAATTGAACTACTGAGTCAACGATCTGCACGATCCACCGCATCAGTATCTAATGGTACAACTTGGGTGGATAGAGACAACAATGAATTGAAAATTGCATGATTTTTCCCTAGAGTCAGATCATCCGTGACCTGCGTCTGATTACCGGTTCTGTCCTCAGCTTGCACTTTCGTTGTTTGTCCGTGGTCTCTCGGTATCGAAAACAGAAGTTGAGTTCGGCGTCGGCGAGGCCGAGCTTGCGTACCGTACAAGTCACAGGAACTTCTTCGGCAGGTTTGTACAGCAAGAAAACCACCGACGAGACTCTCCACAGGAGTTGTTAACTTTCCGGGCATCGATGGTGTTCCCACCAAACAGCCTGTCAGATCATTCCAGGGGTTGTTGCCATGGTATGCGCCGTTCAGGGCTTGCCCATCGATTGCGCCCCAAGATTCGACCTTCCCAAAACTCACATGGACCATTGTACACCTCTTTGATGACAACTGAGCCGAGTGCTGTGTTGTGCCACTCGGTGAGTTATATCGAAACGGGTTAGCGTTTGATCTATCTCTGACCTCGATCTCAGCCGTGTCCGCGTAATGCAGATAATACGGGCATTCTCCCATTACGTGGCTTGCATGAAGGGGAATTCTTGGGTCTGTACCATCATCTTTGTCACTTCCATTAGGCTGTGAAAATCGGTCAAGCCTCATGTCACAAGTGAGTGCCTAGCCTGACGCCCAAGTGAGTGTGTACCTGCACATCATGGAGGAGGACAAGCTTCAGCCGCTGGCCATCGTTGGTCTGAGTCTTCGTTTCCCTGGAGAGGCCAAGGACACTAGCGGTTTCTGGGAAGTGTTGAGCAACGCAAAGTCGACGCGTACCAAGATTCCCAACAGTCGCTTCAACCCAGATGCGTTCTATCACCCCTCCCCTGATCGCCAAGGCGCGGTAAGTTTCCATGGTAGACCCACAGCGCTGATAACTTGATTGACCCCCATACGAAGATCATCACCAAAGAGGGATGCTTCATGGCAGAGGATCCTGGCTACTTTGATTCCTCCTTCTTTGGTATGACTGCCTCTGAAGCAGATGGCACCGACCCTCAACATCGTATACTTTTGGAAGTTACCTATGAAGCTTTTGAGAACGGCAAGTCAACGACAACAAACGTCGAGCTAGTCTATGCACTAACAATCATATCTAGCTGGGATATCAATCAAGGATGTTGCCGGCACTCAGACTGCCTGGTAAGTGTTGAAGCTTCTTGAGGTATTGACCAGAACTGACTGTGCCTGAAGCTACGTCGGCGGGTTCAGCAGCGACTATGACATGATCAGTGGCAGCGAGATCAATCAGCAGTCAATGTACCAAGCTACGGGTTGCGGTAATGCCATGCTTTCAAACCGTATATCCTGGTTCTACGATTTGCGTGGGCCATCATTCTCCATTGATACGGCATGTTCGTCCAGCATGGTGGCCCTTCACGAGGCTTGTCGTGAGCTTCAACTGGGAGAGAGTGGCATGGTAAGCTCGCCCATCCGACACGACTTGTTTTCCACACCTTGCAATATCTAACTCCGGATTTAGGCAGTGGTAGCGGGCACTAGTCTCATGCTCAAACCCGAGGTCTGGAGAGGACTGTCAGCCCAACGATTCTTGAGCCCTGATGGCTGCTCGCATTGTTTCGATAGTCGGGCCAATGGCTACGGGCGTGGTGAAGGTGTTGGAGTCATTATCATCAAGCCGCTTACCGATGCCCTTCGCGATAATGATGTGATCCGGGCAGTAATTCGAGTAAGAGCCTACAAAGTCTCTGCTTTAGAGAAACTGTTGACCTCTGACAAACCCGCAGGGTAGTGGTATCAACCAGGACGGAAAGACTCCCGCTATCACCGTACCAAGTGCCACGGCTCAGATGTCTCTGATCAAATCGACCTATGAAAAGGCTGGTCTCGAACTTGGCCATACATCGTACTTTGAGGCACACGGAACTGGCACACCGGTATGTCTTGAATCACATGAGGAATCGTGGAAATAATCCCTTAGCCTGGGAAATGCTAATCAGACTTCTGACTTAGGTGGGTGACCCGCTTGAGCTCCTCGCGATTGGCCAAACTATTGGAGCTGCTAGAGCCGAGGATGATCACCCTGTGATTGTGGGATCAGTCAAGAGCAACTTGGGCCATCTCGAGGGTGCTTCTGGCATTGCCGGTGTCATCAAGACAATTCTTACTCTCGAGAATGGTGCTATCCCCGCCGTTGCTGAGTTTGAAACTCCTAACCCAAGACTCCGCCTCGATGAGTGGAGGCTACAAATTCCTAGCACACTAACTCCATGGCCTACTGACGGCCTGCGCCGTGCCAGTGTTAACTCGTTTGGCTATGGAGGAACTAATGCTCATGTAGGTTTTCAAAAGATCATAGATCAACTGATGCTGTTCTCCTTTGTGCTTACTGATAACGGACCAAGGTTATTCTTGACGACGCCATGAACTACTTGAGAGGTAAGCAAGTGTCTATCGCTCCAATCTACCCTCCACGCCAACTAACGTGCCATCGTTGCGAATTGTAGCAAGGAACCTTGCAGGTAATCATAACACGTCGGCCGCTCTCGAGCCCCCGGGCACGCCAGACTCCGAGCCAAGTGTTGACTCCGGCATTTCACTGCCGCCAAGTCCCTTTGAAAAGAGCAAAGGCGGTCAGCAAATGCGGCTCTTTGCTTTCACTTCCCCCGAACAAGATGGTGTTGCTAGACTTGCCGAGACATACGCACGGTTCATTCAACAAGAGTTTGCTCCAGAGACTGCTATTCCTGGCGATGAGCTCGAGTCAGATGACAAATTGAACAGTCTTGCATACACTCTCGCGCAACGAAGAACAATATTCGACTACAGGAGTTTTGCTATCGCTGACTCCAGCACTGGGCTCCTTCAGGTTCTTGACAAGGGTCTCCCATCTCTCGGACGCGCTACCAAGAAGGCGTCCTGTGCCTTTGTATTCACAGGACAGGGCGCTCAATGGTTTGCAATGGGCCGCGAGCTGCAGCGCCACGTCGTGTTCCGGAGCAGTCTCACCGACGCAGATGAATACTTCACGTCGTCCATGGGAAGCAGCTGGTCGCTCCTTGAAGAACTTAGCAAAGACAAGAGCACCAGCCGCATCAACGAGCCCGAATTATCGCAGCCCCTCTGCACTGCGCTGCAAGTTGCTCTGGTAGATCTGCTGGAGCACTGGGGCGTCCGAGCCAAGGCTGTCGTCGGGCATTCCAGCGGTGAGATCGGCGCTGCATACGCTGCGGGTGTCCTGAGCCGAGAGGACGCTTGGAAGGTTGCCTACTGCAGAGGCCAGCGGTCTTCGGAAATCAAAAGTCTCCTTCCCGACCGTATCGGGTCCATGCTGGCGGCCGCGATGTCAGCGGAGGATGCGCAGACATACATTGCCAAGATCGAGAAGGGCGATATTGTCGTTGCTTGCATCAACAGCCCGAGCAGCGTTACCATTTCTGGTGACGACTTTGCTGTATCTGAGATGGAAGGATTGCTCAAAGTTAGCAATGTCTGGTGCCGTAAGCTGCTCGTCAAGACTGCTTATCATTCGCCACATATGAGGGTCATTGCCGAGCAGTACCTTCATGACATCGAGGACGTTGTGCCTCGCAAGTCAGTCTCTGAAACAGCTGTTTTCTCTTCCGTCACAGGAGCCGAGATTAGCTACGACCAGATGGGACCTGAATACTGGGTGAAGAACCTTGTCAGCCCAGTCCGGTTCTCCGAGGCAGTGTCCGACCTTCTTCAGCCGCGCGACAGCCGGAGCCGACGCAAGGGTAATGCCAACGTCGAAGCTCTGGTTGAGATCGGACCCCACGCCGCACTCCAAGGGCCGCTCAAGGACACCCTCGCAAGCCTTAACCAGTCCTGGGTCATGTCAGTGGCCTACATGTCGCTCCTGCAGCGGAACGCAAATGCCGTTGAGACATCCATGACAGCAGCAGGCAAGTTGTGGAGCCTGGGTTTTCAGGTAGACTTGGGTCTGGTCAACTCTATGGATGGGACGGCCGTACCAGCTAAGCCCCTGGTGAACCTCCCTAGCTATCCCTTCAACCACAAGAAGCGATACTGGTTCGAATCGCGACCGATGCGCTTTGCCCAGGAAAACGGTGGTCCGAGGACTGACCTTCTTGGCGCACCAACGAAAGACTACCAAAACATTGCGCCGACTTGGAGAAACTTCCTTAGCCCTTCTGAAGTTCCGTGGCTCTTAGACCATCGGGTCCACAGGCTGCTCATCATGCCTGGAGCTGTCTATATAGTGATGGTCATGGAGGCATGCAAACAGACAGCAGACCCTGCCAAGACGATGCTGGGATACGAATTCCGCGACATCTTCTGGCATAAGCCTATCATCTTTGAGTCGCAAGACTCCTTCATTGAGATTGGATTGCAGCTCTCGCCGCACCGTATCGGCACGAAGCAGCCTTCGGCAAACTGGATGCACTTCTCCGTAGTGACCTTTGGCGACAACAACGAAGCGTCGGAGCACTGCACCGGCCTTGTCAAGGTCGAGTATGCCACCAAGCCAGGCGAGATCGAGAACGGCACAGAGGCCGTCAAAGAATGGGAGATATACCAAGCGAAATATGCATCGCTTCAGGCCAAGCCGACAATTGAGCAAAACGCCAACCGGATGTATCAGACATTGAACGGCTACGGCCTAGAGTTTGGCCCCACGTTCCAGAACTTGACCAACATCCAAGGAGGCGACGGCTTTGGTCTGTGCAACATCGAAACTCCCGACACCGCGGCCACCATGTTTGAGAATATCGAGTATCCTCTCCCGATACACCCGACGGTGCTTGATGCAACTTTCCAGATGTTGGCCACCACCAATTACAATGCTGCTGGCCTGGGCATTGCTATGTTGCCGCACTCAATCGAGAGTTTATTCGTGTCTTCCTCAGTGCCGACAGAGGCGGGCTCGGTTCTCAAGGGCTACTGCACCCGGACGCCCAAGACACATACCAAGCACTTAGGTACCTCTATTCTCTCCGACAAAAGCTGGGAGAAGCCCATGGTTATCCTAAAGAACTTGACCGTCGTCGCTGTGGCATCTTCTGCCCCGGGAAGCGGACCGAACTCAGCCGCTAGCGCACGTCTTGACTGGGTCCTTGATACAAGGCTCTCCCCTCTGCCTCCACACGAGCCTAGAGCTGTCGAGGACAAGGCTATCATGTGCGCTGATATGTGCGACCAAGCTGCACTTGTCGCTGTGCAGCAGGCACTGGCAAACTCAACCTCGCTCATCGCTGAAACTCAGAGCGGCGATGCAGCATCATTGAGCACTTATCAGCAATGGATGCAGTCTCTGTCATTCACGTCTCTCCGGGAGAATGCCGTCAATGAAACAACAGTGGACGATGCCGCAGCTGCCGTGTTAAAGGCCATCCAGGCAGTCGGTACAAATATAGGGGCCTCCGAAAACAGCATTTTGACTCCGCAGTTCGTGTACGAGTTTATTCAGAATGAGCTCGATCTGTCTTTCACCGACTCTGTCGTGACGGATATTATTGACTGTGCGGCCTATGTCAACCCCAATCTCGAAATTTTAGAGATAAGCTGTGGTTCTACAACATGCGCCTCGATGATCCTTGAACGTCTTGGGGGCAAGACAAATCGCATCAACCACTACACCCTCACTAGTTCGAGCGCTGGGGCTGTCGAAACCATGACTTCGTCCCTTGGCACAATGTCTGCAGATACTCTTACCTGCAAAGAGTTTGACATTGAGTGTGACTTCGAGGCACAAGAATTCGAAGCAGCAAAGTTCGACTACGTGATCTTTGATGACCTGTCACTCTCGACAGCTAACCTTGGCTTGGCCTTGCAGAACATCAAAAAGTTGCTCAAGCCGAGCGGCAGTGCGATCGTCAAGTCTGTTACCCAGTCCCAGATCAGAACTGCTTTCGTTCTGGGCGCGCTTCCGAGCTGGTGGCGTGACCACAACAGCGAGAAGGATAGCACGTATTCTTCTGTGCGACTCGACGAGCAGGCCTGGCACGCTCTCCTGACTGAAGCTGGGTTTGAGGGCGTGGGCCAACTATTCCGCGACTCGGAGAACGCCAACATGCATCAGGTCTCCGTGATGGCGTCTCGGGTCAAGCGTGAACCGTCCTTTGAGAACTCGGACGTTATCATCGTTTGCTCTCCGAAGCGGTCGCCCGAAGTCTCGCAGCTTGTCGCGAATTGTGCTTCCGGCCTGTTCCAGCTCGGCTTATCAACCACAATGACGTCTTGGGATACGGTCGGAGATGTTTCAGGCAAGCTGATTATCTCGTTCATCGAGACTGAGGAGCCAGTTATGGAAGATCTGTCGAGTGACCTATTCACTGCGATCAAGTCCATGGCCCTGGACTGCACTGGTATGTTGTGGATTACGCACGCTGGTCACATCTCCGGTCCTTCTGTTCCCTGGTTCAACATCTCGTCTGGTCTCTTCCGGTCCATTCGGTCAGAGTACGAAAACAAGCCTTTGGCAACCTTGGACCTGTCCGCAGAACTTGACTTAGCATCTACGGATGGATTGGACATTGTCATGCGGATCTTCACTTACCTCTTCGGTTTGAACGAGCGCGATTATCCGGATAAGGAGTGGGCTGAGTCAAATGGCCTTCTCTACGTACAGCGGCTCATGGACGACAAAGAGCTGAGTGCGGCGGAGATGCGCGACAGCTCTAGCCCAGTACCTGTTCATGAGCCATTATTCCAGGAGGATCGATATCTGAAGATGAACCTGGGACAACTCGGCTCACTTGATACTCTTCAATTCGTTGACAGAGAAGAATTTGCTAAGCCTATCAAGCGCGATTATCTTAGGGTCAAGATTCTGTACACAGGTAAGTCGCCGCTATTTCGCGTCTTGCACGAATGACTTCACTAACCGTGCACGTAAAAGGCCTTAACTTTGTCGACATCATGGCTGCCCTTGGCGAAGTCCAGACCGCTACTCTTGGCTGTGAGGTTGGCGGTGTTGTTGTGGAGATGGGAGAGGATACCAAGGGATTCGAGATCGGAGACACTGGTGAGTCTTATCTCTATTATCCATCCCATTGCTACCAGATCGTATTTCCTAATCACTTCCGTCGTGATAAAAGTCGTCGCTTCATGCACCTCAGGCTTCGGTAGTCATGTTGGCATGAAGTACACGGTCGCGCACAAGGTTCCTTCGACCATGACGCTCGAGGAAGCCGTCGGTGTTCCTATCGCCTACATGACAGCCTGGCAGAGTCTGGTCGACGAGGCAAGAATCAAGAAAGGAGAGAGCATTCTGATCCACTCAGCCGCTGGTGGCGTCGGGCAGGCTTCTATCCAGCTTTGCCAGCACTTTGGGCTTGAGATCTTTGCCACAGTAGGTTCCTTACCCAAGAAGAAGCTCCTGATGGAGAGATATGGGATCCCTGAGGAGAACATCTTCTCTTCCCGAGATCTGTCATTTGTGCAGGGCATCAGGCGTGTGACACAGGGCCGCGGTGTGGATGTCGTCCTCAACTCTGTCGCCGGTGAACTTCTCCGACAGTCGTGGCACCTCGTCGCAGACTTTGGCCGATTCGTCGAGATTGGCAAGAGGGATATTCTCGGCAATACCGCCTTGGACATGGAGCCTTTCCACAGGAGCGTTAGTTTCATCGGCTTCAACCTTGACAAGTTCCACGACCACTTGCCGGAGTTTGTCGAGAGTGAGATTGCCCAGGAAAAGGTCTTTGAGCTTCTTGAGGCTGGGAAGCTCCGAGGCATTGGACCTGTCACTGTATATGATTACAAGGATGTTGCCAACGCCTTCCGCGCTCTCCAATCCGGCAAGGTCATGGGCAAGGTGATCGTCAAGGCCAACCCTGACGAGATTGTCCCCGTCATTCCTCGCATCAAGCACCCGCTGACTCTGGACCCTAATGCAACCTACCTACTTGCTGGAGGTTTGGGGGGCATCGGACGAAGCATCGCACACATGCTCTTCGCCAACGGGGCCAAGAATCTGGCCTTCTTCTCCAAGTCGGGTGATACCAAAGAGGCGTCCAAAACTTGCTTGAACCAGCTTCGAACTCTTGGATGTAACGCTAACGCTTATGCGTGCGACATCTCCGACCGCGACCAGCTTGTGAAGGCAGTCGAGAAGTGCAATGCTGAGATGCCTCCGCCGAAGGGTCTCATCCAGTGTGCCATGTCACTGAGAGTAAGCCACAAATGACGCCACTCAGGTGCTAATCAGTAGCTAACTGTTTGATTCAGGATACGATTTTCGAAAACATGACCCATGATGACTGGGTGCATTGCACCAGGCCCAAGATCCAAGGAAGTTGGAATCTCCACGACGTCCTCCCGAAAGACCTTGACTTTTTCGTGATGCTCGCATCCACTTCAGGCGTCATCGGTAATCCGGGCCAGGCCAATTATGCAGCTGGAAACACGTTTGAGGATGCACTTGCCCATTGGCGCCGTCGCCAAGGACTCAAGGCGACGGCCCTCGATGTTGCCGCTGTCAGGGATGTTGGCTATCTCGCTGAGTCGGGCGACACCAAGTACACGACAATGTCGCATCTGCTGGCCCTTACCCTGTGCGAAGCGGACGTCCACTTCTTGGTCAAGACCGCTATCAAGGGCTACACAATCGGAGACGAGGTTATCTCTGCGCAGGTCGTATCCGGGCTAGGTGGTGGCCAGATCGACAGCCAGCACATCGACCGCAACGCGTGGGCTCGAGACGGCAAGCTGTGCGTGGTGTGGAAGTCGGCCCTCTCAAAAACGAAAGACTCTAGCCCCTTGGCCGGGCTAGAGGCCTTGGCCAAAGTTGAGACTGTCGAAGCCGCCGTTGCCATTGTGGAGGACGTAATGGTCAAGCGCGTCGCAGATGCAGTCATGGTCCGTGAGGAGGACATCAGCCTTTCGGAGCCATTGCAATCCTATGGAGGTAAGATCACCGCTATTCCCTGTGACTATCGCAGAAGACATTTACTGACAGCAATCACAGTAAACTCTCTTGTTGCTGTCGAGATCAGGACCTGGTTGACCAAAGAATTCCAAGCCGAGATCTCTGTTGGAGAAATCAGTCCCTCACCTATCTCCACCTTGGCGTCAAAGATTGTGGGCAGTAGCAGACTGCTCCAGAACAGATTCAAAGAGAAGCCGCAGGAGTCGACTTGATTTGCTTTTTTTTTGGAGACTGGTGAAGATTCCATATCTTTCTCAAATCCCTCATGTCCATTACTGCTTTTGTTCATTTTCATCCAGCATCTTGTATCTAGTATCGCCTGTCATTCCCGTTATTCCAAATTCGACATAAGACGTTCCAATTAAATCCAACTATTTCAGTCTTCATTAGCCAAGGGAATCGCTTCTATCGTAGATATCATTCGCTTGAAATGTCTGTTGCAAACTATTCAATTGCCCTCATCTGTTGGAACTCCACAAACATGCTTCTCCTGCCAATGTGTTAGATGGGGAGAAAGCATCATACAATTAAAAATAATCATGAATGTATGAATGCGACAGGGTCTGACTCCCACCTTCTTACGTACCTAAATTCCATACTGACGTTCGATGTTTGAAGCCGTTTCATTGTCCCAGCTGGCTCCCCCCAGAGATGCGTTCCCGAAGTGCCATGTAAACCTTCATCTAGACCACACGTCTGTCTACGATGCCATACTGCGGCACAGGATCAAAGTCGAACCTGGGAAGCCCTGCTTCTTCTGGTCCTCTCTCCAAATTTCCAGAACATCAACGGGACTGGAAGGAAAGCAATCGAGATGAATCCCAAAAGCGACGTTCCCCAGCCAATACCAAGTGCATTATACATGCTGTTCCCAGCAAGTGGAAGAATTGCTCCAAGCAGCGATCGAGATATGATAGCAGCCGCAGTTGCTGAAGCAGCGTATGGGGTGTATGCGTCAATTATATAAGCCAGGGATGGCATCTAGCCGCATGTCAACCTCAGAACCTTTCATATAACGAGAACGAAGACTCACAATGACAGTGAATGAGGCGGCGCCAAGGAATGCAGAGCCAATAATGGGCACTATCCAATGCAGTCTCTGCTGTGCAGACCAGCCGTACAGGAACAACCCGATCGGGGCAAGAACTGCGCCCACAAACATGATAGGGAGCCGATACTCAGGTTTAGCCACATCACCGTTGCGTTTCGTCAATCGCACGACGAGCCGGTCGGAGAGGATGCCGGTGAAGCCCAAGGCGATCAAGAACCCTACCCCAATTCCGAGGTACACTAGCCCGACATCGCTGTTCGAGAATCCGTATTGGCCCGTAAAGACGCGGGGAAACGTGGTGAACATCAGGTATTGGTAGCCGTATAATGTTGCCATGTAAAGAGATAGGAAGAGAACGATTGGCAAAAGGACCAGCATCTTGAGGGGACAAATAATGGACGTCTTCCAAGAATGGGAACGCTTTGGCTCTTATCCAAGGCTGATTGTAGCTCTGGATTGCCAAGTTCCTTTCGCAGCCGTCTGGCTTTCCGTCTCAAGAGTGTTGGGGCATGAGACTCCCGCATAAGGATGAGGTTGGCGAGGAAGACCACAGCAGCCTACATTACATGAAATTGTCAGTGGTAAGTAGATCATCGTAAGAAAAACTCTGTGATGACTTACGAGAATGGATAGAAACCACACAGTTGTAATTAACGAATGCCTCAACGCAGAAGGCCCGGCACACTTACTTAGAGGGCCCACTGTCGGACCGAGCACAGGCCCTAGAATCCAGCCAGTCATGGCCAGACCTCGTTTCTCCAAAGGAATCATGTCTGCGATTGTCCCCGCCCCAATCGTCATTCACGTGAAGACATAAACAGAAAGAAATGTTCTTCCTGCAGACTCTTTCAGATTGAAGCAGCATGCATATATGAGACAAAGGTACCATTCGAGTATACCTTGCATCAAAGCCGACAGGACCTGGACAATTCTGCGAAAAGCGGATGTCGACTGTGTTGCGTACTTGCCGACGCCCTTGATCGTAGGGAAGGCCGTGATAACAACACACAGAAGAACTCCACCAATATTCCCTTAAAGATCGAGGGGACCTCAACGAATCCCGTATTGCTATCAACGGACCTGGTTTTCTCAGACACAAATAGCGTCCAGCTTTGGTTTCTCATGGTCTCGCACGGTGATCTCCGAGTGAGGCTGGATATCAAATCTGTCGATGAGTCTTGGGCTCGCTTCTTCGAAGACAATGAGGGCCCAGATAGTACCACTGGATCAGCAAGGGCGTTGAACCTATCAAAGAGATGGCTTCAAATCTGCCCAGCCGGGAGAGAACATAATGAGTGTCAAGAGGCTAACGACGACCGGCAGGAAAGGAAGATCTTACCGAGGAGACTGGTCCATGTTGGAGCACCAGACAGTGAACCACGCATCGTCGAAGTACACGATACCCCTGTGCCTTACTGTGTCCTATCGTACTGCTCGAGCAGCAAGGACTCGCTCACCACAACGGGAGACAACCTCCAGCGTCACATGGCCGGGATTCCACCAGACAACCTGCCCATCCTGATGCAAGATGCTGTTCATGTGACTCGATCACTGGGCTTCGAGCATCTCTGTACCGACGTCCTGTGCATTGTTCAAGACGATGAGGATGACAGGGCTCATGAAGCTGCGGTGATGGACGCCATCTATTCCAATGCTGAACTGACAATCTCCGCTCTCGTGTTGGGCGACTGTCACACAAGCTTGTTCACTCCTAGATCAGGCCGGATTGTACTCCCCGTCCCTTTGCCTATCTGGACACCTAAACCCCAACGTGCACCTCACAGATGCAGAGTTGTGTGTACCGAGTGGTTGCAGAGGGACGTGGACCTACCCGACTCTGTGCTCTCCCAGGGCTGGGCGTTCCAAGAGCAGCTCCTAAGCAAAAGAATTCTCCACTTCGGTGACGGAATACTGTATTGGGAATGTCTCCACCACTACACGATTGGGGCGGATCCTGGTGGCGAGGATGGACGAATCTGGAGGAATCGCATTAGGAGACATGATACGAAGCTGGCCATTCATGCTCCCGCATCAATAGGTGCAGATCCCGAGTTGAAACCAAAGAGATTTTATCAAGAGCCATTCGAGATATGGAAGAAGCAAGTCGAGGGTTTCACAAAACGAGACCTTGAAAAGCCCCACGACAAACTGCCCGTCATCGCTGCCGTTTCCACACGCCTAGCTGCCGCCGCCCACAGTAGCATTCTCTGCGGGATCTGGAATGGAGATCAATTACTGGAGAGCTTGTGTTAGACTGTCGTCAAACCCTCTTCAATACCGCCAATAACTACTGTCAATATGCCTTCGTGGACTTGGATAGCTGCTAGAGGTGAGATCTCCTTCGGATTGACCAGACGATGGGGAAGGGAGGGCGTCGATCCGGCCGGGCCCTACTATCGTATCTATCGACGCTCCTGCCCAGGAATGCCGGTCTCTGACGCTGAGGAGCGATTTGTATAAGAAAAGGCCAGCTCCCTCCTCCCTCTTCACAGATGAGTCCAAGCAAGAGGCGGAAGGCCTGCATCTGCGTTACCTATGCGACACGGACAGGTCCGTCTACCTGGACCATGTCATGGACATCACGGATGGCATCTACACATTCGACATCTGTTGCTTTCCACCAGGGCCACCGTACGAAGGGTACGGATACCCTAGGTGGCCCAATGGTCGATGCTCCACGACTATCAGAATGCTGGTGCAGAGAGTGGAAGTCGGGTCAAACCTATTTCGCCGAATCGGTGTTGGCGTTGTCCCTGGGATGTTTCTTCATCCAGAAGAACTGGAGGAGGATGAGAGCGAGGATGTTAACGGGGAAGAATATTTGCCGTTCACGTGGCTAGTGACTGATCAAGACGTGCTTCACGATCAAGTCTTTTCGTTGATCTAATAGATCATCTGGGAGACCATACGCCATTGTTCGCTTCAATTAGCAAAATGCACGACGAAGGTCTGGTACAGGAGGGTGTAATCAGGAGTACTGTATACACATTGTCAAGGAAACAACCAGGCATGGACACTAATTGGCTTAGGAAAGGATATCAATCTTCTAATTTAGCATTTATTGCTCCCCAGAGTCGGTGAATGTTCACGCAATAGATGCAAATGCTGCGTGCATCTCTTCAACCAGTAGATTTACACATTTAGATGATGGCCTAACAGCCGAAGCAGCATCAATGAGCCCCCACGTATGATCCGCTATCTTTTTTAATTGCTCATCATTCCAGATAGCCTTCTTCATGATGATACGACCCTTGCTATCGATGTTACTCCAATACAGCTCCTCTTTTTCTCTGGGCGGTGCATTCTCTGCTACTCCTTCGAGCAGATAATTGGCACACGTAGCCGGTGACACGCCGAGTAAGCCCATCGAAACCCGTCCGACTGCTCGTAGATACCAAGGAAGCTCTCTCCACAATCCAGAGCTGACACCTCCCGGATACGCATGTACGAAGTGTCTCCTGGCTCCCGAGACCCCATCTGCCTGCTGTTGTCGCTGCTGCGCCGCAAACCACTGAACCATGGCGTCGTTCATGCTCTGACAGTGTGCAGCTGCATTGCCTAAGCTATAGCGCGATTTGAGGTCCAGGTCGTCCCAGTGGAGCTTGTCCGGGCTGCCTAGCCAGGCATCAAACACGATAATGATCTTGTCGTGGTCCTGCATCACAGGCAGCAATTCGCGTATTAGTAACTGTTTTCCGTAGTAGTGGATTGCCATCTTTCTATCGACACCCTCTGGAGTCTCAGTCCTGCCTGCCGTGGTCATCACGCCCTGCGTCATGATCAGGAGGTCCAGTTTCTGATTTAGCAACTGTAAGATGTCGGACCTGTAAGCGTCTGCGAACTGATTTATCTGGCACATCAATGACGCGTCGAGGGGCCGAAAATCGATGTTTGAGTAGGGGATGTTTTGAGGTTTTGTGCGCCCTGCAATGGTGACGGCTGCGGAGCTGGCCTCGGCAGCGACGCGACAGGCCATCGCAAAGCCGATGCCACTTGTACCGCCCACTACCAATGCTCGCATAACCATGATGTTTCTTCTAGTTGCTTTGGATTTTCGTTTTTCGAAAGCTAGGAGCTGCTGCACGAAGCAAAGTGATTCAGAAGAAAAGTTCTGTTGATTCAAGGGCAGACTTTGGCGTGTGATTTCCGCCAGGCACCGGGGCGGCGGAATCAGCGGAGAAACACGGTCTGACATTCCTTCCGGCGCCCGACACTGAACAGGCTCCAAGGGTTCCGAATGAATAAGGTGTAAATACTGTATCAGATACCGACGTGTCTTCTATTTTCTATAAAGTATCTCGAGTGTTTCCTCTGCTGGGCATGGGCTCTATCCAATTTTGCCATGACGTAGCAAGCAAGTCATTCACGAATCGACCTCGCAATACTGGGGGCAGAATCAAAAGAGGAATAATGTTGAAATAAGGTACTGCATTTGATGATTGCAGCTATGCCATAGTTATCACGATCCAGTTCCAGCCATTCATTCATCCAATATTGAAGCCAACAACCGACACCACTTGAAGTATCTGGCGTGCCGCAACGGTGTGCCTGTTTCTCTCATCGCAATGGGTCTGGTCTCGTAAAGCATGGCGGAGACTTTAGCTGGGATATTCTTCAAAATGTCTCTGGACCAGCAGCCCAGTACAGGACGCAGCTCTTGATATTGATATATCGACCACACTTCAATCACACGAACCACTCAAATTCAATCTTCCATCGGCTACAGACATGAATCGACAACATCTTCAATGTAAGTAAGCTGCTCTCCAGGTGGTTTTCTGAAGAGTTTCGTCTTGTATTATATGAAGCAGAACTCAAGGATCCGTGAGCACGGATCGCGGATGGCCTTCAAACCGATGCAGATTCATGTCAATTCCATCGTGGTGAAAAAGAAGCCCACCTCTCCCACGGCCCAGGCGAGTTTGGCCATGAAACTGAGTCTGCGATCTTGGCATCTGGCCTTATTACTGACGTAGATCCTCGTTGCCAAGAGATGTTTTACCAATTCCAATCTCAGTGGCCAATAGACGATTGTAACTACAAGGATTTATGTTGTTCTTCGACCAAGCTTGACACATTCGATGTTAGTCTTGATATTGATGATGATTGGAACTGATTATGGAGATTTGACTTAACTTCGCGCTTTCTAGACTATGGAGCACTCATCCCTTAATCCAATCATACTAGTCGGATAACAATACACATGCCGTTCCTAGTCTCCGTGGCTACCAAGATCGGGTTATATGTGGTGATAGGTAGCACTTCGTTTGATCGGTAAACCCCCTTTCCTCCTAGCACAGTACTAAAAGCACGTAGAGAGCCGAGCCCTGGCTGCTCTACTTTTCTGTTTACTGAGCTCCCAGTGCATATTTCTGCTCACTTAGCCGCACTGGCATCGCTCACCACATGCGTTAAACCCGGCCTGGCCGCTGTCGTATGATTGGACACATCAGCACGGAAACCCGGTTATGGGAAGAGGGCCAAGAGACTCGCCCCCGATTTTATCTCTTCGTCAGAAGCAGACGCACCAAGAGGTCGGAAGTGGTGTGAATGGCGGTGATCCCTTCCCCAAACAATGCTACCTACCCCATCTGCTCGCCGCGTATCGGGGCGAAGGAAAGGAAGAAAAGGTTCCACATTCAGTGTGCCTTGCCCCGTGTTCGGAAGCGCTACGGCACTTGAAACGGCAAAACCGTGCGGAGATGATGAGCAGCACCGTGTCGGCGTTGCCGACAGACCCCAGACCTTTTGCCCCGGATTCGGCGCGAGTCATGACGTCAGGAGATCAGAGACCCAATTCGAGCGTATCAACACCTACCTACTGATCGCCATCGTCGCCGGCATGCCCATCGTGGTTTAAGGGTGTCAAGTCCAACAGAAGGGCCATAGCAACTCGAGACCGGTGATGGTCTTTTTGCAAAGAAAGAAGAAAGAAAAAGACTTTTTAATAACATCCAGTTTTCGCCCCCGGAAATCCCCACATAAACCCCACTGTGCTCGGTCAGATTCCATGCTCTTGGCCATATGTACTGTCCACATTATGATGTAGATCTCCACATTGTTTACTGTCTGCAGCATTACTCAGACCAGGGATTGTCCCTCGGGTTACCCCAAACGGCAATCCGGCCCTCGTCCTTCACAGGCGAACGCACACACAACTCTCGGCCGACTGACCTGCCTTGCTTGCCAATATATCATCGTCGTCCATGGCGTGTTTTTTCGCGATATATATATATATCAGTTGCGTGTTTCGTGTCGACTAGTCACCTATCACGGACTTGTTCCATGTCACCTTTGACTTGGGAGAAACGAATTCCTTATATGTCAAGATGAAGAAGTTCTATGGTCTCACGGGCCACAAGCTCAACTGGGCTGTTGGTCTCATCGCAGGATGTGACTTTCTCCTTTTTGGCTATGGTGAGTGTCTTGATATGTTGCAAGTCATCGAGAATCAGGACGAACACTAACAGTCTCTAGACCAAGGTGTCATGGGCGGCATCTTGACATTGCCCATTTTCCTGGATTATTTCCCATCAATCAATGCCGAGGCCAAGAACATCTCTGCGGCAGAGGCTTCTCAGCGTTCTACCAATCAAGGTTTGTTTAGATCTCTTCTCTTCGCCCACGGTTTGGGGATTAGCTCGTGCTGAAAAAGCTGCCTAGGAATCTCGGTTGCCTCGTACAACTTGGGATGCTTCTTCGGCGCCGTCATTACCATCTTCATCAGCAATCCCCTCGGCCGCAAACGGATGATCATGCTAGGCACGTCCATCATGATTATTGGAGCTATCCTGCAAGCGAGTGCTACAACTCTACCACACTTCATCGTCGGCCGCATTATCACCGGCCTCGGTAACGGCGGCAATACATCTACTGTGCCAACATGGCAGTCAGAAACATCGCATGCACACAAGAGAGGCAAGCTCGTCATGATCGAAGGTGCACTGATCACCTGTGGCATCATGATCAGTTACTGGGTTGACCTTGGCCTGTCCTTCGCCCCTGGCTCCGTCGCTTGGCGGTTTCCGCTCGCCTTCCAAATTGTCTTCTGTATCTTTATTTTGGCCTTGATCTGGGGGCTGCCCGAGTCTCCCAGGTGGCTCATCCTGAAGAACCGTGATGATGAGGCCAAGGAGGTCCTGGCTGCCCTAGCTGGCACCGACGTCAATGACCAATACGTCCAAGCCGAGTTCGCTGAAATCAAGGATACTGTCATTGAGATGAGCAAGGGCACCTTCGCGGACCTGTTCACCATGGACAAGGATCGGAACCTGCACCGCACACTGCTGGCCTACACCAATCAGGTAAGCATATTTCAAAGGATGATGCCCATACTACCTTTCTAACATGAACCCTAAACACAGATGTTCCAACAAATCTCGGGTATCAACCTCATCACCTACTATGCTGCCGTCATCTACCATGGTCTAGGCATGTCGGACTTCATGGCTCGTCTGCTGGCTGCACTGAACGGAACCGAGTACTTCATCGCGTCGTGGCCGGCCGTCTTCCTTGTGGAGCGAGTGGGTAGGCGAAACCTGATGCTGTTTGGTGCGGTCGGACAGGCCGCCACCATGGCTATCCTCGCCGGCGTCAATTCTCGCTCAGAGACCGGCAACCAGATCGCTGGTGTGGTCTTCCTCTTTGTCTTCAACACCTTCTTTGCTGTCGGCTGGCTCGGCATGACCTGGCTCTACCCTGCCGAGATTGTGAACCTGCGCACCCGAGCACCCGCCAACGCCCTTTCCACTAGCGGCAACTGGTAAGTTGAAGGCATCAGCATTCCCTAATTATCTAGTTCTTGGCTAACAGTTGTTCATAAAGGATCTTCAATTTCTTGGTCGTTATGATCACTCCCATTGCCTTCAACAGCATCAAGAACCACACGTACACCGTCTTTGCCGTCATCAACGCCTTCATGGTCCCCTGCGTCTATTTCTTCTACCCCGAGACGGCGTACCGCTCGCTTGAGGAGATGGACAGCATTTTCCACAAGGTCAAAGGTTGGCAGGGTGTGTTCACCGTCGTGCACCAGGCCAAGATCGAGCCCCGAAGATATGGCAAGAACGGCGAGCTGCTCATCGACTACAATGAGACCGAAGAACATCGTGGCCATATTCATCCGCACGGGAGCGATCTTGAGAAGCCGCAGGGCGAACAGTCTGGATTCTCTCACGCCGAGGGCGCAGACCAGACTAACTCTGCCAGTGGCAGTGCCTCGCCCCCGGAGGGCGGAGTATGGACTCACGATGAGGAAAGTGGCAGGCGGAAGGATTGAGACGATATAGAGATACAAGAGAAGGGCCGCGTACCAGCGCAACGTTTGTATACCAGGAGCAGTGACTCAAATAGGATTACTCTCCGCTAGCACTATCTTATGAATACTTAGGCTACCTTAACTCTCTCTAACTCTCTAGACCTCCATTCTCCAAAGATTTACTCGAGAACTACTGTGAGACTGTCCTGGCCTTGATTCGTGTACGAACGTTACTTGGTTTATGGAACCAGTAGTTGTGGCAACTCCATTGTTGGTCTGGCTCAGCCAGCTCTAAATGATAAGAACGTAGAAGCTGGGGTATCATCTTGTACATCTCGCACAAGGAGATCTGGTGTCTTAGTCAGCAAACCTGATGGTGACCACCCTTGACGGTTGAGCGAACTTACATTCTTGCCTATACAAGTCCGAGAGCCTCCGCCAAACTGAACAGTCTGCTTAGTATGGTTCACACTCTCTGAACACTGAAGTCATACCTGAAACATATATCGGTCCATCTTAACAGCTTCAGGCCGAAACCACCTCTCCGGTCGAAATTCATCAGCGTCTTCGCCAAAGATGCTCCGGTCAAAGTGGATCACGGCTGCGTTGACGCCTACCCTGCTGCCTTCGGGGAACCACTCGCCCAAGATACTGCATCCGCCTTGTGGTACAGTTCTGGGCAAGTGGTATCCCACACTGGGATGCAGCCGCATACCCTCTTTGCAACAAGCATCCAGGTAAGGCAGCTTTATGGCCTCCTGATACCGAATGGCAGGCACGCTCAAATCGCCAGCTCGAGTCGCGTTGTCAATCTCCTCAACTAGGGTGTTGTAAGCGCTCGGGTTCTTCATCAGATGGTAGAGAATCGATGACACGGCCGCGGCAGTGGTGTCAGACCCTGCAAATCTGAGTCTGGAAATTAGTCTTCCGGCCGGCAATAATACTCAGCACAGTAGGGTAGGACTTACAAGGCTGCATAAACTTCAACCTTCACTTCGGATAGTTTAAAGTCAACCTTTTCACCCTTGTCGTGCATCACCTGGAATAGACTGGAAAGAATATCCTTCTTCTCCCCGTCCTCACCCTTCTCAACAAGATCTTGTCGCTCGGCGATGCAGAGGTCTGCAGCCTTGTCGACTTCACCGAGGCTCTGCAAGGCTTTGAGCACCCTTGGGAAAATAGCCCCGCCGAGAAGGAAGAAAGACCGGACGTATGTCGGCATGACGCTCGACACCGTGAGAATGGGAAGCAGCAGGTCCAGCGAGCGGATATAACCCAAGTGGTCATGTTCAGCTTTCAGGAAACCAAACATTCGACTGAAGAAGAGTTGCCCTATAACGTCGAAGGCGTACCTGTTCAGAAATGGTCAGCGTCTGACCGACCGTTAGGGAAAGTGACAGGTGATGACCCACATCTGAGCCCACTGTGCCATATCAATGATCTCGCCAGACTCTGAAAAGCTATTCATCTTATCTAGCAGCGTATCTGTGCAGAGGTCGATGCTGTCTTCGGAGCGAGAGATGCTCGACATGGAGTAGAGGTTATTGACGATCTTCCGCCGGCTCGCGTGTTCTTTCTCATCTAGCGAAGTAAACGAGTCGGGATATTTGCCTATGCCAAGCGTCAGCGAGCTCTTGTAAGACTTGCAACAATCATCTGGGTCATCATACAGCATTGCGGCCGCCAAGGAAGATAGAAATCCGTCTAGAAATATGTTCTTAGCAAAGATTTATGAAAAGTAGGTCTCAAACAGATATTACCTTGGTGAACCCCGAGTTGATACCATAAATGACTCTTACAGCCTCAGGGTCAGAAATGACAACCTCATTTGGAGCAACCCTCACAAAGGGCCCTAGGTAGCAGATATCAGTCGATGACCAGCATGACCATGATAGTCAATAGTCTAACCATATTTCTCATGTAACTTTCTCTGCGTCTTGTCGATATTCGCCTTCGTTATTTGGATGACGAGCCACAGTCGCGAGATAGAGGCGAGAAAGGGGCCGGGATATTTGGCTAGAGGATGGAAGTACCGAGTGTAAATGACCCAGGCTGCGAAGTAAAGAACCAAAGACAGAAGGAAAACAACATAGAGAGGACACGGTAATGCGGCCGTCGCCTGTGTAAGTGCGGAAATCATTTTGAAGAAGATGCGCCTGCAGAATTTGACTCGTACTGGTACCGATCCGCAGTCTAGCACTTGTGTTGATACCACTGCCTTCTTATCTTCCTCTGCCTTCGATGTCAAAGGGCAAATGGGTCTTACCCAGATCTTGGCGCCCCCGACCCCGCGATTTGTCGACCTGTCAGAAGCTGGGGTAAACCCAATTTGATGTCTCAAGCTGAAAGGCTTGGGGCTAGAGGTCCTGGTGAGACTGGATTAGCCTCCTCAAGCATAGTGTGTGGTAAATGCCCGCTCCCTCAAAAGTGGCACAGCGAAGGTCGGGCTCAAGAGAAACCGCAACAGTCTGTAGACAGCGACTCGAAGTCCCTAGAGGCATGTCAGCCCCAATGTGGTCATAGACCGGCCTCGAAGAAGACCACGAGACTTATCCCCCTCTCCTTGGCCAACTTTTTGCGGATTGGAGGATGAAGATCATGTCACTGGGGAAGATGATCGTTGAGCGGCAGTTGAAATTCTATGAATTACAGGAATCTTAACATTCCGAGAAAATGCCGACATCATACAGTAAAGCTCTGTAGCATCTTATGCAGTTGTTCCATATCCGTATCTTCGCACTTTGCTACGCCCACCTTATCCTCCACCTTTCCACTGCGGATACGATCCAACATCAGGCGGGCAAAGAGCCAGTATTCCGGGGCGTACTTCATAAACCCCACTTCATGTCCCGGGGGGTATTCAAGCGAGGACCTCTTGGTCAGTTCTTCGTCTCTATCAGCTGAAGGCCAGAGTTCTCTCCACCTTTCAAGCCCTGCTTGGACGCGAGATACCTCTTCGCCGTACATCATAGAGGTTTCGAGCCTGAAGCTCATGCCATAGAGGCCTATATGCAGTGATTAGTTTCCAAGAGCCGAAAAAAAAAGTAGCACGGAGAGGAGACCATACCGGAAACCATTGTGAACATGTTGAGAACACTGAGTTTCGGGAAGAGCCTCAAAGCCCCAGGTGTGGGCTTTTCGGTACAGATTGCCGCCAACGCCGAAGAGATAGTTGTGGGCTCAGTCCCGTCAAGTCCATCTCGCCACACCTTCAAAGCCACAAAGCATTCTTCGGCCGACTGAGCCTCGAAGCACTGCTCTGGAGAGGCAAGTTCCATGACAGCTTCTGACAGGACCATGCGGGGAGGGTGTCGGTAAAATAATGCGAGGCCAGAGTCGAGAGCGAATACGTAGTGGAACACTCTGGAAGCACACAAGTCAGGGTTACTGGCATACAAAAGGGTCTGGCAAATGAACGCACCTGATCAATGATTCCCTAAGAACATATTCTTCCCAGTCAAAAGTTGTAATACTTGAAGTATCAACAGTCCTGAGGCTGCCCGAAGAGAACCCTATGTCTCTGGCAAGCTTTAATTGGGAGTTGTTAGCAACAAGAGGTTCACACCTAGCATGCCCCAAGACTGCAAATATGGGTCGGTCACACTCACAGATACAACTGCGCTGAACCTAAATCGACGGATGCGGCGCTTGCTCTCCTTGGATCCTTCCCATGTTTGGTACAAGGCAACACAAAATCCAGCCTGCAGGATTTCTAGCTGAGCTTTCCGAAGCGGCCCAGTATGTGGTTCATCCCAAGCCAAACACGACTCCTGCCAGAATAGCTCATCATCAAAGACCAGCTGCTCCACGGGGTTGAGCCAGAGGTGGGCCATGGCGCGGTCTCGGGTATCGGGAGACAGAGAAGCACCCAGTATGGCCATGGCCGCCAGAAGCTTGGCGGAGACAGAGCTAATATCGAAACCGGCTTTGTGAATTGCCGGCCAGTTCGGTTTCCAGAAGGTCCAGAATAAATCAAGGAATTTCTCGATGTTGTCGGGGCCGAAGAATTCGGAACACATAGCCTCGAGCGACTCTGACCATGGCGTGGAAATGATATTTGGGCTGTGCTTTGTAGCAATGGTGTCATGCAGGAGGCTCACAATCTCGCTGCCTCTGGTCATAAAAAGCGTGGAATCTTCGTTGAGGCACGAGATCGCAGCAGTAGCAGACTGTGCCCCGTGTGAGTCGACCAGATACTCTGCAGGGGACCACAGGTCATGCGATTGAAGAGGATCAAACCCTGTCAAGAAATTGAACGAGTTATCCGAGGCGCAGTTCAAGTCCAGGGGCGGATGGGCATCGAGGTAAGGAATATGGCGATGCTCTGTCCACAAAAGTTGAGCCATGACAGAATTGGTGCTTGTGCGTCGGGCGCGCCACGTAATGGATATCCTTTGCCGTTGCTCCAAAGTCCCGCACTCGAATGTGTTGGCGATCCCGATGTCGTCGGCTATTCGCTGTAGAAAGGGGAATTGCTTCAGGGATACGATGTCCAAATGGGTCGGTCGTCGATATTTCTCTGCCGGACGAAGCTGTCGAGAGAGTGTAGGCATAAAGCTCCAGTTATTCGTACTGATATCCTCGGCGATATCCACTCCGGGCTCCTGCCACGTCAGAAGCAAGTCGTCGGGGCCACCGTCGATTGCCGTTTCCTCCAAAAAGTCAAAATCGATCTGATCCAGCGCCTGCCCGGGTGTTGCTCCGGAGGACACAGTCTGATTATCAACAGACATGGCTTGTTGATCGCTCTGAGGACTCGTATCCTCGCCCGTCGAGGCCTCGTCTCCCTGTTGAATCCGACTGTACGTGCACGGCTGTCGGTGGCGAGTGCAGGCTCTGCATGGAAGAGTCAAGTTGCAAGCTTTCTTGAGGCGGCAGCACCGATCGCAGGCCTTGGGCTTCCGGCCCCGTTGTTTCAGTTCCACATGCGGCACGTCGAGCGCCCGGCTCTGCCGGAGTTTACAGGTCGTCCAATGGCGCTTGAGCGCGTCACTAAGGCAAGGTCAGCCACGTCGCACCGAAGAGACAGGGGCCAGTTGACGGGGATATCTTACTGTCTGTTGAACGCCCTGTCGCAGAAGACACAATTGAAAGGGCCGGCCATGGTATTAGATGTTTGCGGAGCGAGTCGCCGGAAGTTTCGAGGTTCAAAGTTTGGCCCGACAGAACGGATGTCGTTGAATCCATTTTACCGAGATTCTCCCCCCGCCAGCCAATGCGGGGAAGCGAGGAGGCCCACATGCAGACATCGCGCGAGCCTTTCTTTCCCCGGATTAGTGGCATCAGGTGTCATCCATTTGTCATAGCGTGCTATGCCCTATCAGACAATCTATTTGTAAACAGCTTGATAACAGGCCTGCCCAAGCCACTCCGCTTCCTAGCAGCGTTCCAGGTCCACGGGCGTGGACCCAGTCAGCCAGCTCGCACTTGGTGGCTTATAACTTCCCCTTCCCCGCTGCTCCAGTTCAGGAAGAGGGTACTAGGGAGCACCTAGGACAGAGTTGCTCTCAAAAATTAGACTCTGTTTGCCTTGTATGGACGTTCCGACGGCAGTGGGCTTGATGAAAGGCCCCATGTCATGGGCCCATCTCTCCACAGCACACATGCAACCCCGTAACCCTCCGGCTTGCTCTCCACAACAGACCCTTGATGATATCATCCTGCATATTGTATACTTGTACAAGTAGAATGTTGCCGTAGAGTGAACAAAAGCCAGACGCAGATGTATTTAAAAACTCCCCCGAGGCCCCGTACCCGCTTCCAAAAATGCTCCAGCACCAGCCAGTGGCTACGCTTGCCAGCAAACGAGAGCAAGCAGAGATCACTGAAGCCGAGAATGACTACGCAGAGATCTAATTGGCCTATAGGGCTCTACCTAAAGAAGAAAAGATAACACTCAGAGCTTCCACTCCTCCTTGTTGTACTGCTTTGGCCACACTCCAGACTTGCCAGGAGCAATAATCCCGTTCGGGTCCACCGCGTTCTTGATCACCTCGTTGAACTTCAAGAAGCTGTTCTTGTTCCACGAGAACGTGCCCATGATCTGGTCCATAACCGCCAGGTGAGTGCGGTACTCGCCCCATCCCTTCGCTGCGCAGTCGTCGATGAGCGTCTTGATGAGCCAGTGCGCCTTCTTCTTCTGCTCCGGCGACTTCTTGTCGAAGACGATGCAGACGATGTGGTCTTAAAAGTCTCAGTGTTAACAACAGTGTCTGTCTGGGGACTTGGCAAGAAGCATGTAGACTTACGCATTTCTCGGAGGCCCACGGTGAAAGTGCCGATGAAGTCCAGGCCTGCCTCTTGGCATCGTTTCTTGGTGATGGTGTACTGCTCCATCGCATCGTCTCCTACAACCCTAGCAATAGGAGAGAAGAAAAGGTGAGCTCCGTTGGGCAGCCAGCTCACCCACTTCAGCTCGTCAAATGTCGGGATCCCCTGCAGCGTCTTGTCTCGAATGTGCAGAACAGTCTTGCCTGGGACGTCCTCGGGGAAGAAGAATTTGGCCCCGGGAATGGCAGAGAATGCCTCCTTGATCACTGCCCACATGGCGTTTCGGATCGGCTCAGGTCCCTTGCTTTTGGTCAGCTAGAGTCCCAGGTTATTTCAAGATTCCACAAGGCGAACTTACGTATAGCGCTCCGTAGAAGTTCCATCGCCCGAGGTTGAGCTTCTTGGCGATCTCATCCAGCTCAGCGTCTGTGAGCGGCCCCGTCTTGGAGGTGTAGTCCGTCTTCGGTCCCATGCACGCCGCATCCATTAGGATGTGACGGATTGTGGGAACGTTCTGCAGAACCATGCTCAGACGCAGAGGACGGATGATGTCGACAGCCTGCTTCAGATCCTCGTCCTTGGGGATCGTGATGAGGTACGATTGATAACCTCCAGGGTCGGGCATGAGCCACATGCCCATCTTGGTGACGATGCCAAGGTTGGACTGGCTGAAGAGCCCGTCTACATAAGGGCCGAAGCCATATGGAAAGAGGTGGGCCGTCTTGTTCCAGGGCTGATCCTCCGGCGCAAGTCCCATGGTCTCTGGCCGTTTAGGGTCGGGGAGGGCCCCCATTCCAGTCCGCATTAGCTCGCCGTTGGGCAGAACGATTTCCATGCCGCAGTGCATCATCCAGTGGTCTAGGTCAAGTCAGCATCGCAGCACAAACTTCCGCGAAGTATCTCTCGAACTCACCTCCATAAGGTGTGTAGCCAACACCGCGATCCAGGGTGTTGCCGAGGACGGAACCGCCGCCGAGGTCCGGAACATCAACCCAGAGCTTGTCTCTCAGGTTGTGCTCCACAAGGTACTCGTGCAGACTTTGGAAGGTAACACCTAATAAGAAAGGGTTAATCCACTGGAGCCTGGTACAGCAAAGCGCGATGGGCAATTAACATACCTGGCTCTAGCAAGCAGTACGCGCCCTCGACATTCACTTCCAGGACCTTGCTCATATTCTTTCCCATGTTGAGCACAATGCTGCCTCTCACACGGGGCCCTGCTCCTCCATACCCCGAATTCCTTCCAATTGAAATTGGCCATAGGGGAAGCGATATCTTGTTTGCCGCCCGGACAATAGCTCTGTATCAGGCTGTCAGCGCTATTCGCTGGTTGTGCTTTCAAAGCTTTAGTAACGTACTGAACATCTGGGACATTGCGAGGCGCCACAACCGCCGACGCTAAGAAATAGTCTTGGTCAAGGATGTGATGAGGGTCATGGGTGTGTGTCGGATCTTCATAGGATTTGTCGTCGATTTGGTCATGAGACGTAATCACATCGACATTATCGTTTCCGACAATGGCGATGATCTCGTGGATGAAAGCATTAAAAGATTCGAGGTTGATCTTGGGTGGAAGGGCAAGGGGCCCGCGCTCACTGCCACTGTAAGAGGCACCGGACGGTTGGGGCACCACACGATTGTTAGGAGACATAGTGAATGCTTGAAAGACGCTGACGCGCAATGCTATGATGTGTCGATAATGCAAATGACGGGAGGGAACGACTCAAGCTGCCGAGATAAGTCCATAGGAGTAGTTTCCATAGTCCAAGGATCGCAGCAATTTATTTCATCTTGTAACAAGAGCAAGTTCAGCAACACTGCATGCCAAGCTCTCCCCATGGGGTTTGGAGTGGAGATCTCGGCTTCATTTCTGGGGAGTTGTGGACAAAAGCCGCCTTGATGGATGGATAGTGTGGAGTTTCCCCGACCGGGGATGCCACACCTCCTCTCCCCTACATGACGTCCCGTATATCCGGGCTTAGGGAATGTTGCAGATCGCACCTCGAAGCGGATCTGAGGCAAGCAACAGTGCTCAGACTCGCCTCAGGGGTGGAGCGGGTTTGCCTGAGTGGAGTGGAGGGGATAGAAGAAAGCAAGATGTCAAGATGTGGTACTGGCAAGAAGCAGACACCGCCAGATCGGAAACATGACAAGGGTCAGGGATTTGATGAAGCCGAGAACATGCAGGAACAACAGCAGGTTGCACCCCTGGAGAATGAATTCATGTGGTCTTTTCCCGGGCTAGGAGTCTCGTCACATAATAGTTGTGAGTCTAATGACAAAGGACTGTAGATCTCTCTTTGGACTTGCGCTCCCAAGGCGGAATCGATCCTGGTCTGCAAGAAGTCCAACTGAACTCCCCTTTCTAGAAATATCTTCAGCTTCTCTTGCATCGCTTTCCTCCTCTCGCATTCAATACGCGATGCTAAAGACAATGTTGAGCCTCGGACGATGAACAAGGAATTCATTAACTAATCCCCAACTCTCTACATTCCTTCACATGGATATTTTCAAGAGCTAAAGCACTTCTACCAGCTCTTCTTTAAGCCACCTGCACCGCTCAAAACCCCAACCCCTTCTCAAATTCTTTCCACTTCTCCCCAATAGGCTGCACAAGCGTGTAACTCGCCTTGCTCCCCAGATCCTGCACCCCGTTCACAAGATACAGCGGCGTCATCTCCCTGTCCGAACTGAAGAACAACTTGGGCCTCTCCCTCCTATTGAGCGTCTGCGCGGTGCCGTCCGTGAAGCTGACCGTCGAGTTGTACGCCTCGTGCTGGTGGAAGTGCCACGGGCCCCGGAGGTGCCGGGCAAACATGTGCGCGCCCACGCGCGGGTACTTGCGCCCGCCGTGCTCGACGATGTCGATCATGTAGTGCGCCAACGCGTGCCAGTGCCCGCGCTTGTCGCGCCAGAGGAAGGGGTCCTCGGCCCAGGTGGGCGAGTAGTCTGACGTGTTCCAGGGGGCCTGGCTGATCTGGGTGTAGGGGCCCTGGTAGCGGGGTGCGGTGTAGATGGTGAGGTCCTCGGTCGCGAGGATGATCTCCGACGTTCGGTGGTGTGGTGTGTAAGCCGGCCAGGGGGCCGGATTGGTCCCGTTGATGAGCAGCTGGAAGGGCGACCAGGGGCCTTGAAGAGTTGGTGCTACGGACACGGAGATGTTGTTTGGCCTGCAACGTTTTCACTCACATAAGCCTTCGACTCTTAACAAGAAGAGTGGATTCAAGGATACATGTGCTCACCATTTAACACCCTTGCAATTATCCGGTGCCTCCACATCCACCCCGATAGTGTACATCAAATACTTGCCATCCGCCTCGCTCCAAAACGCATACGGGTTATGCCGAAACGTCCCGCTGAGCTTCTGCGCGAAGCGGTATGGGCCCCTCGGCCCCGTCCTCGACTCGGCCCGGACGACAAAGCTCTGCGGCCGCCACGCGCCGAGGCCGCACCCGTGCCCGAACTGCGCCGTCACGAGGTGGAACAGCCGCGGGTCCGACCGGTCCTGCAGGATCGTGCCGCCCCAGGACGAGTTGCCCTGCGTGCCGTAGTAGTCTGCCGGCTGCGGGACCACGTCGGAGGTGTGGTTGTACCCGTCGCCCCTCCTGGCGGGCGCGAGGTCGAGTCGGCCACAGTCTTCACCCCACCAGCCCGGGTCGCATTTGCACACGCGGGCAGCGGGACGAGCGCGGCAGTCGCGGACGCAGCGGCCGTTGAGGGAGCAGTCCTCGTCGGTGGTGCAGGGCCCGGTTGCGAGGGAGTGTGGCAGGGCAGCTAGTGCCAGAGTCAAGAGGGCGATGCTGAGGTGCATCTTGCACTATGTTACCTGTTATGGCACTTGTGAATAATGTGGACATTGTCATGGCTGAGTATGTCAAGGACTGCCGCTGAGAGCGTATCTGCTATATAGAAACCTCATGCGTGCATGAAGGCACTCTCAATGAGACTGCAAGCCAGAGGAAAGATCTCGGGGTTTCGCCCCAATGATGCCCGTGTCAGTGGTACGGAGTTGCTGTCCCGATCGTTGAGTTAAGGCCGGGCTTCTCCACCTTCCCCGCAAACTACCCCAGATGTGGAAGTCTGCACAATCCTTACAGCTCTTTTGAATAGTTCGGGTTCGTTATTTTCCGTCTCGAACTTGTAGATGTGAAGTGCGAGATTCGTAGATCAGATATAAACCAACGACTTCTCAGATATGTTCCCGACGGGTGATATAGAGTTGGCCGAAATGGTAGTTGTTTGTGCACTGCCGGGAGATAGAATCAAGCTCATCCCGAGGATGGCATCCACAATGGGTGTACGCTGTTCATGTATGAGCTAGTTTCTGAGAAGAACCCTTCAAGACCTTAGATACCATACACAACATCAGAGTTACGATACCATACAAAGTTCAGCGTTACCAGTTATGTGGAGCCCTGCTCCAAGTCAATCTCGAAGAAGGACTTCGTTGCTTCGTTGGCTTTTACAGGACATTCGTTGCCTTGATCCCGGACTTTACTATTATGCGAGCAACTCCATGCTTTTCGACTTCAGGATGGACTTGCATACACAACCTACGTCTTTGGTGTATCCCCAACGAGCAAACTGTCAACTGTAGAAGAAGCGGGGAGGCTAATTACCATTGAAGTATGTTATCACCAAGTCTCATTGAATCGCCCATACCATGCCATGCCCCTCACCCACAAAACCCGAGCAAATGCGTCTAATGTACACCCTATCTTGACGCCCTTCAAATGCCGATCTAGCACCTCCACTCATTTTGCAAACCCCAGCAATGCAGATACTCCTGTAAACATCCCGAGACAGCCCAAACACCCCGCTCAGGTCTCGCCGTTCTCCTTTGCCTCAACAGCCTCCGATTTGTCTCCATTCTCCTTTTCGCCGCTCTCCTTCTTCTCCTCCTCACGGCCCGTCATCTCGCCATTCTCCGCCTCGCCTTTCTTCTCGCCATTGACCTTGCACTCCTTCGTCCCATTAATCTCACCCTGACCCTCTTCCTCTCCCTCCGCCTCCTCGTTCGCCTCCTCGTTATCGCCGCCACCAGCACCAGCACCCTTGCGCTTCCGCCTCTCCGCCAGAGCCAAAGCCCTCTCCGCATCCTCCGCCTTCCTCGCCCGCCTCCTCTCCTTCCGTCGCTCCTTCCTCCGCGCCCTCGCCTCCGCCACCCTCCGGCTCTTGGCCCTCGCTTCCTCCATAACCCGACCCTCCTCCTCCGCCCAGCGGCGCACCTCCCTCGCCGCCCCGACCGCATCGCCGCGATACCGCAAGAGGAAACCCTGCACCTGCGCGGGCGTAAAGTACCGCTCCGCGATGCCCGCCGCAAACTCGGAAGCCAGCGCGGCGAGCTCGGCGCCCGACTTGTCGCGCACGACGCTCACGCCGTCCTCCTCGCCGTCGTACATGCGCAGGAACATGAGGCGGGCGCTCTCGCGCGAGATCTCGCCCAGGTAGATGATGCGGTCGATGCGGCCGGGCCGCACGAGCGCCGGGTCGAGGCTGTCGGCGACGTTGCTCGTCATGAGCACGATGCGGCCCTCCTGCGCCGCCACACCGTCGAGGATGTTGAGCAGGCCCGACAGCGTGCACCGGCAGTGCGTCAGGCGCTCCGCGACGTCGTCGTCGTCGCCGTCCGAGTCCGAGTCGTCGGCCTCGTCTGCGTCCTTCAGGGCGCGGCGCTTCATGCCCACGGCGTCGATGTCCTCGAGCAGGATGAGGCACTGCGGAGGGAGGGCCGTGAAGAGTTTTTCGACCTCGCGGTCCTCACGGACGCTTGGGATGTGCAGGATGTACAGATCCAGGCCGAAGTGGCCGGCTAATGCGAGCGACAGGCTCGTCTTGCCCGTGCCGGGAGGGCCGTGGAGCAGGTAGCCGCGGCGGTAGGGGATGCCGCGGGCGTTGTAGAACTTGCGCGTCGACACGTCGAGATAGCTGCGGATGTCGGAGACCAGCTCGGCCTTGAGCTTCTCATCAAAGTGGACCGTCTCGATGGGCCGTATGGGCCGCAGGATGGTGGTGTCCCAGCACTCCATGTTGTACTCTGAGCGGGCGGCGCGGACAGTGGTGAACGACTCGCGCTGGGCGTCGGCGAAAGAGCGACAGGTGTCGAGGAAGCCCTTGATGGGGTCCACAGAGCGGCCCAAACACATGATAACCAGCGGCTCGTCGCCGCGCGGGGCGGAGGCGAATTCTTCGGGCATGTCAGCCCGGTAGGCCGAAGTCTTGGGAATGCGCTTCACCATGAAGAGGCGGTACTTGTGGATGAACCACGTGGTTCCAAAGGTGGGCAGGTAAGTGACGGGGAGCCGCTTCTCATGGTGGTAGTCGGTCCGCTCGACGGGACGATACCGCCAGGACCACGAGTCGTTGTTGATAGTTTCGGACGAGGCCGTCAGGATGCGGGTGCCCTGGCGCGTAAGGACGTTGGCGCCGAGCCAGTTGATAACCTCGCGGTTGAGGCGGTCATTGCCGTTGATGCTGATGGAGGCGGTGAAGAAGGTGGTGATCCACCAGTAGAGCTTGAGGGAGACGTCGCGCAAATCGCGAACGGCTGACCCAACGGTTCCGAACACAGTAAGAACGGCGGCGAGGGTGGTCAGGTCGAGATTGAGCCAGCTCGAGTAGAAGGCATCGATGGCAGCCCAGCCCGGGATGATGCGCTTGAGGATGTCCTGGATGGAGGAGCGGGCCTCTTCGCCGAGGATCGGGGTGCCGTTGAGCTGGGGTAAGAGATTGGCGATCCCTGGAGAGGGCATGGCTCTCGGTGCAAAGTCGGTGGTGTTGCTGTTGTTGTTCTTGGTGGTGGTGGTGGTGGTGGTGGTGGTGGTGGTGAGAGTAAGCTGATGCTGCAGCAGCAGAGGTCATGCCCGAGCCTGTGCTGTTGGTGGGTGCAGTCGTTTCTTGTGGTGGTTGAGGTCAGACGAGAGCACCTATAGAGCGGGACAGAGTTGGAGAGATGACATGGAAGATGAGAAGAGGGTGTTTGACGGTGATGACTCCTTGGGGGGTCACAGACCCGGCTGATTGACGGAAAAACGCCCTTTTGAGCTGAGCGGGCCGAGATGAGGGAGTGTTGCGAGGCCCGGCGGTTGCGGGGTTGTGTCTCTGCGTGCTGCCGCAGATCGCGGGAATTTGATGGGAGCACGACAGGTGGTGGCGCGTCGGCGGGTTCTTGTACTTGCTACCTGTGGTGATCTTGTTGTCGTCACTCCCGAGAACTGGGTCAGGGAGGCCACTCGGTCAGGGCGAGAGGGAGCAGACGATGTCCATCAGTCTCAGGCGGATGCTGCCTGAAATGACGGCGTCTGCACCCAAGCGCGGGCCAATGTGCACAAGTGCGTAGATCAGATGAAAAGGCGTGGGAATGCTGTGAGATACCTGCATCCCGAGCAGGGCAGGCCAGAGCAGGCCAGAGCAGAGCAGAAGCCAGCCACTCAGAGCGCGCACGGCTGGGCCTGCAGAGGACAAATGGGCTTACGGCTGCAGGAGGCCCGGAAGATTGGCCAGTGCTGCCTGCACGGGATGCATCGCAAGCCGCGGTGGGCGAATCATGTCGGCCAGCGCCGCCGGAGACTGACTCCGTGATCGCGATTGCGCAGGCCAGACGTGGTCATCGTGGAGCCGTCCCGGTTTGCTGGGTCAGGCGCGCGCGCAATGCATCTCGCTCGGTAAACGTTCATCAGCAAAGGCAGATTTTGACAGGCCAGGGCGGGCGCCTAGACTGGGTGACAGGGGTCAGAGGTGGCCCGATCAGCTCACGCGAATACAGCGAGAGAAACAGGGAAAAAGATCAAGGATGGGAAGTCTGTTGGAAGACTTGGTTCAGCCTAGGCAGGACAGGGGAGCCGCTCTGATTGGGTTGGACACGACAGGAAGACGCCGTGAGAGCCGAATCCGGGATAACGTCGACTGGGGCACAAGGTGTTGCTACCTGGGTAGTCAGGGCACACACGGAAGGACAGGACCGGGGCGTAGGCGGACGCCGTGTCGCCGCCGCCGGAGGACATGGTGGCAGCGAGATGATCAGCATCGACATGATGGGCCCGGGTGTGTGTGAGAGATGTGTGAGAGAACATTGCGTGCCGAGTTGCGAAGAGTGACCGAGTGGCTGCACGACTGGACTGGGGGGATGGATGGATGACCAGAGTGGGGGGAGGCCTGTTCCGTGGGAGCCCTGGAGGGAGGGACGACCAGCCAGCAGTTTGCCAGTTACAGAGGCTTGGTGGGCGCTAATGCGGCCTTGTCGTGGCTGCAGGGCTGCCTAAATCCACTGCACTGACTGGCTTGACGGCTAGCCCGACCAGCTGGAGGACTGCCCGGAGGAATTGAAGAGGTAGCCTGACTCGTGGCTGTGCGTGTCGCGGCTGCCATCACCAACCAGAATGAATCATCGGACGGTGCGTGTCTTTGAGGTACATGATGCATGAATACATGTACTGGATGAAAGCAGAAGACTAAGCGGCGCTGACATCAGATGCCCAAAATCTGGTCAGGATACAGTCAAGTGCTTTGAGCGAAGCTAGATACCTTACCTACCTCGGTGATGACCCCGACCGCCTCTTTTGACTGACAGACGGACGGACAGCTGAATGGACGGGGGGAGGATGACACACACTCGACTTTCCCGCCATCCCTTGTTGTGCATGACGGGGTCGCAAGCAATCAACACACGTTTGCATGCAGGGAGAGCAGACGTGCAGACCAACATCACCAACGGACACGGTCACCGTGGCAAAGGAGGGCCGTAGATGTGTCGTGCTGCTGTTGGTGCCGGGCGCTAACTAAAACAGTGGGAGCAAAGGAGTGCTATTTCTGTCGGCAGGCAGGCAAAGACAAGACAGACAGTGTTGATCACGTCCGGGAGAGCGAACGGGGAGCAACGCCGGATTGTCGGGATGGCCGTCACTTTGAATGAGAAAAGAACTAGAGCAGTTTTGGCCAGGGCGACAGACAACAGAACAGACCAGACAGACAGAATCAACAGCCAAGGTTACTTTTACTTGGGGACCGGTGCCAGACTGGCGCGAGCTACTTGTCATTTACCTGCATATGCACACCACCAGTCATTCGCTGCAGCGGTGACATGCAACGCACTGCGGACTTGCTGCGTCCGGACGTGTACCAGAAGCACACGAGACAGGTGGTGCTCCTGGGTCCGATTCCCGAGCCTTGCATGTGTGTGGTCGGCAATGGACTGAACCTGTTTCCACGGATATACCGCTCGAATGCAGTCAGTCAGTCTGTCATTTGTCTGCGAACAGAGTTTGGTGTCTCGGCCTTTGAACCCACGAGAGAGGTCGAGGGAGGTCGAGACCAAGAGACGGGTGCCAACAAAAAGCATATGATTACTCACGGGCAAGAGAGAAAGAGAGAGAGGGCTGAGATCTGGCGTGCCGCATCCCTATGGATAGACATCCCGCATCATCAGACCCTCTCTCCAGCTCGCATGACCCCCCAGAGTGGGTGAGTGGCTCCCCCGATGACCCCGCGAACCACCCCAAAAAGAGAAACACACAGCGCACCTCGGCGGGACCCACCCCTCCAGCTCACCCACTAATTCCCCGATTCCACCCACTGAGCCACCAATCAGACGCCCGCCATTCGTCGGGTCTTGCTTGTTTTTCGGCACCTGCAGTGCCCCCCAAACCCCAAGCAGCAGCCCTGGAGTTGTCCAGCGGTGTCCACATGTCATTCCCTTCAGCTACATCATCGTTGATCACGATGATGACCCCTGCGCCCGCCCTTTCCGCCGCCATGGCGCTCTGCTAGTCTCCTTCCTGAATGTATGTGCTCAACAACTTCGTGATTGTCATGCCCTGGAATCAATCACGTCCTCTCTCGCGACAAACCGAATGCATGTGGTCCAGTCCTTTTATCTTCCACACCGCTTCTGTCATTCCTTGGTGATTTTCCGTCTTCGACTCCTCAGTCGCCTCGTCTCCATCGCGGGTCCCGCTCGAGCGCCCACCGGTTTCCCCGGCCTTCTTACCGTGCATTCCAGTTGGAACTCAACCACTCAACCCGGCGACATTCAGCCTCAACCGACCATTCTCGCCCCGTGTCTTCCTTCTCTGCCTCATCGCCAATCCCGAATCCAAACTTGAGCGCATCCTGTCCGCCGCATCCGGCGCAAGACGAACGACCGTGACGACTTCCCTCCTCCACACCGCCCTTCCCATGCCGCCGCGTCTTCACCATGTTAGACACCCTCGAGTTGTTTCCCACGTCGAAACACCTGCACGATGACCTGACTTCCAACTCGTCCCTCCTCGCCTCCCTCCAGCCCTCCAAACCCGCCAACAAATCCACAAGTGTCGTCAAGCGGGTAACACAGGTCCTGCGCAAATGCCAGGATGGCCTCGACGATGCGGAGCGACACGCCAAACAGAAGAAGGAGGAGAGGATACATATATTGCGGCTGCTCATGGAAAATGTAGGCCACAATACCCAAGCAAGCGCATGGCGATCTAGCAGCTAACATTGCCCCTCTCGCATAGGCCGAGTCGAGACAAGTCTGGGAGGACGCCGCGCGAGAACTAGACATCCTCGAGGGCAACGAGGCCTGGAAGAACGACCCTTCGACCGGCTACCTCAACGTGCCCCTCATCGAGTCCTTCACCCAGCACCTACAAGAAGCCGCCGCCAATTGCGACATCCCGGCCATGGTCCACTTCATCCGCACCGCCCTCTCCAGAGACACGGGCGGCATGGCCGACCCGGAGCTGTACGCCCACTCCCACCTGGGCACCAAGAAGCTCGTCGAGCGGTACGTCGAGTCGTCCGTCTACCTCATCGAGGCCCTGCTGCGCCTCACGGCCAGCCCCAGTCGCATGCCCGACGGCCTCACTGACCGCGACCTGCTCGACGTCATGTACCTCGCCCGTACCAGCTTTGGCCGCAGCGCCCTCGTCCTCAGCGGCGGCGCCACCTTTGGCATGGCCCACATCGGCGTGCTCAAGGCCCTCTTTGACGCGCGCCTGCTGCCGCGCATAATCTCGGGCACGTCGGCGGGGTCCATCGTCGCCGCCGTCGCCTGCGTCAAGACGGACGAGGAGCTACCTATGGTCCTAAAGAAGTTCCCCTTTGGCGACCTGGCTGTGTTTCAAGCCCAGGACCGCGAAGACACGTGGGGCGAGCAGTTCCACCGGCTCATGTCGGACCACTGCCTGCTGGACAACAAGCATCTCGTGCGGGTCATGAGCGAGTGGCTCGGCGACATGACCTTCCAGGAGGCGCACCACCGGACGCGGAGGATTCTCAACATTACCGTGTCCCCCGCGTCGGATTTCGAGGTGCCGTTGCTGCTCAACTACATCACGGCGCCGAATGTGGTCATCTGGTCGGCTGTGACGGCATCCTGCTCCGTCCCCTGTGTATTTCCCGCCTCGGAACTGCTCAGGAAAGATCCTAAGACGGGCAAGGTCGCTCCGTGGCACCCTTCACCTCGGCGCTGGATTGATGGGTCTATGGACAGCGATATCCCCCTGTCCAGGATAGCGGAGCTCTTTCAGGTCAACCACTTCATCGTGTCACAGGCTAATCCCCATATCGTACCCTTTGTGGATGACGATGACAGTCCGCATACCGTCGACGATCCGGATGCTGGGCAACTAGCGCACGTTTCGGCCTTTGTTAAGAATCAGCTCCGTCTAGGTCTTTCCCTTGGTGTGTTCGAAGCCGTCTGGTGGCTTGACACAGTTGTACGAACGGGTGTACTGCCCGACATTGCAGGGCGGCTGATCGGCATGCTCAGCCAGAAATACACAGGTGACATCACCATCCTGCCGCGCATCGACCTGCGCAAATGGGGCCACCGTCTCGTCAAGAACCCGACCGTCGAGTTCATGCTCGAGGCCTGCCTCGTCGGCGAGCGGGCCACGTGGCCCAAGTTAGCTCGCATCCGACACCGCTGCGCCGTGGAACTCGCCATCGACCGCGCGATCCTCGTACTGCAAGAGCGCGTCGCGTTCAGCAGCAGCCAGGTGAACCTGCGGAGGCTAGCTACCGGGTCCGCTGAGCTGGGCCTGACGAGGGAGAGCATTCGGGCCGCGAGGCAGACGCCCGGTCTGGGCCAGGGCAGCGGGCACTTTTCGCACCGGCACCGCAGGGGCTCGGGAGGCAACATCGAACTCGGCGCGCGGAGACAGAAGAACCTACAGGAGCTGGAGACGCTGCTTACCGAGGACGAGTCGGGCGTCGAGACGACGTTCCACCCCGCCAGCATCGCCGCGCGTAGGGGCGCTCCGGATCTCAACCTCGGCAGGTTGGCCGGCGGCGTTGGTGCCGGCGCGGGATCGCAGTACACTAAGGGACACCCTATCCGCCGCAACTCGAAGAGCCTGAGCACCCTGCCGCTGCGGCGCATGAGTCCCGTGCAGACGTCCAAGATCACCGCGGGGGTAGGTGCTTACGTCCCGACGGGCATGATGAACATGACGCGCATACGGCGGGAGTATGACGACGATGGTGATGGCGATGAGTACGACGACGAGTATGAAGGGGAGGAGCTGGGTTTCTCGGACGAGGAGGAGGACGAGGTGTCGGACGCTGGGACCGAGTCACCTGTCCTGTCGATGAAGTTCCGCCGGGGTAGGACGCCGCTTGAGGGGTTGCAGCTCGGGCACCACGATGTCATGGGGCAGGTGGGGCTGAGTCCGCCTGAGGCTGACGATGGCCAGGTTGGCGGTCTGGGTTCCGGGAGTTACGGCGGGACCGTCACGTCTGACGAGGCGGCGAGGGATGGGGATGTGGATGCAGGTGGGATGACGAGCAATGGGGAGGACGATGGGGGTGGGTTCTCGTCGGATCCGGAGCCGTATTCTGGGGTTGGAGTTGGGGTTGAAAGTGGGATGATGGAGGATCCGTTTGTTGATTCGCCTGGGAGGCAGGGGACGGATGTTGAGGGGTGATGGAGAGCAGGAGGTGGTGGGAGGTGTGAGCATTTGCATATCATATCATACATATATTGGGCGCTGACGGGGTCTGGCTAGCATTTGTTTGGTGTAGGGTCACGTTGGAGCATATGGGAGTGGGCATAGCATAGTTCTTGTTCTGTAGAGGAGGGGCGAGGATGCAATTCAATACCCTTGCATTTGATGTATGCTTAGCTATACGCAAGCTTGCTGAATTTGAGATGGTCTGTCCTGCTGAAATATTTCTGATGAAGTCAGGGGGGAAAGGAGATAGAAGAAAGGAGGGAAAGAGTAGAAAGAGCAGAAGGGGAAAGAGAGGAGGGAAAAGGACATGAGAAGAAACAGAAAAAAAAAAAGAGAGAAAGAAGGGGAGGTGGGAAGAGAAAAGATAAGAGAACAGCAGGAAACCGACGAGGGAAAAAGAGAAGTCGCTTAAAAAGACATAAAATCCAAGCCCCCAAGCCCTACTCATAGACAGACCTCACTATTTCATAGTTAAGGAGGGCCTCGTTGACGACCATGTCCCAAGACTCGGGGCTTTGTTGCATGTGATCAACACCTCCTGTTCCTGCCTGGAGGGTGATACTCTCGCCAGATGCGACGCCGACGGGGACATTGGAAGTATCGATGTCCATATGTTGACTGCTCTCAAGGTCACTCACGTCAGGATTGTCCAAATCATCGGCTTGCAACTCCTCCACACCGGTGACTTCCATGATCGAGTTTTCCAAACGGGCATCCTCCATATCCGATTCCTCCATGTCCGAAGCTTCCATGTCCGAATCTTCCATGTCTGAACCTTCTAATTCGTCAGGTTCCCAAATTTCCCGGTTCAGCTCATAATACTCCACCTCATCGTCATCAAACCAATCCTCCGACCATTCAGCCCAACACAGATAGCTCAAGTCATAAGCCTCCACATTGCCGTAGTCAAAGTCACCGAAGTGCTCCATGATCAGATCTCGCACGGCAAAATGTCCAAAGTATTCGGCTCTTCGGCACGCCCTCCGACAATCCTGCTCAATCCACTCTCGATGGTCCACAAGGTACTTGTTTAATTCGCCTAGCAACAGGTACACAAGGTCGATTCTGCCGCCTTCTGCAGCTGCTTCAAGCGCCGTTATTCCGTGATTTGCAGCCGGCTCTGCCATTACATTGGCGCCATGGCGGAGCAGGTATTCGGCAATTCCGGTCCCGCCTTCTGTAGCTGCGTATTGTAAAGCAGTAGCGCCAGCGAATGGACCCGCCTCGAGATTTATGTCTGCGTCGTGCTCGACCAGGTATCGCACCACGTCCAAGGAACCACTTCTGACTGCGTGCTGGAGCGCGCTTACAGCGCCCGACTTCCACACTGAACTCCTCCGCTGTGGAGGCTTTGCGTTGACGTCTGCGCCTTTCCGGACCAGAAGCTTGACCATGTCCAGGTCCCCGGTCGCGGCAGCAATCTGCAAGCAGGTTCTCCCCGCAGTCGAGCAATGAGGCGCGTTGATGTCGGCGCCATGGCTAATCAGAAGTCTAGCAACTTCATTATTGCGCCGCAAAAGGGTCAATTGCAGTGCTGTGGCCCCATTGGCGGTGTTTCCTGGCCTGTCAGCCATAGCTCCGTTCATCAGCAAGATTTTGACAACCTCAATATTCCCTTGCAATGCGGCCATCTGAACCGCATCCTCAACAACCAGAGCCACATTGGACGAGATTTGATGGCCGTGCCCACTCCATATCGAATCAAGAACGTCGAGGAATTTGGTCGGTCGTCTCTGCGGTTCAAGGCCTTTCTCATATAGAGATTGGACCGCTTTAGATGTTGAGTCGACTGTTGCGCTAATGAATAGGCATTGCTTGAGATCCTGATCCATGGGACTCTTCATTCGGTCAAGCAATACATGAAACATATCTCGTCCTTGATTCGAGATCTTCAAATCCTGCTCTACCTTTCCTGAAAGCCCCAAAGCGTGGGATAGTAGAAGTATTTTCTTGCCTCCCCATCCCAGTGAGACTGGGTTCGGAACATTTCCGTGATCTGAGAGGAGCGACACTATCGTAGTCCGTACCGTAGGCAATGGTTCCCCTACTAGCAGTAACCGATCTGAAACTGCCAAAAAGAAGGGACAGGGAAATGTGCTCTTAGAAGTCGAAGTGACGCCTGACATTTGTCTCTCGAGAAGTCTACCAACAAGACCTGGATTCATCAAGCGGATTGCCTGCACAAGAGCTGCAGCTGCAGCATAGTCTGACCGCGGAGTAGAGGCTGCAGATACCGCGGTCGAGGCTGATCTCTCCAGCAGTAATAGGAGTGCTGATAAATCGCTCTCAGAGACATCCGCGACATTACTCATAATCGCAGGGGCATCTCGAGGGTCAGCCCCAGCGTCAAGAAGCAACCTTGCCGCTTGCAGCTTAAAAGGCTCCCCATCAGTGAATGTACAGAACAGAGCTGCCAGAGGTGACAAGTGATGAGTCGAAGCGTGCGCTGGCTCTGGGGGGTTGTTCGGGTTGGCACCTAAGCCTACCACGGCCTGCACAAATTGCCAGTCCTCAGAGACCAGAGCTACCGCAAGAGGTGTAGTACAACATTGGCACGGGTCGCCACCGAGACCAGCGAGGGTAGAAGTAAGATACCCTTGATTGCGCAGTTTCCATGAGAATCTTGGATGTCGACGAAACACTCCAAAACTGTTGATGTTTGCACCATTCTGAACGAGCTTTCCCATCAGCGCCATGTCATGACATTCAGCCGCCGCCACCAACGCGTTGACCTGACGCACATGGCCGCAAGCACAGCTCCCAGCTTCGACTTCAGTTTTAGCACCTCTGATAAGCAGCTTGTTCACGACTTCAGTCGCGCCATTTCGTATGGCAGCACAAAGGGCTGTGTCGGGGATCCCGCCGACTTCAACTACCTCGTCCATGCCAAACCCATACTCTATGAGCCGATGCGCCAGCTGTTCGTTTTCATTCATTACCGACATATGAATGAAACTGGGCTGTATCGGACACAGGCTGCGATCGCTTTCTGTGAGCACACCGAAGAGTCTTTGTAGGATCTCGACAGGAATGGAACTCAGAATTTTGGCGTCTGAAAGCTTGTTATGGTCAAATAAAATTCGAACAGCGTCATGCCTAAGGGAGAGGAGTTCTTTCCAGACCAAGGGGTGACATGTCTTGGAGATTAGTGCCAGAACCTCGGCTTTCACTTCCAAGCATTGAATATCATACAGAGAACAAAGAAGCCAATTCAGAGCTCTTCTGTCGACAAGTCGCAACACGATGGCGAACTTGGGATGATATATCCAATGCCGTGGGTTTAGCGACACAAGACGCGAGAACAGTTCGTAGTCCCCGATTCTGAGACACGTTGTGAGTGCGTCGATTGTTGGTTTGGCACCCAAGCTCAGGAGGGTATCAATTGCTTCCTTAGCCCAGGCGGTCTCGTGTACCAGGATCTCCAGGGCACTCATCGTTTGCCCATCTGCAACATCCGCTCTCCGGTTCACATCTCCCCCTGACCTCCAGAGTGAAGACAATGTTGCCAAGGGGAATTGGGTCCTTAGATCATCCGAATGGGAAATGATATGATTGGTCCACCAGCCTCGAAGTGTACCGTCAAGTGCCTTGTTCACCTCCTCTGCTGAAAAGCTTTGCGTACTCAGAAACACATTGACCAGCTCATGTAAATGGTATCTGGCGCAGATTTGAAGAGGCGATTGCGAATCAGGCAATGGATAATGAAGCAGATCAGTATCGTCAGTGGTCTCCAGTTTGATACCTAGTTTGCAGATATCGAGACTGGCACCACGGGTTATGAGGAGCTTCACAGCTCTGTAAATGCGGCGTTTGTCCCATTGATGTTGAGGCCGCAACCTGGAAACCAAGGACTGTCTCTTAGCCCAGCCGGCAACAGCCAGTACAATGGAACTGCTCATCCAGCCGCTGTATGGTTGATCGACTCGCTCCACAAAATCTAGCAGAAGGTTTGTCATAGACAAATTGCCGGAAAGGAGGGAGAACTGGAAGGGAGTGACAGGCACACGACATGGCGGGTAGATGCAGACTCTTCCATTCGGATTGACCCCTCCTAGCAGAAGAGAGCGAGTGGCCTTCGTAAACCTTGATGTGAAAGCAAGGTTCCACATCGATTCAACAAGAGCCCTGGCTGTCATATGTTGGAACTCCAGGAGCAAAGGAAGGATGCCAAGTCGTTCCATCTCTTGGAAACCCTCCAGGAAAGGCTCAGGGTCAAGTGATCCCTTCCAAATGTGCACTTTGTTCACAAGCAGGGAAAGCAAAACCTGGTCTCGATGCTCTCCATCAGTCTTTTCGAGCATGATTTCACTCCGAGAACGGTGGAGGCCAGTGGATTGGGATAACCACATCCAGCTCGACCTTTCCAAGTCTCGGAAGCGAACTAGACCCGGTCTGAAAAGGTCTAGTTTCCGACCTGTGATTTTTAGCTTTGTTTGTCCATTCTAATTGTTGATAGTTGATAGGGAGCACCTACGGGTTGAGCCTATTGCTCGTGTATTCAACAACCTCCGAAAGTCGTCGGAGGGCAAAGTTATATGACCACTCAATAAGGGTGACGAAACGTCATAGGTGAAGCTTGGAGGTGTCTGAGGTGACGAGCCTTCGATGAGTTAGTCTCGCTGGATCTTGACTAGAACCTCCCGGTGTTGCTTACCTCTAACCCTGTTCCATTGAACCGTATCGATATATCCGCGGTCTTGTAGAACTCTCCCTTGTATGAGACTTCCATTCTGGAAAACCTGCATTCTCTGGTTCCTCAACTTTGCCTTTCGGACCTTGGAGTTCATCACTTGCAGCTCTTGAGAGCTGGATTGTTTCTTCTTCTTCAACCCCCATCTTCGGCACTGCGTGCTATACTGGGAGGTCCTGTTTTCCACCACTAGTTAGCTAACAGAACGCCATAAGGACCCAGGACGACGTACGATCTCCGAAAATTGTATGTCTTGCTCATGAATTCAATGAGCCCATTGTCACCCTGCAGCGGGAGGTCATGGAACTTTGCGCGTATGATATGCTCGAATTTTACCCAAGGGTCGGCGACAAGTAGTCGATTCTCCCTTTGAGACGAATCGCTCGCCATCTTGAATGCATTGTGAGGGATAATGAAGAGCAAACCAGACTGAACATCAGGAGAGCTTCGCCCTTTTATCTTCGCGTGGCCTCAACGTTCAACCAGGCTGCCAAGCTGAATAGACCTGGGCTCTGGTTGGGCACTTTCCAAATTCGGCCCCACCCGAGTGAGCAGCTGTGGTGCCTAAGGCTCTGTGCAGGGAAGACATGCATAACATGGGATCCCTGCAAACTGGTGCAGCTCGGGCAAATGCCAGAGGGGGGCCAGCAAAGCTATGTATCAAGCCTCATTGGTTGGGTTCCAAATTCGGTGCGGGCGGATTGCAGATTGGGCTTGGATGAAGGTGTGGAAGTGACGCTGGTCTCATGCCAGCTGTAAGCTCTTTATTTCCACAGGGGTGATGATTGGTTGTCTCCCAAATGCGGTATTCGAGCTTCGCCTCGCCCTGCTCAGAATCTCGTGCAAGACACCGATCCAGGGTTGTTGGACGCCGGACAGGTCGAGCCTGTCTCCCAGTCCCAAACAAATCAAATACGGTGTATGATATCCATGGCGTAATGGCAGATGCTCATGTGAGTAACTGATGCCCAAAGATGCTTTGCAAGTGGTGGATTCCGGAATTCTGAGTCGACTGGAGGCAAATATCGCGGCCTTGGGGCGCTTTCCTCTTCATCGAGGTGCTGGGTTTTATCGGCGTACACTCCTGTCTACCGGGGAACAATGAGGAGGTTGGCATGATTAGGGTTACGGTTTTCTCTATATAAAGACACTTCTCCCTGTTGATCAGAAAGTTTTGGATATGTTCGCCCTCAATAGACCCGCCTCTTTATCTCTTGCCTCAAGCACCTCGACTGAGTTCAATTAAATCGCTTCTTACCTCCTCGTGCTGTGACAACGATCATGCCTTCCTCTCTGGAGAAGAGTACATCCTTCTCGCCGAAAAAGCAAGTTAATCACAGGTATACAACTCTCTGACTTCTATCGTCAGAGTTCATACTTGCCATTACGGAACAGTTGATGAGCTAACAAGGTTCCACTATAGTTCGAAGAAGAACCAAGGCAGGGCCAAAGCCCAGCCCGCTTCCCGTGTCAGCGACTACAAGCCCGACAATGTCTTCATGAATATTCCGCAGAACAGTACAAGCAACCCAGCGCAGAGGATTGCCCATTATCAGGCTCAAGCTACCGCGGCCCTGGACGAGCTCCTGCCCAAGATCCAGGGCAGCGATCCCGCAACCGCTGGCAACAGGGATAATAACAACAGTAGCAACAACACAGCCACAGACGTGTAGCCAGTGGTCGTTACATGAGCTCAATAAAGCTGGCGTTGTTCGGACTTTATGGTTCACATTGGACATCTGGAAGAAGCAGAAGTTGTTGGTTATTGTGTAGGATGACAGAATATTTTTTTATTGTTTAAGTGGTGCCAACGTTGTGTTATCCACTACTCGGAGAACCGAGTTAGCATTTCCCTTCTTTCATCCCCTTCCCAACCACATTTGACTCCCCAATGGATCACTATCTTCTTTTTTTTTCTTTCCTTTCACTCACCCCTTCTGCTTCTGTTTCTTGGGCTGCGGTGATGAGATGATCTTTAAGGTTTACGAACATCTTTTCGTTAAGAAGTCCGTCTCCTTCTCCATCGCTTCCAACTACAAACCGTCGCGAAACCCTTAGTGCTGCCAAATTGACCGACGTGATTAATGCCAAATGCTATGTTCCGAGCTTTCCTCACCAGTTGGGATACCATATATATTGGTGGCTGACCCAGATGCTGCAATTTGCGACCTCTCACTAGCTGTATAAAATGAACACTGTGATTGACCTACGTAGCTTTGTAGAGAGCACGTTTGGAGCCCCGGTGGCTTGTGACAGTTTACTGTAAGTTTTCGATAAACTCGCCATCTATGTAGAAACAAATAAAAAACGAGTGACCAAACGAATACGGAGACCCGATCGGATCCCAATGTCGGGATCTTAGGGTGAAGGCTGACTGGATTCTTGAATTCTCAAGCCATATTATCTCAGTGGATTCTTGCATGACGGGCAAGCGGGAAAGTATGTGCACTAACAGTAAAGCCGTAGAGACCTAGGTTTGACTGTTCTCTAGACAATTATTACCCCCTTGATAGCAGGCAATGGTCGAAAAAAACCCATCCTGCCGGCCTCTCAAAAGATGGAGGGATTGCATCGGCCCCACCCCCAAATTATCCCGCGTGGGCGTGGGCATCCCACAGATTGTTGGCGCCAAAGTTATGGGTCCACAAAGCCGCCGTCGAAGCAGTTCAGGTCGTCGTGCTCCTCGAGCTCGCAGGGCGCCGCGGACCGCTGGTGGGCGGTCAGGGCCGCGTGGGTGGCGAAGGCCTGGATGGGAGGTGGGTTTTGAGACAGGGAAAAGAATTTTTATTTTTATTTTCTCGGTCGTACCTTGCGAGATCTGCTGCCGGCATGTCTGCTTGGCGCCGAAGCCGTCGGCCCGGAAGATGTGCGTGTATTGGCCAATGCCTTCAGGAGTGATGCCGATATCGCTGAAGAAGCATTGGTGGGAGGAGACAATACAATTATCTCCTCTTTATTCCCTTTACTCCACGTACCGTCATGCCTCAAGTCTTGCAGTTCGCCAATGCACCAAGACGACTGTAATACGCTTGATCACCATGATTGTCGTAAAGCGTGGTGCGCGGATGTTGGGGCCAGGGTTTCGAGGGAACGGTGCCCCAGGTAGCTTGTCTAGTGGTAGATGCTTGCATAGAGCTGCTAGAGGATCTACCATGAGGAGCCAACATACTCAGTCACGAAGGGCCGAGGAGCCGGCGGCGTCGAGCAGGAAAGCTAGCTTTGGAGGGCCACCGGCGTACGGAGCGCTGTTTACGGCGGTAGGACAGTCCCTCAGTAACGGGATATAGCTACGGCTGACACCATGATATCTACAGGTTGCAGCTACAGTTGCTGGTCTTGCGTACTACACCCAGCAACGGCCAGAACATGCACTGCCAGCCCCAGCCCAAAGAGCACGAGAAGCACGGCCCGGGACAATATCCTACGATGAGGTGCAACAACATACCTCAGCAGACGACTGCTGGGTGATAATTGATGTAAGTGACGACACGCCAGCCAGCCATAGATCGAAAGAGAGCCGCAGCCCGCTCACCATTGTCTCGGTCTAAACAGGGCCAAGTCTACGACGTGACCGCATTCCTCGCCCTGCACCCCGGCGGCGCGCAAGCCATCCTCCTCCACGCGGGCCGCGACGCCACGCAGGTCTTCATCACGCTGCACCCATCCGACGCGCTCGGCACGCTCCCTCCTGAAGCCTGCCTGGGCCCGCTCGACCTGGCGACGCTGCCCGAAGCAGGCGATGCGGAAGAAGAGGAGGCGCTGCGGATCAGCGCCGCGAGGGCCGAGATGCCTGACGCGCAGGACATGCTCATGCTGCAGGACTTTGAATTATGGGCTGAGAAGGTGCTGAGCCGGACAGCGTGGGCGTACTACCGGAGTGCGTCGGATGAAGGGAAGGGTAAGTTGGCTCTTTCTTGGCACACATGTCTGGTATGGGTGATGGCGCATTTGCTGAAACTGAGGAACAGCATTCGACGAGAACCGGAATGCCTTTGGGCGGTACTTCTTCCGCCCGCGGATACTGACGGGCGACATGAACCAGGGGTCCACAGAAACGACGTTCATGGGCATCGAGACGAGCCTGCCGGTGTTCATCAGCCCGGCTGCGATGGCGAAGCTGGGGCATCCGCTGGGAGAACTGAACCTGACCAAGGCTGCAGGAGACTGCGGCATCGCGCAGGCAATATCAGCCAATGCGAGTTGCGCTGTCGAGGAGCTCTTTGAGGCAAGGAAGGACGAGACTCAGCCTTTGATATTCCAGGTTCGTCTTCCACCAATGTTGCTTCCATTTGCCACTTTGAAGTCCTGGCGTCTGACAATCTCAAAGATCTATCTCAACAAAGACCGCTCTGCTTCGGAAGCACTCCTCCGCAAGGTCGAGAAGCTCGGCGCCCGCGCCATCATGTTCACCGTCGATACCTCGTGGGACTCAAAGCGCACGCTCGATGAGCAGACCAAGAGGCTCGCCAACAGTGCCATCATGGCTGCCAAGCCTACAAACTCGGATACCGCTCCTGCTCAAGGGCTGCCCGTCGGCAAGGCCATCAGCGGATATCAGGATCACAATCTGTCATGGAGCGACATCGCGTTCATCAGGAAGAACACTACGCTCCCCATAATCGTCAAGGGCGTCCAGTGTGTTGAAGATGTGCAGCTGGCCGTCGAGCACGGAGTCGATGGCGTGTTACTGGTAAGAGATTCCAATCGTTACGCACCTGACCGCGATGCTTATCAACTGACACGCCACAAGTCCAACCACGGCGGCCGCCAAGCAGACTACGCACCGGCCCCCATCGACATACTGTACGAGCTGCGCGTCCTGCGGCCCGACATCTTCTCCAAGATCGATGTCATGATCGATGGCGGTGTGCGCTCCGGCGCCGATGTCGTCAAGGCTCTGGCATTAGGTGCCAAGGCTGTGGGACTCGGCAGGCCGTTCCTGTATGCCAACGGCACCCATGGGCAAGAGGGCGTCACAAGAGCTATACAGAGTAAGTCGTCCATGCTGTTATGTACGAAAGGCGGTTGGGTTGACACTTAATGAATAGTCCTGCACGAGGAGATCACCAACACGATGCGGAACATTGGAGCGAAGAAGGTTAGTGATCTCAAGCCGGAGATGGTTGGGCCGGCTGGGCCGTGGGTTGGGAGGAACCGGCCACCGTACTTGCAGGGATGAGATAGTTGAAGAGCAAAATGAGAGGAGCGAAGGCGTTCTTTGTCGAGCTGGCGTTACTATGACAGAATGGCGGGCTTAGACGCGGACCACTCATTACATAGACGCGACCTAGCACGAGTAAGAAGATCAGAAGTAGAAATAGACATCAACAGAGGGGTATCATTCAATCATTACAAAGTCCAAAGTCCCAAGATCCACCAGCTCGCCCGGGATCATACCCGCCGTGCACACATTCCGCCACCATTATCAGCCTACTGTTTCTCTCCCTGGAGCAGCTCCTTGGCAAAGGCATCGACAGCATCCCGCAAGACGTAAAGAGTCTTACCCTCCGTCCAGAAGTGACCAGCCGTCGAGACCTCGTGCGATCGGAATTGAGACCGTCCCTTCTCGGCCTCCGACAGCTGCTTGCACCAGGCGCGCATCTTCTTGGCCGTCAGAAACTTGTCAGCGTCGCCATAGATCACCATCGACGGGTTTCGAACGAGCTTGCGGTCCGGGTCGACATCCGTATCGGGGTCGGACAGCGACTTGTCGCTGTCATGTCCTTCGTGGCCCGGGGCGCGACGATCCTTATGGTGGCTGTGAGACCTGAGGAAAGGCAGCGAGAAGGACATGGTCGCCAGGTTGGTCATCATGCCTACGGGCGGAGACACCATCAGATACGCCACGCGCGGGGCATACAGATCTGGAATCGCAGGAAGATGATGCTCTGAATCCTTGGCCTCGCTGCCCTCTCCGGCCGCCTCCTCAGGTATATCCTCCACCGACGCTGACGACGCCTTGCTGCTGCTGTCCCCGGCACTGCCGCCATGCCTATGCCTCGACCGCCAGCTCAGACTCCGCGCGTGGTGGCCATGCTTTGGCCTCGTGCGCGCCACCAGCTCCGCAACGCCCTTGCGTATCCTGTCCTCAGCATCCTCAAGAGAAAAGGACCTGCGCCCGCCGCCGCCGTCGTGACTCTTGCGCACGTGCAGCAGGTCCTCGTCGCCGCCGACGCGCACGCCGAGCGAGTTGCGGCTCGCGTGCGATCTGGACCGCGCGGCGCGCACGGCGGCGTGGATGGCTGCGTTCTGCGACTCGGCGAGGTGCTGCGCGCGCAGGCGGATCTCGGCGGCGGGAGTGCCGGTCAGGGGCCCCGCGAAGGGCTCGAGGATGGGGTGCAGGGCAGGCAGCTGGGAGGTGACCATCGCGCCGTAGGAGTAGCCTGCGAAGAGGAGGACGGGGGGTTCTTTGCTTGTCTGAGGGATCGTCGGTGTGGTAGGAATCGCGGCGGGAGATGGAGGAGGGCCGGTAGGTGATGTCGGTCTATCGTGGGTCAGGTCGCGAGGGAAGGGGTCGAGGAAGTGCGCGTAGTGGAAGAGGAAGCCGGCGAAGGATGCGTAGTCGGCGCGTTCGGCCTTGGCGGTCCACGATGTCCGGCCTGCGGATCCGCGGGCACCTCTGTTTACATACGTGTCAGCCCGTCTCGCATGTCTACAGTAGAACTTGATCCAAGCGTCCAGCTCAACGTACCGAAAGTTGAATGTGCCCACGACAAAGCCCGTCTTCAGCAGAGTCCCCGCCACCAAGTCCACCACCGGATCGTCCTGGCTACCGCCGAGGGGCGCGTATGGGTGCGCAACGATAGCAACGTTCTTGCGCCATGATCCGGGCGACCGAGAGCTGGAGCTGGAGCTGGAGCCGGAGATGGTCAGCGAGCGCGGATGGAAGACGCGACAATCGAGGGTGATGCCGTCGTGGAGGCTGGGGATGGTGAAGCTGAGGGTCGGCGTGGAGGGGAGCATCTTCCACGGCACATGGGACAGCGACTCCGCGTGGAGCTTGGTCGCGGCTGTCATGGAGATCAGCCTTGTCAGAGACGAGGCGACATTGGCTTCGTCGAGGTGTCGCGTAGTCCTGGCTGTCTGTTTTCAGAGTTCACTACAAGCAGTGAAAGGACCTAGGTACCTACCTGAAGCAGCGGACACTTCCTAGTGGGTCATCACATGCGACAAGTTGCATTTCGTCATAACCCCGCTACTTGCATAATTTCAACTTTGCATATCCATTAGTGAGTTATGCAGAGAATCACAAATTGTGGTTAACTAGTTATCCTCTCACCTCATTCTAGGTACTTTACATACTGAATGAATTCGATCGAGTTTCAAGTATTTCAGTGTGGAGTAGTCAAATGCAATATAATATTGCCTTGTAGTTGCTTTTGAGTTTGTGACTATCCTCTCTCTTTGAAAATGCCATCGATAAATTCACACGCAAGTGAGATAACAGCCTCGTCCGGAGCTTTCATTACCTATGTCAGCTCTGGAACTGTAACTGGCTTCGCAACACTGCATACAACCTCTACTGCTTTTGGGTAGTCGGCATTTGGGAGAGCCTTCCGAATCCACTCCACATCCGTATCAATGGCATACGTCAGGCACCGCCAGTACATCGCCCTCACCAGTAGTTGAATCGAATTGTCGTTCGCTTTGTATAGATCGACCAGTCCCCGGTCTTCACCAGCCCAAGCGAGGCCATCCGCAACCACGATGGCATTGGCATATTCGGCCGGCCTCCAGTAGAAGGTATGGTCGAGGATGACGGGTGGCATGTTTTCCTCGAAGAGCAGGTTGCCAGTCAAGTCGCCATGAATCAGTTGACATGGAATATCGTCGGGGAGAGGCCGCCAAACTTGGCAAAGCTTGTCAAGCAAGGGTTGAAATTGCGCCAATGTCGCCTTGTGAAGCCCTTCAATCTCGTCCACATCGACACCATCCCAAACCACGCTCTCTGCCTTGGTCCATCTGTTCGACTGTCTTCCGATCTCGTCAGGCTTGCTCAGCACAAGAACTGCTAAATCGGCATGGAATGCTCGGCTAGCTCCGAATATGTCCGCAAAGCGCCCCCTTGGCGATGCGGACCCAGGCATGAAGGCAGACGCAGTCCAGCCCTTGAAGAGGAATGTTCCAGGCCGGCTCACAGTGGAGATGGGGGCTGCGAGGCGATATAATGTTTGTGAGCTGATGTGGAGATCCGCGACTAGTTTCGAGATCCACTGTGCCTCTACATCATCGTCTGACGGCTTGAAGACAACCTGATCAACAATGTAACAGAGGCCTCTCCCGCCAGGCATTGGTTCAGGAGACCCGTTCAAACCAAAGGCCTCGATGACATCTGGCGGAGGCGGCGTCATTGTTGTAGATACTGCGAGACGCGATCGTTGGGGCAATAGCGCTGGAACATTGTCTGAGACAAAAGCCATCAAGCGATGTTGGTGTTGACCTAGTTAAATCGGGCGGTTCTCCCATTACTCGCGCTCGATTCCCCGCTGGACACGCCCTGTCGTTGACAATCTGACCGCAAGAGCGTCAGCAACATCATCTTGACGACCAGACTATTAACAATTCTTTTTTTTACGCGCGAATCACAGTCAACAGCCGTACGAATCATTTCAGATTTGCTCTGCTCCCATGCAAGGAAGAGCAGCTTGTGCATCCAATTGGCGGCTGAGGATGCCCAAGCCGGACTTTGCAGTGTTGAAGTGTCTCCAAACCATCCAAATCATCTACACAAGAAGGAAACAAGCCCCTCATGATAGCTTTTCCGTGAACGAACCTTGGCATCACGATTGACATAGGCCATCGCACAGTTCACATCTGTCAAAAGAGAGTCAGCCGAACCGTGACTCCACTTGAATCGAAGCCACGTTTTACGTCCAAGACAAGTGCTTCGGCTGATGCGGAGCTAGGCCTCAACGAGCTTCGGCCGTGCCCCTGACAATTTAGTGAAGAAAGATCTCGCAGAGACCAACAGTCGTACAACACCACGGGTCATCCTCCTCTTATTGCAAGAAGCAAATGCAGGCGCAGAACCGATCTGGATTGGCCTCGCCTCGTGGTCAGACCCTCATCCCCTCATCTATCCGAAATCCCGGCGAATTAAGGTCCGCGAGGTAGCATCTGATGATCGAGTACGACCCTGGGACTGCCCTTCTCCACAGCGTACAACCTGGTAAGGGGGTGAGTTTCGGCCCACCCAGCCGGAAACAGGCCAGCACGGCGCGGCCTCGTCCCCAACAACTAATCCATGTCTGGTCGTGCCGGCCGCCTCCTCCGTCATTGTTCCTTTCGGGTTGGGCCATTGGCCGTGGTGCCACTGCTGGGGTTCACCATGAGGCCCCCTTCATTTCGCTGCTGATCGTGCTGTGTCCACACGCGTGCGGAGCTCGAGGGCCGCGAATGCCTGATTCTTTCTGCTTGTGCTACGGATGTCCACGATGACAGCCCCGGGACTAGGTAGGCCCATGTCGAAATAAGGCTTGCTAGCATGTGTGTCGAGGGTTTATAAATGCGTCCTCGCCCATCTCCGTTGCTTGGTCTCGAGATGCTCTGCAACCAGCGGTTCAACCGAGCAGCAAGCCACAGAGTAGATTCCCGTTCAAACTCTCCAGACAGGTCTCGTCCTCCAAGTCAAGATGCGTAGCGCCACTACCCTCCTGTCCCTCGGCCTCGCGGTCGCCCTCCCTCTCGGAGCCCACGCCGCTTCCGGGTCAGGCCACTCCACCCGGTACGCTCTCTCCAGCCCCCATCTGTGCTGATGAAGGAATGCGCCATCCCGCTGACACTGCGCCAAAAAACCAACAGGTACTGGGACTGCTGCAAGCCCTCGTGCGCCTGGTCCAAAAAGGCCGCCGTGAGCAAGCCCGTCGGCACCTGCGACAAGAACGACAACCCCCTCGCCGACCCGGACGCCAAGTCCGGCTGCGACGGCGGCGGCGCCTTCATGTGCTCCAACCAACAGCCGTGGGCCGTCAACGACAAGCTGGCCTACGGCTTCGCTGCCACGGCCATCACCGGCGGCAGCGAGGCTTCCTGGTGCTGCGCATGCTACGCGTGAGTTCCACCTTGACTTCCAAACTCACGCATCTCACACCCATGTTCCTAACAGCAAGCTTCTTCACACACACCAGCCTGACCTTCACATCCGGCCCCGTCACCGGCAAGACCATGGTCGTCCAGTCCATCAACACGGGCGGCGACTTGTCAAACAACCACTTCGACCTGCAGATGCCCGGCGGCGGGCAGGGCATCTTCTCGGGCTGCAACGCCCAGTACGGCAGCTTCCCGGGCGCGCAGTACGGCGGCGTCTCGTCGCGCTCCGAGTGCGCCAGCATGCCCGCCCGCCTGCGCTCCGGCTGCGAGTGGCGCTTCGACTGGTTCCAGAACGCAGACAACCCCAACTTTGACTTTGTGCAGGTCCAGTGCCCGAGTGAGATCACGGCCATCTCCGGGTGCAAGCGCAACGACGACGGCAACTTCCCCGTCTTCAACCCGCCGTCTGGTGGAAACGGTGGCGGCAACGGCGGCGGCGCTACTACGTCCAGCACTCCCAGCACCCCCACCGGCGGCAGTGGCTCCGGCTCCGGATCCGGTACTGCTGCTCACTGGGCCCAATGCGGAGGTAACGGCTACACTGGCCCTACCAACTGCGAGAGCCCGTACAAGTGTGTCGCTCAGAACGAATGTGAGTGCTGTTCTCTCCTTCCGAGATATGGCCAAGGCTGACTCTTCTCCCCAGGGTACTCGCAATGTCTGTAGAAAGGCAGGATGCGGGGTATGGCAAGGTGCACTGAAGCTAGGCGAAAAGGCTTGACCAAGTGCCCAAATGGCATGGTGCAGACCTCGCAGGCGAGCGGGCGTCACTTTCTTCATGATGTATATATACTTTAGACAAATCAGACTCAGATACGGCCCATCCCAGGTGGCACTCGTTGCTTTCACCGCACCACAGCGCTACTGAAAGCACCAATTGTTATACGATCTGGCCACTCGCGTTGGAGGAAACTGCTGTGACAGCAAGCTGGCATCCCACCCTGGCTCTCATCCTCCAATTCCTCAGCTGTAGGCACTACTGCAACAATACCTACCCTGGGCTGGAGCTGAGACTCTTGGGTGGGTAACGGAGGGGCATTTTACCACTTCGAGTTCCTCTCCTCGCCATATTGTCTCGCCTCTTTAGGACCACTTTACCTTCTTTCCTTCCATTTCTTTGTCTATCGTTACCAGCATCTACAGTGCAGCATGATTTGTGCGGTATGTCTGCATATGCTTCAGCGCACATTGAGAGAAGGTTTCCATCACCAAAGCTTCGAGGATGTGGAGAAGGCAGCAGTCAATGCGTGCCGAATCTGTACGTTACTTGTCGAGCAAGCCAAGACGGGCCCCAGACCTCTGGAAGGCCTTTTCTATCGAACAAGTGGACTATCCGACCGCATAGTAATCTCTGGGTTTCATTACAAGTTCCAATTGAACCTCCGATGGATTTATTTTGAGCACCCAGCGGGATATGGAGACTGTGTCGCCCAGGCCAATCGTGATATTGAGCAGGGGAAGCCATGCCAAGTCCGACCTGATCCCTTCACACACGTCAAGAGACCCCAAAACACCGGCCACGACGACAACGTACAGACGGCTCTCAGTTGGCTTCATCAATGCGTGTCCGACCACACATGTTGTCGCAGCAAATCAGAATCGATAGATAACTTTCAGCCCAAGCGGCTCGTGGATGTCAGCGCCCCCGATGGGCGCCTCAAGCTAGTCATTCGGAATGCCGACATCGTCACTGAACCATATGCTACCCTAAGTCACTGCTGGGGAAAAGCAAAATTCTTCACGCTGACTGAAGCCAACTACAGCGCGGTCTTGCAAGGCAGGGGCTCCTTGCGTGAGCTACCGAGGAGCTTCCAGGAAGTCATCAACTTCTGCCATAGAATGGGTATCAGATATCTCTGGGTTGACAGCCTCTGTATCCTGCAGTCTGGGTCCGGCTCGGCAGATGACTGGCATGGGCATATCGGGGAGATGAGGAGCATATATTCCCAGTGCATCCTCAACATTTCAGTCAGCTGCTCTTCGAACCCTGAAGAGGGTGCCTTTCCCGATAGGGATCCCGGACTCTTAGATCCGATCTATGTCCCCCCCTCTCCCCCTCCTCCCCCCCCCCCCCCCCCCCCCAGCTTCGCACCCTGGGCTTTAATCACTTTTGAGGACGACATGATATCGCATTTACTCAACCATCCGTTAGCAAACCGTGGATGGGTTGTTCAGGAACGATTTCTATCGCCTAGGGTCTTGTACTTCGGACGGGACCGCATATATTGGCAATGCCTGCGACACACAGCAAGTGAGAATTATCCCACGCATTGCCGGGAAAAGCCGTTCTATAAACAAGCATCCAGTAAGCCCCGCGGTGTCAATGTTGAAACGACCTTCCAGCATGAATCTTTCTCTCTCTCTCCAAGATTGTTGTGGGTGGACCGCACACGTACATTGTATCAGATGGACCATGAAGATGTCCCTCTCTCTCCAAGATTACTAGCGATGGACCACACACATTCATCCTATCAGATGGAATGCACTCGCGCCTGGCTTCAATTTGTCGAGCTCTACACTACCACAGCACTCTCTTTCCCAGACGAAGACAAACTCGCTGCCATAGAAGGTGTTGCACAGCATTTTCATAATCTAGTACCTGGTAGTGGGTATATTCAAGGAGTATTCACACACAACTTACCATTCGGCCTTCTTTGGGGGATCAGACAGGATCACCACGTCCCGGCGTCCCTGTCCCGAGCACCTAGTTGGAGTTGGGTGAACTCAAACTCCGGCGTTGAATTCTATAAACGGATTTATAAAACGACTTTTGATGTCTTACTTTCGACTTCCCGTTTCGTGTTGGTCGACGACGTCAACATCAAAGGCCCATTTCATCAACTTCACTTGCGAGGCTTCGTGGAACCTCTGGAAGACGCATATGCCTCAGGTGGGCAGCTCCTCTTGCGTTTCGATGATGGGAGTTTTCAGTACCAGTTCGAGAGCGAAGAGCTTCAGCTATTCAACGAGAGAAAATATTCGATCCTCCCTATCATGCTTGTCTGCGAAAAGATAGAACCTAGTGTAGTGGTCTCTGGGGTCATCGCAGGCTGAATCGTACAAAAGACAAAGCTGAATCACTAGCGACGGGTGGGAATGTACACAGTTCCTATTCCTCAAGAGCCTTCTGCCTCAAGACCAGATATTGATCCGGAGGATATTGTTATCATTTAGGCAGCTTTCTCTAGTCATCAAGAATAGATGCATCATGTAGAGAAACTTTGGGGGGTCCAGAAGAAGAGGCCAATTGATTCATCAGTCTTATACCATGTCCTCAAGGGCAAGGCCAGGGCAGGCATAAACTTCCTTGTAGCTTTAACCCCCCCCAAACACTGTCAAGGTGCTCAGGTACTTCAAATACTTGAACACATCGGTCCAGGTAAATAGCCTTGCAATCCTAGCTACGTATTCAAGGTTAGCTGACTGGCCAGAATTAGAGACGCCTGAAGAGCTGCACAGTCGGGCCGCGCTTGTGAGGCGTTGATGAGCTTGAATGCCGTGGTTCTTCTGGACGGTCTGGGCGTAGCTGATTACAACTTGCCGCAATATGTACTGTAGGTACGTAAGTACTGATACTTAGAGCTCTTCCTAGTGATATACTTGGATTTCGCAATTCCACCTGCCTAGATAGGGTCTAACATCTGAGGAATACGAGTAGTCTTGCACTATTTCAATACAACTGAAATTGATTTACCTATAAAGACTGTGTTATTGCTATCTTCATGGGAAAAGCTAGACGGGCATCCAAAGTAAGAACTACCCTAATATGCCTATGGTGCCGGAGGACGTGAAGACACATATGGGGTTTCTTGAAGGCAGTCACTTTTGCATCTTGTACAGAAGCCGTACAGAAAGAACTCTTGAATTACTCGTTCCATTACTTGACAGGATCACAAGATGATATTTCCGTCCATGCCCCCTGTTGATTGAACTAGCTCTGCTATGACCCGTATTCGTTCTCCGAGCATCTCCTTTCGCTATCTCCTCATCAACTTCTCATCCTTTATCCAACGCGTCCCATCTGACAAGGCTATCAGGGTCGGAGACTGTCACTTTGACATCTTGTAATTACTGTTCGGACCGGCACTGGACCTCCTGCCAGATGAACGGCTGGCAACTGTTAGGGTTGCTGGCCACGCCCAAGTGCGACTGCCCCGGGTTGAGGGGGCAGGGCGCGTGCGCACCACCAGGCGGGAAAGTGATGCAGACGGAGCACTTGCCGCCGAAGCACAGGGGCGAGCCGCCGACCACCAAAGCCGTGGTCGAGCTGTCCTGGACGGAGAGGTCGCCGCTGCCGCCGAGCCAGCCGAAGCCGGTGCCGGTGGGGTCGCCCATCTGGTCCTGCATCCACCAGGTGCCGTTGGTGCCGACGACGGTGCCGGCGTCCTTGTCGCAGGCCGGGTTGTCGACGTGGCACACGCGGAAGACGACACCCGGGTTCTCGCCGTCGACTTCGTACTTGGTGGCGGAGTCGTGGCCCAGGTAGAGGCCGTTGAGCGCCTGGAGCACGTAGCAGTGGCCGTACTCGATGCCGAGGTCGCTACCGGCCTTTTGGGGGCACACGGGGTCCCCGCTGCAGACGGTGGAGTTCTTCGTCGGGGGCGGCTTCTGGGGGACGCAGACGAAGCCCTGGAGGATGCTGCCCAGCAGACAGCAGATGCCGAGTCCCAGAGGTTTGTCGATCCAGAAGAGCTCATTGACGGTCTCGTCACAGCACTCCGTGAGGTGAGTGACGGCCGAGGTGAAAGAGGTGCAGCCGCGAGGTGCAAGAGCCGATGCGGCCGAGGCCGACGCAGCCTGGAACACCAGGGGCAGCAGAGCGGCAAGGGAAAGCTTCATATTGATTAAAGTTGTTTGGGAGTACTTGAAAGAGGACTGAAGATGTTGTTGCGAGTGTAGACAAGTTGTCAACATTGAAGAAAATGATGGGGATCTCAACACCGCTCTTATACTTTTTGTCCTTGGAAGACTTCGTCAACTTACCCCCTTTCTTGACTCCAAATTGCACTAAAATTTTCCCTATCACGAATCCTCTCAGTAGTTGCCATGCCCAGAGTGACAATGAAGATCACTGAAAATATTGCATGACAAAAGGACAATATCGGTTTCCAACGAAGCTGAGACCTCATCAACCACCGTATCTGGCAAAGGCGTTGTGACAAGTACGCATGGGAAAAGCTGAATATGGACTAGGGCCGCTCACCATCAACAGCTGAGCCGAAAAGGGAGTCAACGACCCCGGTGATGTGATAGCACTCATCAAAGTGCAGGAGTAGGCTGGCTGCGCGGTGTAACGTCAGTCAGATTATCGCTCGGGTGCCATGATTATGATCGCCCTCGTCTTCAAGTCTTGTTGACAAAGGGCCACTGCCCCAAACAAATCCCCAATAACCATTGCTCACAGCTCACTGGATAGTTACGTTGTTCGGAAGAACCCGTTGAGAGCTTTCAAACATATTACTGGGCTTGCCATGACCCTCGTGATGTTTCCGTGCCTTCCGAGCTAGTTGATTTGGAAGCTGGAATTAGGATCACATGTATGTCATGCGCGGTTTATGGGCTCTTGACGCAACCCCAGAATCTCGAGTCTTTCAGCTGGTCTTACTCTTCGTCAAGTTCCCGGCTGAGTTTGTCGGTGAACGGGCCTGTGCCGGCACTAAACGGCAAACCTAACCTGTTCCAGCTGACCCTGCATATTAGCCCTAGGGAAGACCGAGTTGACCTCGCGGTTGACGCGGCGCGTGCCGGAAGACTAGTCGAGGTTCTGTGCAGAAATGCAACATGGGTCCACATGAGCGCGCTCTTGATTCAAGGCAGAACCCGTGTCGATCAATGGGGGAGATCACAAAAGGCCTCCACGGCTCGGACCCCAACTGTCAGTCGTAAGAAAAGCACGAAGAGCTGATGCGGGCCGAGAAGGGAGGTGAGGGAGGTTCGCGTGTCGAGCGGACACCCTTGTTCGTGTGCCGGGCCTCGAGCCAATGAATGGGTGGTGATCGGCATCGCAGACGGCACAGCGCGTCCAAGGCCCACCTCTACGGGAGGCCTAACAAAGCTTAGCACATCCACATCTGCTCCAACGAGGCCCACAAACCCAGGATCGTCAACGTTGGGTCATTGAGAGGAGATTCCGTCGTGTCCTTCTTCAAAATGTTGGTCATTCTCATTGGTCCACGAGAGTTGGCATTGCTGAGGCACAAGCTGGCAGAGAACTCCCTCGTTCCACTCGAGAGGACGTCCGAGGTCAGAGTGAGGGCTCGAGGATATGTGTGTGATATGTGTGTGATAGGTGTTGTGCGGAGTAGAGGGGAAAGGAGGCAGGAGTAGGGGAGTAAGCACAGCAGACAAGCAAATCTGAACGTTCTTGCCACAGTGACATACGCATCAGTGATACGATCCACACCGCCGACGAGCCCAAATTTGCTTGCACCACGGTCAATCTGCAGAGGGCGGCCCTGGCTGAGAGCCCATCTGATACCCGGATCAAAAGAAGGTTGGTCTTCTAGCGTACTGCGGCTATGAGAAGTGAAGATCAGGGACCGGGTGTGAGCTATTCCCCAACACAACCACGTTCTCAATACGCACACCCGCGTGCCTCAGCTTCAGCTCCGGACCAAGCCCAGAAGCGAGGAGGTTGTCAGGGCCAGCTGATTCCATGATGTGCACATGGAACGATCCCGGCCGATACGTGAAGTCCAGCCAGATCCTGTGCTCGCCCCCATCAAGCGTCATCCCGTCATCCACATACAACGAGCCCTTCGCCGTCCCGTCCAGCCCCGGCGCAACCATGATGTGGAACGCCTTCTTGCGCAGTTCAGTCGTGGTGTTTGCGCTCTCAGCACGCGTGGGTACCACACAGCCTCCCCGCACATGGAGAGGTATCCTGTCAAAAGGCACATCCTGAATCCTGACCACCTTCCCCTCGCCACGGATCTTCTTCCCCGTATCAAACTCGTAGAACACATCTTCGGGCAGGTACACGTCCACATCCTTACCATCGTCTTCCGTCACCGGCGAGACGAGCAGGCAGTCCCCGTAAAAGTACTGCAGATCAAGAGCGTACGTCTCGGCGTCGCGTGGGTAAAGGAACCACAGCGGGTTGAGCGCCGGCGTGCCGTCCCGCGACTGCAGCCGCAGCGCGGTGTAGAAGTAGTCGAGCAGCCGGTACCGCGTCGATATGGCGTACTTTGCGGCGTCGGCGACGAGGGGCCAGCGGTAAAACTCCTGCGGCGGGGTGCCCTCGTCTGCGTGGTTGCGGAAGAACGGGGTGAAGGCGCCGAGGGTGGCCCAGCGGGCGCAGAGTTTCTCTGTTGTGGTAGACTGGAAGCCGCATACCTGTGCCGTGGGGTTTAGTGTGAGAGGGCACGGAGCATAGAGGGAGATGGCAGATGGGATGGGATTACGTACATCGCTGCCCACCATGGGAATCTGAAAGATGGAAGCGTAGTTTAGCATTCCCGCTATCGACCTTCGGCTGCAATGGTGTTAGCATTGAATCTGGGAAGGAGTTCATGGAGCTCACTAGTGATCCCATCGCGACGCATTGTCGCCGAGCCATCGTTGGACGTATCTACCGGCCCCAGCGAAGGAGCTCCGAGTGATGATAAAAGGTCTGAGATTCGGCCGCCTCTTGAGCATGGCATGTCGGGTGATCAAGCCCATCACTGGCTATTATCAGCTTTTTAAGCAAGCCATAGAGGTTCAGGATGCTCACTCGTCCCATAGAGACTATGCGTATTGTATTCCAAGAGTCCATTGGCATGCACAACGTCGGGCCTGATTGTCTTATCTCGGATGTCACCGCCAGCATTGTGAATCTTGTAAGGAGGGTTGAGAACGTCATCCCCATCTGTATGGTCCGTTCTCCTTCGCAGGTGCATCAGCTTTTGATCGAAGGTAGGGCCAGGCTCCACCTCTTGGGCATCCTGTATATCTGCTGCGGATATATTAAAGCCCGGTAGAGGTCGCGGCGGATCTCGAATCGGAGGTGGTGTTGGCGGGTTGCCCATTCGTTTAGCCTCGCCCTCTGGATCATCACACGGGAAGTGGCAGAAGTTTGTTGGTTCATTCATGTCAATCCTGACAACGTCAGTAGTGTTTCGGCTCAGAGACATATGGCTAGGGCCGACGGGCTTACCAAACGCCATCAATGTCCACACCAGTCTCCGGGTTGAAGGTCTCTTGAAAGCGGCCGTACCAATACTCCAACGCTTTGGGATGAAACCAGTCGGGATACACAGTCACACCCTGCACGTGTCAGAATACCGTCAGTTGCAGTCGGCAGAGTAGTCTACTTACTGGCCAGACAACACCCTTGAAGTCATCGCCATCGGTGGTCTTGACAAAGATGTCCAGTTGTTTTCCTGCATTATATGCTGGGTAGTCCACCTTGCCAACAGCCGGATCGACCATGAGGATGTATTGCTGTTGATGAGCGTGGAGATAGTGGGCGATCTGCCTCATCCTAGACACTGGAAAACGTTCTGGGTCAAATGAGAAGACGCGTCTGCGATCCATGTAGTCGATATCTGTCCACATAGTCCTGATGGAAGTAAGCATATTGCAATAAAGACCTGCGGACATTGCGCAGCTTACTCTAGAGGAATGCCGGCAGCCGAATAGTTGGTGATGACTTCTGCGACCTCGAACCAGTCTTGATATCCGAACTTACACTGATGGAACTAGTCAGGAATGAATTAGCATCATCAGCAGGGGAGAAACTAAGAGATCGATGACTTACTCCGAGACTCCAATATGGGATCATTGCGGGAGTGCCAACGACTTCGCCGTACTGTCTTGCAACCTCCACAGGCGAGGGCCCAGCCATGAAATAGAAATCGAATATACCGCCAATAGCGATGATCTCCATTGAGTATTTATCACTATCGTCTCTGTCCATTTTAATGTCCATGCCATTTGAATTCAACAGCAAGACACCGTGGGTGCCTGACTTTCGATGCTCAAAGAAGGCCGGATGCACGCCATAGAGATTCTGGTTACGCGGAATGCCGGCCGAGTCCCGCGCCCATAGCGTCCGAGTGTAGTTCGTGTTGGATAGGCGGAAGGGGTCAGCGTGTTCCCCGAGACCATAGATGTTGGGATCGGGCGGCAGGGATGTCTTGAGCCGCAAGAACTGGGACTCGAAGACTAGAGCATCGCCAGACGTGTCAAATAAAACCTCGCCTGTGGACTTTCTAGCGATTTTGAAAGTGAATGGGGATTCCGTAAAGGTGAAGCGCAGCTCCGTAGTCTCCGCCGTTGTCGCTAGAGAAGAGGCCGGACGCGGAACCACTTCCTCTGGCACCTGGTATCTGCACTGCGCCCAGTCTTGAATGACGACGTGCAACCGTGAATCTGATATCTCTTAGCATGCAGTTTAATGTTGGACCATATCAGCCAAGCTTACCCGTCTCGTAGGTCGCTTTGAGTTTCAAGTGTGTGATATCATCCCCGAACAAGGCGCATCCTGGTCCAATGACATCAAGATCGGCTTGGATGGAGCTTGCTGTCGTCTCAATGTTGCTAGCAGTATAGCCTTTGCACTCGCCATAATCGACCGCCTTGCAGGTCTGAGCGTACAGCGCAAGACACGTCGATAGTAGGGCGCATTTCATAGTGCCAGGCTTGGAATGGGATGATGGGAAGTGAGATGCTGGATGATTCTTGGTCCGGGTTTAATGGTATCGACAGCTGTCCCAGCGAAACCCCGCGTCACATGACAAACCTGGCAACTGATCAACAGTTGAAAACGACCTTCCTAATCGATGCCCCATCCTGTCTCGAACCAATATCACCCAAATCTGTTGGATATGGAGTACTATCGACATCATACCGTTGAGATTACTACTTGCTCCTTTCGTACGGGGTCGGCAGTGGCTGATGTTACAATGATAGAGAACCCGTGCCAAGACTCGGAGTTAGCCAGTGTGAAGCAATCTGTGATTTGAGGATACGACAAATGACAAAACCGAGGATCGCCCATTGCTCAAATTGAATCATGAAAGGAAGGGATCTCCCGGGCCACTCATTCCGTGTACTCCGGACTTTTGGCAAAGGTGTCAAAGTAGCTCTGCTCATGACCCAGTAGGATACGCGCCTTCTTTGCCTTCACCAGATGTCTCACATAGTCCAAGCTTCGATGCCACGCGACGTAGTCCCGCATCAGTGGGCCCTGAGGACGCCCATTCTCCCAGTTCTCCTTGACATGGAAGAGATCCCCGGTCATAACGATGCAGCCGGCCTGTGGCATCCTTACCTCCATGATGATGGACCCACATGTGTGGCCCGGCGTGAGGTGCAAGCTGACCCCGGTCCAGATATCAAAGACCTCTCTGTTGAAGGTCTTCCAGTTGAAGCGCTCCGGCTGCAGGTAGTGCGGATTGTAAAAGTCACGATCGACGCCCGTGGCGCATCCCCAAAAGGCGTACTTTAGCTCATCTTCATGGCACCAGATCTCCACATCTATGCGAGGATGTTAGTCGCGTTCCTTCGTTCTGTCACTCCCATCCTTACCTGTGTCAATAAAGTGCTCGAGTCCTCCTGCATGGTCGTGGTGGAGGTGGCTCAACACGACCGCTTTGACATCCTTAATGGTACCAGCGCCGGTGGCAGCAATCGCTTCTGGCAGGCCGTGGACGCTCTTCTCCCAGGTTCGAGGCGCACACTCGTTGATCGAGGGATACCAGTGCGCGGCCACATCTTCACAGCTGCCCGAGTCGAAGAGGATCAGGCCGACGTCGGGATGGTAGACCAGCGCCGCGATCATGATCAAGTCGCGACGTTCATGTTTCTGTGGCGGAAGGTGCGGCGGCCAGACGTTTGCTCCAGCCAAGACCGACGAGGCATCGCAGTCGAGATAGCCCAAGTTGAGCAGCTTTGCTACATCGTTAGTGATTTCTGGTGTACGGAGCAGAAAGAAGCGTATGTACCCAAAGCTTCGACCCCTGCGGGAGGGCGTCTGGAATGGTCCCCGACATCAGTGAACAGGCAGATCGAATAGCAAGTGACTGGCGAACTTGACGAGGCAAGAAGACCGGTCGAACCGGGCTTAGGAATAGCTAAGGACCCTACGATCTCAAGACATTCGGTCATTTCAATGAATGCGAGTGGGAACCCGAGACGCGCACAGCCGCCCAAGCAATGCACATTCCCAGGCAGTCGCAGCAGGCTAACCTAGGGCATCGGATGTACCAGATTCCTTACGGAGGTAAATCTTCTGCCGCGCTCGAGCAGCATCTTTTCGCAGAGAATGCTCTGTCAGCCAATGGCTGCAATTGCTTCTCCCCCCGCGACAATACCCGAATGAGTTAGAGGGCGCATGTAGAGCTTGAAGCTCGGATTTGTTGGTGTCTTGGCACGGGCTTCGGAACCAACTTGCCGATGCAATTACCTGCTGATTGTTCTGCAAATATCCCTTTGCAGACGTATCAAAGCGCTCGAGTAGCCGAGTTGTTAGAGTCAGGTACATTATGGGCTGGGCATTTCCCAGCCCATCAACTACCTATGCCTCCAGTACTAATACACATACCTCTCGTCAAATGCGCCCAATGCATGCAAGTCTGCATTATCTCGACGCACTAGCAGGCCTCTGGAAAGACTAGGGCTCTTGACCAAGTATGATTTGGGGCACCGAATCAGGTAATCAGGATTACACATTGCAGATGGACAGAAACATACCCGTGGCCAGTCAGCCTCGAAGTGGCCCTAATCCAATCATGCAGTGACAGCCAAGTCTGCCTTGGATGAGGGCCTTCTGTTCTTCTTTTCTTCTTTCTTTGCTCGGGGAGATCAGTTCCTAACACCATGAGCTCTCGCCGTTTTCTTTGAGACGAATAGCCTCTGCCTTTCGGACGAATCTCCATAATACCATCCCCTGGCTGATATGGCCGAGATAGCTGGGCTCGCCCTCGGCGCTGTGGGACTGGTGACCATGATTGGTGCCTTCAAAGATGCCATCGATCTGTTCACACTCCTCTCAGACACCCGCGATCACGGTCGTGATTACGAAATTCCAGTTGCGAAGCTCGATATTGAAAAGACTATGCTTCTGCAATGGGCCGATCGAGTCAGACTTGTGAGCGAGGAGTACGACAGGCGCTTGGACGACCCGGATACCCAAAAGCTTGTTACTGAGATATTGTCATGTATCTCGCTACTACTTGGTGATTCTACGAAACTTCAACAGCGCTATGGCATGAGTGAGGTCTCACCAAACGATCAGGAGCTCCCACGTACTGAGGCCAAACGCCTTCCGCGCATTGGAGAGGATCGAACGACTAGGTTCATCAATGATTTCAAGAGAATGAACCTACGAATTAATGCGCAGTCGTCGACCACTTCGACGCGCAAAAAGTTCACCTGGGCCATTAGGGACAAGCAAAAGTTTGCCACGCTTATCGACGACTTATCCTATTTCACATTGAAGATCAACGCTATCACGCCGGTTCTACCCCACGAAGACTTTTGTCAACAAGAAGCAATTGATGCAGACCTAGCGAATATTACTGTGCTCAGTAGTGGTGATCTCCGCCCACTCAGTATTCTTCTATCTGCGTCCGCCGACAACCAGCATAACCTTGCTGAATCAATACGTCATTCTTACACCCAGGCTTGTCAGAATCGCATATTGTCTTTGCTTTGGTTTAGAAAAATTGATGATCGTCGGGAGAGCATCGCTGTGGCCCACGAGAAGACTTTCTGCTGGGCTCTCGAACCTCCAGGGCAGACTGATCAGAAGTGGGATAGCCTATTAGAATGGCTCCAGTATGATTTCGGAATGTATTGGATCTCTGGCAAGGCTAGAAGCGGCAAGTCGACCTTGTTGAAATATCTTCACTCAGAAGTTCAAAAAAGGCAACTACTATCGCCATGCGCGGATGGACATCGGTACCAGCTGTATAGCTTCTTCTTCTACCATCTCGGCACCATGCAGCAGAAGTCACAGGACGGTCTCCTCAGGGCGCTCCTATACCAGATCTTGGAAACCCATAGGTCTTTGATACCTGACATCCGCACATGTGGAAAGAAATCCATGATTCCCATCATTCCTTTTGATGTCAAAGATAAGGCACGTAAAGTAGTAGGGCTGATTCAAGAACTGAGGGACATGGAAGGAGCATCAACCACGCCAAGCGGTTGTGATATCGATGGAATGGAGAGCGACGAGGAGTACGACTCTGATAATGGCGAAGACGGGAATGGAGATAGTGATGAAAACGAGGATGAAGCACATGTTGGAGAGGATCCGGAAGAAGGCGACAGTGCCATCAGACTCGATGTGAGAGAGCAATGTGCCGAGGGGTCTCGAACTCCTCCACACGGTCTCTCAATTCACGGAGGGAGTCATCGCCTGACCTCGACTATCCCCCAATTACTGAAAAGACGTAGAAGCGCATCTCCTATGTCAGAAGGTTTGCACAAGGCTAAGAAGTCGAGTCTTGCAGTTGAATGGTTGTCTGAGATGACGCTCCGCAGTATTGTGAGTCAAGCAAACGACAGCGACAGAGCACCGATACATGTGTACTGTCATATATACGAGTTTTATAAACCGAACCTAAGAATATGCACGCTTTGCTATGCTATTATATACAAAGAGGGTATCGATAATGACAGCGTAGAATTGAACGCACACGACTCCGGGTCCCTAGTTGGCGTTGGCTCTTGATCATCTCGCCGAACGTATATATTACACTCCCCTGTTTTCCTGCCTGATGGAGCGCGGATGATCCCCGGGCCCGGTGAGGATGATGTCCTCGCTGCCGCCATCGGACGACAGGCGCGTTCCCTTGATCTCCTTGTTCCGCCCCGCGACCGGCCACTTGCTCGGGCCCTGGGACCCGAAGCTGATGGCCTGGCCCCCGCTTCCGCCGATGGTGCGCAGCTCGTTGCCCTGGCTGCCGTAGCGGTACCCGTCGCCGGTCCCGGACCGGCTGCGGAACCAGTTGGAGCGGCTGAAGATGGGCTTTATACCAGGGATACTGACGGCGACTGCGGCGACAAACGTCTCACGCGAGGTCCAGCCCGCGGCGACGGGGAGCAGCGTCAGGTCCTGCAGGGAGTAGTAGGCGCGGAGGATGGTGGCGATGGCGGTGAAGGCGCCCGAACTCAGCAGGGCGAGCAGTAGGAGGCGGCGCCAGAGCGGGATCTTGGCCTTGAAGATGATGGGCGTGGGCAGGGCGATGATGGCCAGGTCGGTGCTCGCGTTGAAGTAGGTGATGAGGTAGTAGTTGAGGTTACGCAAAGCGCACTGGTCTGTTCCGAGGGGGACGAATTGGGTTAGTAGGTACGCTCTTGCTTCTCACAGCTTCAGACCGCCAGATTCAACCAATGCTCGCTCACCTCCAGGATAAGGTACCACCTGCCACGACTTGTGAACTGGGAGGCACACGCATATATTTGGTCAAAATGGCCCCGAAGAACGACACGGCAGTGTAGCCGGCGACAATCTTCCAGATAAGCTCCGGCCCGCGCAGACCTTTAGACAGTCTGTGCATCAGAGAAAGGACGGCGGACTTGAGTGACCAGACATAGATAAGATAAAGCATCCAGTCGGCAAAGGTGATCTTCTGGCCGATGACGAAGCTCTCGATGACCTCGGGCGGTAGCAGCTTAACCGACTCGGGGGTCTGGCCGATGGTCACTCCATATCGGGTGATGAAGTGAATCATGGTAGTGATGCAAGTGTAAGCAGCGAGGGCGACCGCCATGAAGATATCCTCGAGGCCAAAATTGCTCAAGCCGATGACTTGCCACCGACAGACAAATCGCAAAACGATGACAAAGGCTCCAACGGCGTACTCCCCCCAGAGCTCTGGGTCAGGCTTGGCGCCTGCATTGGCGGGAGTTACCATTGTTCTCTGGCCAAGTGGGAAAAGACACACAGACACAACCCTCGCGGCACTTTTCTGCAACTCATTTGTCCACGGGAGATGGCGAGACTGCCGCAGACATATATTTCCCCGAACCGCCAACCTAACGACGCCACTTCAGGGGGATAGCGCCTTTTTCTCGCCGTGAGGTGATCGGCACTTCCTGCGTTGGGCCAAACTGTCGCATCTGGGTCCCAAGTGGGAGCATTTGCCGTTGGAGCAATTCGCTTTGTACAGGGGACAGGGTTCAGGGATCATCACAGGGCGGCGGGCCGTTGTCGCGGACCGGAGCCGGTGGAACTCTTGGCAGACGAAGAGGAGCAAATACGCCGGCCTCAGGGGGCTAGACTCTGCTGGTGAAACGCTTTGGGTTAAAAGTGGACATCCTTTACGACGATGGTGAGTTGATTCATGCTATCCCAAATTGCACCCTCCCAGCACCCTGACTACTGCTTACTGCGAAGGTGTACATACTCGGACTCTCTTCTACGTACCAGAGAGACTCCTTGCGGCGTCTCTCAATTCGAAGAACAGGAGACAGATTTTCATCTCAAGATACGTCAGTGCAAGCAAAAAGCCCGGCATCAAAAGTGAACAGTGTTAGTCTTGCTGAACTTTTTGTTAGCAATCCGTCTACCTTTCGTCGGGCCACTTGTTTTGCCCTACGGACTCATCTCTGTATCTCCCTGAACGGTGTAATATCACCGACTTCAAGTTGGCATGCCAATCGACGGAAGGTGGTAAGTCTCTTGTTAGAGTGCTGCCGAGTCATTGAGGCAGGGGCCAGGGGAGGGAACAGACTCATTCATCAGTGCATATGCCAAGTTTCTCACCTTCGATACTTACTGTACAAGTACTGTGCCGCTTCCATTGTCGTGATCAACTGGTCTGGCTCCGTTTCGACAGCCTTGTCCTCATCAGCCCAGTGAATGGAGATCGGCAGGTTTGCAGTCCTCATCTGGGTAGCTCTTCGTGCGGCAAAGTCAAAATACGCGGGTCCTCACCCCGGCCGGAGCCAAAAGGCCTGCAACGGGCGCGCGTGCGGCGCAGAACCGAGTTAACTCCAAAAAAGCTAGTGTCACTGTTATCGACCCATGCTTACCGGGGAAAAGGACCTGGCTGCAGGGAACTCCACAGCGAAGTGCAATTTCCAGGAGTCAACCAACGTCGAGATACCCTTGCCAGGCTAAGAGTTTATCACATGTACTTGTACGAGCTCACTAAGGCTTTGGTAAAACCCTCGCTGCGTTGGGTCTTAGTTGGCTGTCAATAACCCGGATGCTGCTCGCTCCACTCCCTCGCATTTGGCCTCGGGTACCAGTCTGGTCACCCCAATTACGAATTTCCGACTCTGGCATGCTGGATGTTTCTTCACCTCCTGTTTTTCCAAATGCCCGCATTCTAAATGGCCATGCAGATCAAGAAGTTGCTGGGCCTCAAGAGCGAGGTGCCGGTCGTGCCTACGGACCAGGTCATCCCTCTCCATTGGTTCGAGGATGGCTTCATGTGGAAGACGGTCATCGTCTACACCCTCCTTGCCTTTGACGAAGCACTAGATCCAGAGACGCTGCGCGACTCGTTGACGAGGCTGATCCAGCGTGATGGCTACAAGAAACTTGGAGCTCGCATCAGGAAAAACGTACGTTCTCCCAACACTTGGTTGCACTTTGTTGCACTGTCTTGGTCTGACTCTTTCAACTGACGTTTGATTTTAGGCCCAAGGCGGAGTGGAGTACCATGTGCCGGCCGAGTTCACCGCTGACCGTCCGGCACTGGCCTTCACGCACGTCCACCACGACATGCTGATGTCGGACCACCCCGTGGCCTCCAAGATCCCCAAACCGACGGGGCTGTCCGGCCCCACCGTCGTCGGCGACCCGGAAGAGCTTTCGGAGCTCTCACGCGCCGGCAACGCGGCTCTCTCGCTCGACGCCTGGCTCACGACGGACCGGCCGACGCTGGGCCTGCACGTCACCACCTTCCGCGACGCCACCACCGTGTCGCTGTGCTGGCCGCACCTGGCCTTCGACGCCATGGGCAAGAAGGCGATCCTCGAGGGCTGGATGCTCGCGCTGCAGGGCCGCGAGGACGAGATCCCGACGCCGATAGGCTACGACACCGACCCGCTGGCCGAGCTCGGCAAGCACGCCAAGGAGAAGCACCTGCTGGCGGACCGGCGCGTGGGCAATGTCGGCATGGCGGGCTACGTCGCGCGCAACGTCGTGGGCCTGCTGGGCCCCAAGGAGATCCGCATGGTCTGCATCCCCGCCGCCTTCTGGCAGAAGATGGTCGCCGACGTGCGCGCCGAGCTGGCCGGCCTCGGCGCCGCGGCCGGCGAGGAGCCGCCCTTCGTCACCGAGGGCGACGTCCTGGTCGCGTGGTGGACGCGCGTCTGCTGCTCCCACATGGGCGAGTCGTCGACGGCGCTCGTCGCCGCGCAGAACGCCATGTCCCTGCGCCGCGTGCTGGCCGACGACCTGCTCAGCCCGGCCGACCGGCCCTTCATCTCCATGGCCCTGACCTTCCCGACCGTGCTGCTCCCCGCGGGCGAGATCCTGACCAAGCCGCTGAGCTGGCTCGCGCTGCAGTTCCGCAACGCGATCAAGGAGCAGGGCGCGCGGGAGCAGGTCGAGGCGTACGCGGCGCTGCAGCGCGAGTTCAACGCGTCGATGCGCACGCCCGTCTTCTTTGGCGACAGTGGCATGTACAACCTGTTCTACTCCAACTGGCAGCGTGCGGGCCTGTTCGACTTTGACTTCAGGCTGGCGGCCAAGACGCCGACGGAGAAGCCGCTGCGCGCGTCGTACATCCATTGTGTGCAGGACCCAGCGTTCCCCGAGGGGTGGCCCATCAGTGGGAAGGATGAGAAGGGGAACTACTGGATCTCCGGGTTCAGACAGAAGGGTCTTTGGGCGAAAGTGGAGGCGGAGTTGAAGGCCCAGTCGAACGGGAAGGCGGCTTAGGCTGTGGCTCTGACTGATGACCATTGACCAGACATTGGAACGGGCCTGGTCAAATGGTCATCTTGTGTGAGTTGTGACATGAATCTGCAACTTTACTTCATTCAGCGATATCATTCAGCGATACTAGCGTGCATCTGTAGGACCATTCCCCAGCGTTAATTTTAATAGAGCAGCGATACTGCAATTGTGATCATACAGGTGGATTCTTCAATCTGTGTAAGACAACTCCCAAGCCTATCTCATGCGTAACGTAGACCCCGATTCATGCAGCCGATCCATACCGGCTTGCTTTGATCCCACCTTCACCTAGATCACGATGTTTCCCTTCATCACAACGACCGCAGTTCCGCCCAGCATGACCTGCTCGATGATATCATCCCCATCGCTGTCCCAGCCCAACTTGACCTCGACGTCGATCACGCTCTCCCGTCCCATCTCGACACCCTGGGTGATCTGGTACTTGGTCGATCCGCCAGATTTGCCACCCTCGCCGGCCTTCAGCATAGTCAGGTAGCACGCCAGTGCAGAGGCCGCACTGCCCGTCGCGGGATCCTCGATAACCTCCTCCACCATGCGGGCGCGAATCGGCACGATGCCGTCCTTCTCCTCGCCGGGGACGTAGTAGTACCTACCGACGAATCCCTGGCCCCAGTCACCCTCGTCGAGTAGACCCGACGACACCAGCTGCGTGGTCGCGGGACGCACCTTGGCCAGCTGGTCCAGTGTCTCGAGCTCGACCAGGAGAAAAGCCATACCCTGGACAATGGAAACAAGGGGCGCGAAGCGCTCCGCGGTACGGATGTTAGCATCCGCGGAGAGCCACTGCGGCTCGGGCTGCAAGTCTCCCACCGTGCCGGCGTGGACGTGGACATCATGGGGGATCTCGGCGTTGACGGCGCCGACCTCGCTCAGAGCCTGCGGCTCAATGGGGATCTCGCCAGCCTTGGTGCGCAGGGCGCGGATGTGGCCCAGCCTGCGCTCGCGGAGGAGGAGATACGCGCTGCCGATGGTGGGGTGGCCGGCGAAGGGGATCTCGGCGTCGGTGACGAAGATGTCGATGTCGATGGTGTCGGTCTCGGTGGTGTCGGGCTCGTGCAGGAAGACCGTCTCGGAGAGGTTGAACTCGCGCGCGATGCGCTGCTTCATGGCCTGTGTCAGGGCATGCTTGCCCATCGAGGCCGGCACGGAGACGACGGCGAGGGGATTGCCGAGGTAGCGTGTGCTGGTGAAGACGTCGAGGGTCGTGAAGGGCAGAGTGGTGATGCCGGGGCCGCGGATCTTGATTGAGGTAGCGACCGGGGACGACGACGGCCTCGGCGAGGGCGAGAGCGATGCTCTGCCTCGGATGGGCAGCTTTGCGGGTGTGGAAGCCATTTTTCTGCGCACTAGGAATGAGTGAAAGTGAGGTTGTCGTGAGCTTCCTGCTGGCGGTGGTGGTGTTTCTTGTGGCTCTCGCTTTCAGCTGTTCAGCTCGGCGGGGTTGTTAGTTTGCCTCGCTGACATAATATACGCTTGGCAGGCGGACGAACCTTGGGCATATCTCAGTGTGACTGCTTCCTAAATGCTTCTTTTTGTTTTGGTGAAAAGGATATCAATCGTGCAGTGAGTTTGAAGACGAGCTGTCTGTTGTTTTTGTGGCTCAAAAAAGGCGAAGAACCCTGGTGGGTCCTGTTTTCGCTGTTGAATGTGTCTCAAGATCCGTTCACATCCCCAGTCATCGATCCTGGCTAATAAATCAGCGGTCCGGTGATTCGATGCCTGCTTTTGTTTGCTTTACTAGTCAATCAGCCTTTTGACGTGGTTGTGAAGCGTTCATTGATCTCATTCTGAAGAGGATGGAATCCTGGAGCGTGGGTATCATCCACAGATGTCTCAGATCTCTCTTACCGCCCTATTGGGAGATACTCTGGGGTTCGGTAGGCATATATTGTCTTGAATGAGGCATCAATTTCACCTTCGGTCTATTATTGTTCTTGCTAGAGTTATCGCCACGTTATCCGGAAGAGCAATAATCATCAACGGATGAAGCCCAGAAAATATAAAGGCTTATTAGATGAGGAGCCACATCGATGCTAACAACTCATATCCTTCAAGGGCTCTGGAGCTCGCAAGGGTTATCCCACTGTCTAAAATAGACAGGTTGTATGAAAAAGGCATTCCTTGAGATGCCTTTGCTGAAGAGTGATTATGTGTCCCCCTCGAATCAGCAGCTCCAACGACAATCCATTTGCCGATCCTGCCAAGGAGTAATTATCGTCAGCACAGAGTAGCAGGTGGTATCATCCCCGAACCTCGCAAACTTACTGGAATAGGGTAGGAACCATCGCTTCCAAAGATGTCATCCAAGGGGTGATCGTGCGTATCCCAACCTCCAACCTGGCAGTGCGGAAGCTTGGAAGTATCTCTATCTCATGTCGACCAAGTCGTTGCTGGATCTGCTGTGACGCGAATGTCAAAAGGCAGCCCCGCAGGAAGCTTTTCCTGGCGCTTCTTCTTCGCCTCCCCGTCCAAGAACTCGAATTTCACATCGTACCGCAACGGATTCTTGGGCACAGTGAGAGGCGTTCGGTAAGGCTTCCAATCCTTGGTGTCAAGCTCGTGGAGGAGCGCACCGCCCCCATCATAGACTGTAATCTTTGCAGCGAAGACAGGACCATCCATTCTGACGCCGGCATATTCGTGAATGTGCGCGTTGCAAGTCCCAGTGGCATAGGGTGGCGGTTTGGTGCAACTCAGTGGCAACAAGGCCGGCCACGTGGATGGTCGATACGGACGTGCAAACCTTCACATTACCGGCCAAATCCGTCGTGGTGAAATGCAGGGCCGGCCCGTCTGTGCGAGTCGGAGTAGGCTCTGGAGTGACGGTCTTCCACTCGGGCCCGGGCGAGGTGCTGGGGCACTGATGGCCATCGCTCAGCGCGAACGGGGAGACTGTTATGCCTTGCGAGCAGGTGCACTGATAGAGTTTCTTATCTGGATGGTTGTCCGGCAAACAGAAGGGCTCGGCGTCCGTCCCGGATGTTGTGGCAGGTGGAGCTGGAAGTGTCGTCGAAGGATGAGACGTACTCGCTGTCGATGTTGGCCCATTGTGGCTCGTTGTTGCAGGTGAAGCTGGTGATGGTGTCGTTGCCGGAAGGGTAGTTCTAACTTGTGTGGATGTTGATACTTGCGTGCTGGTACTTGTAGCTGTGGTTGGGCTGCTGCTTGTTCTATTTGATCCAGGGGCGGACTTGGCAGGGCACACGTCGCGTCGCTGGTTTGAGCCTCCTATTTGAGAACCTAGAAATATCTGGCCCGGAAGTGGTTTCCATGCCTTCTCGCTGCTGGAGCCGTCCCCATTTGACATCGTCTTCCCCTCGAACCACACCCGATACCTGGCCTGGCCTTGGCAATCCGGAGCTGGCTGATATTGCACAAGCAGCTTTCCATTCGAGACCTTGTAGTCAGGATCACCTCTTGGGTACGCTGGAGGGGGAACGTAAGGAGAGTATTTGACCTGGCGGACTGGGATACCATAAGTCGACCCGAATATCTTCCTCAACTCGCCGCCCTTATACCTCTGTCAAGAGTCCTAGCCACAAGCCATATCTCACCAACTTCTCTTCGAGCCGATTCTGCACTAATCCCAGCGAATTTATTCTAATTTAAGCAACCGCCCTCACAGGGTGGGTTGTGTCGATTTGAACAGGCAAAAGCAACTCGGGAACGGCAGGGCTCCAGCGGCAGTGCACATGTATTGGGCAAATTGGCCAAACTCACAGCAGAAATACACCCCCAACTGTGAATCCTGCATGTCTGTTGGGTTTCGACTCGACGCCCTGTTGGAGATGGGCGGAACAGTCCATTGGCGGAGGAGGAACCAACAGCGCGCGCGCGGGATTCAGCCCGCCCCCAATGCCACCGCCATCGAAGGGACACGGATCCTTCGGGGAGAGCCACTGCCCTGAAGGCTCTAGAGCTATAGGGGGCTACTGCCCTGATACCGCTACTGGGCGGCTGGTGGATCTATTTGTAGAGAGTCTCGAGAGTCTCTCGAGTGGTGGGGAGAGGTATCACGCTATCAGGGGAGGGCCAAACGGGGGTTGCGGCCGAATAGCCTCCCGGCTGACCTGGGGCGGTCGGGGCAAGGGGGCCATTTGTAGGCCGTAGCCCGCAGGATACCTAGGTAGGCCTACCTTAGTCATCTCCACTACAACACAACCTGGAACCAAGAAATCCCTCCAGCTACCACTGCTCCTTCGTCGGAATGGATATGGGCATGTTCATTGATGGGCTCAACTGTTAACACAAGTACTTCGCTAACCGTCGAATGCATCGTTTTGACTAGTCAAATAGTACCCGAGCAAGGATATACATTGCTGGAATCGAGGTGCGAGTTGGTCTCTCTCTCGGAGGAACTTTCGCCAACCATTCTGACCACAGCTTGTTTTTAGTATTGGCCAGTTCTTCTGTCAGTGCAGTCAGTGCCTCCTCCCCTCAGGTCATCCAGTTCTCCGCGCGCTCATCTCGTTCAGCGTTCGCTGTTGCTTCCATCTGGCCGTCGCTGCGGTGCCGGTGCAATATCCCAATCGACTCTACTCATGTGCGGGCTTGTCAGCGTCACGCAAGGTCAAGCGCAGGGCTTGCATGCCACTGTCATAAACTGCTGACCAAAGACACCTCGCCATACAACCCGGAAGGCCGCGGCTTCTGTCTCTCGTTCGTTTATCGCTGTTTCACCATGGCATGTTCATCGCTGGATGGGCAGACAAGCAAGCGCAAGCTCCCAGAGTTGCTAGAGGCGCCTGACGACCTCGAACCACACGATGAACAGTCCGCGGGTTCTCTCGAGGCGCAACGCACCTTACGCACCAACCAAACACTGAAAGAGAACCAGCAACGCCACATCGCCGATATCAATCGGCACGATGTAACGAGATGTCAAAAATGATCAAATCTCTCCCGCCCAGGACGCGTTTCTCCCATGTCTTGAGAACTGCGGGGTTGCTGTGCAGAAAAGTCTCAATCTCCCGGCACAGTATTGCCCATTCCTGCTCGTCACGGTTGTCTTGAGGCCATAGTCGTTCTGCCTCCCGAACGTGATATGGCCAATGTGTAAGCTCGTATCGCAGGTTCGGTTTTATAGTGTCGTTGCTAGAATTGACGGTCTTGAGGTAGGGGTTCAGACGAGCAGACCACGCAGACCTAGCGACAGAGGCAGCGAAAGAGGTAGCGACAGAGGTCACTGATTCCCAGTCGTCATTATCTTTATCACCAACCTGAGCATGCTCTGGTGAGTGATCGTCCTCGCTATTAGTCGGTGGCTGGTTTTCAACTGAGGGCGCGCCATTTGTCCCTTGTTCATTTGTAGGCCTCGAATCTTGTGGGAGGTCCTCACTTGATTTACCGGGTAGGGGGGCGGACTGCTGCAGATCATCAGGGCCCTCATCCTCCGCGGGCTCTTCAGCTTTCTCAACCGCATTTGCTTGGTCGGCCACGAACTGTCCATGAGCCTCCAATACTTTTGTCCTTAAAAATGCCCTTTGAAAGGAGGGGCAGTTGAGCTTTCTCACGCAGTAAATTGCCAAGGATAAGTGCCCCTGCTTTGGGCTTGCCTCGGTAGCAGACAAAGCACCAATGCGTTCTCGACATCTCGGGCATAGCGCCTGGGCATAGCGCCTCCCCAAGCTGGTGATACTTCGACTCATTAAGAACAAAGTCTCGGACTGAGGTGTGTTGAATGGATATGTGGTTTTCTTGGTCGAACTTTAGAAAGTTTCGACCCGCAACTTTGAGAATGTTGATCGAGTCCCTGCCTAGCTGAGCTGTATCATCAGAAGCTTGACTGTTGACGTCAACTTCCACCATGCTTTCAAGATCTTCAACAAGCTGAGTAGATGCTCTAGCGGTGACGTTAATCGAAGCAGCGATGGACTCACTGTCACCACCACCCTCTTCCTCCTCCTCATCCGTGTCCAAATCGAAGTCATACTTTTGTTCAAGTTCGTCGGCAACTGTCTCAGTGGATATGAGTCCTTCGCCACATACAACCCATCTAAGCGCGACTAGGAGCATGTGGCGAAGATCGGAATCGAGGCTGTCTAATTCCTGCCTGTATAGCCCAGCCATGCCGTCGGGAAACTGCTGCATGAGCTTCTGGAAACTCGTCATTACAGCCTTGGGTTGTCTGAGGCTCTCCACTGCAAGACCCGCATCTGTCATTGCGCATTAAGACCCATGTAAGACTATCTTGGAGCTGATTGACTTACAACGGAACATGCCATCGGCCTTCGTCGCAATAATCGAGCCGGCTATAGTCTTTTCAGACTTGCTGAAGCGCTTGATCCGCTTCAGCGAACTCAATATGTACGACTCGACGTCTTTAGCTGTGGCATCCTTGGTAAGAGTAACAGATGGGCACCTGTCCAGTTTCTCTCTTATCCTATCCTCCGGTCGGCTCGAAATCAGGATCCGAATGTCAGCGCCTGGTGCGACTGTCTGTTCAAACGCACCAAGAAGGCCTTCATTCCAGTCATTGCACTCGTCCAGCGCGTCTAACAATATGTACACTGGCCGTTCTAATACGCGAGCCAACGCGATAAGAAGTGGTTGCATAGAGTCCCCGATCTGAAAGTCTTTGACCTCTTTAGTGCGAGCCTGCTTTGCTGCCTCGACACATCTTTGCATGCGAGCTTTAAATGATTTTTCGGGCTCTTTGCTGTCCTGGGGCGGTTCTTTGCTGACATTGAGCAACTGCATAAGGAGATGTAGCATGATCCTGTGGCCCTTCTGCGTTGAGTCGTTTCCAGTCTTGCAAAAGAAGTAGAGGAAAATAGGTCTCTCGCTTCCGTCGGGGGTTCCTTGACTTTGAATCCAATCAACAATTGAGGACATGAGCACCGATTTACCGAAGCCCGCATCGCCCATGATCCATAGAAGATGATGAGGATTTCTCTCAGCGGGCGGCCAGTAGAACTGCTTGAATTTCTCGTCCTCTTGAATCCATTTGCAGGTGCCGGGATGTCGTCTCTCAAGGTTGTCCTGGAGCAACTTCTGTGGTAGCTCGAGTTCAGCCGAGGTCCCCATTTTGAGCCATCGCATTAGCTCATCCAGCTCTCTCTCGAGCTCCATCCTCACTTGTGCCTCCTTCTGCTGGCTCTGCTCGTTCTGGATGGCTCTGACTGCAGGAAAGAACTCCTCTTTTGTGGCCTGGAGAAAATCAAGGGCGGCTGTGGAATCTTGCTGTGCCTCCACCAAGATCTCCATCGCCGCTTCGCGAAAGGAGATATCTGCAATCTTGTGCAGCTCGTCGACTTTAGTCTTGGTGTCACGAAGGATATCGCGCAGCTCTTCCGAGCCGCCGAACATAACAGAGAGCGTTCGTCCTGCCCCCGCTGTTAGCCAGGTGTCCATATTCTCATTTCGGGTCTGTGGCTTACTGAAGCTAGAATGATCCAGTACCAGCTTCCTCGTTTCATAGGCAAACTTCAAAACAAGCGATAAGAGCACGGGAATCTTGTCGAGAATCTTGTCCGCCAATAGCTGCACCTCCTCCATACCGATGGGGAGCTTCTGCAGCTGGCGCTTCGCGTAAATCTCGCACACAAAGATGACGTTGGACATGGTGTCGACCGAGTCGACGAGCGAGCGGCAGGCCTCGAAGTCCTTGAGGAGGCCGGCAAAGATCATGCGAAAGGCCGACCACGCGTACGACGCCGTCTCGGGCGAGTAGCGCATCGCCTCGTCGCCGATCTTGACAAGGTACTCTAGGCGCTGCAGCACGCGGCCCAACTTAAACTCGATGAGGGTGCCAGCAAATTTCGCGCCGTAGGCGGCCGAGGCCTTCTCCTGCGCCTGCTTGAGGGACTTGATGGTGTCCTCGAGCGTCGCCTCGTCGCGAAGGGCTTCCTTGCGGGACTCGCGGGCGGAGAGAGAGGTTTCGAAGAGGACGCGCGCCTCGTGCCAGAGCTTAGAGAGAGAGAGCTTTGCTCGGCTGGGAAATGTTGCGTCGGAAGGTCCATCTTTGTGGTCATAGGTTGTAGCTGAGCATAAAAATGCCGCGACATATAGTTAGACTTGTCCGTTGCCTTACCCTCGTCGTCTTGCTCCGGCTGCGAGAGGTCAACTTATGCAAATCTCGCAACGTGCATGCGGATTTTAACTAGAGAAAGGCTTGGCGTTTAGGACGGCAGGCTTGGACACATCTCAGCGCATATGACCTAATCAACATTGACATGGGGCATCCTGTGGGCACCGAATCGAGAGTCCAGTTTGTGACTTATTCAATGCTCACATGCATTATTATAAAGCACACTTTTACTCGATTCGGGAAGGCAGTGTTTAGGGGCTGCGCACCATCGGCCCCCCACCAGCCTGGTGATGTCTGCTTAACTACGGATCGCTTCGCCTTGGAGCATTCATCTGAATCAAGGGCGTCAAATCAATCCCTGAATCACAACAGGGATGAAGGGTGAATAGAATCGGCAAGCACAAGCGCGACATGCGAATGTGTTTCTTGGTATGGGTTGCTTGGGGAAAAGCCCGGAGACCCAATCGCAATAAACGACAAGAATTAAAGCCATGAGTAGCACTTGTCGGCAATGGGAACAGTCACACTACATCAGTTAGCCACAAAGACTGACCTTATGGACCAGAAGGACTTGCCTGTAAACCGTGTTCTTCCAGAACTGGGTTGCGAAAGCAATGACACTGAACTGAAACTCGGACTCAACCCGGACACCCTGGTCACAAGTGCCACCAGGCTGCTTGACACCGCCAGTGGTAGGGTCGACCTCCTGGCTCGCCGTGAGGGTAAACTCGTTGTTGAAGCGCGGTTGGGCAGTGACACCACCACTAAGATCCAGCTTACCCCCCAGGAGCTCAAACTCGAGCTCGACAGTCAGGTCCAGGAATGGGTCGACGCTGACGGCAGCCTTCTCGGAGAGCTTCAGGCCGGCGTTGTACTTGGGCGTCCAGCCGCTGGTAGAAGTTTTCTTGGCGTCGACAAAGTCGAGGTGCACGTTGCCGTCCTCGATGGCAGCGCCGACCTCGCCGGTCACGACGACGGCGCCAGAAGCGCCGAGCGCCACTCCAATGTCAAACTCCAGCGCGGGGCCGATGTTGATGATGCCGGGGATATTGATGAGGCTATATCCGAGCTTGCCGGCCTGGTAGCTGAAGGTCTGGTTGTAGGCAGCCGATACATCCAGCTCCAGGACTAGATCCGCGGCGACTCTGGTGTCAATGTCGACGTAAAATGCGGTAAGCTTGCCCTGGAGGACCATGTACTCGACGTAACCGGACAGGGTGACGGAGGCACCAAAGTCGGCGGACTTGGCGATAGCCTTGACGTATGGTTTGTACTCGTACAGGGTCACGGGTCCGGGGAGCTTGAGGTCGCCGTTGATGGTCAGGCTCTTGTTCAGCACAACTTCACGCCTGGAGGGAACGGAGTCGATGGGAACCCCGGAGAAAGAGATGGAGGTCTTAGCTAAAGGGCGAATTAGTAGCGTGCCTCAGTACACAGAGTTCGGTCAGAGTTGGGGGAAAAGTACCCGCCGTGTTGGCAATGTCCGTCTTCTCGGCGGTGACATTGGCGATCAGACGCTGAGCATCAACAGCGACGCTCCCACCCAGGAAGAAGCCGCGCTCGAGCTCGGCATCGCAGTCACCCATGTGGTTGGTGATGAGCACGAAAGTGCCAGCGGCCCGCCACTCGGCGACAGCAGCGTCGAGACCCTCAGACGAGCTGAAAGAGATGGCAACAGACGCAGCGTCGCAGTCAACCTCCTTGACGGCGACGAGGCTCTCGAGGACCACAGTCGGGTGCGTCATGTCCAGAGTGACATTGACAAAGCTGGAATCCTGAGCGCCCCAGCCAAGAGTCACGTTCTCGGAGAGACATGGTTTGGCCGGCGTGAGAGGCACGGCTGGGACCGAGGCGGGAGCAAAGACCAGTGAGGGCGGGCCCGGGGCGATGCGGGCCGAAGCCGCCAGGGGCAGAAGTGTAAGAACGGGCTTCATCGTGATGACAGTGGTCTTGCGGTCGCTTTCTCTGCCCCGGTCTGCGGTACTGACCTCTGCTGGATGAAGAGACGGACAGGATCGGCATCCGCTGGGCTGACATCATGGGGGTTTAAGTATTCAAAGCGATCACATCGCCGCATGCCCTTGGACTATGAAAAGGAGCTTTATCGAGCGGGTCGGGTATCGCGGGCTGCCTTTACTCGGTCCACAAGTCAGACTATGGTACCGCCAAGGTAGCATCGCGGGGCGTCTCGGGGGAGAGAATTACACAGAAGTCGCATTTCCGAAGGATCGCGCCGAGAGAATGTCGCCGTCTCCATCCCGCTCCGTCTGTTCGATATCGACATGACTTCAGGGTCCTCAATGCCTGCGCCTGGGCTCCTGTATTTGCATACCAGCCGTCTGATAAGCGAGAGGGGTAGGGGCACAGATCGGGAAGTCGATCCGATCACGTTCCTGCGCTGATACTGTATGGTTCCCTTCATGAGGTTTTGGCCTTAAGGATTCTGCATCGAGCTGGGGTCTGGCTTTAAAGCATGTTTGGGAGTAGTATTTTGGGTGGAGTGCTATCCGAAAAGGTAGCTTAATCCGTGAAATTTACAGGTTTAGGTGCCATCTTGATAGGCGCGCTAGGTACGTGCCCAGATAAGTGAAGTGAACTTGCCCCTCGTGGTCGTGGACCTCGTTGATGATTGGACATCATCGTGTGTCGCGACACATGTCGCCGAGGTTGTCAGTCCTGTCACCGCTTCGCTCACTGTTATGTGTAGCAACAGTCTGCAATCTGGGATGAGATGAAAAGTACAGTAATATCCACAGAGCTTTCATCTGCCAAGACTTCAGCCAAGGCGTATGATGGGCGGCCACTGCACCATCCGGCAGTCCATCTAATCAGCCTACAACAACAACGCCATACCCTGGGCATTCTTGCTCAGACCCGCGTCCTTCAGCTGGAGGTGTTGAACCTGAGCCTTGCTCGTCACATCTACTACCGTCACCGCTGCAGGTGTCGTGCCGTTCCCAGGGCTGAGCGCGTAGACGAACTTGCCAGCCGCTTCAAGGTCGATCAGCCCCGGATCTCCGTTGGCGGCCAGGTCAATGATTGACACGATGCGTGCATCCGTCAATGACATCTCGACCAGGCGATTGAGGGCGACATCGGTGACGAACGCCGTGTTTGAAGCCGGCGAGATGGTCGACCAGCAGGTGGCTTTCTGACCCTCGATTACTCCTTTGCCTTTGGCAGTCGCAACTTCGGTCTTGGGGTCAATCGCCAGCACCACAGCGCCAAAAGATGCGTCTGTGACGAAGAGGTCGGTTGACTTGGGGATGGGCGAGGATCCGAACAGCACGACGGTGCCTTCCGGCGAGGACATGACACCCTCCCGGCTGACGGACGCCTTCGCCATGCAAGCACTCTTGCCTTGCACCGGGAACGCTCCCAAGAAGCCAGTGCTGTTCTTGCTGGGGTCGCCCTTGACTGTCACATACAATGTGTCCTGGTCATTGGAGAAGAAGACCTGCGACACCGTGTTGGTCGGTCCCACGGGTGGCGTCGTCTGCTTGAGGTCGATGGGCCGGAGATCGTCCATGGCGCCGATGCCGCAGGAGGAGAAGGAACCGCACGAGACTCCAGCCACGGCACCAGTGGACGCGACACAAACGATTTTGTGCTTCTCTGAAGCGGCAACCGTGTTGGGGAATTCGCCCTTGACGGACATGGGGTTGCCGACCATCTTGAGCTTGGTTGGGTCCGCCCTGTCGATCGCAAACATGGTGACGGTGTTCGACCCGGCATTCACGGCAAACAGGGACTGAAAGGAACATTAGCGACGATTTCCCGGGTAGTCTTTCCGAGGGCTACGTACATTGCCCGCCACGGTCAGGGCGGATTGCGATAGAAGCGCGTCCGGTCCGGCCGGCTGTTTCGTCATGCCGTCGATGGCGTTCGACCCTGCTCCTCCGGTCGGAGTGTTTGATCCGGCTGATAACATTCCGTTGCCGGCCATGGGCAGAGCGACAACACTGTTCTGCTGCTCGTTGCTGAGGATGTATATCGCCCGGCCATTGGAACGACCCGCTTCAGCTCTGGCATTTGGTCGCGCGAGTGCTGTTGGAACCAGGCCAAGAGATAGGAGGAAAGGGAAGGATCTTGTAAGATGCATTGTGCGATGAAAGTGGCCCAGTCGGTCCAATGAAAGGAGCAAAGCAGTGTGAGCGAGTGATATATCCGAATCCAAGTGAACTATGTAGCTGTCAAAATAGCATCCAGAGGAGAACTTGCTGGGAAGGAATTTGGAACCTCCCTTCTCAGGAAGAAATCTAGCTTTATACCGTCTTGTTCTCTTTTATCTACATGTTCTCTGTTATCTCACGGCGACTGCTAAGACTTTCGTTGAACATATCAATATTTCCTGTTTGGGCAATGGTGCTCAACCCTGTCTAGGGGTTCAGCTGAGCGGCTCCTCAAACGCCTAGCGAGTGTTGTGGGAATCCGTAACATGGAACTGGTCGACGCCGACCCCGCCGTTTCCACAGCGGAGGGTAATCAGAACTTCCAGAACAGGAAGTGGGTAATCAAGGAGTGGAGACAGACTCTGCGACACGACCCCGGGATCTTCGGACATGGGCATGTTAGGAGCAATTCTAAGGTCTAAGCTTTACTCATGAGGAGGGAAGGAAGAGGGTCAATGTTATTTGCGCGGAAAAGTGCTCTCACCTCGTTTACACAAGTAGTGCCCGGGCGGCTGTCAGAGCAGTTCTGTGGGTTCCAGGGATATCGATTGTCCCGAGTAACCGAGGATCCCGTGGTTGAAGGCGAACAGCCATCATTCGGTCGGTGTAGTAAAAGATTGATACTCATAGTAGCAAAATCAATTGTGCATATTCATTGTTCCCGCATTTAAGATTGATTATTTGCATTGTTACAATGCACATAGGAATACATTGAACTTACACACCACTAATTCCCTTGTTGTCTAGCTAGCCATCAAGCTAACCCCCGTTCACAGCTCCCTCTCAGCCCACGATTGAATGATACCTTCATTGCTCTCATCATACACCTTGAGCTCGACTTCCTCGCCTCTCAGGAAGGTGTTTGCCTGCGCAAACTTCCAGCGGGGCTTGGGCTTGGATGCCACGATCTTCCTCCACTCCTCGTACCTCCCCTCGACTGCAGAAAGGATCTTGTAGTACTTGGTGCAAGGCTTGACATCTGCAGTGCAACGCCAGATATGCAGGCAAGTGAGCAGTTGTCCCAAGGCTGGTTTACCGTGAGACAACAACTTGCCGCGGTCAACTCTGACGGTCAGGCTCCCAAGTGCCTCATCATGCTCGACAGTCAAGACGCCATGGCCCTCAAGAAGCAGGTGCTTCAAGATCGCGAATTGGCCCTGTGTCAGAACTCTAGTCAGCGCTAAGATAGCAAGAGGTTCGGAACTAGAGAGAATGGCTGCTACATACACTACGATGAGCCTCACCCCATGCCTGTTCGTCGATGTTGTAGAAGTCCAATGCCTGAAGTCCAGCTACACCGATGGAAATATATGTGTTGTAAATAACTGTGTTTCGTCAGCATGTTCGAGATTGCCTCAACAGTCCAGTCATGGTATACGAACTTTCGTCGGCTGTTATCGGTGTCGTGTCATCGTGTCCAAAGAGAGAAAGGAGCTCTTTGTTGTCGATGAGGTACATCGCCATGGCTTCAGCTCGGCATTCCTCTACCGCACCAGCAATCTCCCCAAATAAACGGTCCCAGGTTAGACCAGTGAGGTACCAGGTTCTCACTGGCTTGCCGGTAAGAGGATTGAGGGGAGGATTGGCCATGTCGAAGTTATAAACCCACGGATGCGTCTCACTCAGGAGTTTGCCAGTCCCGTGGCCGAACAGTTCATGAACTGCGGTTGTGATGTTTTTGACGCTGGGCATGCAATCCTTGTAGCGCCCTACCTCTTGTGGGTGGACATAATGGCAAGGGCTGGCTCTGTCGTTCTCAGCAGCAACTCGATTCGCCACTATGACATTCTTTGAGCCGCATGTCTCCCTGATGTCGTTGTATTTCGGTAGATTGATCCCATTCCAGACGATGCTTGAACATGATGCAAGTGCTAAAGGGAATGGTTAGAACATACAAATGCGGTGAAACACTATATAGAAGTCCAGCACTGACCATGCACGCTTGAAAAGTCTGGCGCTTCAAAAACTTCCTTCTCGAAAGGCCCTTTGCCATTGTTCACGCCGGGTACGGCCCAAGGTAGTAACCGGATGAAGGTGTCCGACATCTCGACGAGCTGCCTCAGACTGGAGCTCTCATTCGGGTCGGAGATGCAGACGATCCCCTCCCACTCACCTCTGACGCCGTACGGGTCTCTGTATGGCTCGACGAATCCGAACACTGATTCGATGGCAGGAGACTTGTCCGTGACCCACACCCTCTGGGCATCGCGAAATGCGTCTAGGCTTCCCGTCAGGAAGCTAGCGATGTAGTGGTCGATGACTTGTCGTTGTTTCTCGTTGCCGGCATACTCCTTTGCCCTCCCCAAAGATTGGCAAATATTTGCCATCGCTTCACGATGGTCCTCGCCGCAAACGCGGATAACCATGCCGAGCTCGTCCACATCGTCCAACAGGTCGAGGTATCCTGCAACAGCGGAAGCCTGCAAGACGTCAAAAACAGTCTGTCCCTGGTCTCCCTGCTTCTTGAGGATTCGAGTGTTCTCCGGCTTGATGGCACGTGCTTCCATGGCTTCGGAGACTAAGTCCAGCTCGTCTGGTGTGATTCGATCTCCCAGGTAGTAATTGGCCTGGGCGGTGTCGCTGGGATATCCGATGCTGGAAGGGGAGGTTGATAGCATAGGGTCAATAACACCCTTGAGCAGAGAGAGGGCTTCGGGCGAGCATGTGGCCAGCCTCTCGAGTGCATGTCGAGAGAGGTTCGTGATGATCTTCCTTCCCCCGTCGGCCTAAAGGAACTTCAATGAGTAGCTGTTCTCTTCAGAAATTCAGGTTCAATGAAAATAACATACAAAATAGTTGCCGATATTGCTCAGGAACAATGCAGCGTAGTCGAGAAATGCCGACAACTCTACTTCGGTGACTTTGCCTTCCTCCACAAAGTGATTCCAATCACCGCCACATGATTTGTGCAGTTCCATGATGAGATCGAAGATGGAGTTGGACTCTGGAGAGGTCTGGCTCATGATCACCCTGGCCCCGTGCCAGGCCGCCTTGGACAGATGATGTGCATAGAGCTGCTCACGCTCTGACAAGCGGTTGAAGACATCTTTGATGGCTAGCTGGTGCGTGAGAGCACCTTGGGGCTGGACGCACTTGCTGGCCATGTTCAAAAGTCCTGTTGAGGTCGATGCGAGAAGTGGATGGATGAGATGATATTGAAATATGAGGCCGAGATGCTGAACATTTCAGAACCCCCAAGGCAGAGCCGCAGAGATGGCGAGACATTCAAGTGCTCGATCAAGTTAAAGGCCACGTACAACATTTCATGAAAAGGCAACAGGCGTCGCTTCCCCAGGAAAGTACATGGCAAAGCATCAGATGGCAAAGAGCATCCTCCAGTTAGGTGATTTAGCAACAGTGCTGTGGCACAACTTCGTTCCGGCTTGGGAAGGACCCTACAATCAGGTAGTTACTTGCAGCCAAGGTAGCTGCAATCCGCTCAGGCTCTCAGCGCCGTCACCACCTCGCCTCACCCCACCCGCCATCAACAACTTCATTCCAGGCTGGGATGTGGTTGCATTCCGAAAGCTGTCCATGCGAGCGTGGGCTGTTCAATGACCGTTTTCCGGCACCCCAAGCTGCTGCCTCGTCGCTCGGTCGCCTCGGCACCTCAAGGCTGTCTTCACATGTCACTTTTTCTTCCCAGTGACAGCACCCAAGACGCCAGGATGGACACCAAGGAACTGTGAGTTACTGAGCCCACCCTCAGTCGGCCGTTCTTTCACGGTCTTGATAGCAAGAGGGCTAAGCCAGGACAAAGTGGAGAATTCTGTTCCAGGCATTGGCAGGCAACGACGGAGAAGTGCAAGAACTTGTTGGAGGCCAACGATCTAAAAGTGATCGAAGAGCTGGACTCTTGGGAAATTTTGCGAACGTCATTCATGGATCAAGCGAATCCTCGCGTCGCTGTGGCTGAACCTGCCTTAAGCCACCTTTGCACGTTCGTCGCCGTCTTTGAGTCGAAGCTGGGTCCCAGCCTGAGCTCAGAGTTCTTCTGGCGCTCGCTGGGAATCTTGATGTGAAACCTGTAGGCTAATGATCTATCGTTCCATGCTAAGACTCAACCCCAACTCTGGCATCCCAGGAATCCAATGCAAATGCGCAAGCAACTCGAATAATTTAACGAGAACTCAAGAGCATTGGTTACACAGCCGACTCGTTCAATACTTTTATGACCGTAGCCCAATCCTTTTCTGACCAACTGAGGGAGTTCTGTTTTTAGATGCAACTGCTTACGGATGCTGAACCTTACCTGAAAACGGTAGGCTATGTAGATGCGACCGAATTACAGCTCGATCTCGACCAGAAAGCCGATAATCTCCTGATCATCTTGTATGGCTTTCAAGCGCTGGAATTCGACTTCTTCGAAACGTGCTTCGCTGTTGGGTTGCATCTCTCAGTGCTGCGGACATTGTGGCCGCTTGCTGCGCCTCCACAGGCTGGATCGTGGGCTGCATGCAAGTGACTGTGGCCAGGCACCGACCCAGCTTTGCCAATCGCAAGAAAATTCGCCCATTAGCTCAGCTTCTGTATAGAGACGTGCACGCACGGCCATAAGTGCAGCCATCTGATCAAGTTTTGGCTCTCTGGCGTGTTCTCTTTCCGTTCATGCGAACATTGAACAGGTCGGGGCTTGTTCTCAAACTTACGATCATGGATATGAGCACCATCGCCAAATTGCCCCTCGCGGACGGCAGCTGGCTGAGCTCCCCAGGTTCATATCAGCGCTTGATCAGCCAGCTGGTTTCCTCAGATCCTCGACTCCGGCAGCGAGACCCAAAAACGGTGCGCCAAGGGTCGTCATGGCCGAACAAACATGCGAAGCTCATCATGCTGAAGCTTCAATCTGACGGAAGCTTTGACGCGCCGGCGGAATTCACGCCGCAGTCATTACAGCAGCATTTTCGGACAGCAGGGGTGTCCGGCGCTAGCAACTACAGCAGAGTCTACATCCTCGAAGGGCTTCATCCAGATTTCGTTTCCGTGCTTGGCGAGCATTTCGGCATGCATCCTTCCTTCTTCGTCGACCACGAGCGGGTGGTCGTCAATGCCGACGTCGCAGCAAAAGAAGCCGACACCCTGGTTCTGCCATCCTTGCTCAAATCAAGACAGCACTGTACGATGAAGTATTTCCAGCTGTTTGTCTTGCCACACAACGTGCGGGGCTGCTTCAAGATGTGCTGCCAAATGACGGGACGGCATATTGGGATCACCAGGGTCAAAGGCACGTTTTCCAGCGTCGGCATTCTCCGTCGGAAATGCTCCTTTTGGACGCGGCAAGCACAGCCTGGGCAGTCCTGGGAATGTAAGCACTTTTGCAGCTCCTTCGAAGCGGAAGCAATGCAACTAACGTTGAGAAGGCCTCATCATTACGGATCCACCGTTGCAAGTGGTGCGGCTCGCTCCGGATGAAAAGACAAACACAGTGGTGCCGATCGCGCTCACGCATTTCCAGGGCGGCTATCTCGACTTCATGCCGCACGAGATGCAAATGAGAACCCAGTCAGGGCCACCTCGCACATCAATGCTCGATGACATATGCTTCTACATCCGGACTTACGCCAACCTCATCAATACAGGCACCCCTGAGGGTATCTTGCTGTTTGCGAAGAAAATTGTAGCGTCGCACTACCTGCAGCATGCCCAATTCATGCGGTCGATCATCTCCACAACCCAGTTCCACATGTCCCGCAAGGCTGCTATCCGCTTGGAGCAGTTCAGCGGAGAGTTTGTAGAGGCTCAGTGGAGCGACGGGCAAGCCCTGGAGAGGCGCATGTGCGAGTACTGTGAAGACCTGGAGGGTATCATGCTGTAATGCAGAGTGCCGTTTGACCCACTGCATCTAGACTACATCAAGTCCTGGCAGGACATTATGATAGATTTCCAGTTCCTCTACAGGTGACTATACGACCTAAGGCATCATATTAAATCGCTCAACTTAGTAACAATAGGGCTGGCTGGTATAGCAGGCAATTAATAATCCTAATAGAAGTAGGCATTATTACTAAGGGAGGTGAAGAATATAAAGATATTAATCCTCTTAAGGCTAATATTTATTCTAATAGCTCTAATCTCCTCTATCTTTAGCATATCATAGCCATATAGGCTAGGTAATAACTAATTTTAGGTTTACTTTATCATCTTATATCCTCTTATTCTACTTATACTAGAGATATTTTATCTAATAAACATTAAGTTTAAACTTAGATTTTTTAATAAGGTCAGCTTAGAAAAGTAGAAGTACCTTTATTTACACTTAGAAATCTTATATTCAATTTTATAGCTATACAATCTAGCTTAGTTATACACCTTCTAAGTATTTAAAGAATATAAACCAGAAGACTATAGATCCTCTAAAAGTATAAATTATATCTATAAGAATAGCAAACTATTATAGATCATTTAAGCTTAGATAAAAGAGACTGTCTAATCATCTACTGCTAGCAGGAAAATAACAGCATATTTAGATTTACCTGCCTTATTAATTATATGTTATTCAAGCTATTTATTACTTAATTTCAGCAGTTCCTTTTATGCTTAACTAAACTAGAACTATAGGTCAGTCAATTATCTCTATAAATAGTATAAGATAATTAATAGATTATCTCTCTTTTACTTTAGATCTCTAACTTCTATGCTTCTAATAACTATTTAGCTAACTATGCCTAGTACCACCTAAAACAAGCAAACTATACTAGTAATAGAGTTAATAATAATAGATAGAGGATAGTTTAAAGGGAATAATCCTACTGCTTTACTTTCTTTAATATAGAGGCCTGATCATATTTACTGCTCTATCTTACCTATAAGCCAATGCTATCTCTTAGTTATAGAATCCCTACTATCTATAATTAAGAACTAGTTATAATACTAAAGCTTTACTTTTTAAATACATACTACATCACCCTCTTAAGTGCCAGCATCTATTTCTATTTCTTCTTCTTTCTAAAAGCTTTTAGATTAGAGCTAAAGCTTAGAGAAATCTAATTATAATATCATTCTAATATCCTCTTATAATATAAGTATCCTATTATTATATATCTTTCTCTAAACCTATTATCTATTTTATTGCTGAGGTATAGAAGCAATATTATCAGCCATCCTAGTTCTTTAGCCTGTCTATTAAGCCCTAGTCATCATTATTACTAAAGTATAAATAGCTGGTAACTATAGCTAAGATAGCTAAGGCGGCTAAGACAGCCAAGGCAATCAAGACGGCTGAGGAGTACATAGAGGCAGTTATAGTCACAGCAGTCACAACAGACCGGGTCCAGCTCAGGGTAGTTACAGCAGCAGACATAGCAGAGACAGTAGACAAGAACCAGGACAAGGCGGTCGCAGTCCAGCTCAAGGCAGTCATAGTAGACACAGCAGATAAGGACCAAGACAAGACAGTCCTCAATTCAACAGCAGAGGCTCAGCCTTCTTCAGCAGATTTAATCAGCCTAGTCATAATAGCAGTCAGCCCTAAAGCAGTAGATTCTAAGATGGTAGATTTTAAGATGGCTAGTAGGGTGATGATAGTTAGTGCCTAGAATCTAAGCTATATAAGTAAGAATGCCCAACCTCTAATAGAACATTACTCTTACTAATATAATCAGCTAGGCCACTAGAAGGCAAACCAGCACTCAACCTTTATATATAGAAGGCTAAGGATAGTATCTTTACTAAGGATAATTCTTAGGGAATAGGCAAGTTAATATTAACAGCCAGCCATCCTAAGAGATCTAGATATAGCATACTTAATAATAAGATTACCCTTTTTACCAACTATATCAAACTTATTAAGCCTCCTAAGTCTCTTACCCTCTACTGCTATAATATCTCTTATATACCTAAGGTTAAAGATAAGAAGTAGGCTTAGGTTATCAGACTTCTCCTAGAGTTAGATTAACTGGCTGATTTCATAAGTTAAATTATATTAGATTTTAGCAGTATCCTTCTATTATATGTCAAGCTAGTAAAGGATAACTAGACTATTTAGATGATATACTATACTAAGGCAGAAGATACCTCTCTTAATAATACTACTATATATAATATCACTCTTTAGTTTATTAATACCCTAAGAATATTACTACTATTAGATTATCTAAACTCTACTACCTCTCTAGTTCTATATACTAATAAGAATTAGATGCTATAAGCTCTTAATATCTTCTTAAAGTATTATATCTAGTGCTCTAGAGGTCTTATTACTATCAGCTTAAGTAAGATCTTCTCTATTAATCTAGGTAGTAGAGAGGTAAATCTAAGGGCCAGTCTTATTATTATCTATAGATTCTTCTCTAGTGTCTATATAGCTACTATATAACTACTAGTCAATATCAATATAAGCTATAGAGCTTTCTATAAGGCTAGAGACTTAAAGACTCTTATTAGCAACTACTATAAGAAGTATAACAGTCTGATAAGCCTTAATAAATTTCTTAAGAGGCTGCATCTAACTACAACCTATCTGCCTAAATATATAAATAAATAAGATAAGGTGATCCTGCTATAGCTAAAGACTATATTCAGCCTGATAACCTCTAATAATAGTTATAGAAATAAATATCCTCTAAGAGTTTAGAGACCTTATAGTCTGAAAGATATTAAGTTCTAGAAGGGTTCTAAGACCTCTAACCCGACAACAGTAACTAGTGGTGGAAAGAAGAAGAACAAGCAGCTAAAGACTGCTGCCCTATCATCTAGGCAGGATGAATATATCAGTGTTTATAAATATTTTTATAATAAGAAGTCTAGAAACATTACTTATATCAGGAACAGAACTAACTAGTATTATAGGCTATAGTATAGTAATAGATCTAGACTTACCTATTATTAATATTAGCACCTAAAAGTATCCCTTATATCTCCCTCTTAAGATTTACCAAGTCATTCTAGGCTAGCCAGTAGTAGTAAAGCTAGATCCTAAATAGATGTAAAATATAATTAAATTTACTATTTATCATCTATATCTAAATACATCCTCTATTACTAGTAATAGACTTAAGGCTATAGGGCTTATAAGTAAAAATGATCTCCTAGGTTAATTTATATTCTCTCCTACAACCAGTCTGATCATAATACTAGGATGTGTTCTATTTATATCTATATTAAAATACCTATAGAGGAAGAAGAAGAAGGTATTAGTACTAAGATATAGTTCTTAGAATCTAACTAATATCAACTTTATAGAGGCTAAGCAGCTTAATAAATGGTCCTCCCTACTAATTAAGCTAAAATCGCCCTACTTAAACAATCTAGTAAGAAGTTAATATTCTAAGTTTCTTAGTAATTTCTACTAGATAATAGAAGTAAGTAGCATAAACCTACCTAAAGTATTAGAGTGTTAAGAGAGATTATTTAATAATATAGGTGACCCTAAGTTAGACCTATTTTTTAAAGCATAAGTCACTAAGGGATAAAAGCTCCTGCTTATAATCATACCTAATATTAACATCATATTATACAACTAGATTAAGTATCTTAGTGATATTAAGTATGGCATTCATACAGTCTATATAGTCAGCAGTAAGATTGTTAAATAGAATAAGAAGCTTGACTAATATCTTAGCAATATATCACTTAAGGTCAATCTTAAGCTTAGCAGCTAGAACCACTATATTAAATCACATAAGTTACACCTCTTATATAACCTATTTAAGAACAATAAGATTATAGTTGTTAGTATTAACATTATATATCTATTATTAAGGTCTACTAAGTCTATACCTAGTATCACTAGTATAGTTATAAGTATAGATAGGGCCCTAATATAGTGGCTAGTAGTACTTAGCATTTAGAGTAAAGCTTGTAAGAAGATAGTTTCCGACCTTACTATCATATTAAAGTTATATCTCCTTCTTTAGAGGTTATAGTATAAGGAATATTCTAATAATATCCTTATCTATTAAGATAGTGTCTTAGAAGGCTAGTATGATATTATTCTCTAAGAAGAACTGCCTCTTCTTTATAAGATATGCTAGGAATTATACCCTTATTCTAGCCCTATAAAGTTAAAGGCAGACCTTCTGTAAATCTCTATTATTATTATCAGCAAGCGCCACTACACCTACTTCTATCTAATATTAGAGCCTAGTATTAAGAAATCAGGCAACCTATATCTAGGTACTGTTATCAATCATAGTATCACTAAAGCACACAACTAAGACTTTTTCCTATAGATATATACTACTATCTAAAGCACTGCCCAGCCTGTCTACTACTATATTATCTATAATAAGATCTTTTACTTATAGTTCAGCAAAACTAGTATAAGGAAGGTCGCTAAGATTATTTAAGACGTCATATAGAATATATACTATACCTTTAGCTAGGCTACTAAGGCTATAAGTATCTACACCCTAGTATACTACACCGATATTATCTATAAGTAGGCCAGGCGCTACTTAAGCAATCAGTTTGATCTACTTAGTGACTTATCTATAGTATTAACAATAGATAATAATACCTCCTAGAACACTCTACTCAACTCTAACTAGATCTAAATTTATAAGAGGCTTAAGAATATAATATTCTATATTTAAGGCCCTTAATAGGGAGGTATTAGAGGAGGATATTTTAAAATTCTAAGATTAATATATAAAGTACACTTCCCTCTTTATTATTTAAAATATAGATTGCCTTAGTTATTATATATAATATATATAAATTCTTCCTAAAAGCTAGATTTTTAAGCTTTAGATTCATCTTATATAGTTATATATAGTAGAGATTAAGGCTGGCATATTATTCAGATATAGACAGATATAGAATTAGAAAAGAGAAGAACACTAGAATAGTAGTGTAATATTATAAAAGAAAAGCCATTTAAGCACTACCTTTTAGTACCTATACTGGCTATAGTAGCCATAAGAATCTGTAGAACATACTGTAAAGTTAGGATCAGACTACTAAATATTATCTAGAGCCGTCTTATCTTTTCACACACCTATTCTCTGCTCTACATCATCCTTACCACTAGCTATATCAGAATACCTATTATACCCCCAGAACCACATAGCCTTAGTCTCAGCCGACAGCACCTTTTTAGTCGATATCTCCTAGATATAGAATTTTAGTGTCCTATCGCCTAAGTAGAAAAGCTCCAGCTGCTAATAGCTGTTAGCAAGTATCTTATAAATATAATAGAGAAGGGCTGTAAGATAGGACAGCTTATCAGCATGTATTTCCTCCTACCACTTAATATTATCAACAATATCTTAAACTTAGATATTCTTAAACACACCCTAATTATAGAAGGCGAGGATAAACTTAGGGATCTATATCAATCAGACATAAGACAGCTCCTTACTAAGCATATCATGGTCTTTCTTCTACAGACCTCTGGTTTTAAGATCAAATATAAATGCCTGGTCCACAAGACACCCTCCCTTTCTAACCTTAAGTTCTTTTGAATTGTTCATTGTAGTCAATACCTTCAGGTCGTGGATAGCATTGCTGATCTCATCACCAGGATCCTCCAGGGTGTTCGATGATGTCGTAGGTGCAACATTCAATGCCGCTTCACTATCATCAGCGGCGATATATCCATCAGCCTCAAACCGAGTCATAATGTTCAGGCCACCAAAGCTATAGCGCATGATACGCTGGTGCGAACAGGAGCCCTTCACGTCAGATCCCCATGTTGTGTATGCCTCCGGGAATGTATGACCGTAACCGCGGACGTTGGGGATGATCTCCCTCGGCGAGTTCTCCCTGCGGATCAAGAACACCGTATTTCCAACAATCTCCAGAGACATGCGAAAGGCCTGCTCCTGCCCGCGCACAAAGCGGAGCAGATTTCCCAGTGTGCTGCTGCAGCAAACGATGTCGACTGTCGAGGGAAGCTTGGGCTCTTCAGCAAGACTGGCAAGAACGGCAGGCTCCGTCGGGTGGTCTGGGTATCGGGCGCCGTTGGGGTCGCGGAAGTACTCTTCGCTGTCCTCGTCAAGCTTGGTCGGCGTTGGCAGAGGTGTCCACTTGGGAGGTTTTCCTTCAGGAGAGTCAGCGACAGCTACTTGCGTAGGGTGTCCATAGACTTATACCAGGAATCAGAATGGTGGGTGTTGGCGTGTCAAGCCAGCTGTAAGAGGCGACCAGACGACTACCAGTGATGACGGCTTGCCCTTTGAGCATCTGGGCTTCCGTGGTCAGGTCTGGTTTGCAGAGCGACTGTGAGACTGCTCCTGCAGGATGGTCTGGCCCAGGTCGGGTCGGCTCCAGTGTCGAGGAGCGCCAAGGTTGTTGTGCGAGGCCTCCGCGGCCGCGGCCACGACCCCGACCAAGGTGGTAGTTTGGGCGTACTCTATCCCGGTATGCCATAATTGCCTAGCTTCTGGGAGGGGAAATTAGTTTTCAAAGAGGAAGTTCTGGTATGCGGAAATGCCTTGCTCAAGTATTTGGGCTGGCTCGGTTTTGTGCCAACAGAGCAATCATGCCTTGCAAGCCACTATCTTCTGCTGACTGGTCAGTACTCTGCATACTGCATATGTGGAATGCAAGCATTTGCTGGCCTCTGGGCTCCGCGGCATGATTGTCGCCCACATCCGGAGTCGATTGGACAGTCTTTGTACCACAGGGAAAAGTTGGTCGGCCTCCAGCATATCCGTTTGTTGATTGGCCACTCGTGAGCATCTAGACTTTTCTAAGTGCTGTTTGTCTTGCTCTATGACTGGTCTGTGTCATTCGCCCTTCAATCCCAAGTTCTTGAATCCCTCAGCTTATAAAAGCGCATGGCCAGCTTTCTCTAACCTGGCCATTTAATGCTTCCTCATCATCCATCCTGAACTACATTGAACATTGAATGATACTGAATCCCTCACAACCATGGTGTCGTCGAATGACAAGCGCAAGACAGACCTTCTACCGGGTCTCTTTCGAGCGACAATCTATGGCAAGCGTCAAATCGCGACCATAAAGGATGCCAAGTTGTTCCTGGAGTCTCTCCAGAACGAAGATCCCCCCAGCCTCTGCATCGAAAAGCTTCTATCTAGCCCCTCGGGGCTCAACTGCGTCGCCCAGTCCGTGCGAATAGACCTTTCGGCTTCTTTTGCCCGCGATCACACATTGAAGCTGCTTGCCTACTTGTCGGACCCTGGAGTTGAAGCCCTTGCGGATGGTCTCTTGCTCAAACAAGTTCTTGAGGCTCTCGCGCAGCCACCGACAATGTGGAGGCGTCTCGTGGATCTCTGTCTGCAGCAAGAGATCCAGGGAGATGACCTCGCCCCATTCGCCTGGATCCTTGTCCAACTTGTCTCGTCTTCTTTGACACTGGCAGAGAAGAGCATCCTTGATGATGCGCGCTCTGTAATCGCCAGCGGCATTCTCAGCCAGTCGTCTTCCCATGTCGTCCGTGAATTTGGGTACAAACTTGTCAAGCTGGTCCAGTTGACAAGCTCCGCCACCCACATCCATTCTTCTCAATGCGCCACCCCAGGCGGACGGCATGACAATGACTTCGCCAACTTCCGCGACATTGCAATCTACCCCACCACCGACGAGTTGCTATCGACTAAAACGCCATTCTATCGAACTGCCGACGAGGTGTTCGAAGTTGGGGAGGACGCTCGCGAAGGTGTTCTCATTGACAATCAGTTCCGCTTACTGAGAGAGGACATGCTTGCTGAGCTGCGTGAGGATATGCAAATTGCCACCGGGCGAAAGAAGAGCAAGAGGAAGCCCTTGGTTCTCGGAGGGCTTGTTCCGGTTGGCCTCGATCTTGAGGCCAAAGGTCGCAACAAGCCATGTACTCTGGCCGTTAGGTGCCACGCTGGACTCGAGCAACTCAAGAAGTTGGAGACCGGTCGACGGAAGAAATATTTGTCGGACCACCCCAGTCTTCTTAAACACCAGGCCTTTGGGGTTCTATACCGTGGAGATGAGGTCTACGGATTCGCTTTCGTGGAGCGAGATGTCGACAGACTCTGCAAATCTCCACCAGAGGTGCTCCTTCAATTCACGGAAGAAGTGTCTTTCCGAAAAGCCCTTTCGGCTTTGAAAGTACCGCAAGACATCCGATTCACCCTGGTGGGCACTCCTGTGTTTGCGTACGAACCAGTCTTGCGGGGTCTCAAGGAGATCAGAGAACTTCCGCTTGAGGATGTCCTACTCAACCTTGAAGATCGGACGACGGACTTCACACCAGCATCCGGGGTCCTTACTATCATCAGAAGGCTTGAATCGGGTTCCAAGACTGTTTACCTCGGTGCTCAATGCTCTGCTGATGGGCTTCACCGATCTGGCCGACAGCAGGTCGAGTTTGACGACTCGCAGCGTGTCTCTTTGATCAATGCACTCTCCAGTCCTGTATCAATCATCCAGGGACCTCCCGGAACTGGCAAATCCTTTATTGGCGCCCAGATCGCCAAGTGCCTGTATCAATCGTCCGAGTCGAGGATTCTTGTCATCACGTACACGAATCATGCTCTGGACCAGTTTCTTGAGGATCTGATCAAGACTGGAATACCCGAATTTGCGATAGTACGCCTAGGATCCCGCTCCAAATGCACGGACGCCACAAGACCTCTTATTCTGTACGATCAAATGCACAACTATCGTCGTCCAAAGTCTGCATGGGACCTGATCAACCTGGCCAAAGAGGAGCTGAGAGAACTGAGCGAACGCCTTGAGCAGTCATTCAAAGAATATCGAAATTTCTCGCTCGCATGGCCTGTCATTGAGGAGCACCTAGAGTTCTCAGAAAACGATTTTGTTTTCCTCGAAGCACTTCAAATACCAGAGCAGGATGGCAATTGGAAGGTAGCTGGAAACAAAGGGAAGGGCAATGTCAAGCCTTCATACCTGTTCAATCGGTGGATGCTGGGTCAAGATGCTGGTGCTTTCCGGACTAGGCTTCCCCAGAGATCTGGATTCATATGGACAATGGACAAGGCCTTGCGACACGCTCATGTGGATAGATGGAAGCAAGAAATTTTGGGTAAGCGCCTTGATACGCTCCAGGAGCTGTTCCGCCAGTACAAGGAAACGCACGAGAAGCTTGAGACGATGTTCAAGGAGGGAGACGTGCATACCTTGAAGAACAAACGCATCATTGGGTGTACAACGACCGCGGCCTCGAAATATGCTGGTATCATCCGTCAGGCAGCAGCTGATGTCGTCCTCGCGGAAGAGGCCGGCGAGATTCTGGAGAGCCATATCTTGACAAGTGTGTCCAGTTCAGTCAAGCAGCTTATTCTCATTGGCGACCACAAGCAACTGCGGCCCAAGATCAACAATTATGCCTTGAGTGTCGAGAAGGGAGCTGGTTTTGACCTCAACCGATCGCTCTTTGAGCGACTGATTCGGCAAGATGCTCCATTCTGGACATTGCACAAGCAGCATCGCATGGTTCCAGAGATATCTCGGCTCCCAAGAGAAATGACCTATCCGGACTTGGTCGATGGACCGAAAACGGGGAGTCGAGCACCACTTCGCGGAGTCCGGGATCGAGTCATCTTCATTCACCACGACAAATTAGAAGCTGAGGATAGCGACTTGATCGACCGGAGGGACCCAGACGCGAAGTCAAGCAAGATGAACGCTTTTGAGGGTCAGATGGTCCTCAAGTGTGTTCGCTACCTTGCGCAACAGGGCTACAAGACCGAGCACATGGTCGTACTGACTCCGTACTTGGGCCAACTGCGACTTCTACTTGATATGCTCAAATCCGAACATGACCCTATCCTGAATGATCTGGACTCGTTCGAGATGATTCGAGCAGGCCTTCAAACAGAAGCGGGGGCAAAAGTCGACAAGAAGCCGCTCAGGATATCCACCATTGGTACGATTCCAATACCTGATTATCTTTGGATTATTACTAATGTCGAGTAGATAACTATCAGGGAGAGGAGAGCGATATTGTCATTGCATCTCTCACAAGAAGTAACAAAGACGCGAATATTGGGTTCATGCAAGCTCCCGAACGTCTTAACGTCCTGGTCTCACGAGCCCGAGATTGCCTCATCATGATCGGTAACTCGGAGACCTTCATGAAGAGCAAGCGCGGCAAGGAAACCTGGTGTCGATTCTTTGAGCTTCTCAAAGCCAAAAGTCAGTTGTACGACGGACTGCCAGTACGCTGTGAGCGTCATCCAGAGAGGACAGCGGTCCTGAGTGACCCCAGTGACTTTGATAAATTCTGCCCGGATGGAGGATGTGCCGAGCCATGCAACATGCCCTTCAAGTGCGGTCAGCACAAGTGCGAACTCCGATGTCACCGAGTTTCCGACCACTCCAAAATCGAGTGCACGCGGTTGGTGAAGAGAACGTGCAAACGAGGACACCAGACCAGCATCCGATGTAGCCAGACAGGCGCAAAATGCGCCAAATGTGTACAGGAAGACATTGCGCAGGAGCGCAGACTCAAGAGAGATCTCCAACTTGAGGAAGTTCGCCTCAGACGCGAGACTGCCTACCGATCAGAGCTAGAGAAGCTGCAAGATGAGGCCTATCATCTGCGTCTTACTATCAAGTGTGAGATGGAAGCGGAAGAGCAGAAGAAGACACTACAGCAACAGCGGGCAGATATTGATGGTTTGAAGGCAACAGCTCTCAGGACCCGTCAGCAGAAGCAAAAAGAGGCACAAATCCAAGCGACCAAAGCAAGTATCCCAACAAATCGTCCGAGTGAAGACTGCCTCGAACATCCGAGCGGTGCAAGGCAGGAATGGGAAGAGATAAAACGGACGGATTTGGCGGTCTGCAAGGCGCTTGACAGTCTGATGGAAATGATTGGGCTTGAAGGCGTCAAAGAATCATTCCTCGGTGTGAAGAACCGAGTCGACACAGCCATACGTCAGAATATCTCCCTGAAGAAAGATCGGTTCAACTGTTCCCTCCTCGGCAATCCAGGCACCGGCAAAACAACCGTCGCACGTCTATACGCCGAATTGCTCACTTCCGTCGGCGCCATACCGGGTAGTTGCTTCAAAGAAACCACTGGCTCGAGTCTCGCAAATGGGGGTATTACTGGATGCGAAAAGCTCATTGATGAGATCCTCACGGATGGAGGCGGTGTCTTGTTCATCGACGAAGCGTATCAGCTCACATCCGGCAACTCCTATGGCGGTGCTGGTGTTCTTGATTATCTCCTACCCAAGATTGAGGAGCTAGTTGGCCAGGTTGTTTTCGTCCTTGCCGGGTACAACAAGCAGATGGAGTCCTTCTTCGCCCATAACCCGGGCTTGCCGAGTCGTTTCCCGATCGACATGAAGTTTGATGATTATAGCAATGAAGAGCTCCTCTCCATTCTCGGGCTCAAGATCGGACAGAGATTCTCGAACCGAATGCAGTGTGAAGATGGCCTCCGGGGTCTCTACTGCCGCATCGCTTCGCAAAGAATCGGGCGAGGTCGCGGTCGTGAAGGGTTCGGGAACGCTAGGGCTGTGGAGAATGTGCTGACGCGAATCCTGAACCGTCAAGCGATGCGGTTGCGGCGAGAGCGCAAAGCTGGTAAGAAGCCGGATGACATGTGGCTGACAAAAGAGGACCTGATCGGGCCAGAACCTTCCGGCGCACTATCCACCTGTACGGCCTGGAAGAAGCTCCAGAGCCTGATCGGACTGGGTACTGTGAAGGAGGCTGTCAGAGCTCTTTTAGACAGCGTACAGCACAATTATGACCGGGAGCTTGCCGAGCAGCCCCTTGTCGAATACTCGTTGAACAAGATATTCCTGGGATCTCCAGGCACCGGCAAGACCACGGTCGCAAAGCTGTACGGGGAAATTCTTTCGCATCTCGGCTTGCTGTCAAGATCGGAAGGTAGGAAATCCCCGGACTGGATGCAATTCTCATGGAAACTAATGCGGTGTTAGTTGTGGTGAAAAACCCGTCGGACTTCGTTGGGGGAGCTCTGGGGCAGTCTGAGCAGCAGACAAAGGGGATTCTTGCTGCATCGGTTGGCAAGGTGCTCGTGATCGACGAGGCTTATGGTCTGTATGGTGGCAGCGGAGGACAGTCTGGTTCGGTCAGTGACCCGTACAAGTCAGCGGTCATCGACACGATTGTGGCCGAAGTACAGAGCGTCCCAGGCGATGATCGCTGTGTCCTCCTGCTTGGATACAAGGACCAGATGGAAGACATGCTCCAGAATGTCAACCCAGGTCTTGCTAGGCGATTTCCCTTGGCCTCTGCGTTCGTCTTTGAGGATTTTACCGACGATGAGCTTCGAGAAATACTGGACCTCAAGCTTAAACATCAAGGGTTTGGTGCCACGAACCAGGCTAAGCAGGTCGCAATGGAGATGCTTCAGCGTGCTCGAAATCGACCTAATTTTGGCAACGCTGGCGAGATTGACATCATCTTGGACACTGCCAAAGCGCGACAACAGCGACGAATCTCGGGCAAACGACCAGCTTCTTCGACAACGTTCGAGGCAGTAGACTTTGATCCAAACTTCGATCGCGCGATGAGGTCTGAGACGAACATCAAGAAGCTTTTCGAAGGTGATGTCGGACGCGAACAGGTTATTGAGATACTTGAGGACTACCAGAGCATCGTCCGCAAGGTCAAGGATCTTGATATGGACCCAAAAGAGAACATACCTTTCAACTTCTTATTCCGGGGCCCCCCGGGTACTGGCAAGACAACCACAGCTAAGAAGATGGGCAAGTTCTTTTACGACCTGGGGTTTCTCGCCACAGCAGAGGTTATCGAGTGCTCCGCCTCTGATCTTGTCGCACAATATGTTGGCCAAACAGGGCCTAAAGTGCGGAACCGTCTCGACAATGCTCTAGGTCGTGTTCTTTTCATTGATGAGGCCTACCGTCTAGGGGAGGGTCATTTCGCAAAAGAAGCAGTCGATGAGCTTGTTGATTCAATCACCAAGTCCAAGTACAAAAAGAAGCTAGTGATTATCCTCGCCGGCTACGAAAAGGATATCAACCAGCTCATATCAACAAACACTGGTCTGAGCTCTAGATTCCCGGAGGTTATAGATTTCCGAGGTCTTTCACCCTCTGAATGTATTGACCTATTGACATCCTTGCTCCAAGCCCACAAGAAACGCCTTGCTGCAAAGGGCAAGACACTGGACTTGAGCGTGCTGGAGGAGCCCGATCCGACATTCACGGCCAAATTGTCCGGATATTTCTCTGAGCTTGCAAAGCAAGAAAGCTGGGGCAGCGCCCGAGACGTCAACACACTTGCCAAGGAAATCTTCAACAAGACCATCCTAGCCAAAGCTCCCGGAGCGGCTGGAAATATCTTGAAGGCAGAAGAGTCAACGGTCTATGCCGAGTTGGAGCGGATGTTTTCTGAGCGCACATTGCGCGAGCAGTCTTCGTCTTCAACCACTTCAATCTCCAACCGAGTGGAGCATCAGCTATTCCTTCCGAGACAGGTTGCCCCTACCATCACTGCTAAACCGCAGGCGGCCCACCGTAATGCTTGCGCGGCTCGTACTACCATAACTGCGGAGAACAGGAGTTCTGTAGAGCAGCCAGCTCCAGAGCATTCAAAGCCTCTTCTAGAGACTGGATGTGATGTCGCTCACGCCAAGTCTGTCCTAGACGCCAAACGCGACGCTGGGGTGAGCGACGCCGTGTGGGAGCAGCTGGAGAGGGACAAGCGGGCTCAGATTGCAAGGGAACAAGAATACGAGCGCCTGCTCGTGGCGCAACGAGAGGCTTCCGAAACCGACAGACGAGCGATTCTGGAGCGTCTATTGGAGGAAAAGAAGAGGCGAGAGGAGGAGAAAGCCATGCAAAAGAAGCTCATGATGATGGGACGATGCCCAATGGGATACGAGTGGATCAAGCAATCAGGCGGGTACAGATGTGCGGGTGGAAGTCATTTCGTGAGCGATAAGGATCTTGCCGCCAATTGTTGAAGGTGTGCCAAAGAAAGGGAGGAGAGAATTGATCATGTCACATACACCCAAAGCAGTCCTGTCTCTGCGGAGTGGGTGGTGCCACGCCCCATTACACTCTGAATATTTCCTCGTAACCATCATGCATGACTTGTTTAAGAATACATTCAATTCGATGGAAGAAGATTTCTGTTGTGACGCTGTGCCCATTCGCGAGAAGGCAACTTGGACCTTGAGCCTGCGACAACTGCAGATGAGACAAATGCGTCAGCGATTTATCGAGCCGAAGAAACTATTAGCAGCGAAGGACAGCACGAGGATTGGTAACGAGAGGGACGTAGACAAGCGCACTGACCGAGACGAGCATACTGACAGATCATGTCCTTTTCGTCAGAAAACTTTAGGCCACAGAGCCGGAGATGTACCATTCCACTCTCGTTCCTCAGAGGATCCGTGGTGAAGGTAGGCGATTTGCAGCTTTCATTGGGGCATCGAAGTGTAAAGAGCCCACGAAACCGATCCATCTCGTACTCGAACACCCATAAATGCCGCCGTTCGACGTCGATCTGGGTTATACAGGGTTGGGCAGTAGGTCTGTTTTCACTTGGGTGTGGCGATAATGGCGGAGGCTCGGAGACAGCCGTCGTAGACTCGCGGCCAAATCTCACGTAGGCGTCGTCAAAGACATATATGTCCACTGTATTGAGCTGGAACTCGGGCTTCGTGCAAAGGCGCTCGCCGATGGCCGGGGTGGACTCCGCAGCCTTCTTGATCAAAGCTTCGCGGCGTCGGTGGGCATTTTCAAGCCGGGTACTGCGCTCCTTGAGCAGTCTGCGTATGCCGGCCTCGAACTTGTCCTCTGTGGCTTGGTGAAAGGCTTGGATTCGAGCCCATTCCGCCTTAATAGTGCTTGGTATTTCCATTGGTGGAGGTGACGTGGTCCGAGTTTGCCGAGTCTTCATTTCTGAAAGGTTCGAAGATAAGAGAGAAAGAGCTTTTGTCTTCAAGGTAGCGCCAGCACTGAGATTTGAAGCTTGATATTGTTAGGGAGTGGTGGTCTGTTACGCAGGGATTAGTTGATTAATCAATGGTCAAGTACCAGCGTAGGAGGACAAATAGAAGTAACACCAACAGGTAAATGCCCTTTGGTCTCCTTGAGCACCGTCTGGCATGTTCAGCAGATGAAAATGTATCCGGCGTCCATGTTAGTCAACAAGAGTAGTCAGCGAAAATCGTCCTGGAAAAGGGTGCTTCAGACGAGAAGAATGGCCATTATTTGCCTCTGGTGTGTGGATGAAAGGCACGCGAAGAAACGGTGGCTGGTCCACAGAGGCCTGGCGAGTACCTAGCGACCGAAACTCCTGCATCGAGATTCAAGTTGTTGGGCCCAGCAGCTGCTTGCAAGGGTTTGGCGCCACTTTGTGTTCATTGGCTGCCTCCGGGTTGCCTATCCTTCATTACCAGTCAGGGTGGTAGAACTAATTCCTGCTCATACTTCATTACGGAATAGTTAGTGGTGGCATCCCGCATGTGAAAAATTTGCTTCGTACTAGGGTCTGGGGATGCGAACCAACAGCACTCATGACCGGGAATGGATTGGCTGGTAATTTTGTAGGCCGCATGGCTCACACTGAACAGCTGCACAGCTCCCAAAAAAGGAGGACGGCAAAAAGACGAACGAAACGAGGAGCTCAGAGACCAAAGCACCATGCAGTGGGGCATGTCTCAAAACCTGGACCGCGTACTGCAATCGTGATGAGCCCTGGGCTGCTCTGTCGTGATTTGGTCTTTTTGGATGTGAGAAGAAGTTTCCCAACAGGTATCCTTTGGGAATCGAGTCTCTCTGTCCTCTTCAAGTCCTCTGTCTAGTGTGGGACTAGATGCATTCAACTTTTGGCCTCGTTTTACTGCCCACAGATCCAACCTTGTCGCAAGATGTCACGCCGAAGGGTAGCACGGTCCAAGCCTGCTGCCACCGTGTGCCCCCCAAGAGATGTGTAAGTCTTTCTATCGAACATGTTTACAGAGAGACTCAAGCTATCTGATACTGACAAGAATCTTCTAAATTAGTGTTCTAGGTGTAGATACGGGCAGCACAAGCCTTAGAGCGACTTTTATAGATCCCATTGACCCGAGCTTCATCTACCACCTTCAGAACAACGAATCCTCCAGCCGTGACAAACGCTATAACACTGGAGACTTCGCTACGGATATCTATCCCTTTGACGATGGCCCTCTGTATCCAAGCCACGACACCAGGCCCTTCAAGGATCGCAGATCAACCCCAGCGAAATCCGCTCTCTACATCGTGGCCGGGGCCGAGGAGAATGTTCTCGATCAGTACCCGATGCTGGATGCGCTCAGGACGAGAGCACAGGAAGATCCATCTTTCCGCACACGTCTTGAGGAAGGATTAGTCCTCATGTTTTCCGAATTGTGGAGGAAGTTGCAGGCCACCTGCCATCGGCGCAACTTTCGCATCTCGACAGTTGCATTGTCCGTTCCAACACAGTGGAGAGAAAATTTCGAGATCAAGTACAGGGAGATAATCGTACGAGCATTCGGCTTAGCCCCAGAGAAGGTAATATTTGAAACAGAGGCACTGTCCATCGCCCATTATCTACTCCGGCAATATTCCGACTTGATGATCCTCCACGGGGAACCGGCCTACGTTCTGTTCCTGGACTTCGGCGGCCAGAGCATGGTTAGTCAACGACACGCAGCTGGAAATCTTATCTCCAGCGATGAAGCTCACTGCTGTCTCTATGCAGAATCACTGTACGTTCTACGTCGTAGCCAACTCGGACAACCCTGACGATCGCGTCATCTACCGTGTTGGGGACGCTGGAGGTGAGTAGCATACACTCTTTATCTCTCTGACGAAGTGATCCTCTTTCTTCAGACCGCTTTATATCCTTTTCATTACGTTATACTGTACTCTCTAATGCAACCGATTGCAGGTGTTGCCGGGGGCAGTGAGCACTGGGAATACCGGATCTGTGACTGGTGGCTGGGACAGCAACGAAACCTACACTTATTTCCTGACACCCCACGGGCTGTCAATGACCTGCGCGACAGGTTGAACGAGTTGAAGAGAGAAGTCGACGTCAATGGCAGAATGGATTTCTTGCTCAATGAAGGGGATGCACTCCACGGCACTGTCTACAGAGTTTCGATTGCCAGCAACATTGTCAGGGACAAATTTGACGAGGCACTCGGCCCCCCGCTCGAAGTGGCCGAGGAGCAGATCAGATGTCTTGCCGAGTTCAACAAGGCAGTCACGAGGGTGATCGTGTCTGGCGGGACATCTCATATCAAACATCTACAGGGCATCCTACGACAGGCCTGCAGGTCCAATGGTATTCCGGACCCGCATTTTGTGCGGCCAGAGTGGAATGTCAATTACGAGTAGGTTTGGGGCGTGATGGAAGATGGCTGACCGGATGAAGCACCCTTACTGACAGACTCCAACCATCACAGGTCGTCCATGATTGCGGCGGGCGCTGCGTACATTCAGGAGAACACATTGACGGTTAAGAGTTTCATGGATCGAGGAGCGGCGTTCGGATTCCAGCCGGTGAGGAATGGTGTGGCGGAGAATAACGCATACATTGCCCTGGACGCGGTTCGCAGCCCCTCCACCTCCGTTGTCAATCAGTGCCAATAACAACTGACGCGTGACTATTCGATGACAGTCAAGCAAGAGCTACAAGTACAGGTTCGACTCATCACAAGAAATTAGCGAAATCCGAATCGTCTGCAACCCGTTCTGCGGCTTGGATCACACTCGAATCCAAAAGCGTCGTGGAGCTGCGAGAGCATCCCGACCGCGAAGACCTACATTCCCAGTGCAGGGTTGCTACGATGTCATGATCATACCCGTCGACAAAACCCAAGGTCGCTGGCAATATAGCTTACAGTGGACAGGCGAATTGGACAGTCTCAGCTCAGTGCGTTTAATGGTGCTAAGGACCGGAACATTGGGGGTGGAGGTGGTTGGGAACAAGGCGTTCCCAGTCTACGTTGACAAAGCGCAGGGCTGCGTTCACTTCGGGGGAATGTTCACTGATCCGGACAACCCTCATCTACCCCTGCCAAATGAGCAACAACGCCTCGAGATACTCTCGGATTCTGAGAGCGACCAGGAGAGCCAGGATGGCCTCGAGGATGGCTTCGAGGATGGGTTTGTTGGTTCCGACACGACGAGCGTGGGCTTTGGGAGTGCATGATTAGCGGCAAATGGATGCCGAATGATACAAGAATTCTTATCATTCACAAGACATGCATTACATTGACGCACGATCCTTGGCCGCTGAATGGGCACGGAATGGTCCCCGGACCACCCAGCGACGCACAGACAGTGATCTGCCAGCGAACAGGGATCCTGGCCGTATTTGCTTTTTTTCCGAACCAGTCATTTACTGGGTTAAATGAAAACAAGGCTCTCACCGAAAATGACAAGGGTGACCGCGCCGCAAGTCGTAGAGGGCTCTCCCTTTGCTCCCCATCCCAGTAGTTGACCCAAAAACTTTCAAAAGCATGATGAGCATGTTGCACCAGTCGCAGACAGCGCTGCCTCCCCATGTCAGGAGCACCTGTGAGACCGGCGGGTTCGTTCCCCGACCGCCCCCCTGCATATCCATTGAATCAAAACCAATCAGCACAAGAGAGCGATAACAAATAGCTGGAAGCATTCAATGCTGGGCAATCTCGGATGAAACTTATTGCAACGGTGGCTTGCATTAGACAGGTGTTGTGCAACCACGGCCCAGGACGCCCAACATGGCCGCAAAGTTTTTCTGACTCACGCTGCTCAAACCGGGACACCTGCTGCACATCCCGTAAAGCACGCCAGCTACGAACGAGCCTATCGGATCGTTCCGTGAGGGTGAGACAAATGCAGTTCTTTTCCATTCGAGTTACTACAATATTGCGATAGCATTGGGAGGCGTCGCGACCCCGCCATAGACATGCAGGGGGGCGCTGGTGAGCATGAATGACCACTTCCCAGCCTCTCGACAGGCATCGGCCAGCTTCTCCAAGTTCCAGAGCTCCCCAAGCGGTGAGCCCCAGTGACCAAGCAACCAGTCATGCAGGCGCACCTTGCCAGGAGTGGAAAACGGGATGGGCGTCAGCTCGAACCCAAGGGTGTCGGTGGCCACAGCAGCAAAGTGGTGGTTCCACAGCCACCGTACCGAGTCCATCGACGCTTCTACACCGATGAAAGCGGCCCTCTCGTTGGACCTGGCAAGTTCTTCCTCGCTTGCTGCCGCGTGCCATGCAGTGTACCCTGTGCGGAGGAGCAGGATGTCGCCTGGCCGGAAGTTGGTCCCCTGGTGTGCGGCCACCGCATCCAGTTCCTCGATGGTAATGGCGAACTCCGTGTTCACAGGTGCAGGAGGCTGGCCAGTCTCCCTGCGCCAAGCCTCGTAATCCAGCAGGACGCCACGACCAACAATGCCGCCTCTCTCGACCCAATCTATTGTCAGACAACGGAGTTAACATCCGTCCCCAACACTGTTGCCTATCAGACAATTATGACTTACTCTGCGTGCCGAGCCTTCCGGTCCTGTCATTGAGAATTTCTTGGTGTTTCATCCCTCCGTAGTATGTCGCAGAGTCCTGCAGCCCTCCGTGCCTGAGCCCATCCCATTGGGAGCTACTCTGTGTGTTGAACGACAGCAGGTCATCGTGCAGGTGACACTCGTAATACGATCCACGAAGCTTCTCCTTGAAGTCGACAATCTTTTGCTGGAATTGTTCACGGCCACAGCCGAGATGTTTGAAGTAGTCCAGTCGGAGGTCCAGTTGCACAGAGATGCCCTTCTGGACTTCCTTGGCCGCTTCTCGGACCACGTCCGGCGTGAGGAAGTTGAGTGCTATTCCACCCGGTCAGTATCACGTCAATAACCAGACCAATGGTCCCCAGGAGATCGTACTGCCTAATTGATCATCTTTCCCCCACAAGCCCCAAGCACAGCCTTGCGGCTGCCCCTCGACCTTGGGCAGGGAGTCAAAGTCAGGATAAGCCATCTATACAGTTGCACAGTCGTTTACTTGCCTAGGGTTCAACAACTTCCGTACACAGCATTCCCTTTGTCTGCCCATTCGACTTTTCCGACGCCCTGACTGCCTCCCGGGCGGGGTAGTCTTCTACCTAGGCTAACGTGGTCTCCCGATCACCAGATGGGTTAGTTTTCGCAGCCATCTCCACACGACTAGCCGGCTTTTTGCGGCCTTTTATTTCCGATCTTCGGCCGCAAAGTAATCTAGCGTCGGACAACATCCACCGACAGCACAGACAAACGTTGTACGAATACAGCAAGACATCTGAACTTTTGTCTCTTGGTTCGACACTGGTGTTAAGTTTGTTCAGAGCAAAAGGGCAGATGAGATCGGTCTAGAAAGCATGCGCGCACCAGGAACCGGTGCCTTTAGCGCTAGATCTTATCTGATCATCTTGCGGAGAAACGAACGATCGGCGGAAACCCGTCTCTCCCCAAAGAACATGATCATCTCGACAGTTGATCCCCTGCTCCAAACCCCTCTTGCTTCCCCACAATGTCAGAATCCTCTCTGTAGCTCTATTTCATGACTAGTCTAGAATTCTTCCCTCCAGGAAATCTCGCATCTTCTGCACATTACAGGGAGTCAAACCTTGTTCCACTTTGATCGCCCCCGTTGATCGCCCCCGTTGAGCTTCTCTGCCAGCATCTGAAAGACTTGCAACATGGTGACCTTGTTCCAACTCGGTGTAGGTTCGGTTTGAGTTGAAACGCGTACAGCATAGAGAGTGCTGACCCCACGTGCAGTTGATATTATTTATCTGTCTGGGCAGCTTGACCTACGGGTACGGCAGCAGCATCATTGCGACCACGCTCGGGCAGCCGACGTTCATTGACTACTTTGATCTCGACAAGCGCTCAAACGCAAATGCCTTGATCGGGGCGATCAACGGCCTGTTCCAGGCTGGTGGCCTGTTTGGCGCCATCTCCGTGCTTTGGATCCCAGACAGATTCGGCCGCCGAATGGCGATCTTCGTCGGCGGTGTGTTTTGTGTCGTTGGAGGAGCTCTCCAGGCTGGTAGCGTCCACATCGGCATGTTCCTCGTGGCGAGATTCTTGTCTGGCTATGGGATCGGTAAGCTCATCGTGCTCACTCTCTGCTTCGCCTGGGATTAATCATTGTGATGATTCGGTCTCGTACTAACCTTATCTACAGGCTCACTAGTCACTCTGACACCACTCTACCAGAGCGAGGTGTCGCCGACCAACATCAGAGGTCTGCTTGTAGGAATGCACGGCGTCATGCTCTGCGTCGGCTACACGCTTGCCAGCTGGGTTGGTCTCGGCTTCTACTTCGTTCAGGGAACTTACAGCCAATGGCGGGGACCCCTGGCCATCCAGGTCCTCTTTCCCTTGCTGCTCTGTATGGGTGTCTTCTTTGTCCCCGAATCACCTCGCTGGCGTAAGTCTACGTGCAACCCCACTACATAGATATGCCAGTAACGATTATTGTTTTCTAGTGCTCGTGCAAGACGACCACGGCAAGGCCCAAACTGAGTTCAACAAAATCCATTCCGATCTGAAGAACCCCACTCAACAAAAGGTCCTCCAAGACGAGTTCCTCCTTCTTCGAGCCCAGGTCTCTCAGGAACTCAAGAACCGGGTTCCGTTATTGGACTTCTTTCGGCAAAAGTCTCTCCGCAAGCGATGCATAATTGGGTGGCTCACCTTTTTCGCGGGCCAGGGCACAGCGACATTGGTCATAAACAGTAAGGGGATCCCGCTGCGTGCTTTTCCGGGCTTTGAGCTGATTCACTCAACAGACTACGGACCATCTCTTTACGCCAGCTTAGGCTTTAATACTGTGCAGCAGCTTCTAATCCAGTGCGGATGGATTAGTGTTTGTCCTTTTGCCAACTTTGTCAACTCTCTTATCGTAGACCGAGTCGGCCGCACCAGGCTCCTGAGTAAGCCTCATATAGTCGTCGTACTTTCAAGTCATCATTTACTAATTGATCCCACGTAGTGTTCGGTCTCGGTGGATCTGTCGTAGCACTGATCGGCGAGTGCATTACAGTGGACATCTTCCAGAAGAATGGGAGCCGGAGTGTCGCTGGTGCTGCCGTCTTCTTCCTATTCCTGCACATCCTCTGCTTCGGATTGTCGTACGACGCAACAAGCTATGTCTACGGCAGCGAGATCTTCCCGAATCCGGTTCGAGCACGTGGACTCGGCATCTCGGTCACAGGCTTGTTTGTGGCTACCATTATCTTCCTCCAGTGCGCCCCGACCGCTTTTGCAGATATCGGCTGGAAATACTATACCGTGTTTATTGCCCTGAGCACGGTCATGATATTTGTTGTTGGCTTCTATTTCCCAGAGGTATGTTGTTCGCTCAGGAAGCATGGTACCCTGACGGCTTGGCATTGCTGACGGACTGGTGTGCCAGACCAACGGAAAATCCCTTGAGGACATAGCCGAGGTCTTTGGCGACGAGATTGCTCTGGAAGATGAGAACCTGGAGAACATCCATCGGCAATTCAAGATGACCAACTACAATGAGGGCTTGCTGGTTGATTTGATGGATAGGGAGAAGGTTGCTGGCACGAATGAGGCTTAAGAGAATGGCTGCAGCTGATCTGAAGACTGAACGAGCATTGCTCATGTAAGTTGGGTGAGGTCGGATGAGGATTATCGAGAAGCAGCTCTTGAGGTAGTTCGTTTCCATTGCTTGAAGCCCATGCTGCAAAAGCCGCAACGACCACTGTTTGACCCAACTTTATTTCTTACAAACTCATGGGGCAGTTCCATCTAATTAGCTAGTATTTCACATTGCTGCCCTCAACCTTTGGCCCAGCCTGCCATTCAAGAAATCCCTTCTTACACCACTATCTTCAATATCGTCACCCAAAAGCGGTATGCCCTCCCTTGGTCTAGTGCAGAGAACCTCAGTGATATTCATCCCGACAAATCTCATTTGATTTCATTCATTTCTTCGACAGAGGTATTTCGCATCCACTCCATACCCGCGAAGCTTCTCCGACAAAGCCGGCCCGACAGGACCAGGTACGAACCCGAACCGGGCCCAAAATGACGTCGTCCCGTAGACGGAAATCAGGCAGGTCTCGGGAAACTGCCGAGCGACTTTGAGGAGCCTGTCTACGCACTCGGCTGCGTGGCCCTGGCCCCGGAGTCTTTTCGAGACGGCGACGTCGTGAATGTAGTAAGCGTCCGCGTTGGCATCTATCGCTCCCAGTAAAGTGTCTAGAGTGGGCGGCTGGCCGCTGCGGATGGGGTGCGAGATTGTGTAGCCGCAGACCTTTTGCCCATCGACGAGGACCATGCAGCCTTGGGGGAAAAGCCTGATGCGTTCCGCGAACACGTCTTTGCTCTCCGGCAGATCGGTGTGGATCTCGTTGGAGACAAGTGCGATACCGTCGATATCGTTGATTGATGCATTACGCCAGGAAGCCATGGCAGGCCTGTGTTTCAGCGCGTCTCGCTCTGGTTCGCTGCAGATTAAGTGCAACTGTTCTCTTTTAGTTGAGAAGAGGAGTGAAACCATGAACCCACCTTCGCTGGTGGAAGAATCTAGCGTCTTGGTGCACGTGACAGTTTCGGCTCTCTGGCTTCACAGTCCCGCATTCCACGGGTCAAGTTGAGAGGTGGCTAACTTGGATCTCCCAATGAAGCTCAGCTATAGACACAAGAATGGCTACTTGAAAATGATTCGTTTTCTGGAAGGTCAGCTCCGACCCCCAGCCATGGAGTCAGGGAAGCCACCACATTGGCCTGAAGCATGATGCAGAGAAAGTTTTACTCTTGCAATTCCAGAAGACCGAGACCAAGTCTCGAGAAAGCTGGTTTTCTTGCTCAACCGCGCTTGTTCTCCCGGAGGGGGTCAACAGCTACAAGGAAGGGTGGGTTAATTCACTCGGGCTGTGCGAGCACGAGAAACAAACAATTCCATGAAAGATTCTACACCGCACGGGTGCCCTGCTTTTGCTGTTTATTTTATCACCATGACTTGGATCAAATTATGTTGATACTGCAAAGGTGTAACCCAGGGGCTTTGGCATCCACAAGGTCTCAACAGTGAAACTTTGCCGGAACACATATGTTGAATAAAAGCTCGCTGCTCTGGTCGACGTGTCAAGTTCAAGCCTAGACATTGTAGATTTAACTCGATGAAAGAGACAGTGCCTGCCGAACAATAGCATTACTAAAATAGCTCTAGATGAATCTACCCAGCCAACCCAAACATCCCTTCTTACATTGGACCCGTACCCTTCCCCAGAGATGGTCTAGCATCCCGACCTCAGTTAGTCAGGCTAATTCGGCTCTGTGATATTGTGTTTCCAGCTCCTGTGGTTCTCGCATCGGGTACTTTGCACCGCGATCCATGTTCCAAGCACTGTCGTGCTCTTGCGGTGTCTTCGACACATTTCCATACTCTTTGGAGGCGTAGTATTCGTCACCAGGGAGTTCTAAGCCTGGATAATGCGGGCTTTCATACTCCCTTTCTTTGGTGGGCGAAGCTTTGGCAGCGGCCTTGCGGCGCTTCCAGAGGAAGTAGAACAGGCCAATCAAGGCCAGCAGAGCTACACCGCCGATCGTGCCGCCGACAATGGTACCAGTCGACGAGCTTTTCTGTTCTTTTGGGGTGTTGGAGCTGCTAGGAATGCCTGAATTATCTTGGACATGAATGCCAGTTAGAGATGGCTCTGTAAAAGTCCAGGGGGCGAGAAGGTCTCACCTTGAACAAACAGCCCCTTCACTGCATTTGAGCTCCATTCCACCGACTTTAGCCCTCTGAGGAAGTCCCAATGTTAGCATCGACCCAAATCTAGTTGTGAAAGGGGAATGAGGTCATCATCGCTTACCCTCCCGCATACCACCGCTGAATGTCATCTGGCGTGTCATAGTCTGCCGCATTCGCATCATACGAGTCTCTCCAAGATAGTTGCTTCATGTCGAACACACCAATCCCAAGTGGCCACTGATCCGGGCCGGGCGGCCAGTTGAATGCCGCGCTCTCCCAGCCTCCTACTACAATCATCTGGCTGTTCCCGGCATGAGCGCAGGAATGTAGCTGGCGCGGTGGGCTAATCACGTTCGCCTGAGTCCAGTGGAACCCAGGTATCGTCAAGATGAAGAGGTCGTTGTACGCGTCTACGCTGTTGACTGCCGTATTTGTCCCACCGTAGACGAAGATCTCGTGCGTATCGTTCTTACCCGAGACACCGACTGCACAATGCAGGGTACGACCTCGCGGCACCGTCCCCGTCGTTGTCTGCCAGTACCACCTGTCGGCCTTGGGGTCATAAAATGTGATGTTGCTGAAGTCTGCCAGCTTCGGGAAGTCTATTGAAGTCGACGAGGTCTTTGCTCCGCCGAGGAAGAAGGCGAGATGATCTGTCTTGTTTCTGGGAGGCATGCATGTTCCTGCACCCCAGAGCCATCCGTACTGGGGCTGCAAAGCGGGGACGGCAGTCTTGTTTGACCATGTTCTCGAGTCCATCTCATAAGTGATCAGCCCCGACACCGGTATCTCTTTGCGGGGATCCGGAAAAAATTCATCAGTGTTCGATACGCCAAACCCACTAACAGACAATCCTATCTGCCCACAGCTTGTGTATAGCGCTCGTCCCGTGCGGTGAATTGCAGCGAAACTGTTCGCGCTGGCAGGCTGCTGCACACCCCATGTTCCGCCACCAAAGGAGTCGGGCGTGAAGGCCCATAATGATCGGTTCTTTGCTCCAGCTTCGTCTGCCCATGGCCCCTCGCCTCCCCAGCTGTAGATGGTCTTTCCATCTGGGCTGGGCCAAAGTGCGGGCTGCTTGACGGTTGGCGCTGAGCCCTTGTTGATGCTATTGAGCGGCGCGCTAGAGGTCTTCCAGGAGGATTTCAAGGGGAGAGATAGCGTCGAGTTGACTGACGGGATGGCAGAGGTTACCACACAAAGCGTGAACTGCGTTGAGCTAGAGTGAAGACTTACCCGGTCTTGAGATCACCTCGTCGCCCGCGATCTTGATCTCGCCCCCTTCGATGTACAAATAATCCCCCAACGCGGCCACTTCCAACAGCTATTAGCGATCATGGCCCGTCCCCAAACGACCACCCTGGGATACTTACCCGACGTGAATGCACGATAGAGAAACTTGTCTGCTGGAGGCGCATCCATCTTCAAAGACTGAAGTCGACTTGAACTAGCAGTCCTTGATCCTCACGAACATGAAGCTAACTGGGCTTGGAAAAGGTGCTGCTGTTCACAATATGGGCCATATCGCCGAGCTGAGTGAGGCAGAGAGAGCAGAGGGTGGTTTTGCATGATACAGAAGAATCCAGCGCTTGGACTGTCTGCTGTGTCACATTGGTCTGTTGGTTGTAAGATGCTATTCCATTCAATCCAGCCCCCAGGACCCCCTTTTCTAGCGTCTCGCGTCTCATGACACGACCGATGCAACTCTACCAGTTGTGCCCAATCACTGTCCCCGGGTTGCGGTCGTCAGTGCAGACAAGCGCCGGCTGTGCTTCGCTGAAAAAGAAGGTCTAGCGGGCACATTGCCAAATTTAGCCCCATTGCTCTCAGCGATCTGCCAGATGAAACACGAGTTAGTGCTGACTTTGACGACCTGGGGTAAGACTCTGGCCCCCGAGTCCTGTGACACACCATACGCATAGCGATTCTCTGCGCGCCGGTCCTCGAGTTCATCCTCTAAACCCGAGTCCTCGGCTCTAGGGTAGCTCCCAGGCCCGAGTTCGCGGGAGTTTCTGACATAGCCTTATTAGGTGATTGGTGCAACATGCATGACATATCGAGGACAAGGTAGAGAAACAAGGCAAGAATGATAAGTAATCATGTTTGACAATTGACGCTACAGTGAACCATCCTCAATAGGATCCGCTCGTACAGAAAACCGGAGTTGGACTACTATTCAATAGGCGGAAGAATGACCAGAAAGTACAAACATCCAGATTGTTCCTCCACGACTTCTGGTCATCTCCTTTCGCAACTCGTCCATCCAATAACCTTCGCACGCGGGTCCCATTTATGCTTAGGCCTCAAAAGGCTGTGCAGCCTTCTCGTCCCTCTTCTTGGTACCTTTTCCATTCAGCCAGATCTTCCAGCTCTCGACTTTCTTGTTGAAGATGTTGTTGGTGCATGACTTGTCGATGACCTGCCCAGCAGGGCAGGTATGAGTGTGGTTGAGCGGGCATTGACAGCTCCCATCTTGAAACATGTCAATGGTATCGTATTGTACGTCATCATAGTCCATCTTGATGCTCATGATATTGACGCTATTCAGCTTCAAGGATGCAAACAGCTTCGCCCCCTTGATCATTTTGGGCAGAGAAGGATGACGCCAAGTAGCCAGGCGTGATGTTACCTTCACAGAACATCAGAAGAAGCACCGTTGGGTACGTCACTGCACCTCGACCAAGATGCATGTTGTTTTCTGCCTACTAAACATCATCCCTGTTTTCAAGGATCAGCAAGGCGAAGTCAAACCACCAGGTCCAGGCCCTGTCCTGTTTATTAAAGGATGCCGATCACAGGTAGATGAATTAGATTGGGTCTGAGAGATGTATATAGGCAACTACTGTGTTGTGGAGCTGATAACTCGATGTTCACTTTCCACTGCCTCGTTTCGAAGCTCAAGGTGAAGCGATTACGTTGCAAGGTTTGCTTCCCCCATTTCTGCCGCATCTTCGTCAGCGACAAAGCTCCCATTCACAATTGTCCCATTGATAACCTCCCGAATCGGGAGCGTCGTGTTCATCCGGTTAGGCCCAGAGTCTCGGTTGTCGCACCCATAGTAGTAGTCGATGGAGACAAGGCAGCCGTCGCCAAAGTGCTTGGACCCGCACTTGCTGCAGCCGCCGACCTTGCGGATGTCCTGGTAGGAGTTCCACATGTCATCACCCGTGATCTGGCAGTTCTTGCCGCCGTCGTGGGTGCCGCGGATGGTGACCTTGCAGCCGAACTGCTCGTAGTTGGCCCAACAGTTGCCCTCGAGCGCGAGCGCCGCCTGGTTCGACGTGTAGATCTTGCTGCCGCGCTGCATGCGGTTCACGGCCTCGTCGCACCATTTAACGTTGGTGGTGCTGCACAGCGTCTCTCCCTCGCAGTCGTAGTAGGGCGAAGGAGTCGGCTTGACGGTCGGGCTGGTGCTCGTTGGCTTGGGCTTTGTGGAGGTAGGCTTGTCGGTGGACGTGATGCCGTAGCCGGGGTAGATGGTGACGGCTCCGCCGCCGCCAGGTGGGTTGACGGTGGTGGGCAAACCGTTGGTGGGAATGGGGTAGGTGTTTCCGCCGATCACGACAGATCCGCCCGAAGCAGTGACAGTGTTCCCGCCCTGTACGGCAGAAGGAGGCGCCGGGGTGATTGCCGGTGGATCGCCATTTGAGTCTCTGTTCGAACTGTCGTCTGCTTGTTCGTCGGAGGGATCGGCGCCAGAGTCCGCAACGCAGTAGCCGGACCCTGTGGTAGTAGCCGTGGCAGAAACATGACAGCCCGTGATGACTTCGGATTTTGTGGTAGTGCACGACCTACTGCTGCACGAGACCCAGTAGTCGGTGGCTGTCGACGTGCGGCACTCACAACCGACATAAGTGACGCAGCCGCCATTCTCACACCGCGTGCGTGTCTCCGTGGCACACGTCTCTGTCGAGTCGTTGTCGTCGCTCTGGTCCAGGGTGCCACAGTTGCTATGGCATGTCGGTTGTGGTTTGCCCGAAGTGTAGTGTGTTGTAGGATTGCCCTTATTGGGGGGACAGTTGATGGAGAAGATGCCAAAGAGCTTGAAGCATGGGGGCTTTGGTAACGGGGGTGGGCCCGGGAGGGGCGGAAGCGGGAATGGCGTCGGCCCTGGGAGAGGAATCGGCGACCAGGCGAAGCCGCCTGTCTGGATCCAGATCAACACCGGTGTTGTGGTTGTTGTACTCGAATCCGACCCAGTCCAGCTAGTTGTGAGCTGTACCGTTCGTGAAAGCTTACTCAGCTCGGTGATTTGTATCTCTGTGAAGGTTTGGGTAATCGACCCCGACGTCACAACCGTAGTTGGAAGCACAGGAAATGGCCAGACACTTGTGGTGCTTGATGATGATTTGGTCATGGTGACGGTTGATATACCCGAGTACGGAATGAACGGGTAAGGAACTCGTGGCGCAGGGTATGTGGTCCCTCCAACCGTGACGGGTGGCGGGCGGAAGCTCGGAACAACGGCAAAGGTTGAGGACGTTGTCCCGTCCGGTATGAGTACAGGTGAGAAGCTGATAATGCTCGTCGTGACTAGTAGCGCAGACGAATTGTTAGTTCACAACCTGGAGTCAAGCTCTAGTCGATGGGCATCGTGAAGACTTACTCGTCGTCACAGTGACTGTGACAGTTTTGACAGAGCCTCCACCAACAGTCACGGTCACGGTCTGAGGAGGAATGACAATCGTTACTGGGGACGGGAGCGTAGACGGCGGCAGCACCATGGTGCAGGGGTCGAAGCAATGCAGAGTGGGACTCGGCTCAAACCAGATGATGGGGTCAATGTAGACAATACCAGAGCCGCCGCTGGAGCCCCCATCGCCTCCTAGATCGCCACCAGAGATAGCAAGAGCCAGCCACGCGCTGATCTCGGTTGAAAAGCCCATCTGCGTGTCCTGCTGCAACACAGGGACCAACCCACCTCGAGGCGTGACAGCTTGCACAGCCCCAATCGTGAAGAGGTTGTAAATCCACAGCCCCTGGGAGTAACTGGTCTCGATAAGCCCCATTTGACAAGTTTCGGTCTTTAGGCAGTCCTGTGTATAGCTGCTAAAGAAGCTGTACAGGCCGGCACTGTAGATGAATATGTCCAGAGAGCTCAGTACTCGAAGCGCCCATGCCATCTCGCAACTTTTGTCGTCATCCGCACAATCTGGGAAGGTCGGGTCGCCGAGAGATTTGCTGGGTGTAAACGGCTGGAGCGCGCCTGGAGTCGGCTGCATGTACGGCGTCTCAGTCTGCATGTGGCCAAAGAAGATGTCCTTTGCATTGCGCAACTGATACTGGTAGAACACATTGTGCTCCGACGCCGTGCCATAGAACCAGCACGGACCCTCTGACTCGATTAGAACGCCGCGAGCCGAGTAGATGTTGATTTGCGTAAATGTCGTGTCCGTGTGTTTGCCACCATCAACAGGCTGGTCAATGTCACTGATTGAGGTGAGAACTATCAACACTGGCATCTTCTCGTTCAGGAAGTTCCGGACCACTTACTGGTCGGCTGTCCAGGCCCAGATGTTCTCAAAGTAGCCTGATGCCGTTGCTGTGACGTGAAGCAACATGCTGGCCGCAATACACTTTGGATTGATTGAGGTTCCTTTGGGGCAGTCCTCAAGCCCCAGGTTGGTGCCCGCCGCACCACCGACTCGGAAGTGTGAGTCCCACATACAAGCTGGGTATTGTGCATTCCTTAGCCATCAGGCGGGCTGGGCAAAGTCATTTGAGGCGGCAACCACTCACCACTACCCTGCGATTTCTCCCGCACATTCCATTCCATTAGAACGGCGCCAGCGGTTGGGCCTTTGACAGTGAAGAGCATGTCGGATATCTCCATGCTACCGACGTCGCCTCGGTTCCCGACCCTGCGTAATGAAAGATCAACATTAGTCAACAATTTCTCAGAATTATAGATAAGAACGACTATGGAAGGGAAAAGAACTTGATAATCGAGTACTCACTGCACCATCACACGGGTATTGTTCATGTCCTGGAACTTTGGCCCCGTTCCCATGATCTGCGACCAGCCCTCGCCGACAATAATTGAGTTTACGGGGACCTTGACAGTGTCCTGAACCTGATAGATGCCGGCGGGGAAGAAGATGGGCGTCCCGACATTACTAGATAACAAGCTATTGATAGCTCCCGCCTGGTCGCCAGTCCCGTCGTTGGCAATCCCATGGGCTGTTGCCACGACGAAGTTCCCCACGTGCTCATACTGTGGTCGAGAACGTGTGTAGAAGTTGCTAGTTCCATCGAGGAGATTCTTAGACTTGTTGGGTGCTGGATTCAGTAGACCCGTCACCTTTGTGCCATTGCCGTGCAAGGTCGTATAGCGCATCCCCATGGCCCATGACGTGAAATAGACTCGACCGGAGGAGCCGGTAAAGATGGTATCACCGCCAGTATAAGCGACGACATTTACAGAGTTGTCTACAAGTAAGTTATCCAACACAAGATTGGGGGTAAAGCCTTTGGACAGGGTGATCCCGTATGGGACTCCCTTGAAAGTGGAGTCTACAAGGAGAAGCAACCACATCTCACTGTCAGCAGTGCTTGCGCTCAGGAACTGAAGTACTACTTACCGAGAACCACCATAGAGCCCGTACCCTGTTTGTCCTTACCCCCGACGAAGCTGCAGTCAATTCCGACATGGCATGAGTCGATATTGAGGTTCTTCCATGTGAAACCCCAGTTCCAGATCATAGAAATGGCGGTTTGACACGACTTGAAGCTCAGATTGCGCGCTGTGTATTGTTGGGAGCCAGAACGGAAACCAATGCTGCCTCCGGTGAAGGTCAAGTCGCTTACGAAGCCACCCGAGCCGTTTTCCATGAAAATTCCCACCTGTGTGGTGTTGGCATCTTGTCTCATGACAAAGTCGATGTTCTGCATCGAGGTCGCCTGCGCAACCTGCCAATGAATACCAGTGGGCGCATAAGTCTGTTCGCCGTCTGTGATATTTCCCGCTGGCATTCCTGTGAGGTCTATCTTGAAGTTGCGAATTTGTCGGAAGAATTGATTCTGGTTGATATACCACTCCAGGCCGGACCTGCCCCAGGTCAGCATAGACTCACTCTCCCGCAGAGCATGGAGAGAAATGGCTCCCTACAGCTTAGGTATGTAGTAGTCTGTGTCGATCAATGCAATGCCCACAAAGTCCTTGGTGCCCTTGATTGTGGGCTTGTTGTTGGGATCCCCGACGAACTGCGTAAAATAGTATTGCATAATGGGTGCGCTGATAACGTACTCGCCCTTCTACATGTGAAGGTAAATTGGTTAAATATTTTCTAGGTGCTTTTAATAAAGGCTATTGTTCAACGATTCTTACCGGAAAGTACACTAATGCGCTGAGTATCGTAGTTGAGCCGCATTCTTGCCCGCAACGTAAGGTGGTCCGGTCACTCTGGCTGAAAGATGCTACCGCCTGATTGATAGCAACTGTGTCGTCAGTCTTTCCGTCCCCTTTGGCACCGAAGTCGCGAACGTTGCGGAAGAATTGATACCCGCTCGGTGCTAAGGGACTCTTTGAGGCGGCGTTCAAAGCTTCTGTCAGTGCCAGCCAATGCTCATTCAAGGTTGCAGGTCAGAGCTGGAAGGTAGGAGACCTACATGACCGTGAGAGATAGTCTCCATCCAAAAGTTTCCATCGCGCTTCCTGGTAGGCGTCATGAACTCGGGGGTCGGTGGTGGCGTTGTCTCGTTGTTGTGTGCTCTAGTTAGACTCTCTGGGTCGAGGATCGGGCCCATTAAAGACCCTTTATCTGGAGCAGCGTGGTAAGTGTTTCCCTCATTGTCAACCATGTAGGCCAGTGGTGCCTGGAAATCTGTCAGTCCCCATAGCTTGTTCCACAAGTGCTCAGATTGTGAGAGCATCACCTACCAAAGGTTTCCCCGGAGGCAGATCAGGCGAGTTGTACGAAGGTGGCAGATCAGGTACGTTGAGGTATTGCGAAGCGGCCATGACTGCTGTTGGCAAAGACACCAGCATCAACCACAGATTGTGGCCCATGATGAATTTCATGATGCCCTACAGCGGCGCTGTCGTATGCGTGTTTCGGGGAATGGACGACAGTCCAAAGTACAGATGCACCAGAGCACTCGAGATGCCTCCCAGAATGCTGTGTGCTTTGACGTTTACACACGCCCATAGGCTTAGTAACGACACAACACCAACACAGAAGACTGATCACTAAATCTTCTAGGTAGCAGAGGATACATCTGAAAAAGGAGCAAATGGAGATTCTATCTTGAGGGGAATGGCAAGAGCTAAGCTTTGCTGTAAACTACCTAGTAATGCGATAATCATATCAGTCAATTGCCGTCTAACACAAAGAGCAGCCCATCAAAGACGCTGTTTCGCGTCGATCTGAGGGTCCTATGACTCTGTCTTGTGACAGTCCGCTCAGACACCTGGCTCACTAATGGAGACTTAGAGTCTACATCGATGTGATACCTGTGTGCCCCTTGCATTCTAGCGGTGATTCATTTACCAGCCGGTAGACGCAGGTCGGGATCTTCGTGCCAATGCCTATATCTAAAGCAGGTGTTGATGAAATTCGTTCATTCGGTGTACTAGTCTGACAGGTTAAAGTTGACTGTGCCTGGCGATATATTGCTGTTAGAGAGATATTATACAAGACAATGAATGTGCTGACCACCCTCGATGGCAACGTGATAAGCTTCCCAGGGCCACATTTCATATTTAGCGGGGATTGTACAACTCAAAGGGCCGCTAATGACAACCGCGCGCATACCCGGCGGATAAAATGAGAAGGACAGCTTTAACAGCCAAATTATGCACGTGGCACATTGCTGACATGCCGAAGACTCACAGGCAACAGCTTAAATTTTGGAATGAGAAACGAGGGTAAGATCCTAAACGCCATGAACTGTTCTTCGCCATATTTATCGATTTCTACAGCAGACAGCTCTCAGAGAGCGTATCAAGAAATGGATCGCTTCGCCGCCCTACCACCAGAGATTCTCTGCGAAGTCCTCAAGTCGCTGCCTAACCTGCACTCACTCCAAAACCTGCGCCGCGCATCGCCGGCTGTGAACAGTCTGCTGCATGAGGAGGATTCTCCCGTTACATCGGACATCGTGGAGAGTATCATCTCATCCAACCTCGTGCACTCCACTCGGCTGACAGTGCGCCTTGTCATCTTACTGGCCTGGGGCGTGGATGGGCATCACGTCCTTTTCGAGGCTCCGGATGATCTCCGAGACATCCTTTGGGGACCACACAGGGAAGCTCCGCCGGCGCGAGAAAGGCACCGAGACACAGTGGGACACCGGCCCCTGACACGTTACACTGGTCTTCCCTCGGCCGTTCTTGTCCGGGTCATCGCTCTCTCGGAGCGAGTCCACGAGCTTGGACATCGCTGTTTCCACGTCATGCTTGCTCGTGTGCTGGCATCACAGCCTCGGCGGCCAAAAGACCCATCCCTCAACTACGTGGCCTATTTGCGCCAAGTCCAAGCCGCCAGGCGAGAGCGGGCGCCGTCTCGCCCGCCCACACCAGAGCCAGAGTCGGAGCCGGTGCCGTTCCCTCCTGCCGCAACAGCCCCGCCTTCTTGGGGAGAGACACAGCGTCTGGAGGCTGTGTCATGGGAGTATGCCCTAGAAGCCATGAAGCTTTACCTGCCGCCGTCATCAGACCCCGTAACAACAGCATGGCAGGCCTCGATCCGCGAAGTGTTCCAGCCGCCCGCTGAGTACTATGTTCCTCAGTGGACGAGCTACAGCGCCCTGGAAGAATGCCTTCCGGAGCAGGTGATGCGCCTATCGGAAGCGATCAACGTACTGCCAGCATTACAACAATCATGCTGCCAGGGGGGCCCACTTATGGATGACCACGAGGAATGGAAGCCGCCTGCGTATCTTAATACTAAGCAAGACAGGCTCGACCTTGAACCTGATTGGGGCATCTATCCGACCTGGCTGGTCTCACCTACGAAGCGAGAGGAATGGAGTCCCATCTTCCAGGCAGAGCTGCACGATTTTTTCCCTCTCGGCTTCGCGCTATGGTGCAGAAAGCGGATGGCCGCACTGGGGTTCCTGGCGCAAAAGGACGCCAAGACACAAAGGAAACGGGTTGCCGACTGGCCAAAGTTGAACGGGAAATGGCCGGCTCATAATGTAGAGTACTCAGATCAGTTTGCCTGCAGAAGTGTGATGTCTCCTAGTCAGGTGGAAGCCATGCACGAGCGGTTGGCAAGCTGGTGGGCTGACAACGTTGTGAATCAGCCACCTCGCGGTAGGTAAGCCCGGTAAGCATCCTTGAATTATCAAGTTTAATATACACGCCGCTTTCCTGTAGTTGTGAGATTACGAAGGACTGGATGGACCTCGGTTGATTCGCCAGAATGCCCTGGGCTGCTACCACCGTCTTTTTGGCCCCCACGCCGGCCCAGTCCCGCTGCTGCATCTCCGGGGCCATTAGCCGCCGGGTGAGTGGCCTGTGTAACCCCAACCGGTCAAGATGAGTCGACTGTGCACTGATCCCAACTCCTGGTCGCTCATCGGGATATCAAAAAAACGGCGATAGTCGCGCAAATTGGTGTACATGACGGCCCACTCATTGCCCACTTGAAGGATGGGTCAGTACCTGCATGACAGGGGAGTAGTAAAGACATATTCAGACGCCCGTTCCTCCTGAGGTAATGATGAGAGCTAGGTAGTACTCCAACCGTCTATGCAACTCCTACGTTACTTTCATTAGTTGTTGATAGGAATTAATCTATCACATTTTCACTTGCACCCGCCGTGATCCCCGGACCCCCTCCCGAAATACGAGAAGAGGAAGTCCCCCCCAGAACTTGTATGTATTATCTGATCCGATGCAACAACCTTACTAGTTTACTAATGACTGCAACTTCATATCACAGGCGTCGCAAAGTAACTCCTTATGATATGTTCAGCACCCGAAAGAATGTAAAATCGATAATATGATTGTTCAAGTTCTCCCATAGCTAAGACGCTCTCGTGAAGCGATACATGCTGAGTCTTTCAGCCGATAATTGACCTCTGCTGATGCTTGATTAACTTCCTCAATTCCCGGAACTCACAATCTTGATCAAGATCCCATCCGGCTCGGCACCCGATGCTAGGTAATCCAGTGAATTGTACGCCGGATTCGAGGTGTTAGCCAAAACGCCCAGGGAGCCGCCTTTGTCGAGGCAGGTTATTATGCCTTGCTTGCTTTTGCCCCCACCGTCGATGGTGGTGGCAATGTCCTCGAACAGGACAGACGAGTCGATCTTCTCGTTGAGATGTTTTGCAACCGCAAGGGTCGACCCGTTGCTGAAAAGCGACCACTCGGCGCAGTCGGGTGTGTCGGCCGCGGTCATGGTGAAGAACCGACCGCCTGTGACCTCGCGCCCGTAAGAACGCAGGTAGTCGGCCACCCCCTGAACGTCGGCTACCTTGACTTTCTGCGGCGTAGCGCCGTTCTCGACTGTATAACACAGCAGGGTGGACTTCTCGCCTGAGTAGCAGACTTCAGCGCTTCGGACCGCCGGCATGTTTGTGGCTCTCGTGATGAGGACTGCGATTGGAAGTAGGGCAATGGAATAGTGGGGCATTGTGGCTGCTGGATGGTTGGTACTGAAGATGATCGATGTTTGTGTGATAATTGAAATTACTGTGGTGCGAGAGCGTAGTTATGATAGAGACAACTAGAGAAAGAGAAGACCCAACGGCTTCAGTACATTTTCAGAAAGGTAAGACGTAACTGTGGGCAATATATGTTGCAGAGAACTTACAAAAACACAAAGTATCTATTGCCAACTGTTGTTATGGTCCAGTGTGGAAGATGATCATTTGCGAGACCTTCAACGCCAGCCGCGTTCCTAGCTCACAAACAGAATATTAAATCCATAGGGTGGTCTTCCAATCTGCAAGTTGGCGGCGTAGTCTGACAGCAATTTCTTTCAGTCATACAAGCACAAAGGCACTCTAAGTTCAATATGTTGCATAGAAAGCTCGCTTACTATTTAGCCAAGATGGTAAGGGTCGTGCATGCGGCCTGCGATGGCGCCCGCGGCTCTCCAAGTAACATTCTTCACTGATTAGGAACCATGTAACTCGTCCCGTTGCATGAGAGTTGGCTTCAGCGCCTGCATGAGAATGATCAATCACCGCACACACCATGTACATTCTGTGTGGATAAGCTGTACCTATACTAGACGCCGATGATGCAGTGGATATTGCAATGGTTTCCCAACTTGTGCCATACGATTTACCTCCCAGGAGAGGCCACTAGAGCGTGCCGCCTACTCATTGCACTCTACTGTTCGAGATACATCTCTCTCTTCGGCCTCTCAAGGACTTGCGGTCTTGACAGGCCTCAAGAATGGTGCTCCTCGTGCGATTCAGCCTTTTGGCTGGACTCTGTGCCGTGTTGCCAGCAGCAGTGAGGGGTTCGTTGCCTATCTTCAATGGACTCGAGCCACAACCACAGAGTGGCTCGCGTCATGAGACAATCGCAAGGCGCGATCTCGGTCTCGACGACTTTCTCGAGAAAGGCCGCATGATGAACTGCCTTATGCAATCCACCCAGGAAGACGCCGATAGAGCCTATCCAGGAAAGGCACATTCAAGAAATAACGACTTCGCCGCGATAGCCGAGTCGGGTTGGTTCTACGATGACGACTACAGTCCGGCCATCGCCAACGAACACTATGCAGATGCGTACCAGGACCTTGGCCTTGAGGCTGGAGATTTTAAGGGTGTCTCGTTGAAATGGCGAAGTCAAGAGAGATATAAGCCCCGGAAAGGCAGGGCAACTGTGCGTCAAAGTTTCTATTTGTGCCAAGTGACACACTCTTGCAGGTGCCAAAGCTTCTCGACCTCGAAAGATCCTTGATCTCCGCACTTTGCGCGGGTCCAACATCTACATGGCATGCGTGAAATGTGGTATTGTAATTCCACTAGGGATCTCAATCAGTCAAGACTCACATTTTTGGGATTCACAGATCTTGTGGGGAGAATACGACAACGCATTCGCGACGCGTGCGATTATCGCAGCCCACAACACCAGCCCCCAGGCACAGGCTGAGGAAGACGACATCGACAGAAGCGTCTATCTCCCTCACATGCCGGCCTTCTATAACTGGGCGGACATGATCTTCCTCGAGTATAGAAACGACGCCGAGTCGTCAGGGGGCACCGTGCGCGCCCTCGAGCACGTCTTCCGCCACAACATTAGGAACGGGGATACGGCGAGGTGCATGCAGGAAGCATACGAGGTGGCCGGGGTCGATGAACCGGAATCGTGGGGGGAGCGTCTTGTCCTGACCCCGCCGCGAGCAGGTGAGGAAGAGACGGCATTACACAGGGCGTTCTTCTCAATGCTATATACACCAAACCTACGAGGCATCTGCTGGATGCTTGCCCAGCGCAAAGGCGAGATGGGTGTCAAGTTCATCGACAAGATTGCGCTCTGGGATAATTTGGGACTTCCTCAGATTTACGTCCACATTGCGCCTTGGAACCCACCGGCTAGTTGAGGTTCCCTGCATTTTCTAGGAAAGGGAAGGATCTATGCTGGATCATTTTATGCATTTAAAACAGATAGTGAGGAGACTACGATTGTAGACTCAAGTTAAGAATTCCATAAGTAAAGTGAATATAACTCAGATATCTAGTGCTATACGTGCCTAGGCTAGGTCCACTACAATATCAACGATGGCTGGCAACTAAATTCATGCTGAAACCCTACATTCCATGCATATCCAGATATCCGGACATACTGATGGTGCCACCATCAAGGTTGTCTCTTGAGCGGATGTCGTCCTTGCTAAAGTATATGGCCGGAATCACGAATGACCCTTTCAGGTGCTCCACATTTGTTGCATCACATAGCAACAAGAAGCCTGCCAGGAAGACTGGAAGCGATGATGAAAGGCCTCGAGAAGAACGGAAGCCTAAGACTACTGGAGGAGAGAGGACTGAAACAGAGCTGCGGCCTCCTCTGCGTTGGACACCGACCACTTCCCAAGCAGCACGTGTTTGCCCCGTTCGAGAGCCTTGAGAGCCCACTCCAGGTGCAATTCGCTTGGAAGCGGGATGTATAGTGCGTCGATGACAGGATCATTCATAAGAGCTGGAGAGGTCTTGGCCCGTGATAACGTCATATTCTTTCAGATCTGGGTTCCAATTTAGCTTCTTCCCTCTGAGTCGTGTAGCTTATCTTACCCATTTGATCTCGAGCCCAAAGTCTGGTTTCTCTTGACGAGCATATGGCTTGTGCATAACAAGCATCTTGCCGTCGAAAGCTTCATACACCCTCAACGGCGGTGGCTTTTGGCCCTGCTCAACCAGTTTTCCGCCATCCTTCTTCAGCCATCTTTCCCTTCTTTCGATGTTCTCCTGATTCAGTTGCTGGATGTACTTTCGGGCCTGCTGCTCGGCTGCAGGATACACCACCTCCTTAACCCAGCGGCTGAGAAATTCGTCTCCAGTCTGGCGCCTCCCACACTTTGCCCAATTGGTTGATGAATACCTGTCAGTTTTGTTCTTTGTTGCGGTATTTTCCAGTCTTTGTTGGAAGCCGTCACGCCCCGCGGCGATGGGTTCTTCAACGCTCCAGCTAGCGTTGTAATACCACTCAATAACAGCATAACCATCTTTGAAGTGTGTTTGGCCCATGTTTGGTGGCTTGGATACAATTTGTAGAGTTTTCAAGGGGGCTCGAATATACGTGAGAGTTTTGTTGGAGCATCGCTGAAACCCGACAACTATATTCGTTGTCGCGGAGTAAAACGGCGAGAGGAAATGCCTAGTCTTTATATTGTTGTAGTGAAAATAACTAAGGAGATTGGGCATTAAGCTGACCACCCAGATCTGTACCCAATGTGCCTTTCTACAAAAAACAGGCATAGTTAGGTCAGGTTTGTTACACACAATGTGCAACTTCCGTACACCACCCCCCAAACACCTTGAACGCTACACGCTACGTCATTTACACCAAGCAGTCAGTTGTAAGAGACTAGCCCATTTGTATACCTGCAGCCTGTAATGCGCAGCAAGTCTACCCGAGTACCGGACCCGGACTAGGTACCGAGGGGCTCGCTCATACTCAGCCCCAACATCATACGTAAATTTAATGAATTGAGACTTCAGTGATAATTGCTCGGGGAGGCGTGGTATATGAGTAGTCGATTTAGAGGTTGATTGATTAGAGTTCTAAATATATAATTAAGCTACAAATAGAAGAGAAGTCTCAGATAGGCAGTCAGACTAGAAAAAAATTATTTAACACTGCCTTTTACTTTTGATATTCGGACCCATATTGAGAGCTGTAGTCAGGCTTGAAGGCACTCGCAATCGGGAGTAGTTGATCAACCCATGACAACAATTATGTCCATATCACTGGGAACCTTCATAGTGTCTCTGGAACCCTGGAAATGTTGTTCATTATGTCTCTTCAATTCAATTGTGTTTAATTTATGGTGTCACTCGGCTTGTACCTGACCGGTTGACCGAGCACTGCGATTTGTTTAACAGAAATTACTTTTAACAAGTACTTGGAAGACGCGGGGTTTGAGCCCTGATGGCCAATGAAATGAGTGGTGACCTTCATTAAGGGGTGGGGTGGTTGGTTGTTGCCACTTATTATGCGGTCGCCGCAGACACACCGCATCCGGGCAAAGGACCCGTGCCGAATGCCTACATTTCCCACAGTTACAGGGCTGAGTATAATTAAGGATATAATGTGGCCAGCAGGCGCGAGCTCATATACGGCGGCAATCCTACAACCCTTATGGGTACGCTAGCCCTCGAGAAACTCACGCGAGAGAACCTGCGCCTGAGCGCCTTGCATTGGTTCCCGGGGCCAGTGGAAATGGCCGGTCTAGCGCGGGCCCGCAAGTTCGGCATAGGCGGCGAAGGAGCGATGATTCAGGACGAGTCCGGCCAGCGTGGACTTTTCCGGGCCACGAGTGACCGGTATGCCGCCGGGGGAAGTAGTGGCAGTCTCGTGTCTGTGCTGGAGGGTCTTGACATGGCGGCACGGTCTGGCGGCGGCATCTGTCTGGTCGATCTTTTTTTGCTTGTTGTACCGAGCAAAGTGTAGTTAATAACCAGCTCCTGAGCATAGAAGTAAAGACGATGAGAATCAACCAGCAGGCTCCAGTACTTGCATGAGGACCATTCCTCATTCAAAGAATCCCCTTGCCTCTTTGAGACCGTTGGTGCAGAGTGGCCGGTCTAGCTCCAGTTGTAAAGCCTGAATTCGATGTTTAGGTCTCTGATTCGGCCCACTTGGGGGGGGGGGGGGGGGGGGCCAAGGAGATGGCCAAGAGTTGCACGGAGAAGTGCCACGAAGCTGCAGATGGCATCGAGAAGTGCGGATGACCTAATCGGAGGACACGGAGTGCAGAGTCCACTCTTTCTCATCCCCTCGAATCCTTCGTTGAAACATTCTGCCCAGCTTCCCCAGATGCCTTGCTGAATTGCCAGCCTCTCACACGCAAAATGCCTTACATGAAAACCGATTTCGCCGAGAGCGATGTCGGCTAGCAGGACTTGGCCGCAGACTAAGCAAACCCTACCGTCATTGGAGCTCAGCTTGTGGACCCTGGCACACACACCTTTCTCCCGTTTTCCCACCAAATGCTACCGCATGGTTCGGATCTGATAAGATTTGATTCTGCGGTGTCTGTGGATCCTCGGTTTTCGTTACGTGGACAGAGTCGGGTACATGGAGCAGAGAACAGTTTTCGCCTGCAATCTCCTATCACCGCGGGCGGGATAATCGTGACGGATCGCGACTTTGTGCTGCTCGGAGTATTGACATCACACACTGTCAAGAGACTCTCTGGCTACTTCAAAATGGCATGCTCCCGCACGCCTCCCCTTTCCTTCCGACCTTCGAGCCGTTGGGAAACATCTGCCCATGTGATTATCTCGGATCAGATAAAACCGTCCGTTAGCCCTGTGGATCCGGATCCCACATCCACGTCCAGTGTGCAGTCGACTTGACCCTCCCAGCCAAGACCATGCAGCCGGCGGTCCACGCTGCTGTCCGTCTCGGAGCTGCCTGTCCAGCCAGCCCAGTGGCGCGGTTTGGCACCGTTCTGCTGATCAGTGGTCGCGATTTCCTCAAAAGGTCGTTCTCATCCACGACTTCTCTCCGTCGCAAACAGCACATGTCCAGCCCTTCTCTTCTTCCCACCGCTTTGTCGCAAACGGCCCTCCGCTCCAATACTGTCCTGCGAACCACTGCACGTTGGCTCTCTTTCTCTCCAACGACTTCCTCCTCCTCCCCTGTCACGCCACTGGACGACAGCGTCGCAAATATGGGCTCCCTCGGTGAATCTGCGCCCTACAGGGTTCTCGTCATTGGAGGCGCGTACGCCGGCCTCTCCGCTGCTCTGAGCATCTGCGACATGGCCGCCGGCAGGCCGGCGCGCACGAGCGGCGAGCCGATCAAGGCCAAGACTCCGCTCGCCAACGGCGTCGATGTGACGATTGTCGACGAGCGCGACGGCTATTGTACGAACCCGGTTTTTCTTTTTGCATTCACACCCTCTCCGGTAATAGCAATGCTAACGCAGCGCCCAATCTCTCTTTCACAGACCACCTTATTGGCACCCCGCTTGCCCTCGCCTCCAACGAATACGCAGAGAAGGCCTGGGTACGCTACGCCGACGTCGGTGCCCTGCAGCGGCCCAACATCCGCGTCGTCCAGGGCAGCGCCCAGAGCGTCGACCCGACCGCCAGGAAGGCTCTCATTCTCAAGAGTGGTTGCGACAAGCCCGTCGAGACCGAGTACGATTACCTCATCGCCGCGTCGGGACTGCGGCGCGTCTGGCCAGTCGTTCCGCAGGCCCTCACACGCAAGCAGTACCTCGTCGAGGCAGCCGACCACATCAAGAAGGTCAGCGAGGGGAAACATGGTGTTGTTGTCGTCGGTGGTGGTGAGTAGTGGTTTACCTCTCCATGCTACCTCTTTGGAGGAATATGTCGAGAAGCTGACAAGTGTCACCGCACAAATCGTAGGCGCCGTCGGCATTGAGATGGCCACCGAGCTCAAGGTCGTGCACCCGCACCTCAAGGTCACCCTGGTTCACTCGCGCGACCGCCTGCTCTCGGCCGAGGACCTGCCCGACGAGATGAAGGTGCGCACGCTCGCCCTCGTGCAGGAGCAAGGCGTCGAGGTGCTGCTCGAGCGCAGGCTCGACTCCGCCGTCACTGTCAAGACCGAAGACGGCTCTGAGGCCGAGGAGATCACCTTCACCAACGGCGAGAAGCTGCTCACCAGCAATGTCATCATGGCCATCTCACGGAGTGTTCCCACAGGCAGCGGGTACCTGCCCAAGGCAGCGCTGGACAAGGAAGGCCTGGTCAAGGTCTCGGGGAGGTATGCCTATTTCCGTCCCGACTTGTTCTTGTCGTATGTGTTAGGTATGGATCGCTAACTGGACGGTCGTAGCATGAACTTCCCTGCCGAAGTCCCCAACTCGGACCGCCACTTCGCCTGCGGCGACATGGTCAGCTGGTCTGGCATCAAGCGCTGCGGTGGTGCCATGCACATGGGCTGGGCGGCGGCCAACAACCTCTACGAGGCGATGCTGAAGGAGAGCGACCCCACGCACGAGAAGGACGTCGTCGTGCTCGAGCGGTGGCCTTCGATGATTGGCCTGGCGGTCGGTAAGACGGCCATTGCTAGCGGCCCAACGGGTACGCGCGACGGTGACGAGACGGCCAAAATGTTCTTTGAGGATGATCTTGGGTTTGGAAGTGAGTGGTTCAATTTGACTAGCGATTTGGTGACGTTTGACTGACTTGTGACACAGTTTGCTGGAGGCACATGGCTCTGTTCGGTGACAAGGATCTTAAGCCGACTGCTGCTTGAGCGACTGAGGGACATGGACAGACATGCTTGGTGGCTTTTCGCTCTTGGACATGGGATCTTCACAAAACATATAGGCGTACGGGAAGGTTTTTGAACCAATCTTTATAGAATTATATACATCGCTGAACACATCAATCAAGACAGTATTTACTCAGATATAGGGACAGTGCCCTCTTCGTTTGGTGAACCATGTCTGCTTGACATCTCCCCCTCCCCTTTTTCTCCTCATTCCATCACAGCTTCGGTACCAAGCCGACATTCGTCCCGCCCACCACCTTATCGTTCTCGGCCAGAGGGCACAGTTGGAAGAAGCGCTCGCGGCTGCACCGCATGAAGCCGCTACGCTTGTGCGGCAGGTCGACGAACTTGTCGACGCCGAAGCCGTGGATGAAGTCGTACGCCAGCACCGACGTGTTGGTGTACTTGGGCTCGCCGACGATGGCCATGGTGCGCGGGTCGTCAAGGAAGAGGTAGTGCATCTGGCTGCTCCACCACGCCGACACGCGGTGCGGCCCGCGGAAGCGCACATCGCCGACGAGCGAGTGGCGGCCGCGATCGAAGTCGTGCGCCGCGTAGTACGCGCCCAGGCGGTCCTCCTAATAGCAAGTCCTCGGGGTCAGTTTTCCATCCCATCTACAGTGCTGCAACCAGCAGTCCGCATAGAGAACGAGGGGAGATAGTTACTCACCTTGCCCCAGTACATCTCAAAGTACGCAAAGTACACGTCGTCAAACCGCGCCAGCACCGTGAACTGGTGGGGGTCCTCGTGCGCGCGCCGTAGGTACTCGCGGTGCTGCTCGAGCGTGCCCGTCTCGTTCCACCCCTGCGACACGCGCGGGTCGTTCTGCCACGCGTGGAAGTAGCCCAGGTGCTCCGCGTTGGTGTAGTCGAGCGCCACCATGCTGAAGTTCTCGCCGAGGTGCGGCACGTACCGGCTGTAGATGACGGCGCCGGGCCGGGGCTTGGCCGCGCGCCGTGGGTGCCAGCACAGCGCGGTGCCGGGCTCGTCGGCCATGGTGTAGTCGAGCGTCAGGGACGGGTACCGCGCCAGCCCGCCTTCCTCGCCGCCGTCGTCGGCGTACGTGTCGGGCGTCCAGACGGGGCGGGGGCCGAAGGGTGAGCCGGCGCCCTGCCAGAAGGTGCTGCGGAGGACGACGAGCTCGTCCTGCTGCCCGGGGAAGATCTTGCTCGAAGGGCCGCGGGGTTCGGGGTGAGCGATGGCAAGGCCGACGTTTTTAAGCTGCTGGGCCAGCTTGGTAGTCGAGTTGCTGCCGCCGCCGTTGAGGCGCAGGCGGAAGAGCTCCTCTTGGGGCCGGACGGTGACGACGATGTACACAACGAGCCAGAGCTGTGCGAGCGTCGGCGCCGCTGCTGACGCAGGCCACGAGACGGTGACGGCGGGAGAGCGGCGGGCGCGGGCCCAGGCTGTGTTGTTGGAGTCGACGGGGCGGTCGCTGGACTTGACGTCCTCGGGCTCGGAGAAGAAGAGGTTGTCGTTCTGTAGCTGGACGTGCGGCTTTTGCGCCTTGCCCGCCTTGAGCTGGTAGACCGGATCAGAGGTGCCTGGTCTCGTGGTCTTCGTGAGGAAGTAGGGCGTTAGGTACGGGTGCGGTAGCACCATGATGGGATCACTGGGCTTGTGATCGGCAAGGCGAGCCATGATGGGCTTTTTTGAGGGGGTTCAAGGAGTGGAAGGAGGTTGTCGAGATGAGAGGGGGAAGGGTGCAGAGATCAAATCAAGGCCGATCAATGGGAATACCACACAAGATTCAACCACTTTCTCTGTCAAGTGAAGCTGTTGATACTGCAGATCATATCCAGAATGAAAAAGAGTATGAAATCCCAAGGCAAGTAGGCTCGTGGCACAGAGAGTGGACCGGAATCCGGCGGGTTAGAGTCACAGCTGGGGATATGTGGACATTGACAGGATGCCAAGATTTGTTGATGCAGGACCGCAGGGCGCAACACGAGAAAGACACTGCAGAGCCGAGGCATCCAGTTGAGTGAAAGGATCCCTGATTTTGTCCAATTTGCCCCTCTCACCGTGCCCGCCATGCAAGAGACCCATGCCATGGCGTTGGCGCCGTCTCATCACCAAGGGAAGTGCAGCAAATGAGTGGACGCAGACGCGGCCACCTCCCCGCTAGGTACAGAGGACGGATCTGATAACTTCTCTCGGCAAGCTACCGGATCAGATAATTTTTGTTACGAGTCCCACTGCGTAGTGAGCTGGGTGTGGGTGTGTGTGTGGGGTGCGTCTCCTCTCGCTTCATATCATAGCGGGCGTTGGCTTTGGTTTGGGCCGGTCGTCGCTTGGAAAGCTAGAGCGAGCTCGGAGAGTCACGGCACGCACACTCGGATCAGATAAGTATTTCACGTACGTACACCCGTGGACCCGGGAGGGGAGGGGGGGCATCCCTGCTCATCGTGGGGACCAGATGGCGAAATACTTTCCCAAAATGCCGCTTCACCCTTTGTCTGAGTGCTCAGGATAGATGTACTGGTACCGCCAGTCTCACACCTTGGCATCTCTGGGCAGTATTCAGGTCTGCATTGGCCTCGACTAGCTTACGGCTATCTCGGGAAGAAACGGCTCAGTTCTTACGTTCTCTGCATGTGCCAAAATGTCGTCTGTGTGGCAAGCATTGGGATGGCTTCATTCCCAGCTATGATGCGGCTTATACAGCTGCAAAAGCAACAGCCAATGTACTTTCTATTCGCCCTTCCGTTTTATCTACCCAATATACTATGAAAGTTCTATCTATATCTTACTCGCTGCGTAATATGTCATGATGATAGCTGATCCCAAGTAACCCCCCTCTATGTAGTCTTACAACTTGGCCCTGCCAGCCCTCTCGGCGAGGATCTTGTCGCCCAGCTGGGCCATCTCAAACTTGCGCACCTTGCCGCTGCCCGTCAGCGGCACGTCGGCCGGCACGCCGTCGCGGCCCAGCCAGAAGATGTGTGTCGGCGACTTGTGCTTGCCGAGCTGCCGCATCACCCACTCGCGCATCTCGGCGTCCGAGGGCAGCGATGCGTTGCCCTGGTCCGGCGCCGGACCGAGGAACGCGCCGACAACTTCGCCGTAGTGATGGTCCTTGAGGCCAACCACGACGGCGGTGGCGACGGCCGGGTGCGCGACGAGTCGCTCTTCGATCTCGAGAGGATAGATATTCTCGCCGCCTGTAGTGATGAGTGTACCATGTCAGTGAAATAGCCCCATGTTATATCGGTCCTTTGGTGGCAAAACCAGAAGAAGAAGGAGCAGCGTCAATCTCACCTCGAATGATGATATCCTTGAACCGCCCAGTGATACTGCAGTACCCCTCGTGGTCAAACACGGCCTCGTCGCCTGTGTGCAGCCACAGCTGCCCGTGTTCGTCGCGCACCATTACCTCGGCCGTCTTCTCCGAGTTGTTCCAGTAGCCGGCCTGCAGCTGGTACCCGCCGATGCACAGCTCGCCCTTCTCGCCGACGGGCACGATCCGCCCCTCGCGGTCGACGATCTTGGCCTGCGCGTGCGGCATCAGCGTGCCCACCGTCGTCAGGCGCCGCTGCACGGCGTCGTCCGTAAAGGCGTTGAAGCACGTCGGGCTCGCCTCGGTGAGCCCGTAGCTCGACGTGAACTCGCGCATGCCGAGCCGCGACACCATGAGCTCCATGAGCCAGCGCGGCACGGGCGCGCCCGCGACGATGCCCGTCCGCAGGCGCAGGCGCGCGGCGTCGAGCCCCGCGGCCTCGGGCAGCGCGAGCAGGCTGTCGAACATGGCCGGGACGCCGTGCAGCGCCGTGCAGCGCTCGTCGACGACGGCGCGCAGCGTCGCGCGCGTGTCGAACACCTCGGCCGGGTAGACGACCTTGGAGCCGTGGGTCACGCAGGCGAGTAGGCCGAGGACGAGGCCGAAGCAGTGGAAGAGCGGCGGCGGGCAGCAGAGGACGTCGTCTGGGCCGAGGCGCATGCGGTCGCCGATGAAGCGGGAGTTGTTGACGAGGTTGCTGCAGTCGGGAGTCAGTACAATACAGATAGGTATTGGATGAAAGAAATCGATAAAGTGGGTGGTGCAACTGACTGGTGTGTCAACATGGCGGCCTTGGGAAGACCAGTTGTACCGCTCGTGAATTGCAGGTTCACTACACTGTACGGCAGAACGCGAGACTCGACGCGGGCGAGCTTGCAAGGGTCTTCTTTGGTGCTGCTGGCAATCAGGTCGTCGTATGTCTCGTAGCCGGTCGAGTCGCCGCGGATGATGACGACCTTGGGCGACGGAGGCTGGCCGGCCAGCTCCATGAGCAAGCGAGTGTTGTCGAGGCGGCCGATCTGCTTGGTCGTGAAGAGCACCTTGCACTCGGAGAAGCGGAGCGCGTACTGCGCCTCGGTGGGCGTGTAGGTGTTGTTGAGGATCACGAGGATGGCGCCGAGCCGGGCCACGGCGAAGAAGACGGCGGCGTATTGCTCGCAGTTGCCTGCCATGATGCCGACGCGGTCACCGGGGCTGATGCCCATCGACAGTAGCGACCGCGCCAGCAGCCGGCTCTGGTGGTTGAGCTCATTGTAGGTCCACCGCGCGCCCGTCCAGGGGATCACGATGGCCTCCTGTGTGCCGTAGTGCTGGCACTGTAGATCGAGCAGTTCGCCGAGGGTGAGGTCGACAAGGGGCGGGTCGACGGGCCCGTAGAGCAGGGAGAGCTTCTCTGTTTGCGGCAGTGGCTCACCCAGAGCCGGGATGGTCTGCTGGAGAGCCATGGTGCGTCGCTGTGTCGTCGAAAGGTCTCAAAGCTCAGTGCTGCTTAATCCGAATGCGATGGTCGAATCGTGATGATGGTCTTATCGATGGCTGAAGCAGGGATTCTTCTCTCGAAAGACGCAGAGGCACAACTGACTGAATCCATCCTCCTTTCATCTTTAATGATTCTTCACCCAGCACACACTGCAGCCCAACCAAGTCTGCCCTCGGCAGACCTGTTCCCGGCCACCATCGTTCCCGCACACCAAAGTCCGCCTCAAGCCACGCTCGGCACCATGACCCAAAGCGACACAAGGGCAATGCATCTAGAGGATATTGCGGGCTTGTAGCGGTACTTTGACCAGGAGTGTGGGTAGTGGATGACGTTGTCGTAGCCAATGGGAGCATCTAATCTGATCTGATGCATCTGATAAGATTTTTTTTCTCGTGCCATCAGGACCGGGTGCAGGGGTGGGAGGCAGGGATGGCGTCGTTCCATGGTCTCCGAATCGCCCGATACCGGGTGCGTGATTTTGGTCCACTTGGGGTTTTTTTACTCCATTCTAGCTCCTTCTTAGTAGCAGAGCAGGGCTGGGCACTTCAAAGTGAAGAGCATCTTCGTGATCACCGGGCGAGACGTGATGGCGAGCGCAAAACCAATGGTAGGCAGAAGGATGATGGATGATGACCTTCCCCAGTGGCCACGAGACGTCAAGAACTGATGTGCGTTCCACCACACGATTGGCGAAGGATCATCAAGCATAAAAATTGGATCCTCGACGACTTTTTGCGGCGCAGTACATGTTGACAGATGTGACGTGCGATGTTTATTTTGACAACCTCTTGGCAGAGAACTAAGTGCATTCTGCCGCACGCCTATGTTCAGGATAACACGAGCTTGGGGCTTCTTTTGTAGGCAATCATGGTAGAGCATATATTGTTTCGTAAATGGCCCATTCCGGTCCCAATGTCGTAGCGCTGGGCTGAACTCGTCGATGAGTCGGGTTTTGAAGCCCACGATGAGGACGCGTGGGTTTGTCTCCGCTGCTCCCCGGACATTAGATTGGGCTAGAGAGAGGGAAGGCTTGAATGAGAATTTCCCAGATGAAAGGGGCTAACCCGTTCTCCTCTCCCGAGACAAGCATCGGCATTTCCTGCCCGCCACACCTTGTGTGTTTGCTTGTTTGGGGCCTCAAGCACACACTATCCCACATCGAGCTGTTGTCCCGATCCAAGTGCCGTTGAAAGGTACATTCAGCCGCACTTCTGAGATGCCCAAACAAGCCTCCCAAGCATTTGTCGGACTGTGTATCCTCGCTAGGCACGGCGAATGGTATTCATTCGCCTTCGTGAATCCACTCCCGTCGAGTAACCCCAACTCTCCAGAGTATCTCACTACGTTTCTCCCTCTACTCTGCTTAGGTGTCTCCCCTGCTCGCGGCTTCGGATGATGCAGCAGCGCATATTCCATGGTCCTGGAGGCTCTTAGTCGAGTGCCCAAACAGCCCATGCCAAGCCAAAGTTGACCAGCGGCAACCAGTACTTGAGCCCGGCTCTCATCTGGCTCCAAGCCCCAGCCACGGTCAGAAAGCAGCCCAGCCCGAGAGTGCCAGACATCGCTCGCGTAGCCGGGCTGAGCAGCAGGATGCCCTCGGTGATCATGAGGGCACCGACTACCAGCATGTGCAGCCGCACCGTCTTGGGGCTCTGAACGTCAGTGAAGGGAAACACCGGGCTAGGATGAGGCGCTGTCTTGATGCTCTTTTGGAAGATGCGCTCGTTTAGGGCCGAGAAGGGCACGGCAGACACTCGTCCGAGGCCGCCGAGGACGTATTCGGATGCGAGCACGAGTGCTAGTATCGTGTGGCCAGTACTGGGCATAACGATTACTAGAGCTGGGGGCTTGGTTGTGTGTGTCTGTGGGAACAACTTCGTCTGCCGCGATGTGTCTGTGTTGTGATCTGGCAAGAGGTTTAACTAGCAGAGGTGGCACGCGCGTAACGTCATCAACTTAGGTAGCTTCTTCTGCTGTGTCCAGCTAATTAGCGTGTGTCTGTCTCACCCAGCGTCACATGCACCGCCGAAGTCAACAGTTATGCGCGGCGGCGTGCTTCTGTAGCATGATGACTTGTGCATACACAATATTTGTCACTGGTATCATGTTGAAACTGAACTGGAACCCATGCTAGGATCTTTGTGAGTCATAGCAATTTCAGTTGGCAAGCGTTGGAAGAGTGAAAGCTAGCAACACAACTCCTCACATGCAGTAGGTGACCACGGTACTGAGTCGATATAAATATCCAATTGACAATCGACAGTAAGTGAGTTATCAGCAGAGTTATCAAGGGAACCCCTTGAAGAGTCATAGAATGGCGCGGTCGAACAACTGCGCATTGTTATCTCCGAATACGGGATTTTGGCTCCACCTGTCGAGTCGAGTCATCATTTAGATCCCGCCGACGAACATGTCAATAAAAAGGCGCACGCATCGTGTCCCTTGATAGCGCCAAGCGATTCTTCACGGATCTCTTGTCTTGAATTGAATCGTTGCATAGACAAGACAAGACAAGACAAGGAAGCGCACCAAGCAAGATCGTTCGCCATGTCAGCGTTTCCAACACCTCACTCGTCTTCCCAAGGTCCGAGCATCACAAGGGCCAAGACGGAAGATGTGCCGGCGATCAAGGAGCTGATCACGGCCGCTTATACCAAATACGTTGAACGCATGAACCAGTTACCGGGACCGATGCTGGCGGACTACGTCAAGCTCATCGAGGAAGGCAAGCAAGACGTGTTCGTGCTCACGCGAGAAGAGACGGTCGTGGCGGCCGAGGGCGAAGGCGCCGACACCAAGTCGAGCCGGATTGTGGGCTCGGTCGTGCTGTCGAATCTCCCGGACGAAGACGCGATTGAAGTGAACAAGCTGGTCGTGGACCCCAAGGTGCAGCGCTCCGGGTACGGCAGGATCCTGATGGACTACTCGGAGGAAGTGGCCAAGGCGCGCGGGTTCAAGGCCGTGGTCCTGTTCACCAACGTCAAGATGTACGAGAACATTGCCTACTACTCCAAGCTCGGGTATCAGGAGACGGGCAGGCGGAGGGCAGGCGGCTACGATCGGGTGTATTTCAGGAAGGATCTGCAATAACGGCGGCGCAGAGGGATTTATCCTTTCCTTCTCGCTAGAGTCTCGGGAGGAATATTATAGATTAATAGAGGACATAATAGAGGACATAATAGAGACTGTTATAATGACGATCTCCCGTCGGCGCGCGGCATCACTTTTAATGCCCGTGTGGCTTCCATTTGCTGAGGATGGAATTCGGGAAGCGATTGAGGGCGCTGGCTGATGGCTGTCATGGCGATAATAGCCGGACGAGACAGAGCATTATTGAGAACCAGTCAATAGACGAGAGATCCGAAGCCACCTGCGTGATGGAAGGACAGTAATTGGGTCCTTTCTTGGCCTCTACCCGGTGAGAGAACATTGTATCGCGATGGACTGGACCTTTCCCTCCTCGGGCTCTCTCGGCCGGCTGTGCCGAGGTGATCGTCACGTGTCGAAAGCGCGGAATGGGAGATGGAAGGCTCAGGCCACTCACCGCCTTCCTCTTAGGGACGCGGGTTCCATGCGGGGGCGGGGCGGATAATGACAGGCAGGCCGAATAGCGCTGATAGACAGCCCTGATTCTTGCTTTAGCTGCTTCTCCAGCGCGGTGGATGGAACCGCTTCGAATCCTGTGCCATCGATCCTTTCGGGTCCCTCCCAACAACAACAAAACTGTCCCAGACCTTTGCTCTGTCTCTGTCAACCCCCCACGTCGCGACCCGGACCCAATTGCTATGTTCACTACTGCTACCTGTGCATAGATCTAGACGGACACTCGGCGACATGATAGAGGAACAGGACCGCCAGACTGGCCCCGCGCCGCCGCGGCTCAATGGCGGGGGTTCCATCCCCGACGCCGCCGCCGCCGCCGCCAGCCGCTCCCTCGAGCACGTCTGCCTCGAGCTGCGTGACAAGGTCGACGCCTTCCTCAACCAAAAGGCCAGCACGCCGCTGCTGTCGCAGGTGCAGGACCAGCTGCGCATATCAATAGGCGTTGTGGAGGACGCTCTCAACCGTTACGAGTGCGTCAATGGCCGCGTTCGCATTCCCTCCCCACGAACCGCTGTGCTGACCCCCATGCAGGCCGGAACAGCTCGCGATAAGCTACAACGGCGGCAAAGACTGGTTCGCACACAGCCCATTCCGATAGATTGCACCTGCCCGGAGAATCCTGACTGACTTCGAATATATTCTTGTGCTACTGATTCTCGTTCTCGCGTGCATCGGCCGCCACTTCTCCTCCTCCTCCCCTTCCTCCGCGAACTCGACGTCGACCTCACCCAACAATATCGACACGAAACACAAGAGCAGATTCCCCTCCTCGCTACAGGCCGTCTACGTCGTCGCCGACCACTCCTTCCCCCAGGTCGACGAGTTCACCGAGTCCACCGCGCGACAGTACCGCCTCGACCTGTGTCGCTTCGCCCTGCCCATGCGCCAGGCCCTCGACGCCTACCTCGCCGAGCGGCCCTCCGTGCGCGCCATCTTTGTCGGCACCCGCCGGACCGACCCCCACGGCGCGAACCTCAAGCACTTCGACCCCACCTCGGCCGGCTGGCCCGACTTTATGCGCGTGCACCCCGTGATCGACTGGCACTACGCCGAGATATGGGCTGTGAGTTGGAGCACCATTGAGAACAGACGGAGTATATACTGATTGTGGGATATGTATATGCAGTTTATACGCCAGCTAGGCATACCATACTGCTCGCTTTATGACGAAGTACGTTTCTGGACTATGGTTAGGTTGTGAGGAGAGTGCAGACAGCTGACGACAGCAAATTAGGGCTACACCTCCCTCGGGGGAACGACCGACACACATCCCAACCCCCAGCTCGCCAAGGCCGGCGCCGGCGGAAAGTTCCGGCCCGCTTACGAGCTGGTTGCCGACGATGAAGAGAGGCTGGGCAGAGATGCCTAGGTATGGAGGGTTGGAGTGCCTCTATTTATAATCTCTTTGCATAGAACGATAGACATTGTCAATGGCATTTGCATGATGGTCTCTGATTACACCAACGCAAGAAGGGGATCTTCTCGAATCAGAAATGTGCAGCTGACAGCCAACTATCGGTGGTATCCACAACTGGCCTTGACTGCGGATCGGCATCTTCGTCTGAGACATAGCATATCTACCTCCTGACAGGTCTCTGTCATAGAATTTAACCAGCACCATCTCAAAGAATAGTTCATGGCAGCTGCAACAGATCATGTATATACATATAAGATTCTAAATCAGTTCATTCAATGCAGACCTGATAAGTATCTCCGTCTAGCTTGAGATGTTTGAACATGTCCTCGGACCATGTCTCCAAGTGGCAAGCGATAAAGTAGTCCTCCTCCGTTGGTCCTGCTCGCAGCCTTGCCTCCACTTCTTGGCTAGTTGTCCCAATCTTGCCAGAGTTGTACAGTCCGTAGAAATCAAGCTTGTCCTTTAGTTTAGACCATATTCCGAAAGTGCTGTCGAACAGTTCTTGAACTTGGCATCGAAGAACAAGTCTCTGTGCGTAATGTTCCCAAGACACCACTGGTCGAATTATGGTAATGTCACGCCAATGCCGAGTTTTGCCCTCAAGGCACCACTCCCACACCAATAATGGCCCTGTTGACCCGGTGTACAAAGTGCTGCACGTCTCCCAGTCACGCTGACGAAACCTGAGCTCAACATAGCGCTTAATATCATCTTCCCCACTGCGGGACCTGTCGTCGACAATCTTCGGTTCGAGTTTAGGATCAATCATGCTCAGATAAAGATCCTCGGCTGCGCTATCATAAACATCAGCATATCGATCTTCCTTGCGTGCCTTTGCGCCCTCGATCATTGCCGGCAGGAAAGTCCATGTTTCTTCGCCACCCATGTTTCGGCCAAGGGCTTGTTTCATGCTGAGCCCGGGTGGCTGACTAAAGAATTCCCCAGCATGTTGAAGAGGTTCGTAGAGCCCAGAACTCTGCAAACAGTCGAGCGCCAAGGCCCAGTCACAGTCACGTATCTTGTACAATGATACGAAACAAACAACGTGAGAGGAGGCCAATAATTTGAAACGTCGGGAGCAGCCTATCCTTCGAAGAATCAAGTAGATCAGAGGTTGTGATTGTCCCGTATCCAAGACAAAAGCCTCATCTTGCCCCGGTCTGACAACCCCGCATATGGAGTTCTTGGTTGCCATGTACATTGCCCTCCTTGCATGCGAATCCTTGTCGACAATCGGTATCTCGAAAAGTCCAAAAGCCCCGGAATAGCCGAGCAATTTGGGACGAGAACTAATGGTGGTTACTTTGGTGAGGTTGATCGAGAGTGCTCCGGTCTCGGAGTTGACAGTTGCTCCTAGGTGCCACGGACGTGTTTGGCGAACTTTCAACCGATATGCCCTGATTTCCTTTCCATCATCGGTTTCATAGGTGTGCTCAGGATCATCCATGTCACAGCGTGGGTCATCGTGTCTTACAAACTGAACGATGTTAGCATCTCTTGTCCATGATCGAGCCTCCCGTACGGCTACAAGGAGTCGATTCATAGTTAGTTGACTGTTGAACAAGTCAACCGTCTCTCCGCTCTTTCCAGGAAAGGTACACTCCCAAGAGGCTTGTGTCCGCCACCCGGGTACCCATGACGGCTCACTCCCTATAGGACCGCAAGCATTCAACAAGACCTCGGTCTGATGCTGAATGAGGATACAATAAGCAAAAAAGCCAATGAATATGTGTTGATGAGAAAGGTCATAGCCTGGTCGGAGGTCGATCTGATTAGATTTGTCCTGGCAAAGACCAAGAACAGCGTGCAGTCGATCTCTTAAATCGCTGGCTTGAGACTGAGACGTAAGGGCCATGAGGCTACAGAGATTTCCGCTTGGTAATAAGCTTCGAGAGTATGTAGATTTAGCAATTGACGGCTACAACATAACAGTGAATATAGGGTGGGGTCTGAACTCTCTCAGATGACATTGTCTGCTCCTTGATGACAGTCTGCGCAAGTGGAGAAGGTCAAAGGGAAGGCTAAACCCGAATTGAAATAGGAGAAACAGGACTCACCCTCTGGATATATGGGGCAGCCGTCCGGTCCCACTTCAAGCCGTATTCCTCGAGACGAGTGAACATGGCAGTGTCAGCCCAAAAGAGCTTGTCTCCAATCGGTATGATGGCGCGGGGGGGTAAAATGAGCTCTTGAATGACCCAGAGCCGGCTGAAGTATCGCCGTTCAAGCAGCTGCCGAATGTCAAGCCTTCCTGTTGTCGAGGATACATGAAGGTGGGCTGAGGTGCTAATCTCAAGCTCTTCGAGACGATGGCGAGGAGGATATCTGTCCTTGGGTTGCGCAACTAGGTCCTGACCTAGCCACACAAAAACCCTAGAACATCCCTTGTATATCTGACCCATGATCGAGACCTGGCTGTCTCGTTCTTGAATGTCGTCCTGATTGATGCAAATGGCATCGACCCAGACTAGACGAAGACCTCGTGTTGGGCGCATGTACCGCAACATGGCCCAGCAGTTCTGGGTTTGGAGGATCAAATCCCAGTATGTTCCTACGTAGACAGGCTGACAGCTTTGAGAGAATCAGTATGTATGAACACTGGTATTACTGAGGGCAGCATGCAGTCGATAGCAATGGCGGCAAGTGTAACAGAGGGAAAAAGAAATCCACAAGGCACAGTTAAGATGCCTCGACGAAAGTAAGCGGAACTCACGGAGTAGAGACATTATTTTCACCGCCCCATGTGTACGAACTTGCCTCATACTCAGGGCAGTCGTCGTGGACATAGGTCTCGAGAGAGATGTGTATTGCGTTATCATGGTCCACAGCAGGAGAAATGCAAGCTAGGCGAAACTGTTTAAGGTCAAGAGACTCGGGGTATATAGCGCATTTCTCCATCGGGCTGAGGCCGTGAACCGGAGCAGATGCAATACTGGACGTCTCCCGCTCTGTGGAGTGTTCTTTGGGGCGACCATCGCCTGACGTCTTCACGCCTGTAGTCATAGCTTCCGATTTGATATATGGAACTGCCTCTGGCCAGCTAAGATTGAGCCGTCCAGGTGGCTCATCGGGTATTGCAGGTGTGAACGAATTTTTGGCGGCGGCCGTGGCTTTCAGTGTTTCAAAGAGCTTTGCTGACGAGGCTCCGCACGACTTGCAAGCAGGTTGTCCTCCAGGCCCCGTAGATACATCTGGCTCCAGGCAGGTATCGACATGCCAACGATTCATACTGCTATGTGCTCACCCAAGGTCTGGGACTCAGAACAAAGTGCTATGCAGCAGTCATGATCTTGCCCAACCCCGGAGGAACATTCGGCAGCGAAGGCCTTGAGGCAACCAACATGCACTATCACGTGCACCTGCAGGGCATCTCCATTTCATCCAATCAGCTGACGCAGTTATCTGGCCTATCACAGAGGAAATCGCGTGTCCTACAATAGTAGCATTTTTTTGCCTACAATATGCTCTTAAGAATGTGTGGATCTGGTTGTCAGAAATGGTGGTGGGGTTGCTTCAATTAAGAATAGCGGTAGGATTGTATTTGCACTTACGGTGACGATGTAAGCGAAGCAACTTCTCCGCCCACAGACGTTTACGGCCGCCTCGCAGTTTGATCCTGGTCAGTAATGGTTGCGTTAAGGGAACGGTTTTGCATCAGGCGCTCATATTAACCACAGAGCGCTTGGTGAGAAGGTTAGCACTCGAGATCCAATCAAATGCTCCCAACACACCATGGCAAGCAGGCACATCAAAGTGCTGAGACACTTCTTGTAGCACTCGCTCAGTGTCTGCACAATACAATTCAGTAGGTGTTAACTACTATATCGATCAATGGACCCTACATCTATGTGCAACTTCCCCCACTAGGCACATGGTGCGCCCACGAATATAGCACATTAACCTTCACTGTTCTTGCAAACGAGAGGTGGTAATAAGCTACCGCATTGATACAACATGGATCTGTTGACGCCGACCCCATCACAGCTCCCAGCATGGCATATCTGGAGAATCGCCTCCCCATGCCATCTCCATTCTCTCATACTAATATCCATCATAGCGCCAACACATGTCGACTTGCTCTTGAGAAACATGGTGCTTGCGCATGACATCTGCCTGCTGAACCGCCGTCCCGGCGAGTTTCTTGTTGAGCCGGCGGACCCAGAACTTGTAGCCCGTGATGGAGAAGAGGAAGACGATACCGCAGGCCAGAAGAGTCCCAAACGCCTTGTAGTACTGTGGGCCACCATCCTTCCACAGGTACGAGGTCCACACGTTGGACAGGCCGCCCAGACCGTTGATCAGAGCCATGCCCAGCGCGCGCTTCGTGGCCGGTCGTGCCATGTGAATGCCGTTGGTCTTGTACAGCATGACCTGAGGAGCGACTGTGTTTTCAAAAGGATCAGTCCAATGTTGCGAGGACTGATGAAGATGTCAGTAGCAACTCACCAGAGACAACTGGCATCAAGCACATGGCAAAGTAGCGAGAGCCCACATTGGGGGCCAGCATGCCGAGGATGTAGACCGGGGTCGAGGCAATGAGGTTAACAACAATGATGATGTAAATCTTGTTGTAGCGCTGGAAGAGGACTTAGCATCAGGCAAGGATAAAGCACAACGGTAGGACTCACGTCTGACAGAAATGAACAAATGTAATATCCAACCATGGCGACGACATACGGTGGAACTGTCAGCAGCAAGCTCTCGTACTTTCCGAACTTGAGCGAGGCGATGATAGAAGGGAAGAAGTTGAAGACCGAGCCCATGGCCTGTCCCATACCACCGCACCAGACAAGCAGCCAGAGCTTCTTGTCCGAGACAGCAGCCTTGAGACCATCCCAGGCAGTGGCCTCTTCGTGCACCTCGGCAGATCCGCGTTCGTTCTCAAGCCGCCAGACAGCAAGGTCGCGCTGCTGAGGGTTGAGCAGGCGCGCATTGTGAGGAAACTCGGGCATGACCACGGCGAAAGCCATGCCCAGGCCGACCGTCACAACACCTTCGACGATGAAGAGCCATCGCCAGCCGGCGATGCCGTGTCTGCCCTCAAGCGTCAGGCAGGCGGCGGCGATGAAACCGCCGAGAGCTTGCCCGAGAGCTTGGAACATGAACACACCACCGATGCGCTTGGCCAGCTCTTCCTTTTTGTACCATGCTGAGAGGAAGTAGAGCTATCAAGGTGTCTGTTAGCATTTCTTAGATGTCTCTCTGCCTTTTTTCTGAACATCACTCACGGCACCAGGGAAGTATGCAGCCTCGGCGATACCGAGAACAACTCGAACGGCGTAGAGTGCTTCTTTCGTCTTCACGGCGGCAGTGCAAGCCGACACAGCGCCCCAGATGACAGCCATACAGCAAATGTCTGACCCTTGATCAGTATTGGATCCAATGGCTTGGGGCTTTTGTCCCAGAGGGTATGAATTGGCTTACAGAGGCCCGGACGAGGGATACGCGAGACCAAGATGTTACTCGGAAATTGCATCGGAATATAACTGACTGTGTCAAGGGCATCAGCAGGCTATCAAGGTTGAGGGCTAAGGAGCGTGGACGTACCAAACAAGATGGAAATAGCGGTAGCGAAATCTGTCTCAGACATGTTGAGATCCTCAGTAATGCCGTAGACGTGGGTAGCAGCCAGACCAGAGCGGTCGACATCTACAATCGATTAGCTTCACATGTACTCCCCGCAAGATAATAGACAGAGTAACTCACAGTTCAGAATGTAGAGAATGCCAATGATTGGCCTGTGCCGCACCAATTAGCATTGCTTTCAGCTGAGTAAGTGTTGACCCTTGTTGAACTGACATAACCACAAGGTCGACCTTGCGGACCATCTTTTTCTCCATCGCGGCCAGTTCCTCATCGCTCAGGTTGGCGATGCTCTCAGGCTTAGGCTTGGTAATTCTCGGCTTGTCGAAACATTCGCCCTTGGCCGTGTTGTCCTCACTATCAAAACAGAAGCCTAAGAGTCAGCAACTTGGGCTTTGTCTGTGCATTATACTGTGACGGCCACTCACAGGTGGACGACAGGAGAGATTTGGTCACCATCTTTACTCGGCATTCCGGACGCAACTTGAGGGGCCATGGCGGGGAGGCGAGAGGGCGTGTAGTTGTAGCAGCAACTAAGGAAGCAGAAAAGCGGCCATGTGTTGGGACGGAGGTGATGTTATATCTCTTGTCGTGTATCCTCCATCTGGGCAAACGCGCGGGCTATCAGTGTCATGGCTGACTGTCGCGTATCCGATGGCAGATTAGCGGAGCCGATAGATCATTTCGTGCATATCTACCCCCAGTTTCCCCAGCTTCAACCCCCGGTGGTCCCATGTATCACCAGGTCATGGGATCAACCCGGCCTGCGGACGCCGCCATTGCGGTACAGTGACAGGAGGCGGAGGGTGTCGGCCGGTTACGGTCGGCTACGCTAATATGAATTCGATACAACAAAAGTACGGGGCCCCGCGGGGTTTCCCCATTGTCATCGGCTACGCTAGAGGCACTCGCTCTTGATGTTGGGCGGTAGCCTATGGCAGGTTGCCTCAGGGTCAGCGACGTGCCGGGATGCCGCTATGCGAACCAATCGCTTACTAGGGCATGTGATCTACATCATAATAACCCCAGGATTGGCCAGACGGACCCATGTTTATGACAACGACAACGAATGCTTGTGAGCAGGTTGCACAGCGATGGGCCGATGATCGGGACGGATCCTTCATGCGATTGCGTATAATATCTTGTTCCGGTGTCGAACACCATGCCCGAGCGTGAGGGGGCCCTCGTCTATCATATCCCCATGTTAGCACCGGATACTGGCCCATCTTGCACAGCATAGATCAAACACCATGGCCGTCACCATCACCAACACCGTTACGCCTCTGCCCAAGCTCAAGCTCAACACTGCTGGCAAGGATCCCATTCCCAAGTGGGTACCACCGCCAGAGACCCAGGAGGACCTCGAGTGGCAGGACCTGCGCGTCCTTGACCTCGCGCTCCTCGATGGCACGCCCGAGCAGCAGAAGCAAGTTGAGCAGACATGCAAGGATGCTGTCACCAACGAAGGGTTCTTGCTGATCGTCAATCATGGCGTCGACGATAACACCATGCAGCGCGTCTTTGACCTTGCCAATTGGATCTGCAACGGGGACGCCATGAGCGATGAGGATAAGAAGGAGTACGAATGGGACCGTGAGAATGGAGACTGGATGGGCTACAAGCCCCCCAAGGGTTGGGGTGAGGTAAGCGAAGGATCCAGAAAGTTTGTTTTGACTGGTGTTAAGAATCCCATAACTAATGTCCGAGTAGAAAGGGCGGGAGGACTACGACCATATCGAGGCGTACAACTTCTACGGCGCATGCTGGGAGAAGAACCGCCTCCCACCGAAGATCAGGCCCTATGCCGACGAAATCCTGGCGTACGCCGATGTAAGTTCAAGCCACCCTCGTCACAACAATCATTCAAGGAGGCTTTTAAGGCTATGGCTAACGTACTCTCTCTAGCACATGCATAACCACGTGGGTCGTCGACTATACCTCCTCCTTTCACGCATTCTCGGTCTGTCCGACGAGGCCCTATGGCAGAAAGTTCCAGGCAAAAATTCCATCTTACCGCACTCGTCCTACTGTCGCTTCCAAGTGTACCACCCGCTGAAGGACGAGGACAGAGCGACAGCTGATAACATCTTGCCCAACCACACCGACCACGGCGCTACGACGTTCCTGCCTAGCCAGCCGGTCAGCTGTCTCCAGATCCTGGGCAAGGACCAGAAGTGGCGTTGGGTGCCTTACCGGAAGGGTGCACTCGTCTGTAACTTGGGCGATGTGATGGAGATCCTGTCGGGAGGGATCTTGAAGGCGACGAGGCACAGGGGTGAGTTTGAGTTGAATGCCTGCAGCAACACAGAAGATTGCTGTCCAGAGTGTCATTTCGGCATTGCTAATCCATCAAATTCTACCACAGTGTGCAAGCCTCCTGCCGATCAGCAAGGCTATGAGCGAGTCTCGGTCTGCTCATTCAACCACGCCGACCAGGATCTTGCCTTGGAACCACTTGAAAGTATATTAATTCATCCCAAGTCATTCTTTTGTGGAACCTTCGCGATTGCTGACCTCTATCCTCGTCATTAGATGCCCCCCTCATCAAGCAACTTGGAGTACAGCGCGACTCTGAGGTGTACGGCGCGTTCTGTAAAGCGATGGAACGCGGGGAGAAGGTATGTCACATAACTCTGTGTCCTAAGAGAAGGAAAGACAGAGAACAGATGACTGACGATGTTCCACAGATTCCCAAGTTTGGCGAGTGGAAGACACTGCGCAACAAGAATGCCCAGGAACCCACATCCAAGTTCGTAGAGATAAATGGTGTGCCGCACAGAGAACACATTGTTGGTGGCGTCAAAGTATATCGCCAGATCTAGACTATGACCTCGAGGTCAGAAAAATTCTCCATTCGGGTGTGTTAATAATTGTGAACGAAGCCGGAGGAGAGGCTGAAAATGTGCTCCATGTGTCCTTGACCAGATGATATCCTTTAGGATTTCCGTATAACATATCAAATAGTTACTTAGTCAGATTGAGCAAATGCTACTGCACGCGATTCTAATGCTCTGATCGGTCCAACTTGAAATCTGTGCCAGTCTGTATCCTAAATATCGGGTGCTCACTGGCAAATAAGCTGGATGCTATGCCATACGCTGCAAATAACCAGAAAAGACAATCTGCATGCTCTACACAATCTTGAAAGTCTCAGGCTCTTTCACTCCCTGTAGAAATTGGCCCTCCATCACCCCATCGCAATAGGCCTCGCCCAGATACGCCCATACAGTATCCTCCATCGAGTCGTCAGGGAGGACTCGGGGTGACAGAATATGCGGGACCGTCGCACCAAACAGGACGACCGCGACGTCGCCTTTTTGAATGCTTGCGGGACCTACACCGACGTAGCCTCCCTCAGTGATGAATAGATGGCGGTCGCGGTTCCGGAACACAAAGTCCAGGTAGTCTGACAAGTGTCTAGCAACGGCGCGGTCCGGATTAAGTCCCGTGCGCTCGAGGACCTCCTCCCGATTTGGTGGGTGGAATCGCAGTCCGCCATATCGTCTCTTGAGATACAGCCACTTGGCCGTCAAGGATACTCTGGCTGAGCTGAAGAACAATATGACCATCTCCCGAGCGAATTCATAGCACCCTCTCAACCATCGCATGGAACCGGTCACGGGGTCGGTAGCGCATAGGTGAAGGACATCCGTTTCGCTAGCGTGGGCCCAAGAGTTGATGTTTCGAAAGATATTCGAGAGGGAATGATCTCGGAGGAATTCATCGGAAGTAATGAGTCTTTGTCCCAGTGTGGAGGCTTGCTCATAAGCTCCTTCGAGATTCTCATACGCCGTGGTGCTGTCGTACCCATACCGTGTGGCCATGTCCTTCGCCGTCAAGTCAAAATCGGCAAGTCGAATAGCTGCCAGTCGGCGCAACCTATGATCTGTTGCGTACGGGAATGGGCAGCTCGGTATGTTGCTTGCTCGGAGCAGCATATCATCTGCTTCAGAGTAGAACCTTTTGAGAGACTGATACTGGACATTGTCGAAGTACGGCCTTTCAAAGTCTTGCAAGATAGTCGTGCTTCCGATTTGCATTATCTTGCCGATGACAAGGCCAGATACAGATAGCTGCCTTCTTTCTCGATCGACAAGTGGTAGAATGGTAGGCATCGGCCCTCCCGCTGAGTATACGGGCTTCTTGAGATTGAGATAACCGCGAGACATGCTCAAGTCGGTCGACCAGTCCGGTACCCACGTAGGCAGCCCATCCCGACTCTTCGGGAATTGAGAAAGCGACAAAAAGTCCAGGTTCTGACACACCGCCAGCGAAGCAAAATCGGTGAACACGCCATTGCTGTGGCTCGTGTCGCCATCGTTATCATCATACCGCACCGCGACAGTGTTGTAGACTTCTTCGTCAGCCGCCAGCCCCAACACTCCGAACAAGCGGTCTTCCGCCTTGGTGCAGTTGATCTTGTCGCTGTCGACGTTGACGTTGTACTTGAGCATGATGTCGTAGTAAGTCTGCTTCTGGCCGAGCTCATGGATGGCCTTTCGCTCATGGAAGATGCGGTTGAACCTCTGCAGCAGCTTAAAGACGAGGTTTGCACGGTTGACCTCGTGCTGTGAGACTGTTCCCCTTTGCGTGCGAATCCAGTTGCCGTTGTAGAATGTGAAAAATGCGCATGAGCTGCGAAGACACTCGAAACACAGTATCCTAGAGCCACACAGGAAGGTCACGTTGGGTGCAAGGCAAGCTTCCTGGATGACCCAAAGACGGTTGAACCATGATCTTTCGAGGACGTGGATCATGGCCTCTTGCGAGAAGCGGCGCTCGAACTTGGCGATCAACGCCAGAAGGTCGTCCCTATCCTCTTTCTTCACGCCCGTCAACTCGATGCTGGGATCGGGATCCAGCACGGCGTCATATATCTCCATAAAGTGGCCTTTGTTGGGACCTATCAGCCGACTCATGACACCTTCCTCGTTCATCTCCCTGGCCATGTCGAAGAAGAGATCGGAGAGGGCGGTGGACGGGCCCAGCCAGACCACCACGCGCTGGCCCCGTGAGTAGATCTCCCCCATCAAGTGAACCTGGACCGCCTTCTCGTCTCCGTCGGACTGATTGATACATATCTGGTCGACGAATATGGGGCGGTCCGTCACGCGATTCGCGACGATGGAGCGCAGCGCTGCTTCGAGCGGTCTGTGAATCCACATCACCCGCTTCTGTTGACCTGCTGTCTCAACGATGACCCGCCGATCCGGCCGCGCCTTGGCACCGACACCCCAGCTGTATGAAAGCGTGTCATACTCGATGGGGACCGCTGCGCCGAGGTCGGCCTCGATGATCTCGACGCGCAAGGTGTCGGAGCAGATGGGGAAGAATGAGCGCGCGGGCGGCAGAAGTCTGATGAGCCGGAAGACCCGAGGCTTTGCTGCCAGACTGGGATACTGGAACTCCTCAGAGTCCCAGCAGCCTGGGAATGGCGCCAGAGCCATGTTGCGTGCGGCTAATGCATTGCTACGTACTGCGAATTGCACGTCGTGACAAGTTGAGGCATCTGTCCTTCAGGCGACAAGTCCTCGGATGGGCAGCAACATCTTTGGGCGGCAAAGGAACGTGCCTGTCACGTGACGGGTCTTGGCCTTTGAGGCCCATGCGAGATCTCGAGATCCAGAAGTCCAGGGATGATATTACGGCACGTTAACAGACTTGGACTTGTGTTGATGATTTGAATCGAATTTGGAATTCTGGATCAGATTACCTTCGAGCGTGCATATGAGAGCGACTGATTGCCCGTTCTGGTTGGATCGACTTACCCATATCGTCTGCAGGAAGAAACCATGTTGAGGCTTTATGAAGCTGTCAGTTAGTCCTCAGATTCAAAAGAAGCAAAACATCTCGACTCGAGCGGAAGGATTGAGAAAAACTAACGTTGAAATGCTGCACCTAGTGGTCCGGCTGAAACAATGATCTTGAAAACGTTGGGCTCCGGTTTTGACGGGCTCCTAGGCCGATATCATTTCCATGGGACAATAAAATCATGCTACTAGCTACATTCAAGCAGCAGATTTCCCCATCATTATTTTTGTTGGAACCTGTTTTTGCTATTCCGACTACTCAAATCTGAGTGCAAGTTCAAAGTCAGGGATGTGTTTCTTTCCGCGCCTCCCATTCTTTTAAGCGTGGGCCTGTTTTCCTCTTAGTCCCATCTCGGTCGGCCCAAACTTGCCAATGACACATCCTGGAAAAGAACATTATTATTTGAATGCTGGAGCAGAGACACATCCCGATGGTGCGGTGTGCTGAGCGTGGCTTGCAGGGGTAGGGCCAATGCCAAGCTGGGTAATTGCTTAAACTTGCTCAAATCCACTCTCGCCAACATCCCATCATAGCATAAGAAACGGGGAAAACAGTTGTGGAGGGCACAACGACTGACCAGGACTCGCTTGTGACTGGGTCGCAACGCCGACCAAGGCGCCACTGCTTGCTTCTGACACTTCGTTTCTCAGAGGGGTGGATCGGACCGTGCCAATACAAGACAAATGATATCCCTAATGGTAATCAGCTCAACCGAAAGCCAATCGGAAGGGATGTAGATGCAAGTCTGCTTCCAAAAGCGCAGCCCACAGAGCAAGATTGGTGACCCTGGATCCTTGCCATGGCCTTTCAATTCTGTCTGGGGCCTATAAGACCAGTGCCTATCCGCGTGCGTCTCGACGGTCTGCAAATCCGGTCTCACCATTGAGTGCTGACAGATCAGTACCCTCGCCGTCAACATGAGAAGGCAAGCTTTGTCTGTTGCCCTCCAGGTATCGGGCCTATTCCTGCAGACGACAGAGGCCACAGAGACTAAAAGTCGTTCTGGGCACGGCTTGATCGGCTATGGCATCTCCATGTACCCTCCGCCCTGCGCCTTCGCGTGCAAGGATGCCGTGAGTGCGCCGCTGAACTGCACCGCCGACACGGCTATGGACATGAGCGGCCACGGCGGCATGTCCATGAAGCTTAAAAGCAGACACCACGGTGAACATGATGAGCTTGAGTTTCCCTCTGGAGATGGCTGGAAAGTTGTCAAAACAGCACCTGCCGCCTGCAAGGCGATCAACGACTTCTGGCTCCAGACCGTGGCACACTGTGTCCGCACTCGATGCCCCGACAGCTCGATCAGCCAGCTGGAGAAGTTCTGGGAAACCGAAGCACTAGGACATCTTGTCGAGCAACCAGTGCCCAAGATGTCGTACTCGCAAGCTCTAGCCTCCATCGCCGTTGAGCCTTCCCGAGCGATGAACAAGAGCGTTCTTCTCGACTACGTCGGCGCCGTCTCCGACAAGGACTGGACGCCCATCTACAACGCCGACGTCAACTTCGAGGAGCACGAGGCAGGACACTCAATGTTCGGGCTCATCGTCCTGCTCGCGACCGCCGTGCTCCCAATCGCCATGTCCCTCCTGCGATTCCTCCCCTGGCCGACGGCGCTGGTCTCCCGTTTCCACGCCTACTTGATCGACCCTCCGCTCTTCGGGCCCCACCACTCGACACCCGTCTTCTTCGGCCTGGGCATCATGCCCACACGCGGCCAGGCGCTCTTCATAGTCTACATCTGGGCCGTCAACATAGCCTGCTCCGCCGCCGGGTACCACCCCATCTGGCCGCACAGCTGGTACGCGAGCACCTACGTCGAGGTGACGACCTACGTCAGCAACCGCGTCGGCATCCTGAGCTTCGCCAACCTGCCCGTCACTATCCTCTTCTCGGGCCGCAACAACCCGCTGCTGTGGGTCACCGACTGGTCGCACTCGACCTTCCTGCTCGTGCACCGCTGGGTCGCCTTCATCTGCATGGCGCAGGCCGTCATCCACAGCATCGCGTACCTCTACCTCTACCTCGAGCCCGACCGCGACCACACCGCCGAGAGCCAGAAGCCGTACTGGTACTGGGGCATCATCGGCACCCTCGGCCTGTCGCTCATGGTCCCCTTGTCGCTGCAGCCGATCCGGGCGAGGATGTACGAGGCCTTCCTCGCGAGCCACATCGTGCTGGCGATCCTGGCCCTCATAGGCTGCTTCCTGCACATCTTCTACCGGTACGAGTGGCAGTGGGGGTACGAGAACTGGGTGTACACGGCGGCGGGCGTCTGGATCTTCGACCGCCTCGTCCGGCTCGCGAGGACCGCGCGCAACGGCGCCAGGCGGGCCTTCGTCACGCCCATCGACAACGAGTACCTGCGCGTCGACATCCCCGGCGTCGTGGCGACGGGCCATGCGTACCTGCACTTCCCCGGCGTCAGCCGCTGGAAGTTCTGGGAGAACCACCCCTTCTCCGTGGCTGGGGTGTCGCTGGGCATGGACGTGGAGTCCGGGTCCACCGCGCCCAAGACAATGTCCGACGACGCGGCTGACGAGGAGAAGAAGACGCACCAAGTTGCCGAAGCTCCAGCTCCACAGAGCTCCCGCGGGTCGTCGAGCTCCGTGGCCCCTCCGGCCTCTTCGGCTAGGCTACGTCCAATTGGGTCGACCTTTTTCATCCGCAAGAGCGAGGGAATCACGGATCTACTAAGCCGATCTGCATCGGGTTCAAAGGGCGTTTCCGTGCTGGTCGAGTCGTCCTACGGACCTGGGGCGACGGTCTTGCAGGAGGACCCCGTGATGCCGACACCCGAGTTCCCCAATGTATTGTGTATCGCCGGAGGCGTGGGCATAGCCGCCATCCTGCCGATCCTTGACACGGCGACGACTGGACTGGGTCGCGGTAGCGGAAGCATCAAGCTCTACTGGGGAGTACGGACGATGCCTCTCGTGCATGCTGTCGAAGACATGCTCCGCCTTGGGGATCTAGGCGACCAGGGCGTGACGGACCGATGCTGGGGTGCCGTGCCCGTGAAGCTGTCGGTAGGAGAGAGACTGGATTTGAAGGCCGTTATCGAGTCGGAGGTGGCGTCCAACACTGGCGGCACAACGGTCGTGGTCTGTGGGCCCGCGGGCATGGCGGATGAAGTTCGCTGCATTGTGTCTGCAGTTTCTCGGCACGGTCCGGTGACGAGGCTGGTCGTTCACAGTTTCATGTGGTAAATAAGCAGAATGTAGCAGAGAGCAACAAAATGAGCCCAGAGTGTTTGATTGTTTCATGAAGCAGATGAGATGGCCATTTCTTTGATCCGATGCCTAGCATGGACACCCCCCCTCCCCCCCCAGCAGTTAACCTTTTGATCTATTTGGAAATAAGGGTGCTACATGATGTTTTGGGGGAAATTAAGATCAGTCACTCTTAATCATGCAAACCCGGGATTGAATGCCATCACGATCATGCGGTCTTTGTCTCCCATTCTCCTTTCACAGCCTGCACTCTGCCGCCTTGACCCTCGCCATCGTCTCCTCGGTCGAGATGACCTCGCCGTACGCATACTCAAAGACGGCCAGCCCCCGCTTGTGCTGCGTCTCGTTGGCGGTGCCGCACGCGTCGGCGACCATCCACGTCTCCCAGCCCCGGTTGAAGCTACCCCTGCCCGTCGTGTCGCAGCAGCAGTCGGTCATGACGCCGCACACGACCACACGCTCCACGCCTTCCTCCTTCAGGATCTTCTCGAGGTCGGTGCCCAGGAAGGCATCGTACGTGTTCTTGGGGATGACGGGGAAGCGGCCCTGCTTGAAGAGGGCGTCGATCTCGGGCAGCAGCTCCCAGGCCTTGCTGCCGTAGTGGACCGAGTTGTCGATGCCCCACTTGCGGACGAGCTGGCTCTTGGAGTCGGCGACCAGCTCCTCCTTCTTGTGGCCGTGCTGGGTGAAGATGACGGGGAGGTCGAGGGAGCGGAAGTGCTTGATGAGTGTGACGACGTTGGGGAGCGAATCGACGACCATGGGGCCGAAGAAGTTTTGCATGTCTACTACCAGCAGCGCGGTCTTCATTGTGTGGTGTGATGTGTGTCTGGTGTCTTGAGATGTGGTTATTGTAGGCGCTGTTAATATCGGATCTACTCCAATGTAAGGCTCGGTTCGGACTGATCATCAAAACCGTAGACAAGAGGAAGCAGTACATGTACTTGTAGTGGTGTGCTTTTATTTAGTGAGGGGTGACATCACGGAAGACACAGACCCCACAGCCCGGATCCCGTTCGGCAACATCCATCATTGATGATCTGCCCCTGATCTGACGACATCTTTCGAGAAGCGGCATCCAACTCCAAGCGATAAGCGAGGAGTTTGGTAATTGTGAGTATGGCAAGATTGGCCATGTATCATCTCTGCCAGTCCGAGGTGAGTCCCTAATCCATGCCGTCAAATTATCTCCCCATGAAGCATCCGGCCCCAACATCCCGGATCAGACAGTCCGGATAGTTGTCAATAGCCTGCATTCCTCAATTAGTACTGCACTCTCCACCTCTGACAGGCCGGATAGAAATCAGATCAGCGGCTCTCAGGTACGATGGTTCCGCGGCGCTTGTGCATGCGGCCACTCCCCGTATCCGGCTGGGCACCAATCCCAACGTCTAGATAAAACTAGGTAGGAGCTGCAGCAAAGTCGAGAAATTTGCTCATGGCTGTACCTCCAACCTTGATACCCGACTTTCTCAACCCGACTTGAAGGTTGTTCTTTCTTCCTCATGGGCTAACATCGCTGCCGGAGACTCAATGCGCAAGGCCTTGTCGCCAATCCTCTTGCCTCGAGCACGCCCAGCACCGCTCACAAATCGTGCTCAATCCAGACACAACACCTGGCAGGCACGAGACGCTAGCTCTAGGAAGAGTTACGAAGGAATGCCGTGCTAAATCAAGCATGCAGCTAATCTTGCTAGCTCAGCCCAACACAACATTAAGCTTCCCGACCCCGGATCTGCAGGCCGCGTTATGCTTTCCGGCGACTCGTGCTCTGTGCTCCAGACCAGTCGCATTTTGCCCTAAATGAATCGAAGTGCAGCCGCAATATGAAGTACCGCATGCCGCATTCCAGTCCTCGCAGTGCGGGAGGAATAAGTGGCTGTCAAGATTATACCTAGTCCAAAACAATCGAGTCAGGTCGCTCGAAGAAGATATAGGGGAAGGGAAAAGGCGGTAGTATTTAAATACATACTAGCCAAGCACAGCCTGGATGGTCTCACTCCCCGCCTTCATCCACTCTCGCTACTGCACCGTCGGCACCATGATCCTCTCCGTCTCCGTGCTCGCCGTCATGATCGGCGTCGTGGCCGGCTACAGCCCGAACCGCCTCTGGAGCACCAACCGCTACCCCTACAACGTCCCCTACGACCAGTCCTTCCAGGAGGGCTACTCGCTCCTCAAGCACACCGGCAGCTACGGCCCTTACTCGAACCGCGCATCCTACGGCATCGGGCGTGACCCGCCCGCCGGCTGCGCGGTCGACCAGGTCATGATGCTCCGGCGCCACGGCGAGCGCTTCCCGCAGGCCTCGGCTGGCAAGGCTATGATGGACGTGGTGCAGCAGATGTACAAGAACAAGACGGGCGGCGGCGCGTGGACCGACGACCTCGAATTCCTGAACCGCTGGCAGTTCTTCGTGCCGGAGCAGGGCTACTTTGAGCTAGAGTCGTTTATGGGCCCTTACGCCGGCTTGCTCGAGTCGTACCGCCACGGCGCCGAGTACCGCACGCGGTACGGGCATCTATGGGATCAGTCGCCGGGGAAGAGGGTGCCGATCTTCGTGGCCGACATGGAGAGGGTAACGCAGACGGCGAGGAAGTTTGGTGAGTTCCTTTTTCAATCTTACTTGTGCATGTCTGGATAGTGACGAGGTGCTGATAGACAGTGCCTTCAGGGGAGGGCTTCTTTGCATGGAACTACACCACCTCGGCCGCCATCAACATCATCTCGGAGAGCGGCAAGATGGGCGCCAACAGCCTCACGCCGCGCTGCCAGAGCAACTCCACGGGGAACAGCGTTTGTGCAAACTTGACCAACTACCACCCCCAGTTCGATATCGCGGCCGCGAGGCTGAATGGCATGAGCCCAGGTCTCAAGCTGAGCTGGATCGACATTTTCGCTCTGATGGGTAAGCCATCCTACCTCAGTGCGTGTGTGTGTGAACCGAGGAGTCTTGGCTAAACATGGACCGCTTGAACTAGAAATGTCTGCCTTTGAGCTCAACGTGCGCGGTTACTCGGACTGGGCCAATGTGTTCACTCTCGATGAGTGGGTGGCCTTTGGCTATCAAAATGACTTGGACTTCTACTACTGCAATGGGTCAGTTTTCTCCCTACCCTATCTACAAAGTCAATCATCTACTGACCTCCTCTGCAGTCCTGGCAACGCGGATAACAAGGCCGTCGGTGGTGTGTACATCAATGCGACCCTGACGCTCATGAACCAAGGCCCCGAAAAAGCAGGCACCCTCTTCTTCAGCTTGTATGTTCAGAACACGGTTCACTTCCTCGCACTCTATTATATGCTCCATACTAACAAACAGCCACAAAAGCTCCCATGACACAAATATCACTCCTGTGCTCGCCGCCCTCGGCATCCCCTACGTGGAAAAAGACCTGCCAACGGACCGCATCGCCTTCCCCAACCCCTACACCATCAGCGACATAATGCCCATGGGCGGCCACCTCACCATCGAGCGCCTGGCCTGCAACGCCACCGCCGCCGCCCCCAAAGACACCTACGTGCGCCTCGTGCTCAACGAGGCCGTCGTGCCCTTCGGCGCCTGCCAGGACGGGCCAGGTTACAGCTGCTCGCTGGGCAACTACACCAGGCTCGTGCAGGCCATGCTTCTGGACTACGTCAGCACCTGCAACGTCCCCGCGAGCCAGCCGCAGTACCTCAAGTTCTTTTGGGAGTACAGCAACAGCACCGACTGGAACTACCAGAGGGGGGAGTACATCCCATGGCAGGGGTCGAGTGATGTGTGATCTTGCGGTGTAACGTTTCCTGGTGTTTATACAAACGGCGTTTAATGGTAGCAGGAGAGGGGCATACTCAGGGAGAAACAGGAACCAGATCAGCAGCAACTCCTATATTACTTGTGCATTCCAAAAATAGGGTCAAGTAGTAAAGATCGAAGTTGGCAGTAACTACATCACCATGCTGGGTAACACAACTCAGTCAACTAGAAGAATTTACGGCGAAAGAGCAGCAGGCGTAGACAACGCTCCATCAATGTACCAAGACTGCCTTCGTCGGCCTCGCGGATAGAGGTACCAACTTCACCGTAGTTTTATCAGGGCATTCTTTGGAGAAGGGCAATCGTATGCACCTGAGTGCATTTGCTTTGTGACAAGACGCCTGGATTACCAGGCCTTAAGCTCGAACTAGAACCAAGTCAGTCAATCAAAGGCAATCTAAGAGTCAATCGGCCAAGCGTCCTGTGTCCATTCGTCAAAAGTTGTCGGAGCGACTCTTTGCAGTCAATGGGTCAATTGCGCAGTTGACGAATCATAATTCAGCCATCAAAAAGTTCACCCGAAATGGAGGGCCGAACCCACCTCTAGCGCCAATAGCGATGAAGAGATGCAGAGTTCATACATGCTTCCAACCCTACTTAGTGTGGAGGCGGAGAGTTGAGAACCCTTTGATGCGGTTCACCCGAGAATGGTAAGCCAGAACCTCAGTAAGTGGTGAAACGCCGCCAGGGAGAAAGAGGGGAAAGGGAAGACCTCGAAAGAACGATAACTTTAAGAGAACCGGTGCAGACACATACTTGACCACCGTTGACACTGACCGCTAGTCGCATTCTCCAACGGTGGCAGATATCATCCAGCTTTGCCAACAGACCATATACTGATACCTTGAACGACTTCGGCAGAAAAAATGACTCTCTCCGTTGCCCCTTCAAAGAAGTGGTGGAAGGATGCCGTGGTTTACCAGATCTACCCTGCGAGCTTTCTGGACTCCGATGGAGATGGCTTGGGTGACCTCCAGGGAATCATATCCAAGTTGGACTACATACAATCACTCGGCGTCAGTGCTATATGGCTGTCTCCTATCTACAAAAGCCCGCAGAATGATATGGGCTACGACGTGGCAGACTACCGGAATATTCATCAGCCCTACGGCTCCATGGAGGACATGGATCTGCTCATTCACCAATGCCACGAAAGGCAAATCAAGGTGCTTTTGGACCTCGTTGTTAACCACACCAGCAACGAGCATCCTTGGTTTCTTGAGTCTCGGAGCAGCCGAACGGCTACCAAGCGCGACTGGTACATTTGGCGCGACCCCAAGTATGGACTCGACGGGTCTCGTAAGCCGCCAAACAATTGGGCGTCCATCTTCGGTGGCAGTGCTTGGACCTGGGACGAGATGACGGGCCAGTACTATCTCTCGCTTTTCTTGCCTTCCCAGCCCCACCTGAACTGGGAGAATGAAAGCATGCGACAGGCGACACATGCCGACATGATCTTCTGGCTCGACAAGGGTGTCGACGGTTTCAGGATTGATTCTATGAATCTCATGTCCAAGCACTCGGACCTCCCGGACGCGCCGATTGTCAATCCCAACTCGGACTTCCAGCCTGGCGATAAGTACTTCGCGAGCGGACCCCGTATGCACGAGTACATCAGAGAGATGCGCGCACGACTGCATGACTGTCGGCGAGCTCGGCTTCACAAAGGACGAGCAGAGCGTCGCGGAATACGTCGCCCACGACCGAAAAGAGCTCAACATGGTCTTTACGGGCGACATTGTCGACATGGATTTCGGACCCGGCGGCAAGTACGAGCGCAATGACTTCCAGGTGTCTCGACTCCGCGCCATCACCAGCAAGTGGCAGAACGCCATGCCCAAATTTGGGGGCTGGAATGCCGTCTATCTCGACAACCACGACTCGGGCCGCTCGCTGTCGCGGTATGCCTCGGACCTGCCGCAGCATCGTGTCAACGCTGCCAAGATGCTGGCGACGTACATGGGAACATTGAGTGGTACCCTGTTTCTGCTCCAGGGACAGGAAATAGGCATGACCAACATCCCGGACACGTGGGGAGTTGAGGACTACATTGACGTCGAGGGAAGCAACTACTACAACAGCGTCCTTGAAAGACGAGGGGAAGGTGCGGACATGACCGATTTGTTGAGGGAGATGAGACTGAAGGCTCGAGACAACGGCCGCCTCCCAATGCAGTGGAACAGCAACAAGAATGCAGGTTTCACAGAGGGAGGCAAGCCCTGGATGAGGGTCAATGATGACTACAAGGAGTGGAATGTGGAAAAACAGGTAGGAGACAAAAACAGCGTTTTGGAATACTGGAGAGAGGTTCTGGCCTTGCGAAAGAGCGAGAGTGAGGTGTTCACATACGGTCACTACGAGGAGTTGGATGTGGCGAGGACCGGGGAGAATGTCTTTGCCTACACAATGACGAGCTTCGATGAGCAGAAGAAGGCTCTAGTCTTGCTGAACTTCTCCGATATGGACCAAAGGTTCGATACATGTGGATTTGAGGGATGGAGCACATTGCTTGGAAGGAAGACAGAAGGTGAGGCAGACAGTACTGGCATCTATCTGACCCCTTATGAGGGCATGGTCCTCTGCAATTGGCGTTGATAAAATGGACTTGGTATTGGCACTACATTATCCACTTGATTCAAGAAGTTCATGCACTACTGTGCCAATGCTCATATCCGCCATCAAACGTTTTCTCTTGGGCCACGCCTTTTTAAACTATCCCTAGTAACGAAATTCTACATGGTTTTCATCGAACACTCCTAGGTCGTAGAATGCATCAACGGAGACGTCGGTGGAGGGGTAGATGCGAGAGGTCATGGCAAATATGTTGTTGACAGGGCTTAGTAGTTCGAACGCGTGTCGAGGGCCGCAGTGTGGTGTGGGGGATGCATGTGTGCATCAGGGTGTGTGCTAGTGTCCCCCCATACATCCCCTCCATCAGTCGGAGTCGGAGTTGGAAGATCCATCAATGGCTATGGTTGTTACGAGGTGCGTCCCCCACAACAACAACCTTCTCTCGATCGCTGGATATTGGCACGACATTGGGACGACAGGGATAACCGCCACACCAAGAGTATGACCTCTAGATGCAGGGCCAAAACCGTTAAAGTGAAGCAAGCCTGCGATAGCTGTCGTCTGCGTAAGATCCGTTGTGATGGCGCCTGGCCCTGCGCCAACTGCGCAGCCGCGGCCCTGTCATGCACCTTTCTCGCTGTACACAAGAAAACAGGCCCCAAGGGTGGCCGTCGGCGGCCACGCTCGTTTGCATCGCCTGTGTCAGATTCCGTGCGAGCTGGACCGTCGAATCTCCATCACATAGGCAGCTCTTTGCCAGGTTTCTCGTCGATCCTTGCAAGCGTTTCTGTGCACAACGGTATCGAAACGCCAGCCCCCGTCGGTACCTTTTCCCTCGATCCTGTCCTCGACGATGTCTTTGCTAAGGGCGAGTGTGGCTTCCAGCCGTCTCCGGCACTGACTACTGAAGTGGTATCGCTATGTTTGGATGCCTTCTTCGAGCATAAATCTCCGATTACACCCATACTGGATCAGAAGCAAATGAAGGATGCCCTTCTGTCCTACACAACAACACCCGAGCTGTACAGCCTGCTCGCAGCGTGTTGCTCCGTCATGGTCTTGTCGCCCGGGCTACTTGGGCAAACGTCACCGCATTTGTCTCAGCCATTTCATACTTTGTCTACGCCCTTGCCATCACCTATATTATCACCAACAGGAGCCAGCAACAGCCCTGTAGCAATGCCTCCACCACGTCTCCTCATCTCAGAGGTCATCCGCGCTCGGTCTTTCTCCGGATATATTGAGAAGCCATCGTTAAACAGCGTGCAGACATCCTTCTTTCTATTCTCCGCCTATTTCTGCCTGGGCGAGGACAATTCGGCGTGGTTCTACCTCCGAGAAGCCATCACGTTGCTTCAACTCTTGCGGTTTCACGAAGAAAGCACCTACGCTGTACTTTATGCCACCAATCCTCTGACAGCCACCTACGCTCGCCGCACTTTCTGGGTCCTGTTCGTCACGGAGAGGGCATACGCCCTCCAGCGAAACAGGGTACTCACGCTACAAGCGAGCATCGACCTACCATCGGCCAAGTCGGACAGGGATGCGCTGATCCTCATGGGGTTTGTCAACCTCATATCCCTGTTCCGCGACTTTGACGACGAGTTTGTCAACCTGTGGAACCAGCCATTCGGCACCTCGCCCTCGGAGAAGCCGCTGGTCAAGCTGCAGAACAGGCTGGCGTACGCGCTGCCGACCGTGTCCGGGTGTACCAAGGGCCAGCTGGCCGACCTCTTGGTGTCGCGCGAGTGGCTCAAGACCATTGTGTGGCAGCTGTGCGTCTCCAGGGCCATGCTCTCGAGCTCGAGCAGCGAGGAGAGCATGTCCTTCCGGTACCCCGTCGCCATCGCCCGCGACATCGTGCTCGTCTCGCGCCTCTTGCCCCCAGAGGCCTTCGCGGCCAACGGCATGGGCATCCTCGAGAAGATCACCGACATCGGGTGCTCGCTCTCCGACGTCTTGTCGCTGGAGCCGGGCTTCGCGGGCCCGTCGACGCTCGAGATCGGGCCGCGGGATTCCTTGGCCGAGCTCGTGCGCATTGTCAGCTCTTTTGGCAGCGGATACAAGAAGCTGCAGATCCTGGCGAGCAAAGCGGCCGGTTGCCTACGGACGAGTATTGAGAGGCCCTTAAACGATGTGGCTGACGAAATCGATGAGACTGGGCAAATCTACGGATGCGAATGAAAGCGAGGGTTCCCATGACCTAATATGGACTTTTCGGCTACGAATAATATTCATACCGAACATTAATGCTCTGTCTTAGCGAGCGACCATCCAGTAATAAGTCCAAATCCGGGGTTCAACTCGGTAAATCTTGTCAAACATGGTTGCCATCAAAACAAGCAAGGCTATCTAGCAAGACACGGGGTATTGATATCGCTTTCAGGCGATCTTCCTCACCGTCATCATGCCACCTCCCCTTGGCTTGGGCTCCATAGCCAGCTCCTGGAAAATCACATCGCCATAGATCATATCCAGGCGCGTGTGCGTCAGCCTAGGCTGCGCGTTGGGCTTGAGCCCCGCGCACTCAAAGTCGTAATCCCGAACCGTCGCCATGAGGATGATCTTTATCTCATTGAGTGCCAGGTTCTGGCCCAAGCACGCCCGCGCGCCCTTGCCGAAGGTACGGAAGTAGGCCCGCGGCGCCTCGTTCTCGCCGATCCAGCGCTCCGGCCGGAACTCTTCCGGGTCCGGGAAGTACTTGGAGTTCCACTGCACACCGTGCGCATTGCTCGAGAGAACAAGTCCGTTGTCGATAGGGTAGTTGCCACCCTTGTACGAGATGGTCATGCCGGCCTCGGCCTGGCGGACGCCAAAGCCGGCAGGGAACAGCCGAAGGGTCTCTTTGATCGCGCCTTCGGTGTAGGGCAGGTTCTGCAACTTCTCCGGGTACTCAACGACGTGCTCCATGGCGGCGAGGGAGTCTGGCCCGAAGACGTCGATGAGCTCTTGGCGGATCTTCTGGACGACCTCGGGGTGCTTTGAGAGGAGCATATATAGGAACTGGAGACGGGTTTTAAGGCAAGAAGTCACGCAAAAGCGGGAGCATGAGTCCAGGAGGACTTACTGTTAGCGTGTCGGTCGTGGTTCCGTGTCCACCGAGAAGAAGGCCCTTGATCCTGTTTGGTGTCAGCGGTTATCGCAACAAATGTTTCCAGTGCTTGCACAGTGCACTTACTGCGTAAGTAATAGCTCCTCGTCCGCCTTGGAGATCTTGGCATTCCTCGTCCGTCCCTTCTCTGGGCTCTGCTCGACGTGCTCGCGCAGCATGAGGTCCAGGATACTGTACGGGTTTCTCCTCGACGGCACCATCTCCTCGTTGATCAGCAACTTAAAGCGCTCGTAGACATGGCTAAGCAGCTTCGGGTCTAGCCGGCCGACCACCTCCCTCTTGCGCCACCACACCCGCACCATGTTGAAGGGATTGAGCCTGGTAAAGATGTCCAGCTGGCCCTCAGCGAGCTTGATGAGCTCCCGAATATCCAAGAGCTCCTGGCCAGAGGCAGTCTGCGCGTGAAGGGGAAAAGCAAAGACAATCCTCGAGATGACGTCAAAGACGAGCCGGGCCGACGTCTCCTCGAAAGAGAAGACCTCGCCAGTGGCGGCCTTGCGGTCGAGGATGTCGCGGAAGATCATGCACTCGTCGACCATCATGCCCGTCAGGTGGCGGATGTGCGACCAGGAGAAGGCAGGCAGCATGGCGTTGTGCAGGCGCTTCCAGACGGCGCCGTTGGCGGCGGCGATGACGTTGTCGCCGACCATGGGCTTGAGCAGGTCGTTGGCGAGCCTGTGCTGGGGCAGGGGCTTGGTGACCTGGATCTGGTCCATGAGCTCCGGGTCGTGCAGGACGAGGCTGCCCTCGGCAAAGGGCCATAGGTCCATGTAGAACATGCCCTCGAGGCCGTGCTTTTTGGCGATCTCGGTGTACATCTGCTGCGGGTGCATGTTGGGCGGCAGCAGGGCCGCCACCTCGCCCATGATCTTGAGGTGGCCCCAGAGCCAGCTGTGCGGGGGTCCGGGCTATGGTGATGGTGAGAGGGAAGGTTAGCTGTGTGTGCGGAAGCGAGTTGAGGACCTTGACAGTAGTGGCATCGCGTGTGTAAGAGCGCGCAGCTCGTGGTGACATACCAGGTTACGATAGAAGCGTCGCTGCTGGTATCCCCGCCAGAAGAACCTGGCGACAAATGCCACGACGATTGTCCATGTCAGCACTGCGATAGGATACTGGAGGACAGCGTCCGCCAGTGACTTGACGCCTGTCATCTCAAGCTGCTAGTGCCGATGATGCCGGTAATGTTGTTGGGGAGGGTAGCAGAAGCTCGATTCTCGCAAGGTTCTGGCATGCGTCTGCATTAACTAGCCTGCCTTCGCTCGATCACTTCATGGACTGCGTAACACGGCGATGTCCAACGTCAAAGGGCAGCAGGTCGGTTATGAGATGACGAGTCGCACTCCTGGGCATCTCACCCTCGCCATGGTCCCGCCATACTAGCGGATGGACGCAGTGCCAGACAAAATGCATGGCCAATCGCCGCCGCTAAATTGGTCATGGCCCTACTAGCAGGATTTGCTTTTGAAAAGGAGGTGAAATACCCTACAACAAGGTTAGTGCTGACTCTGCTGGAATCAACGATCCTCCTGGACGAGACGCTGGATTATCAAGCCGGGCTAAGAACAAGCGAAGGATTTGTCCGTTCGGACTTAAATATGGGTCTCATAACAGCAAAGTAAGAAATGGAATAAGCTGTGGCATCAAATCATGCTTCAAGGGCACTCCGTGTTAGCCCCTATCACCCGCACGGGCTTGCGCTTGTCGCTTCAATGTTGCCAATCCGGTCCTCGCAACCGCATACCAGCCTTCCAAGGTGAGAGCAGTGGGTCACCCGATTCCTCTTTAAGAAGTTGAGGCTCTGTGTCTCGTTTAAGATCCCCCTTGATAATGACCGTCGAGATTCGCTGCATGCTGTTGACTAATGTTGTCCATCTGGAACGTAGACTGCAGGCAAACACCCACTCAATAAGTGTTATGATAAGAGGCAAATCGCTAGAGTATCCTTCGTAAACAAAGGCATGTTGAAGACCCTGCAAACGAGGTCTCTCGATCGAATAGATCCATCTATGAACTTCCCCCATACTGTTCGGCAGATCCTGGCCATCCTGGTCACAGATGGGCGAAGTAAAAGGCATTTAAGCGAATCGAAACTTTTGCAGATGAGTACCGTACGAGAGTCTAAGATTGATGACCACAGAACTCAGTCCACCAAGAGAATGTAAAATTTGAGTCGAGCACCACAGAAGAGTCGTATGAGAAGTCTTATCACGCGTATAATCAAGTCTTGTTACCCCCCTCCATACTTGACCAAGAGATTAACTATCCAACGCAAGCATTACTTCTCTGCCTTGTGGGCTACGCAGTGTCTCCCATGACAGTACTCGGTCTGAAAGGCCTTGTGCCAGGGAAGTGGTTGGTCTACCATGACAACAGCTCTGTCCTCATGGCCAGGAACTACAAGAGTGTCTCTGGAACGCAGCTATTGTGTTCGTTATATCTGTTCTACTGTGTCTAATTTAGAGTGTTGAACTCGGTTTGTAATTACCGGACAGGCTGACCTCGCAACTAGGTTCATATTGAGTAGACAAAACAATCAATGGTATGGCCGTACAACACAGAGTTTTATCAGACATGTCCACTCGTCCTTGAGGCTCTTCGTACCACAAACTAGTGATCCTTCCCAGTCACTCCCTTACGACTCACTACTGCCCTTCCACCCTCTCCTCAAACTCCACCACCAAACTCAACCATGCACAACAGCCTTCAACGCATCTGCCAAACAAACCACCAAATATGACACACCAAATAAAACCACAAAAGTAATGCAATGCAAAAGTATGTTCTGTAATAAGCAAATAAAAAAAGAGAGGGATCCTTCAGATTCCCCCCCCCTTCGGCCGTATCTTCATATCAAAGTAGTATGTATCATGTAACCTTTTTTCCTTCCCCTCCTTTCTTTCCTTCCTTTCCCTCCACCATGCAACACTCTCATCCTCTCTAGTCACTCAGTCACTCCTTCTCCCCACTAACTCTCCATCTTCAAATCATTGTCTCCCCATATCCCACACTCCCTCCAACTCCTCGGTGGCTCTCCCACTTGTCCCACCCCTCAAAGGCAGACTCCTCAGTCTACGCACCCCCGGCAATCCCCAACCCAACCCTCTGTCCCTGTCCCTGTCCCGGTCCTTGCCCTCCCTGCCCCGACACACTCCCGCCACCACCACCACTCGGCCCTCCCATGCCCATGCCCATGCCCCCAAGACCAGGCGTCCCCGGCGTCGCCGTGCCGCCGGTCCCCGTCCCTGTCCTCTCCCTCATCCTCCTCCCCTCCATCAGGCCCCGGAGCCCCCTCTTCTGCAGGCCGATGACGCTGCTGAGCTCCCCGCTCCAGACCTCGCGGCTCGCCCGCTCGCTCCCGTCCGTCACCTCGCTCGAGCTCCACTCGCTGCCACTCACGCTCGTCGTGGCCGACAGCTCGTCGCTCGGCGGCCGACCGCCCGGCTGGCCCGGCACGGCCGTGTTGATGCGCAGGTTGCCCATGCGCGCCGCCGCCCCGTTCGGCCCGCCCGCCTCGCCGTTGACGCCGCCGTCGTACGGGCTCAGCGCGTCCAGACCGACGGGGACGAAAAAGTTGGGGTTCAGCGAGCCGTCGATGCCCCTACCTCCGCCAGCCGCCATGGCCGTGGCGTTAAACACGGCCGCTGCGTTACGGTTGTCCAAGAAGGTATGCAGGCGCTCCACCACCGCCTCGAGAAGCCCGTCGATCCGGTAAGGTCGCGCAATCTGCAGCAGGCTGCAGAGAACCTGCGGCGTGCAAAGATTCGAGGTGGGTGGTGGCAGCGACGAAGTGTACAGGTAGTGCAGCAGCGCCTGTACGGTTATGTACATGTGAGGCAAGTACAAGCAGCGCGGCCGGCTATTGGGCGGCAGCGTGCGAGGTGTCGGCGCCGTGTTGACGGTGGCCGGGTCAACTGGTGGACTGAGGGCGCCTCCGCCGAGGGAGCCGCCAGACACACTCGTCCCAGCCGTGCTGGGTGCCTTGCCACCAGCGCTCGAACCGGCGGAGCTGGGCACAGTCGAGCCCATGGAGCGGTCACTCTCCATAGTGTTGCGGCTCGACGGCGTGATGGTGATGATCGAGTTGCGCATGTTGGCGCCTGGAGCAGACCGCAGCGTTGTAGCATCGGACCCATCCTGTGTCGCCGTCCCCTCGCGCAACAACTGCACAAAGTACGGTCCCCACCTCCGAGCCACGATACGGCTGTTGATGGGGATGCGCTCGCCATAGAGGCACAGTATGTCCATATCCGCCAGCTCCCTCATGCCCATGACCTTCTCGCCCAGCTCCTCCGACGCGCGCGAATGGTACCGCCCACCCGCGGTGCTGCCGGCCTTTCTCGCAAGACTCAGGCCGGGACTCGTGTAGGGGCTGCTGGCGCTTACAAACCCGGACATGGGGCTCGTCTTTCGCGGGTTGTCGTAGAAACCAAACGCCTCGAGCTCGACCATACATACGTTGGAAAAGTTGATGCGGCGGTGATTGTAGTCGTCGACCAGACTGCGCTTGCGATTGCCCAGCACGACAAAGGTATTGCGGCGATTCCACAAGACACCCCTATTCCAACTGCCCTGGCTGAACACCACCCCACCTGCGTCGATACGCGACCACGACAGGTTGCGCAGGTCCAGCGCCCACAGCGCGTACTCTTGCTTGGAAGACGTGAGGTAGGTGCCGCTAACGACGAAAAAGGTGTCGATGATGCCGCCGTTGGGAAATCGCAGACCGGGGGGCGTGTGCGAGCCCGACATGGGCTTTTCTGATAACGTGCCGTCGTTGGAGCGGATCTGCAGCTCCAGCTTGACGTCTAAAAAGTTGTAATTTGAGTATATAAGCATGGACGAGCCGGGCTCCCTAGCCTCCTGGCTGATACCGCCGCTCTGGGCAGCCCCGGCATTGGGCGCCGACTTGCCGATGCGAGCCGTGACAGAAGGAGGCAGCGGCGCGACCACACTACGGTACGCACCGCAGCTCTTGCCGAGCGGCTGTGTCGACGTCCATTTCAAGCTGCGCAGGTTGAAGACGCTGATCTGCTCAATGTAGTGGTTGTTGCCGTCCTGACCTCCGACCACTATCATCTCCGCGCCGCCCGTGCCGTCAATGTTGACGCCTATCCTGCCTTCGTTGAGTCCCGTCGACGGGTTGTTCTGCAGTGCTGAAAGAGGTGCCTTGTGCGAGGAGAAAGTGGCCGCGGACGGCAGGATGCAGGCGCAGTGGGCGTAGCGGCCCTGGGGAGTATCGTGGGTAGGGATGTATGTCCAACGTTTCGTGGGAGCATCGTATATGTGGATGTCGGACATGACGGCAATCTCGCCCTGGGGCTCCTGCTGAGGCGAGTTGTTGCTCTGCGTCGGCAGCGGGGACATGCCGCCGTAGCATACGAGCTTGGTGTCGCCGAGGGCGCAGACAGAGTGAAAGTAGCGTGGCGGCGGGATATCTCCGGTCGCAGCCACCTTGGTCCAATGCCTCCGTATCAGATCCAGCTCGTACAGGTCCGACGTCAGCGACGCGGGCCTACTTCTCGATAGTATTCTGCCTCCAAACACGTATAGCTTATCGCCCAAGATCGTCGTCGTAGCTCCAACGAGCGGATGCGGCTCTCGCCCTGTTGTCCGGTGAACATTACACATCAGCCCCGAGAGGTGCGCTGAAGAACCCGTTGTCGTCGAGGTACCAACAGCAGGGCCAGGCGTCCTAGACTGTGGTATTTGTGGAGACGGACTCGCTGACAGAGGTCCGTTGCTCCGTGGAGTGAGGTTGTCCCGCCCATCATCTATCGTCTCTTGCCGCGTCAGGCTCGCCAGGCTGCTCTGGCTGCTGCTCATGCTCAGACCCGCACCGTAGCCGCCGTACCCTTGGCCCTGGTCGATCGAGGAGCTCGAGTCCATGGTGCCCAACCGGCTGTCCATCTCCGACTCCGAGTCGACAATGGCACTCAGGCTTGTCACGGCTTGGGGTTGCCTGCCTACCGGAGTGAGAGGACTGTTGGGCGAACCGGGCGGTGGAGGCTCAGGCAAGGGTTTCTCGAGACTGTTCTGCAGGCTCAGACTGCGGGCATGGCTACCGAGGGGAGTCGCGGATCGGGAGGAGGGCAGAGGCGCAGAGTTGGCGGCCTTCTCGACGGTGGAGGGGAAGACTCGGAGGGCGAGCTGGGAGGGTTGCCTTGCCAGCTGCGAGGGCTGTCGCGTGATCCTGGCAAGGTCTTCGCGGGCGGGGGTTATCTTCTTGATACCGCGGTAGACACCGGAGAGGAGGTCGGAGGATTTGGAGGGCTGAGGTGGCGGTGGCGGTGGACGATCGTCGGGCTCGGAGTCCGAGAATCGGGAGGCGTCTCGGCCGCCCTCGGAGCCTGCATGGTTTGAGGTCAGTCCATAGCCCGACATGGTGGCGCCTCATGCAGGTGGTAGTGCTCTCTCGGCAAAGACAAAGGAAGCCACATGCGCGGTCTAGGTCGTGCTGGGCGCGGGTGTATGCATCGAGCTGATCGCCAAGCAGCAGGAGAAAGGGTATGAAAAGGGTTTGCCAGGCGGGTAAAGATGGATGTGGAAAGAAGATATTTTGGGGTCAACGATGTGCAGTAAGCATCAGAGAAGCAGCGGACGCCAGAGCCAAGTAGGTCACCATGTGTCAAGGTTCCTAGCGGCAGGCGGGCTGCAGGTCCCTGTCGGTAGTAGCAACGGGCAAAGTTGAGATCGCCGGGGAGCGGATGTCGACAAGGGACGAGGCGAAGGGTGTCCAGGCTCCGGACTGCGGCTACTGGGGAGTGGGTCGGCGGAGTGTGGGCTTGCTGCCTGGTGGGAGGGAAGAAGGAGAGGAAGAGGCAGTGAACGGGTCTGTCCGTGGCTAGCAGCGGCGGGTGATGCGCGTCGCGGTGAGGCGGTGATGGAGTGGAGGAGACGGCGTGGATCGCGAGGCGAGGCCAAGCTGGGACCCGGTCAAGTCCGGAGACAGGGTAGACCAGACCGAGAAGGGCTTGTCGAGCCGACTACCAAGTACCAAGCAGACGGGATGGGAAGGGGAGAGGGATGCAGCAGCCACAGACCGGGAGGCAGGAGGCGCGATGAGAAGGGGAGGAGGAGGAATCAGGCCATGGGACATGTGGTGAGTGGACGGTGAGATCGATGATGATGGCGATGTGGGCTGGTGTGTCAAACCGGGTCCTCCTACCCTAAACCCTGCCTGGCTCTCTCGCTTGATGACGACGGGGACGGGCACGATGGACGGTAGAAGAGGCAGAGAAGGTGATGAAGAAGCCCTGGGATGGGGCAGCAGTTGGAGACCAAGATACGTACCTGGTGTGTCGTGGCTGGCCTTGCTGGCCGTGTCAAGCTACCTAGTTCTCCGGAGCAGAAAAAAGTGGTGCAAAACGTGGAATCAGCGTTGCAGCGATTAATTTCGCAAGCGGACTTGTCAGGATGATCGTGCGGACCTGGCGCCGTTGTCGATGTGGGCGAGCAAGCGCAGTACTTGCTCCGTAGTCTGGGCTGGTCTGGTCTGGTCTGCCGGCAGGGCAAGGAGGTAAGGAGGGGGGGTGAGGAGAAGAGGAGACGAGACAGCAGCACAAAGACAAGAGAGCGCCGGTCTGGCTGGCTCGCAAGAAGAGAGAGATGAGGTCTGTTCGTCTGGATGCGGGAGACGGGAGGTGGATTGACCAGGTTTGAGGCAGGGGGTGTGGGATCGGGCACTGTACGCACAGACGCTTGCTTCTACCGCGCGCGGTGATGCTTGGTGCTGCTATTGCTGTCTCTGTGTCTTGTCTGACGCTGATGGGGGCGTGAGATGGACGCCGATGCTGATGCTACGATGGCTGCTGGCCTGGTGGACAGAGTACCTAGGTAGGTAAAATAGGTAGTCTAGATAGGGAGAGTGTGTGCATGCGCGACAAAAGACAGGTAAGGTAGGTACAGATGCGAGCCAAGATGCCGCTATGTCGGTATCACGGAATGGGAAACGAGGCAGTCCCTGTAACGAGGGTTCGCGGGTCCAGTAGGTAGGCGTGCCACTGTGCGTGCGTGTGTGCGTGCGTCTGTCGCAGAACAAAGGAGGGTCCGTCCGTTCTGGTTTGTTTCTTTGTGCGTAGGTCTGGTGTTTCGAGATGTCTGAAATGCGAGGTCGCACGTTGAAGCGCTGGTGCGGGCTCGGCCCAATGCACCAATGCGGAAAGGCTGGTCCTGGGCCCTTTCCCCTTTCTCCTTTCTCGTCTTTCTCGTTAGCAAGGGGGGGGGGGGATTAGTGGGAGAGGTGGGCGTTTACTCCTTATTTTTGTAATTTTTTAGTGGGGGTTAGAGCGGGGAAGACAGCCCTGGAGCTTCACAGTGAGTGCTGTGGGCTGCAATGTCGAATCATTTGGTTTGGCGGGACCCAATCTGGTGAGAGTGCGTGAGTGCCGATCACTTGAAACAAATCCATCCCGACTGACTGACTGACTGACTGACTGGCTGTTACAGAGTAGGAAGAACACAAAATAAGAGAGGAGCTTTGACTCGGAGGTGCCCCATGCTCCCAGAGGCACGACAGGCACCACGACATGGCATCTGCGAGGCAAGGCCAGGCGAGTGCTGGACAGAGTTGCTGTGCCTCAACGTCTTCCTGTCTCGAGCCGCCCGGCTGGTACCATGTTGGACGCCTTCATTTCCTGTGGCCGGATTGGGAACGCTGAAGCAGGACCTGCAGCCCAATTGAGCAATCAGAAACAGGCTCGGCTGGGACAAAAGCGGCATGGTTGAGGTACCTATCTGCAGGAGAGAGAGTGCGTGTGTATAAAGGTCACCACAAGCCGCAATGCATGCTGCCCTGCCCTGCCTGCCTTGCCGCATCGCACGCCTTCTGCACGGTCGAGTCCAAGGTGAAACCACGTGCATGCGGAGCAGCTGCTTGTACATCTGGAAGTACTCACAGAGGGATCAGTCAATACATTGGCGCACTCTGTCTGATTGTGCAGCGTAGAACACCCTTCGAGATTCTACGAGTATTTCCTCCCATCCACTTCCTACTCATCAAGCTCTTCTTATCAGATGTCAAAGCGCCGATTAGACAGATCATTACCATCCTGCCCGACCGAGGCGCAAGACCCATTACCCCTACCTGGGTACCTGGCACAGGATTGATAATTCCCCAAATGAACGCCAATCTGAACTGCGGTCCTTTCATCCTCTTCCGCTTCGGACTCGGGGCCCGGGAAGGATAAGATAAAATCCAGCGCCATCTCATCTCGCCTACCAACTCGCCTACGTACAAGACTGTTGTAGACAGAGGACGGACAGAGAACGACGCTGGACTGAACCCCTTTGGCGCCGTTTCAGGTCTGGCCTTTCTGGGATTGTAGAAGAAATCCGTCGCCCGCTAGAAGGCCCCTAAAAGAGGGGCCCCCGCTAGGCGACGGCAACTAGGCCAACTCGTTCCGCTCCCGCTACAGGCAGCCCTGAAAGGTACCATCGCTGGGGCTCATCATTTGGCTTCAGGGGGACTTTTAGGGGACGCGGGTAACGGCGGGCAAAGAAAACTCGCCCGGATAGTTGCGTCATTTAAGAGGCAAGGTACTTTTACCACAAGAACTTGCTTACCGAACACTGGAAAGGAAGGAAGAAAGAAAAAAAAGAAAGCAAAGGGATGACTTGCGGAAAGGTGATGAAACATTAACTATAGCATTCTATGGCAAACATGTTTCTGGCAAGACACAATACCTAACTACCCAGCTACTACTCGTCGAGGGATAAAAACGGCCTGCCATTCTGCAGCGGGAACCCCTGAAGGCCCCTGGCCCGGCAAGCTGGTTGCTGGGATCGCCTCGTGTCGCTCCCTCTCTCCCCTCTCCCCTGTCTCCTGTCCTGTAGCGTATCCTTACGATGTACAGTTTCTTGAGATGCTTTACAGCCATTTGGGGTTCGTAAAACAAGCCAGTCGGGTTCGCTCGCTTGGCGCTGAGCCGGCCAGTGCTCAAGGAACAAACTCCAATCTCGGGGAGGATACAGATCAACTGACACATGACCCGGTGGGTCGCCTGCCACACCAGGTGGGTATTTAGGTGACCTGACACACCAGGTGGGCCTAAATTTCAACCAATTAAATTCTATACCTTTAAATTTAT